AACAAAAAGCCAATAATGAACCTCAAGCAATAGTGATGCGATCCTGCACCAAAACTGTGTGCCGCGCTGCTCGACCTAGGCTAACGCGCACTGCGCCTGGAGGACCACCCTGTTCGCACTATAATGGCTTGGGTAGGAATAACATCCGCGTAGAAGGACAATCCGCAAGGGTCAATGCAATCCAGTCTCGGCGACTGTGGAAGTGTAATAGTTAAACAGGACCCGTAGCCCCGGCGGTCGCGGCCATGCCTGTGGCGCAGGCCCACTGGCTTCATCAGGGAGAATGCGACAAGGCAGACATGGCGCCTTCAGGGGGGTCGATCTGAGCATCTGCGGCCACAGCGTTCATGGCTGCTTAACAACAGAAGCGTGACGAGCTCATGAAAGAGCAATTGTAAGACCTCTTGACATTGGGGCAACGGCGAAAGCGTGCAGAACAGGGCCTAGGAGATTAGAGTAAGGCAAAGCATCCAAAATTGCCAAGTCGCAAAAGGCTGAGCAGGCAAGTTAGCCGACAGTCGCTTGCTCACACCTGTTCGCCAAAATTCCCCTCTCTTCTTATTCCTGTCAATTGTTGTCTCGCAATTCATCTTGATACCTGGTCTGGCAGAACGCGCCAACGTGTTGTGATCAAAATGGATTGAACATTCTCACTCGACAAAACCATCGACAGATTTGCCACAGTAAGGACATCAATCTCCGACAATGGTCATATTGAGCAAGCCTCGGGCCACGCAACCGTTGCCGGACCGAAGGAAGCAGACACGTCAGAGATTGGGATGCTTCAGAACCTCCCACTTCGTGTGTGCGCTGTGAATTGGATTTGGATGTTTCCGCATCTTTCCGTGGGCCTTGATATCGCTGCCAATCGTAATTGTCGGCACACCTTGTTCATCTGTACTACTGCACTCACAGGTTGAAGAGCACAGAACACAAAGCCCCAAAATGGACGCAACCCCCCGAGAGTGAGTGACCACATGCCCCGTGCTCTACACTTTGATGTGGATGGCGTCATTGGAATCCTACGAAGCACCATTCGCATGCATCACACAATCCAGCCAACTGTGCAGACTGTTCATGTTTCACCGCAGCTGTCTAGACCCTCGCCATTTCTACATGTGCTGGCACTAGAAGTCCGGAGTTGCTAGCCTCGAGGGCGAGTACGAGGCACTGATATGTTTCCCACCTGGGCCACCCACATTATTATCTTGGAAGATGCGGGTGCCCTGATTATCATGCCACGCTAACCGAGCCTAGCCGCGGTACAACACGGCTTCTTGCTCGTTCCACCAGTGACAGCGGTACTCCAGGATTCATTCCCTATCATCTTCGAACTATAATCCAGATTCGCCATACGTTGCGACCGGTTTCATCCGTGATCATCATCTCCCACGTCAAATGGAGGACATCGAGCACCCCTAACCCGGACCTCTCGGACTAACATTCCCATGGTCGGGGGATTTTCAGAAAGCTTGGACAGGTCTATAAGAACACTCCACGAACCCCCGAGACCAGTTCTTGACTCTTATATTGAGTCAGTCACCATTTGTGTTCTTCAGATCACCTGTTTCCAACCTCTCCTGGATCTCACTTTCCACTTCAAACGTGTCGAATTTTATGACGAAGCCGTAAAAAGCCTCAACAAACAATACTCATCATATCAACCCTCGTGATCTCCGCACTGCCGAACAGGTGACCTGGTCTTTGCGTCTCCCGACCAACAAAGCACTCTCTACATAAAGAGTATCCGAGCTTTCTTTATCTATATTCCCCCGACCATAACTTCAACACTCGTCTTCATCCGATAACCCTCTCATCAACCGCCAAAATGTCCAGCCCAACCAACAACTTCCTCTCTCTCATTCCTACCGCCCATCGCGTGGCTATGATCTCAGGCCTTGGCTCCGCTGTCAACGCCGAATCAGTCATTCCTGCTCTTCAAAAGACCGCCCGTTCCAGTTCCAACAGCAGCACCGAGTCGAACTCAGTCGAAGAACCTACGCTGCCAAAGTCACTTAGCCTTGGCAAAAGCCCTGTTGTCCTGCCTGTCGAGGATTTCAAGGTCCAGGACAAGTCAGGCCAATTCCTGAAGTTGGGCAACTAAGTTGACGAGCCTGACAAAAGCGCCTTGTTCACGAATTTCATTTCCACACGAACGTCTACCCTCGTTCGTCATTTACTATATCGCTTTATGTTACGCACCTATGCCAGCATCATGATGGAGTTTTCATTACTTATAACTATTCGGCCTGGGGATGGAAACAGGAGCCGTTGTATCACTTGGGAGGGGAGCGCTTCTGGAAATTGAAGCAACATGCAATTTGTCATCGGTAGTTATCGTTTGGAGAAGTCTGGGACAAAGCGGGAGACCCAGTTCATTCAGCCTGCGTCTCTCCAGACGCGCTAGAAAACGCCAGTGGGGCAAAGCTGAAAAGCGGAACCGAAAGTCTGGACAACACTGGAGTTGGATCTCCGGATTTCCAATCTTCGAAGATCCCGTCTACGGATCGTGCCACAGTTCATACAAACGCTGCAATATATGTTCTTATTGCTCCATCTTCCTTGACATCTCCATCTCATGTTGCATGATCGTGTACAACCGTATGGCAGGCCTAGTTGCACTTCCCTCGCATCTCCCGCTGTCCTTACGGGAAGGCTACGATGTACAGCTGCAGCATTGGCTTTGAATGCTTAAGGTCGTTTAGTTCCCCCACATGCATGCCACTCACCGCGAGGCCGTCTGGACCGGCCTTACGTATACACGAATTTGGCCATGCTGGTTTGTGTGGGCTTTGAAGCACTCTTGGGCCAAAGAACGGTGCAGTACTTCCCGTGATACATTCTTACCAACGCAACTGTGAAGCGATTTCCCGCGAAATAGGAGCGAAACATTCAAGTCAAGTTCAGGAACCAGAGGACTGTAGCAAGTGTGTCACAATTGGTACCCTCAACCAGAAAACGAATACCAATACACCAGACTGGGATTTCAAACGATCCCCCGATGAAAACCTATCAGTCATGACGCGACGTCAGCAAAACTTCGATACTCCAAGGCATATTTCAGTTGAATAAAGAATCTCAGACACCCTTCCATTTCGTGATGTTTACGGAATGAGGTGTCTTGCTGTTGTTGCTTACTAATAGTATAAATAGGGAGAACTCCTCAAGCAACTTTGGGAGCCCCTCATCCGTCCTTGAATACACACACGTCTTTCCTACTCCTAAATCAGTTATTTGCCAACGACTCGATTTCCATTGTGAATTTACCGCTCTTACATTTACCTAGGTAGACCACTCGTCGACGCCAACCTCGAAGTATTCCATATAATTGTTCCAGTCCTCCCACCAACTCGGAAGCCCTTCCGTTGCCATTCCCAACGACTGAAGGCTCAAGTCGTACTGCATTTCATCTGGATTCGTGCTGCCAGTGCTGACACCGTTGATGTCTCCGCTTGACTGTGGCGACACGGCAGGTAGACGTTCGGGATACATGTCATTGAAATTTCTCCATGCTTGTACGGGGAGGGGAGCTCCCGTGGTCGAATCTCGGTTCTGGTGCTGTGAGCTTCGAAATACTGCATCCATCCATAGGGAAGCCCCCAGCCGGTTAGGAATGATGAGCTCGTCCATTGTGCTCGCCAAAGACCGGTCTCGAAGGACCTCGACAAGCATCTCAATATGAATAGCAGCACGCGTGGTGTCTCTGTGGCCTGGAAAAGATTGGAAAATCTTGTGCGCTTCGATGATGGAGCTCATGGCCAGATTTTCTTCGACCGTGGAGGATGATTTTCGAGTTGCTAGGAAGCGAAAGAGATATGCGGCTGCGTTGAAAAGAGCCGCAAAAAGGTGTTTTGGAATGAAAGTAAGCAGCCCACCAGGGAAGAAGTGCTGCGAGTAGTGCTGCTGGCCAAGTCTGCTGGCTTCAGCGACAAGATCGCTGGCGACTTTCAGGCCCTTGTGTAGAAGTATCTGCCGGTGCATACCTCTTTCCGAATCCTCATTGCTTACGTTAGATTTAGAAGCAGCCCAAGTCAGAGCATAGAGGTTGAGTTTGGCATTGCACCACTCAATTCCGACTTGAGGCGTCCAATCCATGGCATGCTTTTCCCTCACTTCATCTAGCTGTGCATCGAACATTTTAGTCAGCGAAAAGTGTGAGCTCAGCTCTACGCAGCCATTGAGAGTGACTGTCGATTTGGCACTGATCTTGAGTATAGCGATCAGAGCGCGCCACCAGCCAGGCATAATCTGCTGTACGGCGGAGACAGCATCGTCAACTGACTCCGCCAGGACACTAGCCGCCACTGGCGGCAGGAAGCCCTGGAAGTTTGCGACTCTGGACTGGTCACCCAGACTGCCCCCAAAGGTATCGTGGAGTGTACTTACTCGCATTCGAGCCAGAAGCATCCCAACCAAGTCAATGCTTGACCTTCAGGTGTGATATCACTGCCCACTGTATCACTGAAGCCCTTCCAGTGAGTCGCTGCATTGTCCGAGTTTATGGGTCGGTGACAATTTAGCTGCATGGCTGCATTAGTCGCCAATCCGATGTAATTCCATGACGGATCATACATCTGGCGCTCCTGTTGAATTGGCCACAAACAGAGGATGAGGAGTGCGTGAAGAGTCTCGACGCGCTGGATAGCAATGTGCAACAGTTGCGAGAGCTGATTTCCATGCGCCTGGTGGATTTGGTCCACGACAGCCGAAGAGCCGCCGTAGGACCTACTGGCGACACATAAGATCGTCCAAAACAGTAACGGCGATGTTGCTGCTAGGTCAGAGGGCAGTGGCATGGTTCGGAGGAATGGGGTGTATGGAAAATAGTGTTTTTCAAAGCTAGAGACGTTAACGCAGGAATCGACGACATCTTCGTTTGGAGCACATACTGTTCGAAAGCCTCGATGACTGTGGCAGGGTTCACGTCGATGTTGCCAAAAGCAAGGGAAGTGGCTTCGTTGCAGGCCGTGCGGTCCGGCCATGAGTTGAGTCTTCCCAATTCCGGAGGGAGAACTGGCCACTGTTCGGGGGAGGCCTTAGTGGACGTATTTGATTGCAATTTCGCAAGAGTGTCTGCATCCAGCCTGACGTCGAAGGTGTCGCCTACTGCAGCGGTCGCAGTGCGTTCTTTAGACCGGAGTGCATGTACCTCATTGCTGATCTCCTCGGCAAGTCTTCGAGAAGTTAGCTGAGTGCACCTGTTGAGGGAAGAGATGAAGTAAGACCGCGGGACTCACTCACCTTCTGGTCGCTACCCGTCTGAATTTGGTATCAAAACGGCAGTCGAGGTCTTTCAACTTACAGCGCGAGCAAGGGTCAGGAGCCGTTTTGCGAGCATCGCAAGCAAGCTTGACTTGCCTGCAGCCCGTACAGCTCTTCACCCTCCCAGCGGGAAACTTGAATGACTCTCGGCTCATGGCGACAGGACATTATTTTCGTGCGGTTTACGGAGATGGAAACGGTAGTCGAGTGTTTGTCGTTGCACCGGGCGTCAGCAAAAGACAGTATTAATATGACAAAGCACAGGGGCGATTGAACTGACTCAGCAAGTAGCAAGGAACTGTGCCTCAACGATGCCGTGGCCATTTATTAGGCAGCCCCGTTGTTTTGCCGGGCGCCTAAGATAGGGGCACCGATTGTCCTTTTGCTGCTGGCAACTACCTAGATACCTAGGGATCGAACCTGCCTAATTTGTAAGTGGTGACGCAAATAATCTCTGGGCGTTGGGGGCTGTGAAGAACCTACAGTGACACTTTATGCAAGTCTTAATGGCTGACGAGTCAGGAGTACGAGGTTGCACCTGGACAGGAAGCTCAACTGCATCGTGAATAGCGTAGGGTCCAACGACAGCCTTACACGATTCACGCTACTTTCTTGGGAGACTGAGGTAATTTTGGAATGCAACTGTGGTATGGCCGGGTCTTCTTGCAGATCGAGGGACGCCCTGAACCAGTCTAATCTGATATGTCAGGTGCGCCACGTACTGTATGATACAGTATGTCTTTGTATCCAGGACTGATCGTCTCTTCCCAAACTTGTCGACACCCAAGCGCCGACATTCAAACATCATATTCGACGGTATGCTCCATCGTCGGTAGAGGCCGGTAAGTCCTCTCAGTAGCGCGCCCTTCTTTCGGTAGACAGACCTGGTGCACATCTGGCGACCTGATCCTTGCTGTTGCCCCCCTCCGCCAATGTCTAAGCCATGCCATTGTTGCCAGAAACGATGCAAGAAAAACGCAAATGGCGAGGTTCGTTTCGAAGGCCAGGTGTGGTTTCTCAACGGTCCAGCCGGTCCGGATAGTGCATAGAAAAGGGATGTCTACTGGCGAGTCAGGCTCAGGCTCGCCGTTCAGATATGGCCAAGGTGTATGATTGCTTGCGCCATGGAGAGCAATAACCAAGGAGTCATCCTCTTTCACTGATGCCAGGGTGTCGCAATTGATCATCCCATTGATATCATCGTCCTCATAAGTCGACTGCGCAGCGTGGATTGCCCCTATTTCTCTCACGAACTCCAACTCGGTACAATCCTCAAGGAATTGAACCAGCGTTATCGCAACGGCACCCGAGTTTCCTCCCGAGCTCGAAATGCAAAAGACCGAGTCCGAATTGGAAGCTATCTTTGGGTGACCACATCCGCCGATGTTGGTAATACGCGCCTGAATATCCCCGAGGCTCATGCTACCCGACCGAATGTACTGCCACGACAGTGGTGTTTCTTTGTCCTCCTTGGCTATGTCGATGGCTTCGAGGCCAAACCCAATGGCGTTCACAGGTTTCAAATTGATAGTCGACATGATTGCACTGCGACAGTCAGCTATTGCAAATACATTTGTTTCCAGTTCTACTGGGGGTAGGAGTATTGTCGCCCACCTGTTGGATATGATGTCAATCCGGACTCTCTCATCACAAGAGGCGAAGAAACATTCGGCATCTTTCGTGTTGCAGTATGGTTCCTTGTTGTATGTAAAACTTGCCGAAAACCAGATGTTTGTCGACACCACAATCCATGAGAATTTACGAAAACCATACATGCCTTCTTACGACCGATGTTGAGAGTGCGAGGCGAAACTGGGCTCTTGCAAACTTTTGAGATGAATGTGAACTCATGAAGCGGGAGCAGCGGCTGGAGCGAATATCACTCGGAATCCATTTGTGTAAGTCGACATGCCATTCGTTTGAGTCAGGTGAAATGAGTTGCGAAGTTCGCAGATGGGAGCACGAATGACCACACACAGCCGCTGATACAATGATTGCCCCAGCCCTGCGGAGCCAGGAAGATTCCAGTTGAGGGACATGGGTACATTTTGAGCTTCATATTTGCTACTTCCACGCTCTATAGGCACTACTGCAAGAGACTGGCCAATGGTCTAGGCAACCTTTGAAAAACATGTTACTTGACACATGCGAGCCACATCGTGATTAGAACTCCATCATCCATCTCTCTTGTCTCCCTGCTTGTCCTCCTGACTATAGCGTACTACGTTCCGTCTTCATTGCAAATTGGACCTGTCAGGTTATAAGTGGTGAGGACAGCCTTTCTGGGCAGTTTGTTGAGCCGTGGTGACTTAGTCGCCTCAGACGCTGGGTTCGACCGTGGCATTGTTGAGTTTCGCCGTGTTGTATGACATGCCGTGCAACTGGTGAGCTTCTGCTCCAGGAATGGGCTTTGGTTTGGTAGTAAGGTCGTCAGCATTTTTGGACAATTTCGAACGGATAGTCCAAGAAGCGGATTCCCAGTTGGGCCCGAAGATCAATCCCGGGTGAAAGACGGTCAAAGAGATACTTGCAATGCAGATCATGCCACCTTCCAAGATCATGAAAGTGATTTGCTGGTGTGCCAGTTTGCCGTGGAAGCCTCCCGAGAGCTCTGCGACACGGAAAACCGAGCGAGTAAAGATGGTGACTGTAGAGACGCCCAAGGACCAGAGGAATAATTTGAATGACTTGGTCATCCGATATGTTGCAAAAGCCGGATTCATCTCTACAGGGGAAGCCTTTCTAACTCGAAGAGCGAAATCGACACACAGGACGGCGAACAACACCAGGGAAACAACTTGCCAGCTGACACCAACGACCATGATCCATTTCCCGATGTTGTCCATGGAATTGGTGTTGGCAGAAGCGGCTATTCCACCTCCGGCAGCCTGGAGCAGAAGAGCCAGAAAGTCGCAAGTGATGAAGATCAACGTGTAGGTGGCAGGTCGGAATCTGGACACGGACTCGGAATAGACCACCACGATGCGTGAGATGCAGAGATAGACGGCGGCTGACAAGAAGGCAGGACCAATGGTAAGGCAAACCAAGTACCTGCCAGTAGTTAGAGACAGAGACAAGGAAAGAGAGAGACTAGCTCACATCAAGAACGGATTCTTCTCAAATGGCTTGTAGTGCATCTGCACCCGGGCAACGTAGCCGATGATTTCCAACAAAAGGCCGCCAAACATCGCAATGGCATAGCCCCAGACTCGGTACTTGATGGCAAACAGCACTTGCGCGGCAAGAGCCAGTCCAAATACCCCGATGTAGAAGACATTGCCAGCGAGATTGGGGGCGTAGCCGACATGAGCCAAACTGAGCGGACATGTCTGCACTGTGCAGAGGTCGGTGTTATTGAGAAGCGTGACGTTAAAGCCAGCCGGTAGATTCGCGGGGACATAAGTCATGGTGGTAAGAAGATCCTCTTGAGGGTGGACTCCAATCGAAGAAAGCAAGGATGTCAGAAAATGTAGATAGAGCCTGGAAGTTCGGTGTGTCACAAGGCGAATTAATGAGACAAAACAACAAACATGACAGATGAAGGATCAAGGGCAGAGAGTCTTGTATACACAAGTGTGAAATGGAGTATACATGGATGTGATATAGGTCAAAGTGAATTCTATCACCAATAACCATTGTCTGGCCCCAGTCGAGGGCCAGGGCAGTGGTGGCACAGTACAGGCGACCTAAGGCGGTGCGGCCTAGATCCATCGGCCCGCCTCTGAATATGTTGACTCAGCATCTGCCGGGAATGGTGGCGCAATGCGACTCAAGATTGGGCGACCCGTGTTGCGCGTCGAGCATTGATAGTAGAAGGCTGGAACAGCGATGCTCGCAAGTTGCGCGCAGCGAAGAGGGATTTGCGGATTTCGCAGTTGTCAAAAAGTGGATACAACGCCTGTGTCCAATTACCATAGGCCACTGCTGACATAAGGAAGTACGTACTCCGTACTCGCCCCTTGGGCCCCTTTTCGGTCACGGCAGGGGTGTGATATCTTTTCGGCATCAGAACTGATCAATATCCATCCTACCTATTTTCGACATCACGAAGCTGTATCTATGACGAGTCGACTTCAGAACCATGCATGCTAGGTCGGGCTGTGAAAGCGAGCTTTCGCCTCGCCCAAGGTCGGTGCGAAATTCGCAGGTTTTCGACGCTTGATCATAGACTAGACTAGACCAGACCACAAACGCACGTGGTTTTTTACAGAAGACGAGGCAAGCCCTAACTATGGATATCGTATTGTGTCGGTCGACAACAGGAGCGTGATGATAGCTACCTAGGTAGCCATGTAGGCAGACCACTATATAACCTTGTCCTGTCGGCATGGGAGCAACTGCTACCAACCAACGAGCAAACCCTCAAATCGTCTGGTTTTCAACATGTCAAGCCTTGTTAACTTCTTGCTTCTGGTCCTTGCTACCGCACTCTGTGCCCCAGCATGCTCAAACGGCCGTGTTATCGCGAGACGCTCCTCATCTGCGGCATCGCCGTTCGTCATCTCTTCACCAGCATTTGAGACCATCCTGGGCACCAATCCCAAGTTGTCCGTCGTCTTCAACGTGACTCTCCCCCTTTTCCACGAAGCTGGCATATACCATGCTCCGACAGACTCGATGTTCATCGTCAGCGACACGTTCTCCGACCCCTCGATAACAAACGGCGAAATGATACAAGTGCTGGTGCACGTCACAAATCTGTCGACTGACAATCCGCAATACACCATCTTGAACGAAACCTCGTTGGCTAATCCCGTCTCTGGTGCCCGCTACCTGCACAACGGCGCCGACCTGATCGCCCTGGTTTGCATCGGCAGCATGAACGACGCCACGCCTGCGGGCCTGTTCTTCCTCAACCCCTACCCACCATTCAATGTCACTCCTCTAACCACCTCGTACGGCAATTATCCATACAACTCACCGGACGATGCCACTGTGTTTCCAGATGGCAGCATATACTTCACCGATCCGGTCTACGGCTTCACGAACGGTCTTCGCCCACCACCATATCTGCCGAATCAGGTGTATAGGTACGACCCGGCCACCAACACGACCCGAGCCATCGTGGATGCATTCGGTCGTCCTAACGGCGTCACGCACTCACCCGACGGCACTATTTTGTACGTAGGCGACACAGGCGCCAATATCGGCAATGGCACCATCGACACCCAAGGTCAGCGTTCAACATACGCATTCAGCGTTCGTATGTTACCATCAGGTGTAGATGGTAGTATGGCCGGTCCCTTCGTGACAGACCGAAGGGTGTTTGCGATGCCCGACGTCGGAGCTAATGACGGCCTGAAGACCGACTTGGACGGCAACGTTTGGGGCCAATCCATCGACGGACTGCATGTGTGGACACCCAGCGGCGAACAGCTTGGTAAAGTGTTGTATGGAGACGGTGACGGGGGTAATCTCGGATTCGCAGAGCCCGGGGAAGTCTACCTCATGGCAGAACAAGTGCTGTACAAGTTGGAGATCTCGAACACTGTAGTTGGAACGGGGGTGTTTACATGATTTTGGAAGATGGCGGATGACGCAAGTATAGTACACCTAGGTAGTTACCAGGTCGTTGTAGATTATTGTCACCTTCACAGCAGTCTCGTCCTTGTAACACTTGCCCAATATTATACGCATCCAAACCGATGATTCAGATGTCTGAGTTTCTGACTCTTGTGGAACGCAGCCTTGTAGACGAACGAGGCTGCGCCAAGCAAGCCGACTTCTCCACACTTTCAAGTTGCGCCCGAACTCCAACTTCAACATTCTTAACGAGAGTAGATTGCCTACAATACATTGTTTCAAGCAACATTCAGGACTCATCTTCGACGCCGCTTGACCATCCGCCGTCTTTACGCTCAAGTCTTACAAGATGTCCCACGCTCAAGTTGAAGAGCTCTCGGACTCGGACCCCGAAATCGACGACCCCTCCAACTTCCTCCCTCCATCCGACGACCTAATCATCCGGCCAGTAGATCAACCCTCACAATCCAAACCATCGCAACCCTCCTCAAGTGCACCTCCGAATCCCCTATTTGGCTCCAGTACAGCCCCGGACCCGACCCTCTTCCGCCCGCCCCCAGTCCCCCAACAAACCCGCGAAACAATCAAGACCTTCCAATGCCTATACCCAGTGTACTTCGACAGCACTCGCACCAAGGCCCAAGGCCGGCGCGTGTCCTCCAAACTCGCAGTCCCCAATCCCCTAGCATTCAACATCCTCGCCGCCGCTCGTGCGACAATAGGCGATGGCGTCCTACAATTCGCATTCGAGCCCGACAAGACGCACCCCAAGGACTGGGCAAATCCAGGACGTATACGAGTCCAGCTATTCGATAAGGACTCGCATAAACCTTTACACCCGACGATAAAAAGCAAGGCGCATTTATACAGCGTGATAGGAAAGTGGTTGAAAGACCATCCTACCTCGAAAGAAGATCCCTTGCAAGTTAGAATACCCGGATTGCCGGTCCCCGAGAACTTTGGCAAGGAGGATATTCCGAAACCGAGGGGGTGGAAAATGGGTTCGATATTGCCTATACATTCGCCTGCCGTGAGTGGAGGTGGTGTGCGGGAAGATTTCTTCAAGGAAGCTATGGAAGAGATTAGACAGGCACAAAGCCAGGGTCAATTACCGGCTGGCATGCCTGGAGGAGGTGGTGGCGGTGGAGGAATGCCTGACATGGCCGCGCTGCAAAACATGATGTCCGGCATGGGCATGGGCGGAATGGGTGGAATGGGAGGTATGCCTGGACTTGGTGGAGGAGGTGGTATGGGCGGCGAATCTAGTGGTGGGAAGAAGAAAATCAAGAAGAAGGGCTGAAATATGGGCTGCACTGAACGATGTACATGCATCAAGGCGTCCAGCTCAAAGCACTAAAGTATGAAAGCCACGTTCGTCATCATCCATCAGCACGATCACAGTCACTGTGCGAATAAAAGACATCGGGCAAGCAATGTCGGATATCAGTTCTCGAGAATTCGCCTTGAACGAAATGTTGCACTACAATCAGGTCGGAAGAGCTCAACGCGAACAGCGTTGATCTGACTGTAGAGATGCTCTCTCTCACTAGGGAGTACTCCGAGCTCACCCTGAATCTCCAGCCAGGTTCTTGTCACCCTTCTCGCCGATATCAACATGCAGACATAATTCTTCCAGTCACCAATTGTCTTCGCAATCTCGTGCCGCACCTGCCTCACCCTCCTCCCTCAGCCTTGTCATGTAAGCCATATTTTTATCGCCAGCATGCAAGAGCAACTTCACACATGTGCACCTATTCAACACACTTGCCTCTTCACTCAATGACTTTCTTTGCTGATACCAAGCAACAGTCATTTGTTCACACATTCCTGGCTTGCGATTCAATCCATCCAGTCAAAGCTGTGATGCGCGAGGTACCACCAAGGTTCTTCTTAGATCGATGTCTTGGACACTCCTTTCTATTCTCATCGGTATGCTCATGCCACTTGCAATCCTTGACCTCGGTCGGGTTGATCAAATCGTTGGTATCTTTCGCCTTGTGCAGCATGTCCACTCTGGCAAGGAGTTCGTTGAAGGTATCGACGTTCCGACCTTCGCTGAAGAACTCTTTCCACTTCGTCACGCACACTCCGAGGTCTGCATCCATGACTCCAGTCCATCCTTTGGTAACGACTCTGTATGCCATACACTCGATTGCGTAGTCGACGTATAGGGAAGCACTCTTTGGCATCAGATGCAAGCCATTAACTTGGCACACCGTCCATGTTTCGATACCACGCTGCTGAATAGTGTCCATCATCATGTTCTTGAAGCTGGGTGAACCGATCATGTCCGCAAAGTCAAATCGTGGTTGAAGCTCGAAGTCCTTTAGTGGGATAGAGTCCATTTGTTCGGTTGTCCCTTGGTACATAGCATTGAGCCAGTCTCCAAACACGCAGTGACCTTCGGTGTTGTCCGAGGTGCAGATCGGCTTCGACAGGGTCAAACGGGCAACGGGAGGTGTTAGAGGATTGTCAACGTCCAAGATGGTGGCAAAGTAGTGCGAGTGCGCGATGAGGAAGTACTGGTGGACATAGAAGACATTCATCCGGACAGGGTCTGGTTCCACATCAGTGTCTTGGCCGTCATCACCACTCTGGTGGACAATGACTTTGATGACAGGCCAGCGAGCATGCCTACCGAAGTTAGCAACCTGACCCTGGGGACGGAGGGGATTTGGTACTCACTCTGCGGTCATTCCTGCTTTCACGATCTTGGTCTCCGCCATGATGAATGTGGTATTGCTTCTAGAAGTGGCAGCTAAGAGGGTGTTGTTCAGTCTGCAAATTAGCGAAGGTCTTCGAACAAGATGAGGCTGAAAAGCGTGGGATGAGTATGGCAGAAAGAAAGAAATCAAGAAGGTACCGAGAAGGTACCGAGAAGGACAACAATACCTAAAGGCAGGTGGGCAGGCCATGGGGCAAGGCAGTGAAGCACAACTTCTTAGAGAAGTGAAGACGCGGCGGACTTCGAAGAAGAGGCAGTAACTCGAGAGTGAAGAAGAGATGAGACGGGAGTGAAGTTGTGGTGCCTACAGCGAATTCGAAGTGAAGCCGTGCTTTGCCCTCTTATTTTCGATAATTCATTGCAATCACCTTCCACTTACTACCAGTACTCCGACTGCCTCTATCGCTTGACGATAGCGATCTTTCAGCCTGTCAAACCACCTTCAAGGTCGTCAGTGTTATCTCGCGAGGATCACGAGGACTGCCGTCGAGGGTGTTTAACATGGCCAACTTCAACGACCGTGACGCTCGGAGGTAAGTCAATGAAAACCCCTCAGAATGCGATATGTATTGGCAGTTACTGAGCAGATGGCAGATTCTCCCTATCTCCAACGGTCGCTGTGCGTGTGAGTAATGGTCAAGCGTCAGTGGGGTCAACATATCATCTCCCGTTGTCACTCTTGCGAAAGTACACGCACTTGTCCAACAAGCAAGGCGAAATCAGCATAATCGACATAATCGCCCCTCCAAGCGTTTTTTCTGACTTTGTCGCCTGGCTATACCGCCCGGAGTTCATAAAAACATATCAGCTCCCTCTTCGTGGTGAGCAGTACCAGCAGTTGTGGGAGCTCGCACGTCGTCTGGAGGTCGAAGAGCTCAGGAACCAGATGGTAGACCACGTCCAAAGTCTCCCCTTTGACGACAGCTTCATTTCCATCCTGATGTCGTTCAAAACCGTTGGGCTGGTCACAACTGCACTGGTTGCCTACATGTGGGACAAAGTGGTGTTTGAAATTGCGGACAAGGGATGGGCACAGTTCACACAGGTTGCCGAAAGCTCGTGGGAGCATATGATGAGAAATCCAGAGTCGTTCGCACCTCTCACAAAGAGGCTGATGGAAATGCTAAAGGATGCCCACTTGGCCAAGACACAGGGTGCACTCGAAGACCCGGCGACAACGATGAACTGCAAGTTCCATGCGCATACTGAAAAGCAAGCTGGATTGCCCGCGGTATCAGCCGGAGCCTCCACCAAAGAAGGCGAAAATAACAATCAAGCCGAAGGTGGCAGCGACATGATATCGACTCGTGGAAATGGTTCACCACTAGATGGATGTGCCTCAGCCCGACAGAAGTTCTTACTTCAAGCAAAGCTATTATGATGAGGGCTAGCGTCATGACTGGCGAAAGGAGCTGAAGCATGATACTAGTACGCGATGACTAGGAGAACAGAGGTTGCATGCACCATCATTGCATGAGCGCATGCTAGGACTGCGAATAAGCGCTGCTTCAAAATTGTGTAGAGTACACAAACAATGAGTCTCGTTCAAGCCAGCAAGCTTGCATGCTTGTTCTCGATATGATCAATCAACGCTTAGAAGGTCTTCCGTCTCCCTTACGGTGGTCAAGGTCCTGACTACCAAAGACATCAGCGTCAACCATCAGTAGAGTTCCTCATGAACCTCCTGCATCATCTCAGTAAACCCAGTACACTGGCCCAAGACAGCGTTCCTACGCAAGGCTACGCTCCCAGTCGGTTTCAAGATCTTGAACAGCAATTGGTATTAGGAATGTCAGATAATCAGCATCAAGTAGCACCGTCATCAGCCCAAGTGATATCTTCCATCATATCCGTAAATCCGCTGTACTGGCCAAAAACGGCGTCCCAGCGTTCCCAGTCAAATCCAAGATCTTGACTAGGAGCAGTGTGTTCATCCCGCACTCCTGTGTCGGTACCGTTGCCGTGCTCCATTGAAGCTCCATGGTGGCTGTCAGAAGTAGTTCCGTATACGGCGTCTGGTCCCATGGCGTTCACTCCTCCACCACTAGCATGAGACTGCTCATGGAAACCCTGCTGTGCCTTTTCAACATGAAGTGGTAACGACTGATCGTAGACAGCACCATTGGCATGTCCATTCATCTGCGACTCCACACTCCCCTGAGCAGCCAGAGCTTCCACCTGGCTCGGACAAGCCTGCAACGATCCTCCTGTAGGTCCCAGGGATGTCGTCCCATTGTGGAGGACATGACTCGGCAGACCATCACAGGCACCACTAGCCACGTGTCGCGAACACTTCTCCATTACGCCACTCAGTGGGAACGGCATAGCCAGCTGGCCATCCCTTTTCGCTAGGCCGCGACCTGAACTCAACCGCTCACCATCCCAACTGTCAATTGAGAACTGGTTTCTTGATGTCATGGAGCAGGGGACGCCGTCGACTCCCTGCTCAACACCTGCTGAATCTGAGCCTGAGGTGGTGCCTGAGACTTCACTCAGCCCCAGCTTGACCATGTACAGAACACCGTCCCCTGATGATTGCGACCTTTCCGCTGCGCCACCGGCATTTTTACTTCCGCGGTCATTTTCAGGAATTTTATCCTCCCTGATCATCTGTGCAATCTTCTGCTCGTCAGTCAAAGGCGTCGCCACCCCAACAGCAATTTGATCCGCGACTGTCCAAAGAACCGTTGGATCAAGTCCGGCCTTTTGCCACGCAGCTGACCTTAAACCGCGGAGCATATCCCAGGCCTCAACTCCTCCCTCGCGCAGCGGCCGCTGGACACTCATACCATTCGCGCTACCAACAATGCCCATACTCGCACTCGACAGGACGAAAACACGGTCAATCATCTCTCTTGACCTTGGCGCCTCGACGCTTCGAGGCCGCTCGTACAGATCGACAAGCACGATCAACGCAGCGTGCATGGGACCAAAACTCGCGGGCCAGCACCAGCGTAGGTTCTCGAGATCGGGGTCTTCCGCTATGGAGAGAAATTTGCGCATGAAGGCATGGCAGTGGTGCAAAGCGCATTGGCGGCCCATGGTCCATAATTTGGACTTCGCATTCTTGAGAAACGGCGCGTAGGCGACAACGTGCAGCTTGTCCTTCATCATTGACAGGCTTATTCGCGCCCACTTGTTGAACGCCGCCAATTTCTGTTTGTGATACCGTGCCAAGGGCGATACGAGGTCCGCCTCACTGACAAATGTCTTGTAGTAGGCCAGTTCGTTCGGCGTTAGGGGGCTGCTCATCGCGACGTCGCAGTCATTAGTGATGGTCCGGGATGGAGCATCGGGGACAAACCCCAGTTCCGGTAGACCTTTGGCTGGGATCATCTTGATGATCTCGTCGAGCTGGTCGCTTGCGTCGGCAATGACCCGCTTGATCTCTTGCATGTCGCGATTCGTGAGCATCTTCGTGCCCAGGTGCTTTGACACCACGGTTCGAAGAGCGCAGGACATGATGGATTTGGCGCGCGCGATGAGACCCATGGTTCGATAGGATGTCAAATTTCCGTTTTCGTCCGTCGGGTTCAGGGCTGGTTCGCCCCATGAGTACTTTGCGACGCCCTCGCCGTTATTATCCAGTACGTAAGCGTCGAAGTCTTCACAGTTGATTCGAGTGTCGCAGAACGCCTCGGAGATCAATGATGGATAGCCGCTGGCCACGACTAGAGAAGTGTCGAGCTGGATGAGCTGCCACCATAGGCGTCGGCGCATGCCCTCCTCCGCAACAGAGAGGCCGAAAAGCGTGGGTTCTCTGTGCAGACCCATCGTCAGGGCTAGTCTCATGTTGAGTTGCATGTACAGACTGGCTTGGATGGGATCTTCTTCGGCGACGGGGATCGACTGTATGAGGATTAGGGCAGCGAGTTTCGGCAATGTCGCGTCTCGTGTTATACGTCCCAGGTGTAGCGAGAAGACCACTTGGTCGTGGAATCTGGATGCGAGGGTGGCGCGAGAGCTTCCCGAAAACCATTGCTGGAGTCCCTGGGCGGAGAGACTGAGTGACCCGGAATACCAAACCGCGCATATCAGGGCGAAGAATTCGAGATCGAGTTGTTCTGACTCGAGAAAGCCGCCAGTCTCGACCTGATCCCAAAAGGCCTCATGTTTCTGCAATATATCGCTTGGAATGAGGAGTGGTAGGAGTGGGTAGATGTTGGATAGCCAGCATCTGAAGAGCACATTGCTTTGAGTCCTTGATGGAAAACCTTCGAACAGATGCTGCGTCGCCGTTGCACTCGAACATCGCAAAGGGATGTTCTGCAGTAGACTGGCCTTGGAAAATGGCATCCTTCGACATACCGCACAGTTTGTGTCGAGGGTATGGATATGAAGTCCTTCTTCACTAGCTGATTTATGGAAACTGCTGGAATTCGAAAAATCATCTCTTTCTGGTGCAGCAATGTCGGTGGGAGCTGATACCAAGGCGTGAGGAGTGTCACATGCTTGATTCTGGATGCTAGTAGAGCTTGCGTATGTGTTATCCTTTCGGCGCATCATGTGGTTGAGTTGGTCCAGTTCCTCAGTTACGTGAATCCAGAAGGGATCTGGTAGGGCCTCGCGATTGTCGCCGCTGAGTTTGAGGCCGGATAGAGGCCTACTGAGCTCATTGACGTCCCGCGGTAGTCCTTGTTTTTTCTTCTGGAACATGTCAAGACCCAAGCTTCCTCGAGGAGCTGCTTCATCCGAGTCCTGATCTGAGTGGGAGGGAGTGAGCATATCTCTCAACCGCGAATCGGTGTTGCCGGATTGGCGGAGGGAGTCAACCAATGTAGTCAGCCGAAGCAACTGTTCTTCGATGGCTTTGAGCTGTAATGGCGGTACAATGGAGTCCACAGCATCATTGTTAGTTGGGGATGTTGATGAGTTTTGCCTGGCAGAGCTTGTCTTTCGCTTCTTTATTCCATTCTCCCCTTCCGCGCTCATTGCTTCAGGAGCCGAATTGATAGACGGGGTTTCATCACTGTAGAGGCAATGCTCACCAGCCCTTTGGCATCCTCCACAGATCGGACGGGTTTTATCGCATTTCACCTTGCGTCGACGACAAGTCAAGCAGCTATAACTGGTGCGGTTTCTGTGGATCTGACGCTTCTCGGCCTTGGAATCAATACTCTTCAAGTCGGACTTAGGCCAGTCAAGACCAGCCTCATTGTCCGGCTGTGCTGCACTGAAGCGAAACATGTTTGCTAATGGGAATAGAGCGTTCACCTGTCGAGGAGCCTCGCCCGTGGTTGTGCCTATGCTGTTTGAAGCGGTGCAGGTCTTCCCTCGGAATGTGCTGACAAATCGATCGTGCCTCCGTTGTGCCTGCTCTTTTCTTCAAATGCTAGCGGTACCAGTCTTCGAGGGCAGTCGTGTTTCACGGGACTCCGTATCATTCCCAGAATCGCTAATAGTGAGCAGTCGAAACTCAGGTAAGAGGAGAATGAAAGACAGTCAGCCTTACGACCCTCAACCGCCGTGGATTGAGATGCAGCCAAGCACGTCGTTGATTGGCGGAAAAGACCGCGTTGTAGTGTTTACAATGTACTTTTCGTTATATTCATGTACGGAAGACTCGTTGATAGACAACAAGCAACGAGCGGAAATTTATGGATGGTTCAATAGGATGCCTGTCTAATCACTGAAGCCATCCCATGCGTCGCCATCAGCCTGGTTATGATTTACATCCTCACCCGGTATATCCCCGGTCGACCGTACAAACCCGCAGACAAAGAAGCCCATGGTGCCGTCATCACCTCCTGGATGGCACCGTATACAAGCGTCGAGATCTGCTGTAGTCAACAGTTCCGCACCGAGCTCGGCTAACTTCGACCCAGCATCAACAAGACCTCGATGTTGCCAATCCCGTAAACCGGCAACCTGGTCCTGACGCCGCAGCACACCCCAGCCACGAGTCTTAGCGACTGCAGAGCTCAAGAGCCGGGAGACGACCAGTTCGTTTTCTTCCACATGGACTGAGCAGGTCGAATAGGTAATCCGAGTCGCCGCGGGAAAAGCAAAAGCATGCTCGACAAGCTTCGCTTGAATTGTCGACAGCTTTTGTAGACGGGTTGCGTCGGTGGTGGCATCTCTAGTCTCTTCAGCTTCAACCTCCTCATCTAGCACTTCAATTTCTGTCCTGTCTTGCTGATCTCGTTTTCTCTTTTTGGAGCCCTTTTCCGTTGTTGCTTTTTGCATCCTAGGGTCCCTAGGCAGTATGAGTTTGGGAACATCTTCACGCCCAACTATGCCGCTGCCGGAACAGCTCGGGTCAAGCAGGAGATGTGTGACATGCTTGTACCGTGCATGTTGAGGATCTATACTCAAGAAATCCTGGGCAGAGAGAACATTGACATTGCTTGCCCCACTCTTCTCAATCATGCTCTGTAGGATTTTCGATCTGCGACCATCTCTTTCACAAGCATAGATCGTGCTCGACCCAGAGATGAGGGCTGCGAGATGGGAGGTTTTATTTCCTGGTGCGGCGCAACCGTCGATGCAGTCGTTTGGAGCACTATCATTGTCACCAGCCAGTAGATACGCTGGGAAGCAGGAGGCTTTGTCCTGTAGAATGAGCTTTCCGTCTGTGTAGGCATTGGTCTTGGTAAAGTCCGCATCTGGGGCCAGAGCAAGCAGATCAGGAATATTCGGGTCCATGGCAAGGACCTTCGTGGCGCCGAACGATCGTGCAACCTCGGATATCGTGGCGTCTGTTCTATATCCTTTGAAGGTAGTAGCAAGCTGGTCGGACAGAGACGACTTCAGGGCATTGACCCGGATCCATCGCGGCTGTGATCGCTGCGCTGGAGGATGTTCACGAAGCAGGAGGGCTTTCAGGTCCTGCACGGTCGCACATTTTCGTCTAAGCCTAGCTTTTGTGAATTCCGCTTGCAGTCTTGCCTTGTGCTTCTCCACTGCTCGTCGGAGAGTGTGTCCCGAAGGTGCGGCAATGCCACCTTTCGCGAAGAGGTGATCATGGACGAGAAGGAGGGACAGTATTGGGGTCAACTATACAATCAGGGAAAGAACTGAGTCAGTCAGCAGTGACACGAAGAGCAGTCATAATTGGATGCGTACCTTAGACTCATGGGACAAGAAAGCCGCATTGTCAATGACTTCTTTGAGAAAGTGGTTATACTTTGCAGTCTCCGAGATCAAGGCATACAGATGCGCGGGCTTCGACTTCAGTTCGAGCTTGTTTCCATAGATCCTTGACTTGAACGAATCCTCTTGAGTACTACCGGACAGCACAGTGGCCGCATCATAGTAGAGGGACATGTTGTCGAAGGTTGCAAAGAAACGTATCTATGTGAAGAATATTTGGAGTTAAGGCCAATATTTCTTCTAGCGTAAATTATGCTGCTTTCAGCCTCGTTCGGCTGACTTATACCCTTCCACCTCGTGCACTTCTACCACGATTTATCTACTGGAACTAGCGAGTCTGACGTGCCAGACTCCAGTATCGGAGATGCCACAGTCAGACTATAGAGTGGCCATGCTTCCACCACCAGGCAACATTGTCGCTCCTCGTGGATTTCCAGCTGATCCTCGACCGGCGGGAGCGCCCCAACTATTCCTTGACGCTATGGACGTTCGGCTTAAGGTCTTCTGTGACGAACAGAAGTGCGCTTTGGAGCCTGAGCTGGACGAAGATGACCCCAGATCAGTTCATTGGGTGGTATACTATACTGGAGGACCAGGTCCGGAGCAGCCTGTTTCTGTCATTCGCATTGTTCCTCCACCTCATGGGCCTCATCCAAATGGCTTCCATGATCCGCACGAAGAGCCATACGTGAAGCTTGGACGCGTTGCAACCATGCCCGAATTCAGGAGGAGAGGTTTAACGCGAATGCTATCGGAAGCAGCTTTTCGCTGGCTTGTTGCGAACAGAGAACAAGTTGGTGGAGGTTGGAAAGACCTCGTCCTGACTCATGCTCAGGTTGACGTCGAGAAGATGTACGGCAGAATGGGCTTTGTTACAGACGATAAACTGGGCCGTTGGGACGAAGAAGGGATTGAGCACCTGGGAATGTGGAAGCGTCTAGATGCAGTACCTTGACGGCGAGAAAGCCCTGGTTCGAGTCATCCATTGTGCGGATGTATTGGTACTTCCGGCAGACGTTCTAGCAGCGGTATGCCTGTCGGTCGCAGCACGTGACACCAAGGCAAACTGTGCGGTTCACTCTTAGCGGCGCACAGCCACCACCACTGCTATGAGAGCTTAAGCAGCCTTGAGGTCAACCAGACACGTTGCCCACCGCCTTTCGTGAAGCAAAGGTTGAAAACAAGGCCTCCAACTCTTTCACGTGTACTCAAGCCCGACCAGAGTATGTCATGGACCATCAACTCTGAAGTTGAAGCATCGTGGTCTGCTGGTCTGCTTGCGACTCAGAGAACAACATGTACGAAATTGTCATGCTCTACAAAAGTGCATCCCACCAACTGTACTCTTCGTACAAACACAGTGGGTAACTTCCGCCTTGCATATTGAAGGCGATCCGAAGTGGACGGAGACTTCTCGTCAATCCGAAGGATGAAGCGGGCGAAGTTCCACTCACGGATGCACAAGTAACTTCGCCTAGCGGTATTATGAGAATCGCATGAAACGTTTTCCATGTTCCCCCAGTGTCGCCAAACCCAGGCCAAGCATGGCGCTGACCTTGCTTGGCTGAGGTCCGTCACTTCCGTGCAGTGGAAGATCACGCCTGAACCCCAATGCAACGACAGGGTACATTGTCACACCACTCTTTCACGCCTCTTCAGGATCCGGTCGACTGGTGTCAGCTTATCGGGCCAAGAACCTTAGGCTCGCCTCTTACTCTGGACGCTTCATGACAACAGTGACTAAGGAATTAGTAACGTTACATTATGCAGGGCAACGAGGTTGAGTAGAGCAATGTACTTCAGGCCAGCCGTGGTTAACGGAGAATCTGAGCGGAAGCTCGCCGATGAGGACTCGAATGACAAATACAATCAATGTCATGGCATTCTTTGCCGAGTCGAGAGTTGGCGGCCGTACAATCAATGTCATGGCATTCTTTGCCGAGTCGAGAGTTGGCGGCCCTATTTCCTGGTCAGTCCTGGCAGATTACGGCAACACTTCGACGCAAGGTGGGATTTGGAGAGAGCTTTCGTGAACTCGAAGCACTTGACATGTAGCGGCGCTTCCTTGCACCTGTCGGCCACGGAAAATAGCACATACACTCTCAGTCTTTTCGATGACAATGTCACCTTAGGAGGACCAAGGCACATATCCTTGCAAGAGTAGACCACCAGATGCGTACTAGTTGAAGATGTCTTGGTAGGGCAGACACCAGCGTCAGATGGAAACACGTATAGACCATAGACCAATTGCCTGGGTATGGTTGTGCTGAGAATAATCATGCCCATTTGCAGGTTCATTCAGTACAGCCTCAAAACTGGCCATACCGTGGGTCGTGGTTGCAGGCACACCGAGTACGCCGCAAGCCATCTCTCAACGCCTCGTCTGTTGATATGTACAATCTCTTCCAGCTCGTGGATTTGAATCATCGGTATCATTTGTATTATGGCATTTAAAACTCGCTGATGGTGTCTCCCCTCAACTTCCCTCGCATATCGTATTTACCCTGTGGAAGATATCGAGTCAGCAAATGGCCATCCTTTCGTACACTATAGCGCTTCTTCTGAGGACCCGGTATCCCGACTTACATCAGTCTTTGCAAAAACGTAGCCGACCACCGATGGTACGAACACGGCGTACATGAACGAGATCCATGCCGTCCGAGGCGTCCATTTGAAGTACTTGTATCGCTCCTTGTTCAGTTCTGTTCCCACAGTCAGATTACCATTTCTGGAGGAGCAGTGCTGCCGCGGATCGCATCATCAAAGGGTGCGGGTAGACGTACGGTTATATTTCTCGTATGCGGGATCGAGGCGCAGGGCTGGAAACATAATGTCAGTCAATATACAAGGGTTGGTCGATCGGGTTGTTCATACGCGTTGGTCCATGTGCCATGACTGCGACACCTGTTTGGTTGATGTTGGTGTGCTGGTGAGCTCTCGTCTAGCTGCGACGGCATCAATGACATTGGATTGAGGTCGAACTCGGCCGTGGCGCAACAATTGCTTGGCGTGGCTGTGCTCATACGGGCAAGCCACACTTCCACCAGCACCTGCATACGCCGAGGTACCTAGGCACTTGGATGCGACCGTTCGCAGATCAACAACGACCTGCGCATTTCTTATCTCTTCACTGTATTGATGGAGCTCCACTAGTAACTGAGCGTGAAAACAAAGGTAGGGCAACATATCTCTTCTCATCCAAAATTCCTCCGCATAGCTTCAAGATACCACGGCCTACAACACCTGTCTTTACATCCAAGACTCTACATATTGCTCAGACCACTATTACGGGAAGACGTCATCTTGTAGAGGTTGCTCTTTTTGATCGTGCACACGGAGCTAGCAAATTCTGCTTGTTTCATTCCGTCAAGAAAGAATAATCCCTGCTCAGCGACGCTTCCTTTGCAGCAACAGGATGGCTTCCGCACCTACAGAGAACGCGCAGCCCAAGGTCACGCTCCACTGGTAAGTAAAGATCCTTGGGCCAAGTGCTTATCGTCCACAATAGGCCGGTGTTTTCCCTCTGACATAAGCCAGGCTTGAGGCATCTCGATCCCATCGAATTCTCTGGTTCTTGGAAGAACTGGGGATTCCATATGAACTCAAGACCTATAGAAGGACCAAGGAGTCTCTTGCGCCGCCTGAATTGAAAGAGATCCATCCTCTGGGGAAGTCCCCGGTGGTTGAACTCCTTGCACCGGGTTCTACCAAACCCATCGTACTTGCAGAGTCTGCGGCGATCGTCGAATACTTTTCCGATTATTACGGGAGTTGGCTGGTCCCAAAGCGATATCACGACGGTAAAAATGGTCAGATTGGTGAAGAGACAGAATCCTGGTTGCGATATAGGATGCTCATGCACTATGCGGAGGGCAGCATTATGCCATTGATGCTTCTGTCCGTGATTGTGAAGAGTAAGCCTGACTTTGCCGATGGGACGTTTCGTAAACGTTACTAACCAGAGTAGGAATAAGAAACGCTCCAGTCTGGTTCTTCATCAAACCCATAACCGCCTCAGTAGCGAGCACAGTTGAGGCTGGCTTCTTGACGCGGAACTTCAAGAATCATTATGACTTCCTGGAAGGTCAACTGGCCACATCGCCAGATGGAGGAAAGTTCTTGTGCGGCAGAGACTTGACAGGCGCAGATATCATGCTGTCATTTCCATTGGAGGCTGGCCAGACTCGTTCCGGCTTCACTAGGGAACACTATCCCAAAATTTGGGATTATGTCGACCGCCTTCACGGCAGACAAGCATACAAACGGGCCACGGCCAAGATCATCGAAGTGGAGGGCCGATTCAAAGCGAATTTGTGATCAATCTGGCGGTCGCGCTCTCGTGCGATAGATCCGCTCTCGTTGATACGCCTCCAATTGCCGAGTACCTTCAAGTCGCTTGCGAAGCGACGCCAGTTGCGGCATACACCTTGTGATTCGTTCCTCGTGGAACGCACAGGCTCTGAGCCGGCGATCGAGCAATGCTATGGAGCCGATGGAAGAATGGGTCCTGGCTGGGAAAGTGCATCGCACGCCTTGGGAAGCTGGAACAGCGTATGGTTGGTTGTGCCTCTTTATTAAAATACATATACAGATTTTGTGGTTACACTTTTCCTGCCTCACAGCTGAATATCTGACTGTGTTGTCGACGTATCGGGGTCGGAAGAACGTCATCCTGCCGTATTCAGCCGCAGATACCATACTCATGTCGAAGCAACACTGTCCCTGGCGAGCGTGGGGGCCAAATGTAGATGTGATCGCAACAATGCAGGCGATCTATAGAACGAGTGCGAATGTCGACACCTTTTGGCATATGCTGACAACAACGACGGACATATCTGCAGAAGCGGCACAGAACCCAATCTCTCGGGATCTCGCAGTATATGAACAATGGCGCAGACTGGGCAGAAAGCTATATCACACGAAATACAAGCTGTCTCGTGGCTGCCTTACCCTTGCAAGCCTTGAAAGCTGCACCAGGCCGAACAAATCAGCTCCAATTGGCCTAACACACAAGGACTGGCTTCATCCCCAGACGGATAGGTCAAGCCTTCGACACGGGAGCATCTCGCAGGTTCCAACCATCAGACCATCTGCCCAGGTATACCCCAGTCCTGTCTTGGTGCAGCATCAGTCACTGGTCCTACCTGATTCGAACCTTCTTTCAACACCAGGTGGCTCAAGATATCCTAATGAACAAACCTTGAACTTTTTGGCAGTCTTCGTACAGGATAACGCACGTCATTATCGCAGTGGGAGCGGGTCGGGGCGTATCAACAAGCCTGCAGCCTGTGCAAGGAGCACGCGAACAGTGCCCATAAGCTGCAGCGCGGCGCTGGCTTTTCTAAGGCTGCCGAACCCCTATTTTCCCCGGCTTTCCAGCAGGCGACCATCGAAAGAGTAGCATATCGATGTTCGGCTAACATACGCATGGGAAATTGCTGCTTACCGATCTGCTGTCCAGTCCTGCTGCAGCAAACCTTTACTACCCAATCATTCAACCCCCATCCTTTTTACGCCAGAAGACTCGCTCTGTTGGTATTGATCTGGGCGTTTGTTGCGAGACCATCCTCAAAGCTGTCTACCCGTGTTGCCGGCAATTGCGTCTGCTTGGGTGGCCGCCCCGCTACGGGAAAGCCCATTTCGAGTACGTACACCCCCGTATCACTTGTCCCTTTGATTACCATAATCACCACTCCCTCTTATCCCTTGTCCTACACCGTCTCCCATCTCCGGTCATTGACTTTCACTGGCGCCGGCTGTTGGTAATCGACTTGCATCACAAGACTCGCGGGGAGGGACTTGTCAGACCACCCCAACCAATGGATGTCAGGGCGATGGCATTACTCAGGGCTTACTCATCGCACAGTCTGGCCAAGATCTTGCATCCTTCGATTTCAAGCAGGCTGTGACGCCGCAAAGCTCCGCCAGAAGCACACCAAGACCACACCAAAGGGTCCTGTTCGGCACACGCCAAACGTACTAGAGAGTTTCCAGGCTCGTCTTGTCATCTTGTGCGCTTTTCTCACGTTGCGGAGACCTCCGTAACCAGTCTATGGGAAGCAGATTGTCCTTCCAGCGCACTACGGCCCCCCAGCATTCAGGGAACCGCCCCTAAAGCCTATGGTCCCCTCGTGGGCATTCCTTCGGGAGGTGGACACAGTGCGCACTTGGTTTCCTGTCCCGAGGGGGTCCGCCAGAAAAAGTAGCTGGTCTTTCGCCGTTGAGAGTGGCCGGCTTTGCACGCGAAGCTGCGGCGCTTTTGTGCCTGCAGTGAGTGTGGGTAGCCGGCCGCAGCTGGAAGCGGTAGCCTGCTAGGCTGATCTTGCTGAGCTTCCGAGCTCTCACAGTGACCTGTCCCAATCTGAGTGATGACGGACCCACAATTGAGCTTCGATTTTGAAGGCAATGTCAATTACTCGGACACGCCTGAAACCGACTTGACTTCCCCAGCCATCTGTATTTCTTCAGCATCACCTGGGCGTCGTACGAGCACCAATGCAAGTGCCTGTGCCACTGGAACAGCCCCGAGGCGTGCTCCCATAGCTACTAATCAATTAGAAGGCACAGCCAGTATCGACATCTTCGCGACTGTCTCTGACCGTAACACCAAGCCTGCTGACACCGCTAATCCTTCCCAAGACACGCGACCTACCTTCGTTTCCCAACACCTAGAGGCCCCTACTGTCACCACCGCACATGCTACCGACTCTGAATACCTCCTAGCTTGTTCCTCTACTGATGCAGCTACGCTCGCTAGTTACACCTCCAGCTTCGGCTCCCAGAATTGGACTGGTCCTTTGCGACCGGTACTCGACTTCGCACCTCAGCCGATATATGAGCTTACTGGAGAACTGATCCACGAAGACAATCACGATTTTAACGAAGTCGACACTACTCCGATTCCAGATTCCTCCAGCGTGCTGCGAACATATCCGACAAATCCGCAGCAATCCAATAGTATCACAGCTGAAGCGGCCGCGCCTTCCAATGGTAGTAGTGCGGCGACTGCCTTTCTTCAGCCATCGCTTCCCCGATCTGCCTTGAAGCGTAAGGCAAGCTCGACTACGACCACGCCAACTGCTTTGTTGGCCGATAAGAAAGCACGACGTTATCCCGACTCATCACCTGGTTCTGCGCTCGAAACCACTACCGCAAACAGTCGTACAGTCACCTTTGAGCGGATGTCAGGCCTTGGTCCTACATCTCCAGATGAAGGATCTGCTTCTTCGGACCATGCTGCTGGTGCCAGGCAAGTTCCGGGTACAGGTATCACCTCTGGCACTCGCAGGCCTCGACAGGCCGTAGAGTCAACAGCTCGGCCGTCATTGAATCCTTCTGCATCGTCCCAAACCTCTGCAAGACAAAGGACTGGAACACGTACATCCACAGCGCATCCGCCTTCAATCTTACCTCCTGAGAAAGTGTTCCCGATTCAGATCGGATCTGAACTTTTTCGCTTATCTGGCGCATCCATATCGTCCGATGGTATGGTTCATGCTTCTGCTGTGATGGGAAACTCTTCAAGCTTACTCTTTTTCTAGCCCCCTCCTACTTCACTCAATTCTTCGAAGAACAGATTCGGCAGAACGAGGAGTCCGGCGGAGTTCGGACACTTTACATCGATAGAGATCCGATCACGTTCCGAGATGTAGCCCGGCACCTACAAGGTTCTGAGTGCTCCCTCTGGTCAGACATTGGCGCTAACGTGGTCAAGGTTACTATGTCAAGCCAGTTGATGGAAGCCACTTTGTGAAGCTGTTTGCGGATGCCCAATTCTATAGTCGTACGTGTGCTTTGCGAAGTCCGTCGGGGCTGATGCTGACGTTGCCTCAGTGCCACGACTGATTGATCAGCTATTCGAGTCCGAGATCTTCATCCAGATCGGTGAACGTCACTTTCAAATACCAAAGGACATCTTCTCCGAACCGGGCAACTCGCCCAACTTCTTCTCCCTAGGCTTCGCCGTTTTCTTCTCCACACCAGGTGAGGTATTCCCTGGCTTGGACCGCCGGGGACTATTGCGTCCGCCTTCCATAACTCCGCCGTATGTCCCAGGGAGATCCGCAGACATTTTCGGAGAGCTCCTTCATCTTCTCCGAGGGTACCCTCTTGACGTGAGGAATGAGTCCCATCGAGCCGAGCTACTACGAGATTGTCGGTACTTCCATCTCCGAGGGTTAGAGCAGAAGATCATAGCTCATGAGATCAGCTACAATCCGGAGAGACAAAAGCAAGAGATATGTTTACGGCTGGACGATGTCAAGCCTTCGGGGGTGTCATACACCAGCGACGATTCTACTGGGGACAAGTCGAACGCGGGAGGCTGGGTGTACTATGCCAGGCCTTTCGTAGACGACACATCGTACGAAATGGTGATCGAAATTGGAGGCGAAAGCACCTTGTTGGATTTGACCGATATGAGAGCCGACTTTTACGGCTTGTCCAAGGCACGAGTGTCCTCTTTATTTCAGGTCGTCGCAAACAAGATGAATATGCCTACAAATGCACCTCTCGGGTTGATGATGCTCTCGGGAGGGCGATCTTCGCATTCCGCCAGTCCTGGGCATACACCATTGAGCGAAGACCGTGTCAAAGTGCGCTTTGACGTTGCGACGGACATTACATTGGACGGGGAGCGCTACGACGCTGATTGGGACAGCCAGACGGGTCTGGTAATGCTTCATGGCCCTTCTACCGCTCCTAGTGAATCCGGATCTGAACCGGACATAATGAGTGAGGGTACCACCTCCAGAGCGGTTCCTCCTGCTGTCGGAAGCCACCAGCGCCGACCCAAGACTCGACAGACCCAAACTGGCGCGTCATTGCAATCCACCTCCGGTCGAGGATCCCTTCCTGTTCCGCCCATTCAAACAAGTCGATTGTCCGAGCAGCCTTTGGCGAAAAAGAGGAAGAGACAAAGCAGTCAGGGCGACCTTGGGGAGTGGACGATTCGTACGGGGCAATGGCGACTGCGGGTGCAACCCAATCCCTCGGATGCGATACGAGGTGGGTATGAGCTTGTGTTCATTGGCGTCAAGATCGACGCATACTCGAACGAAAGGGCACGAAATGCTAGGAGAGGCTTCCTCAGCTAGGAACATTTCTCAGCCTTACTTTCGGAAGCGAACTATGGTCCACATCCTTCGACTGGCTTACGCAACAACAATTTTGGCCACTTTGGTCACATAATCTATCTGCCTGCTCGATCTGGCGGGCGGATTGACTGTAGCACTGGACTAGGGTGACAAACCCCTCAGAATGTGCTCAGCAAGAGCCACGCGTCACAGTATCCCTAACAAACATGTTGCGAACAGTTTTCGCACAACGAGCACCTCACGGTCCGCAATAATCTTCGAGTTCTCCCACATGCGTTGCATATAGCGTTGCATTTTACTTCGATCTGGAAACTGTCTCGATGTATTTTCATCGCGGTGGACACCCTTTACGGCCGCGATACCCATTTACTATTCCACATATACCCCAGCAGAGCAGCATAAAGATGTGGAAGATGGCCAGACACATCAAAAGCATACATGTCTTTTTTCGGCATTTGCATGTATCATGAGCAGATACTTGCCTTTTTGTCTCGTGCATTCTTCATGGCTTGGAAGGTGCGTGGCGTTCTGAGGTTTGGGATTCTTCCAAGAACTAGGAATGGGTCTCACGACCTTTTCAGGGGAGATCCTTCCAACGTCTCGTTTCCCTCCACATACCGAAATACGAGTGCCTTCCGTGAGGAGGCTATACTTCGGAGAAGGCAAAACTCGAGCCGAAAATAGCGGTGTGGCAAGGCGTTCATCTGAGCGCATTTCTGGTGAACAGGTTGTACCGAATGGGCGTGCTGGATAGCCTTGCAGGATGGAAGGCTGGGGTTAGGTGGTGTGGAGCTATACTGATATAGTGATACTCCATCCGGCATACTGAGAATATGTATTTTATGGCAAACTGCATACATTGGTCAGCTTGAGTGTAATTACGCGACATGCCATAACATCCAGCAGTCTTGGCCATGTTTGTGATCCAATGATGGACACTCTATGTCATGAACTATCAAGGTTCGCTGGGTGCCGCGTAACGCATTGCATGCCAGACCAAAGACAGGTTGACAGGGTATTCTGCCTTGGGATGCTGCAGCAGCGACAGCCTTGCGTGCGAGTGTCACGCAATGCATGGACTTGCGCTAGTGCATACTCCATTCTCGGTAATCTGTTCGTGGAGAGCAATCCTCCTAGAAAGCTCCCTCGTCGCTCTCAGGTTTCAAGAAATAGATGTCCTGTCCCCTTATAGCCTATGGTGTCGAGTGAGCCTGACGAAGGAGGACCAGGGAAGGCATTTCGTCCTGCATACTCGCGTCATCCCGTGACGTTATGCCATGGTGAACGAGCATTTCTCCCCGGAGCTGAGGGACAGATCGATATGGGAGGCCCAGCCCAAGTCATGGGGTTTGCCTCCCTCGCGAGCCCCTGATGTGCCGGAAACGGATTGTGACTCGACTCCTTCTGAGGTGTTTGTGGCGTTGCGAGCTCGTACGAGAGTCAAGAGACTGGTTCGCCCTGTCGCCCCTTCAGTATACCTGACCAGGTCTGTCGGAGAGTTTGGCGCAATGAAGGAAGGAGGATCGGGGTTTCGTACGAGATCCGCTAGCCTACGTAGAAAAACGCCCCATCTTTCGTCGGATCCCACCAGAATAGATGGATGTTGGATGCAAGTGAGACTCTGCTGTGGCGTTGCTGTAATCTGCTATGTTGAGAGTATTGAATAGGTTGAGGTAAGGTAGCCAGGACTGGGCATACAACACTGTCTTGAAGGCAAGGCCTAGACAGAGCAAGTACAGATGCATTTGTATTTGCCGACGTGATTTCCGAAGCGAACAGGCCTGGAACACAGGCTATCGAGGGTGACGCCTTGCCGAAGATGACCTCAGATGGTGGCAGAGACCATGGTCAGAAAGGGGGCAACAGGTTGCTTAAGCAAGAATGCTAGAGTCGTGGGTGGTGGAGGCAAAATGTTCTCAATCCCGGTCTCCTGATTAATCATCGAACCTTCCCATTGTGGAAACAAATCCTGTCGAAAGCCGATGATACCGACACCTGAGGCCGAAACCAGTGCCGACACGAGTGCCGATATCACAGGGATTCATACTGGAGTCGTGCAGCATAAGAAAGGTGCCTCTGTGAAGAGCATCTATCACAGAACGGTAGGGCTGCGTCGGATAACGACTTGGTCCGTAGAGGCGACACGAATGGGTCTGCGAAGCCGCGGATATCTGGATGTGGAATGAGTAGAGACAAACAATCATTGGCGACGAAGGGCATCATGTAAGACAGAATAAAGTCAGATTCATCCCTGATTACACGGCACGGGCAAGGACTGCACGGTCTGCACCTAGGTATAGTAGATAGGCTTCCCATTCGAGCCCATTGAGCCTATCCTCGGCTGGGTCGACTTCATTCTCGATGAGGTATCTGGCACATCCGCGATCCGTGACAGTCACACGAGGACGGGGAAGGAGCCTTGTCGCAGCTCAAGAAATGGTCTTTCCTCCTCGATACCTATTTGACACTAAGCCGTACGTATCTGGGAGGGGATCTTGTGGATTCAAGAAGAGACATTGGCCAGCAGGTAGAAAGTCCATGTTTCTGTGTCGACAGTGCGCGGCGACCTAGCGTTCAGGCCTTGGAGCACTCTCAAGAAAACGCTCGATGAAAGCAAACCTCGCCATCAGCGATGAGTGCGGCTGTCAGATGAATCGAGATATTGCGCCAGAATACACGAGAAACTGGGGATCCTGAGAAACTCTAGACCCCTTGCTGACTTGTGTCACTTCCTGAGCCTTGGCTCCTTCCACTGTTCTGCTTTGAGGTATTGCCCAAGTAGGAAAGAAGTCCGTCGAAGAAAGGATTGGGGAAAGGGAGCAAGTCTTTATTTCCACCCGGGGAAGGTCCTGGCATCCAGACCATGGAAAACCCGGCCGTGTGATCTGGCTGTTTCGTGAAACCGAGGTATAATATTCGCTGAGTATGGGCGAGAACATCGTTCGTGTTTTGTGATAGAGGCTCTGCTTCTTCCACTGAGGCGATCTTGCTGTTTGTCATCATGAGGCAATCAAGCCATATCTCAGAAGTCGATGAGAAGTGTTCGATAGCTCTGCCGTTGGCACAATGATGCCAGGGAAATGCGCTCAACCTAACTTGTGGTTTACATCGACTGCCAGTGATAGTGTGACACTTGGTGCGTGTACGCAGGCCACGCCATGATCAACTGATATCTACTCTTCAAGGTAGTCGCTCTCATCAATGCACTCGGTTCAAGAAGCATAGTCTAAGACTTCGAAAGAGGTGAAGCAACCTTACGTCCCAAGCTCGAGGGTTCGACGAGGGCGAATACAGTAGGTGGACCCCAGGCTCGACATGTCACTTGTGCAGCAATTCCACACTTGTCCCTGCAGAAGTGTCGGCAGACTTTGCCGTCGGCAATCCTCAAGGTGGCCTGGACGAGCGATACTTCCTTCAGCAGCAGCTATTTCCATGAGCCATATTCCTCAAAAAAACCGGCTTTGAGGCAAGTTCTGGCTGTCACAAGAAGACTGCCGAGCAAACGACATTCAAACTTGCGAATTGTCTGGCTCCGAAGGCTTCCTGGAATATCGGGAGTTGCGTACTGGAGGCTTGAAATCATCTGAGAACGACGATCGCCCAATTTCTGGTTAGACAAGATTCCTCAAGTGGTTTGACGCCGGGTGACGAAGATCTTGATAATCAGCCTTTAGGTTTGACAACATCGTTCAAGCCTGGCACAGTCCTTGACTTTGCTCCTCGATCGTCCAACCACCTCGAAGATGTGACTAACAGGTTCGTATCGACGCCTGTCATGACTCGCTGCTCCCTGCATTATTGTAATGTGAAGACTGAAGAATGCGCAGTCTCCTTGGCAAGGTGACATAGATCACAAGAGCAGATATCGACTCGAGTTGCTGTACATCTAACTTAGCCAAGGCCGAACCCATTTGTTCGTCGTCAAGGACTGCTTCGCTAGGGAAGCGAGGTAACCGCGCGTCCATGTAGTATGGTACTACGACTGTATAGTCATTGTTCATTGTCTGATGTAATCAGAGCGAGAAGCGATACCGACCGTCCCTGTAGTGCCAGAAGCGAGGCAGTTGCCATTTTGGGCTGATTTATGCACATCTTGCCCGCTGCTCGCTTGTAGTATAGTATGGTTTTCGGACTGTTGCCAGTTGATGCGAACGCTGGACGCAGACAGGTCTACCAGATGAGTATATCTCAGTCGACTTTTTCAACCCCGTCAGCCGTATACCTACCGTGTTCAACGCTGGAGGAGGCAGGTAGTCAGTGTTTGGTAAGAGTGTATGAAAGTATTGGCTGGCAGGAGCAGTCCACCCACAACGGATCAGCCGGTGTGGTGGAGACGCAAGATGAAGGCAGAGCAGGATGACATGAAGAATGTCGCCTGGTCTTGCTTTTGGTGAGCGTTGGTTGAGAGCAGTCATCCAAGCCACCATACTACGTGCGGCTCGTGACGGCCCTTCAGCTTCATTCAACCGAGCTGTATTTTGTCCAGGCTAAATTCGCGCGAGCACCAATCAGGATATTCGCATGCTTGCTGCATACATACATCGCTTTGCGCAACCTGGTCAACAGGGCGGACAGCCAATAATGCGTTACTCCGGGGCGGCGGACAAGGGCTGCGTGAGTTGACGCACATAAGCGAGACTCAGGAACAGGAAATATTGCAGTATGTGAATTTTGAAGTGTCAAACTGTTCATTGTTCTTTATATATGGGCGGCTTGCTTGCGCGCGCAAATGACGCTGTGGGTTGATAGTGCGATTCGAAGTGCATCATCGAAGACCCATACTGGTGACTAGGGTCGCCGACTCGCCGCAATGTTAGGTAGCTCGAGCCTCCTCTCCTAGCTTCTGCAGTGCTTCATCGTATCGCTTTCTGATGTCCTCGTCGCCGACAGTCAGTGTAAGGCGCTTGATCTTAGTTTGCCTTTGGAGTTTCTGATCGTCTCCACCAGCGCTGGCGCCTGCGTTATTAGCCTTCCCTCCAATCTCTCGCCAAAACCAAGCACCTTCACGGTGCTCGACAAAGGTCCAGGCCTGACCTGTTTTGCCAGCCCGAGCAGTTCGACCAACACGGTGAACATATGTCAGAGCACTGTTTGGTACATCGTATGAAACGACGTGTTCCAGATCTGGTACGTCCAAGCCACGTGAGGCACGATCTGTACAAATCAAGACTGATATCTTCGACCTCAAGAATAATGACAGCGCACGCCGAGATGAACCCGATGAAGCCGTGCTCCTGGTCAAAGTCGAGACTCGAGTTGCAATGGCAGGGTAGAGCAGAACGAGCAATCTGGACAAGCGAGTCGCTGAAGCTGTTGAGCGGGCAAAAATCAATGCTCGAGGAGTCTTTCCGGCGCTGTCAGGTGGTTTCTGATCACCGTTCTGCTGACCTTTTGGAGGCCTCTCTCCATGTGTTGAGCTTGCGACACTTGAGTCGTCATCAGAAGACGATGATGTTGAGCTTTCGGAGTCAGACGAAGTATCAGAGGTCGAATCCGACCCGGCGTCAGACTCCAAATCAGTTCCCACTTCCTTCGTGTCCGGTTGTCCCAAGTTGATCCCAACATGATGTCTCAGAAGCTCGAGCAGATACAAGGGCTTATCAGATCCATCAGATATTGCGATTGCCGTCTCCCTCAATGATGCAGGCAAATGGAAAGCGTCCCTGACATCGCCAGACGGTGTTTCGGCCCCAAGCTCGGCACTTATAGCTTCACCCGTGGCGGCTTCTTTCGAGGAGCCGCCCAACACAACCAACCTAGGATTGTGTAGTCCCAGTGCGTTGAGCTTTGACACGTCGCGGGTCATGGTCGCAGACAGCAGGATCTTCGTGACTTGTCGTCTTGGCGGCGTCATTCTCATGAACTTGAGAAGGTCATCCCTCTCCCGTGTGGCGGCTTGTGATGCCAAAGCTGGAGTGACTACGTCAATCCACTCTTGGTAGCTTTCGTTGAGCAACCTATCAGCTTCATCTACCACAAGCCATTTCACATCGTTTAATGTGAAACCAGGAGTAGATTTCAGATGGTCGACAAGACGGCCAGGCGTTGTAATGAGGATGTCCGCTCTCGAAGAGTATCGAGTAACATAACCAATAGAAGCGACAGGATCTTCGCTTTGCACCTTACGCATAAGCCTTTCCAGGGAGAAGTTGGCCCAGTCCACCCTTTCCCGCTGATGTCTGTAGTACTCTTCTGGACTGTAGATCTTTTCTTCTGCAACAAGCATGTCCTGCTCATCCTTGAGCGATTTGCTGCCAACAGCGGTGGCTATGACCAGAGAGCTTCCCGCAGCGCAAACATCGCAAAGTTCGCGTACCTGCTTGACAAGTTCTCTGGTCGGCACCACAATGACAGCCCTCAACTTGGTTCCAACGACGTTCCTCAAGCCAGATATGATGGGTACAACGTAGGCCAATGTCTTGCCAGAGCCGGTGGCGGCAGACACGCAGAGGTCGCCTTGATGCGTGTCCGGCCCGTCCAATAGCAGGGGCACGACAGTTGCTTGTACGGGAAATGCTCTGTCAAGGTTGGCTTTCCGCAGGTTGTCCAGGACGGTTCCGGACACGCCGAGCGACTCAAAGGTGCTAGAAGAGCTCGATGGGACATTCAGAGGCCTTTCTTGCCAGGAAGGTAGTGTCGAATAGGTTGGTATACCTGGAGCGACTTCCACCTGCTCCGGCTGAGGTATAGGCTCCAGTCCGTGAAGCACTACTGGAGGTTTGTCTGAGGGTGTATCGACTGATAGATCTTCGTGCTGCCCTTTCCGCCTAGCTTTCTCAAATTTGGACAGCACAGATGCGTGTCTTCGATCATGTACCTCATTATAGTCTTGACCTTGCTCTTCATTTTGATCGAGCCCTGCGTGCTCAAGGTCATCTTCCGGCTCTTGGGTTTCCGAGTCCATCGCTTCATGGTTCGTGGTTTTCTTCGAGGCTCGAGTCTTTACTTTGATTGCAGGTTTGCCCTCTGAGGGTTGTTTCGTGACTCGGTACCTGTCAATGACACTCTTTCCAGCATCTTCAGCGATTGCTTCGGAGACCTTTTCGTCTCTCGGAGTAATAGCTTCACGAGTCTCAGGGTCGGCATGCTCGGAATGATTCGAGGATTTTATACGCTTGCTTTTCTTTTCTCGCGGTACAGCATCTTGTTCTCGTTTTCGCTTTTCTGGCTTGGGAGAGGCACTGGTCGCATCGACCTTCTTTGCGGGCGGAACATAACGCGAGTAGAAGTTAGACATTGAGAAGCATCCTTGACTCTCTCTGTGGTTCTCTCGATAGACAGGCAGGTACGGTCGCAAAACACCCGTTGGTGATTGCGGCCGAAAAAAAGTCATGGCTGCCCCAATATTTGACTGGCAGAACTCCAACACCGCCTGTAGGAACGCGGAGACCATCACTTTCGTATTTCTCGTGTCATCGACCGCGTCCGACTCATTTCCCCATCGCATGCATTGCAGACCAATCATGGAGACATCAAAACACCAGGGCACCGAGCCCATCAACCAGAGAGGAATGATATTGAACACCTCATAGCCGGCATGGAGGCTTTGGCCTTCTTTCCTTATCACGACTATTCAAAATGCCTTACACCATTGCCATGGTTTGTGACTTCTTCTTCCCTCAGCCCGGGGGAGTCGAAAGTCACATTTACCAGCTATCAACAAAACTGATCGATCGAGGCCACAAAGTCGTTGTCATCACCCACGCATACGAAGGTCGTACAGGAGTTCACTATCTCACGAATGGATTGAAGGTCTACCACGTTCCATTTCTGGTCATCTATCGAGAAACCACCATGCCGACCGTCTTCTCCTTCTTTCCCGTCTTTCGCAACATCGTCATCCGGGAGCAGATCCAAATCGTTCACGGTCATGCCAGTTTGAGCAGTCTGTGTCATGAAGCCATCCTACATGGCCGGACCATGGGTCTACGTACAGTGTTTACAGATCATTCTCTTTTCGGATTCGCCGATGCTACCTCGATTCTGGCCAACAAGTTGCTCAAATTTGCATTGAGTGACGTCGACCATGTCATCTGCGTCAGTCACACCTGCAAGGAAAACACTGTGCTTCGAGCATCGCTTGATCCGTTGATGGTTTCTGTCATCCCCAACGCAGTGGTAGCCGAGAACTTTCAACCTCGAAACTACACGTCCACATCCGATGGCATAGGCTACATGAGGCCTAGACCCCTGCCTCAACGGCTTGGGCCTGGCGACACCATCGTGATTGTCGTTATTTCACGCTTGTTCTACAACAAAGGCACGGATCTTTTGATTGCAGCAATACCAAGAATCCTCGCACAACATCCCAATGTTCGGTTTATCATTGCTGGATCAGGGCCGAAAGCCATTGATTTGGAGCAGATGCTCGAAAGACGGATGCTACAGGATAAAGTCGAGCTTCTGGGCCCTGTCCGTCACGAAGAGGTCCGGGATGTCATGGTCAAGGGCCATATATACCTGCATCCCAGCTTGACCGAAGCCTTTGGAACTGTGATCGTCGAAGCAGCTAGCTGTGGTCTGTATGTGGTTTGCACACGAGTGGGTGGAATTCCTGAGGTCTTGCCTGCGCATATGACCACTTTCGCCAAACCCGAGGAAGAAGATTTGGTTGCAGCAACTGGCAAAGCCATCGCAGCGCTTCGGTCGGGCAAAGTCAAGACTGAGCGGTTTCATGATCAGGTGAAAATGATGTATTCCTGGCAGGATGTTGCTCAAAGAACTGAAAGAGTATATGACGGTATCACCGGAGCCATCAGCGAACAGGAGTTCTATGGCCAGGACGCCAGCGCGAACTGGAGTGCCACCCGTGGGCGTTCCTATGCATTAATTGACCGACTGAAACGCTACTACGGATGCGGAATCTGGGCCGGCAAGCTGTTCTGCCTCTGTGTGATCATCGACTATCTGATCTTTGCGTTCCTGGAGATATGGGCTCCCAGGGCCAGCATCGACATCGCCAAAAGCTGGCCACGGAAACCTTTCATCAACGACAAGAACAAGCCGGTGGAGAACGGCATGTTTCGTAGGAGAGGGACAGATCTCATGGACCGTCGAAATGGTTCGCTCGTCATGCGCTGACACGGATCGATTGTCTACGTCTCTTCTCTCCATCGGATGGCCCAGTTGCCCTTGGCATAGCTAGGTTCTACAACTGATCCATTCATCAACGCCTCGCACTTGCGAAGGCGTGGACCAACAGACTCGTCTGCGCCGGCCTTGCCGGCTTTGTGAGAGCGTTTTTCCGACTTTTTAGGCTGGTCGCCTCGACCCTCGGGCGCTTTCTGCAGGAAACCAAACACAATCAGCCTCCTGGCTGCTTTGCGAACCATTTCGCGGTGTTCGACTCGCCGGTTTCCCTCCTGTCTCCTTTTGAGCTTTTCAGACTCTGACAGTGGCGGTCCAACACGACCAGTCTCATTCTCCTCATCCCAGCTGTCGTTTGCATCTGAGACGACGAGGCCCGGGGAAGTATCACGACTTTTTGGCTCTCCGAGATTTTCTAGCGCCGCGGCCTGGTGGCTGGGGTTGGCGGTCGTCGACTCCACATCGCTGGTGTCTGATACCCCCGCCGCTGCACTTCCGATGCTGTCTGTATCCTCAGCTCTACTTTCGTCTGCTTTGGATCCGAACACGATCTCCTCGATCTCATCCATAGTCACCACGGCGCGACGATCACCTTTGACCAGTTTCGACTTGGCGGCTGTCTTTTCGATTCCAGATTCTGGCTCATCGTTTAGAAGGGCAACTATTCTTCTTTCAATCTTTCGATCTGATGGCCCCGGTTTACGGTGGCGACAACCATCTGAACAATATTTGATGACCTTATTTTGGTCTTTCTGCACCTTACGAGAGCCTTTACGAAGTTAGTCAAAGAACTCAAGCTGGAACGAACAACGCACTCATCGTTCTTCCGCAGGTTTGACAATAAGCTGCATTTTCGCCCTGGGTTAGATAGTAAGGCGGAGGCACAGCTGAACGTTTCCCAGGTCGGGACCATGAATCCATCCAACTCATGTTGGGCAAAGCAGTCGACACAAGCCGTGTTGAGGTGAGTCGTGATGGACGTCTGTGTAGACAACGGAGAAGGACTCTTCTCAACATTCAATCTACTATTCTAGTGTGCACAAGACCAACATGTTGAGGAAGGATGGAATTTCCATCAAAGATGACGACTGTGACGCCATTGTACTTCTCGCGAAAAGCCCTTGCAGGAGCCCAGACCAGCCAGTGCAAGCCTTGCGGTTTGAGCCTTGGAACCCCTCGTTTTAGCAGTCAGCCCCGCCAAATACTACCTAGAGATTTTACACCCGTATATTAGGTTGTCCTTGCCCTAACATGGACTGTATGTTTGGATCAGGTGCTGCCTGAGTTATCACAAATCCAGACGAGTGAACTCCCTGAATTGCTTTTCGTCTCTGCGAATGTTCTCGCGCATCATCAAGCAAGTCCGTTCTAATTTTGAGGTTGAGGCATTCTGCAAGGACGACCAATGCCAGCAGCAGCTCCCCTGCTGACTCTATTGAGCCACATCACCAATACTGTCTTCACAACGTAGACCATTTAGCTAAACATTTAGGGTAAACATCCCAGATCATGCAATCATTCAACTGAGGACGGCACCAGTCTCGTTGTCGTCTGCAGCTCGATGAAGTTACTCGATCTATTCGAGGGACTTCTCGACTGCATCTCGTATCTCTCGATCTTAATTGACATGGGACTCACCTTTCGGCATTTGCCGTGAAGACACATTTGTCGCTTCTACTTGCCACTGCATTGATCAGGCCGTCCCAATATGCATCCCAAAGGCTCTGACGGGGCCTGCCGCTGCAAAAAGCCACGACTGAGCCACAGCCCAGAGGTGGTTCTTCCCTGACCTTTCGTTTGTTGCTGAACTTGATACTTTACCTCATTCTTCCCACAAGAACGCAGAGGCCCCAGGGATCAGCACTCACACGCCATCAGGATATCTTATTTCCTCTATTTCGCCTGTCAAAAAATGGCAGCCAGCCCCGAGATCATCCCAAAGGCCACTGTTTTATGGACCACAAGCTTTGATGCGTTCATGCAACAAAAGGATTAAATATCCGGGGGAGATGTAACTCCAATGTGCCAATCTTATAGAGGCGGAAAATCAACTCCTGATCTTTGACAATGGAGGATCGCCCTCGCCTATCAGTGCTCCAGTGATCGCATGTGGTCAACGTACTCCATACTGTACATACATAAGCATGAGCCTTCTACTCCAAAAATCTGCAGAGGCTTCTTCCTTGTTTTGTTAATCGGAAGAAGACACTGACATTGGGTCACCCCTGCCATGTCTCCCCAGAAATTCTTCGACATCAACGATAGACATGGGTATTGTATCCTGCTCGAGAACGAGATAACATCCTCGCAATTCTGGAAAGACGTCGGCGAATCTCTGGCTAACGGACCAGTTTGCTAGATTACATATGTGATCCTGGAACATCGCCGAAACCGTCATCGAGCCAGTCTCTTCATCGATATCGATTGCGGCCTCCAAACCATAGTCCCAGTTGACGCTGCATCCCAGGGTTTGCATAGCAACGAGATAGTCACGCATGTCGTGGATCAGCCCATCACGCATCTCAGGACTAATGAACGCATAAGTCATTGTCAAATCGAGCGCGGAGAAAAAACTTACAATATTGGCAAATCGATTCCTGGATGATGTTGGACGAGTCTTTGGAGTGCTGTTGGTCTCATTGGATCTGGCAGCAGAGAGTATGTCTCCACGGAAGGCGCGATTGTCCACTGTCGACATGTCAGCAAACCACGCTTCTCACGGTCCATGGCACATCACTGACCCGCATGAACCTCGAATATGTGAAGATGGATGCCAAGGCGACGTATATGTCGAAGTCCTTCAGAAGACGCATATACTCGCAGGCCCATGTGTTCGGTGTGTGTGGATCTTCTGGCCTGCGTCCATGGAAATAGACCGACAACTCGACTTCTGGGTTTCCAAGCACCTCATCGATGGGTGTGCCCTCAGCAAGCTGCCTCCGTCCAAGATCCCTGAAGTCGGTGTAGACTGCAGCCAGCGGACAGCGCTCCTCCTCGAACAATGAGGGCACTACGAAGTATTCTGGAATTCGAAGATAATTCTCCTGCTGGTGCTGCCGACTTGATTCGAAGCCCCTCTGGGCCATCTCCCATGGTGATTGGCCAAATATGGTGATGGATTTGTATTCGGGCATGTGATGGTTCTTCGGGCAAAATATTCGATATTGGTCTCTCGGGTCGAAATGGGGGAATTGTGGTAGGCCAGGCTCGGACGAGTTTGATTTTGACCCCTGCGATTGTCCATCGACCGACCCTGGTCGACCTGTGCTTCTCTTTGAACCTTCTGCTCTTGGTCCGTTGTGGTGTCTTTGCGACGACGGGATTGCACGCCGTTTTGTTAACTCCTCACTTTGGGTCACATCATCTCGGTTCTCTGCGCGATCCTGCTTCCTGGCTCGAGAGAAAGGCCAGGACTCGGGTACCTCGGGGCTCAGTGAGTCTTCGAAGTTATCGGAATTTGGGATCTCGAGCGTCTGCGAAAGCGTCTGAAAACGTTTATCGTCTCTAAGCTTCTGTCGATGCTTGTCACTCCCAGCTTGAATGTGTTCGAGCAGGCACTGAATCAAGTCTTTCTGGAGACTAGCCTCGGTTTGAGCTCGCTCCCAATGCACCTTACGACGCTTGTCGAGTGTTTCATCGTATACGCATTCGATGTTCGATCGACCGCAGGCACGACAAGGATGGCCACCCGAACACTGAAAAAGCAATGCATGTCAGCGAGGTGGGTTTCGAAACAATAGTAGACTTCACAGCACCTTTGATTTTCTGGCTTTGCAGTTGAGACAGGCTATGCCTATGTGCTGTCGAGTCAATCCCGGGCCCGGCGTGGACATGAAAGCGTTCAATTCCGTGAGAAGTGTAGGTACAATTGAGTTTCAAGGAATCCTGAGCGATGAGTGTGGCGGACGTGTCGAAGTCTTTGAACCCTTGCAGCGGTGGATTAGAAGAGAAACGCTGCTTGTTAGGTTGGGCACAGGATCCGGCCAGTCAAACGCGATTCGACAGGATAGCATAGCCGGTGGTTTTATAAAGATCTGTAAGTTGGCTGCCACTTGCACATATGCGGAGTATCTCTTACGTCGATGGGTGGATTGCAAGATGCAGATCTTGCCAAGCATCGAGATGCCCATGCTCATGAGTGGGCATGCCCGTCCCCGATCCCTAAGATTTCGAATCCGATGCAACCGAGCGCCTTGAGTAAGTTAAGGTACGATGGACAAACGTCTGTTATAAGTCAACGGTCTTGCAGCTTCTCCACCCCAGTCAGTTTTGTTCATGTTGCTCATTTACTACTGTTGAGCAGAGCCTCGTTTCTTGTCGAAAGTTAGTCGCCCTATTCACCTCTACGCAGGCAAGTCGGGCCGCGGCTAAAGAAAAAGATGAGACCTAGTGCGATTTGAGACGCTTGATCTATGGTAAAATTCTCTAGCAGCCTGACCCCAACATCTTTGCCTGCCGTGGAGAACTCTTCTCTTGGGAGGCGCTGCAAGCTTTGTGAGCGATGGCAATGCTAAAATACGAGTAGATGCTGGAATATGACCATGAGAGCCGAGCCAATTGCTTCAAACTCACTTTTCATCGATGTGTCTTCGCCACGGTAGACTGCTGACAAGCGTTTGGAAACGAATGGCCTGCGCAGTGACACACATGCTACCTGAAACCAGATCGAGTGCGAGCGCACTGGGAATGTTGAAGCAATTGTGATCTGCGCGACGGTGACAATGGTGGCTGGTCTCATGTTATCTCCCACCAACAAATGTCATGGACGGGTGCCGGGGGACAAATGCAGGAGATGTTGGGTTGACAGAGATCCGCCCAAGGCGCCTCCTTATTCGAATTTGTCCAACTTTGAAAGTAGAGTGCGCATGACGTGCAAGGAAGGCAGGACAGATCTTGGTAGATGATGTAGAAAGAGTCTAGGTGGGAGTCTGGTAGCACTGGCAAGCATCCTTCATTGTGTTCATACCTGATAGTCATGTAGTTCGTGCCACGGAGTGAGACGCCTGGGAGGCCAGGATAGCAAGCAGATTGATGGGAGCAACGACTTGATGTCATTACCAGCATCTTCTCCAACCTTAGAGCATCGATTGTGTTGTATAACCTACCAGATATCTACCTGCCTATCTGCTAGGTATGCATACATTAGGTATTCTAAGGTACCTTGGGTGATTTACAGTAGTCCTAGAGGTCAAGTACGGAGGAGCTGGGGTTGACTCCCGATGCCGCTTGGCATGATTCTTTTGTCCGCCCGGCAGGCACGACTGAGCGGCGCGTCAACTGCGCATGCACCAGTAACCCATTTCTGCCCATCCTCAAACAATTTCTGGCCTCGTCGACAGGAACACAAGCAACCTTGCAGCGCATTCTTTTCCGACCAAACATAGTCTTCTTTCAGCTGGACCTCTTCCTCGAGCTGCGTGTTCGACATGTCAAAACAAACCGACCCAGAGGCCATCTCTAACTTTCTTGCCGACCAACGGGACGAAGCACCTACAGAACTCCAGCACATCTTCCTAACATTTGAAGATCTCTGGGAAAGAAAACTATGGCATCAGTTGACGGACACATTACTTGAATACTTTTCCAACCCCGAAACCGCTGCGCAGAGACTACCCATCTACAACACCTTCATCATTAGTTTTGCCGACAAGATCAATCAGTTGAAGCTCGTCAAGCTCGCCCTGGGTGCCTCTGCGCAAATCGAAGGTGCGTCTACTATGTCCACCGCTGTCGTAACGTTTACTAATCCTGGGCAGATGATACCGACCGAAGCCACTTCCTTCAATCCCTTGCGGAAAGAGTAGACAAGCCCGATTCCGAAGAAGCCCATGTCTATACCATCACAGAGCTTGCGAGTGTCTACCTCAAATTGGGAGAAAAGGCCAAAGCAAGAGAACAACTAGACAAGGCTCAAAAGACACTCGATCAGTTTGACTTTGTGGAGAACGTCGTGCATGCGGCCTTCTATCGCATCAACGCCGACTACTTCCAGGCTGAAGGCGACTACACATCCTACTATCGAAACTCACTCCTGTATCTTGCTTGCATAGAAGAGTCAGAGTTGACTGCGGAACAGCAGCAACACAGAGCATACGACCTTGCAATCGCCGCCCTGGTTTCAGATACCATCTACAACTTCGGAGAACTATTACTGCACCCCATCCTGGACGCTCTCAACCCACCACATCCAGAATCATGGCTGCGGGATCTACTGTTTGCTTTCAACCGCGGTGATCTGGCAGCATTCGACCGAATGTCAAACAACCTCACTAAGAATCCAACGCTCGAATCGCATCGCATGTTCTTGTGGCAGAAGATCAACCTTGCTGCCCTGACGGAGCTAGTCTTCAAGCGACCACCGCATGATCGCGCTATGACCTTCAAGACAATCAGTCAAGAGACGAATGTGAAACCAGACGAGATTGAACATCTCATCATGAAGGCATTGAGCCTAGGGTTGTTGAGGGGAAAGATTGACCAGGTTGCTGGCATTGCTAAGATCAACTGGGTACAACCTAAGGTCTTGGAGCGGACTCAGATTGAGGGTATGAGAACTCGACTGCGGGAATGGGACAGCAATGTCAATGATCTGGGCCATTGGATAGAAGGCGTGGGCAAGGATGTGTGGGCAGCATAAGTTCTTTCGACTGTACCATACAGCATAGCAATGGCGTTGCAGGCAAGCCATGGTAAGCATAAGGCCTTTGAAGTAGTCCACAAGAAGAAGAATGTAAGATACAGCATTCTATTGTGATAATCAGAGTTCGGCACTGGACAAATTGTCTTGCGTAAGTTACTATTCAGTCTACCTTTGGACTTGCGGGTCAGGCTCTGCGCAGACGACCAGGATCCACCGGGGTTCATCCAATGCACTTTGAATTTTTGGCAAGCAACACCACCTCGAGCTCTTCGACATCTTCGTCTTTATCGTCCTCACACCCGTATGCAAGTCTTTTGACCCCTCATTCTTTCCTTTCTGACAATCGGGTGAGGACCTCAATCATGAATTCCACAGCCACAAACTTCTTCCGCGCATGTCGCGCGCCGGCTTCACGCAGGCTACTTCAACACGGTCCATCAATGAGTACACCCATTCCAAGAACAAACACACCCTCACATTGCCGCCCCTTCTCTTCGCAGCGGCATCACCTCGCTCAACCAGCCAGTGCCGTCCCATCTTCCTCTACACCCGCACCTCCCGCCTCGACTTTGATCTCCCAAACGTCCGACTCCGGACCCAATGCCGCTGCAGCTCTCGCGGCCGCAGACGCAGTTTTCCTATCTTCCACATTCAGTCTAACAGGCCATGTCTCGCGCGTCGGCACCATGCGCAAGACCGTACACGTCTCACGCACCGCACAAGTCTGGGACGCATACCTGCAGAAACACTACAAACGCAGCACGCACGACCTGGTGCACGACCCCCAGGACATCCTCAACGAGGGCGACGTCATCACCTACGGGCCCTTCCCTCCGAGTCTGCGCGAGCCGCGCGAACAAAAGGGCCAACTTGGCGGGAATAATCGCGTGAGATTCATCCTGAGGGACGTGATCACGCCGTTCGGCACGCCTGTCGATCAGCGTAGCCCGAGAGTCGTGGGGAGTCCCGAGGGTCGTTGGGTTGGCGGACCAGGACAGGTGCAGAAAGTGGTTGTGCGGGCGAGAGGGAAAGCGAAGCCTAAAGTTCAAGTGCCGTTGACGGCGAAGACGGAGAAGAAGGGTGGTCCAGCAACGGCCCAGAGGCAGGTCGCGTGAGATGTTTAGACGCAGAAAAGAGCCTCTTGAGTAAGGTCTCTGAAGGCCTGGCAAGCTCAGGAGGGCGGCAACAACTATTTGACCCAGGCTGTGCGGCAAAAAGGAAAACGAGATTCATGCATGGAACCCAGATGAGCAGCACAGTTGCCTGGATACAATCGAGATGCAGACGATGCAGAGACGCATTGTCCGATGATATTTTGCTGCGACGCCTTGCTGATCCATGGTACAAGGGTACCGACTCGGTTTCGACCCTTGATGATCGGGCTGCGAGTATAGACCTGGTCTCATTTGAGACACCGACATTTAAGGGAGGACGAAAGCACCGGCTCCGATGCGGAGACTTTGCTCGTCTATATCCAATACTGCCATTCGGGGCTAGATGGCCACTAGGGAGGCGAGATCTCTCACCGAGCAGCTCAAAACACCAGCAATAACAAACGGATGAGTGAAACCTGGTAGATGGGCCTCCTCCAGCCCTCGATTGGGCCAAACAGGAGCGCATATTTACACTATAATCAGCGGACTGAAGTGCTGACATGGTCGATCGTTTGAGCAAGGAGAAATCGGGGCCAGATCATGGGGTAAAGACAAATCTACAAGCTTGCAGTTGAACAGACCTTGTACTATGATAGACACTGAAACAATCAATATATATCAATCTCGACTACGAGACGTGATATTGTGGAAGCCTTCTCTCTATCGTTCCTCGTTGGAAATGCCTGGCAATACTCATTTTCAGGCAGAATGCCCTTCAAGAATACCTAGATGGTCTTCTCGTCAATCATGTCTATTTATGCTACGCAATGCTTCTTTGATATCGAATCTATTAACCTGAATCCAGCCTTCCCTTGCCCTTAAATAGCGCAAGCCCACTATGTCGTACAGTCTCCGAAAGCTTCAGAGCGTCACTTCCTGTTCCCGAGTGATGATTTTGGCAACCATGTTAAGTCGTGTTGGATCTTGAAGCGACGTCAGCCTCTTGAGGTACATTAGACTCCTTGTCCCCATCCGTTCCATCGGCCTTGGATTCTGATTCAATTTCTTGCGGCTCAGCGGTTGTTGGGGCTCGTATCAGTGACGCGCGTCTGGCCTTCAGCTTCCTCTCTCCAGCAGCAGATATTCTCGTCAGTTCCGCCACGAAGGATTGTCCCCAGAAAGCACTTCAATCAAAGTCAGTAATGTTGATAGCGGCCGGCATCAGGGACGTGTAAGCTTACCTTGTATACTTGAAGACATATTTGTGCAATTTGGAGTAGTTGAGGGCGCGATGTTCCGGGCTCATGGTGACCGCCTCTTGGATGGCACCAGCCAGCTCATCCGTATTCCAGGGGTTGACCAAGATACTGCCATTTAAGCTCTGGGCGGCACCGGCAAACTCGGACAAGATCATAACACCGTGTCTGTCCTCTTGCGAGGCAATGTATTCGAATGATACCAAGTTCATACCATCTCGGGTAGATGAAACAAGACAGACATCGGAGACGGCGTACAGAGCGATCAGCTCGTCGAAGTTGACTGACTTGTGCATAAAGTGAATAGGCATGAACTCGACAGTGCCTTTGCCTTGTTAGCTTATGACTTTTGAGAGGGAGGGATTGCACGTACCAAATTTGCCATTGATCCGTCCGACCAGCTCATTGACCACCGCACGTAAATTCTGATATTCTTCGACATCTTGTCGACTCGGTACAGCCACCTGAACCAACACCACTTTTCCGATCCATTCGGGATGATCCGTAAGGAAGACCTCGAGCGCGTGCAGTTTTTGAGGAACACCTTTGATGTAGTCGAGACGATCCACTCCTACGATCAACTTGACTCCTTTGAACTTTTCCTCGAGGACAGCTATTCTTTTCTGCACTTTCTCTTTCTTGAGACCTTCGGTGAATTTCTCGGGATCAATGCCGATGGGGAAAGCACCGACAGTAACGATCTTGCCCTCGAACTCGACGCCATTTGGAGTTGTTGTTAGGCCTAGAATCCGCGAACAGCTGCTGAGAAAGTGTCGTGCATAGTCGTAGGTGTGGAATCCAATCAGATCACAATGAAGAGTGCCCAGCAGGATTTCATTTCGAACAGGAAGGATTCTGTAGATCTCACTGGATGGGAAGGGGGTGTGGAGGAAGAACCCAATTTTGACGTTGGATTTTGACGAGCCGATCTCCTCGCGGAGCATCTGGGGAAGAAGCATGAGATGATAGTCGTGGACCCAGACCAGATCGCCATCCTGTACATCTTTGGCGACGGCACGAGCAAAGAGACGATTTGCTTCGCTATAAGCGTTCCAGGCCGACTCGTCAAAAGTGATCTCACCGGGATGGTAATGGAACAACGGCCACATGATAGAGTCTAGACTCTGGTTAGCTCCGCCTTGAGTCAATGCGACAGTCTGTGTTACTCACTTGAGAAGCCATTGTAATGCCTGTCTGCCAATTCGTCGCTCATGAAGACTGGGATGGCATTGAATTCGTCCTTCAGTCTACCAGTGACGCCCTCGATCTCATCCTTTGGGATTTCCAGCCCAGGCCAGCCATACCATTGGAAGGTGGTACTTTTGGACAATCCACTTAGACCGGTGACGAGGCCACCCGAGGACATCGAGTAGTCATATTTACCATCTTTAGAACGCTTGATGGTGATAGGAAGACGATTTGAGACTAGGAGCAATCGCGATTCCAATTTGGGAGAGCTATCCGCAGCTGAAGGCATCCTTACGAGGAATACACCTTGTGGTGGTAAACAAATTGATGCAAGGAGTCAGGTGAGAATTGCGTCAGACCGGATAAAAAGGCTGTCGGTCTTGACCCCTTGGCTGGACGGAAGTCGGAGACAGAACGTGCCTCTCTAATCGAATAAAACAAGATTGTTGGTGGTGTAACAAGGCTCTGCGAGGTCAAGCAGGTATACAGGTGGCACAGTACCAGAGTAGAAGCAGGTTGTGTGGAAGGTTGTTCAACAGCGAGAAGGTGTTACTTTTGTCCTGGCGAATTGGAGAGAGCCTTGTCAGGTTGATGCAGTACTAGAGCTTATGCAGAAGTTCCGGAGTGGAATGCCGTTCGTTGTCAGTGTCTTGCCGGGTCGAGTTTTCCGAGATGTGGATTCGAGGTCAAAGTACGACAGGTGAGGAAATGGTATGCGATGCGGTGCCTGAGTTTTGACGGTCTGGCGAGAGAATGAGAGATAGGTAAGTTGGGTAGAACGAGGCTCTCTTTACGGAGAATTCAGGTGTTGACTGCAGTCAATTGACTAGGGTTAGAGAGGGAAAGCCACGGTTTCACAGTCTAGAAATTGATAGAAAACCAGGAATAAAGATGGTGGTCGTCTTGGGGATTGCAGGGAAGTTGGAAGAATGAAAGCTGCCAGTGCCAGAGGTGCCCAGCAGGTACAATTGAGTCCCGTGATTGGTGGATGGGCCTTTCCTGCCCAGCGACTTTTTGATAATAAAGTCGATTCCCATCATAACCTCATACGTCAGACCCTCACAACTACTGCAACGGTCCCAAACATAGCGCCGGGATAGAGTTCCGGGTACATTCGAGCGAGACACCCAAGCCAAGTTAGGGGCCAAGGGCCACTTAAGGCTCGCATTATTGGGGGCAACCGAGCCTCCCTAGCCATCTTTGCCATGTGCAGGTAGAAATACAAAAAGATGGCATGCTGGGCAAGTTGCTCGCAGGCATTTATATGATTATATCGCGGCTGATCATGGCCACTACAGTCTGATGTTTTTCGCACTAAAGATGAAATGCTGGATTCGAAAAACTCCTCAATCCATACAAAGCAGTACCAGATCCATCTCTAACACCATGGCATCAGCCGGATCATGCTTACCTGGGTTTACCTAAAGTGCCTAAGTACCGCTAGTGGATTGGGTATAGCTCGACAATGCTTCACGGCACAACCTTCCCTTCCACTGAAACAACATCGAACAATACAAATCGAGACACGTACATAGTACCGTCATGTTGTTATTGGAATGCTATCTTTGTATCTGATATGTGCCAAACAATTTTGTTCGTGGACATACAACCACCCTCAACAAGATAATAGTGCATGACAGTATTCCCCGAGGCCATGCTTGCAATGAAATGCTCAATTGTGCTTCATTGCCTCACCAAAAGTCCTGGAGTCGCCTCCCCAGACACCTTTTCATACGATCATGCTCATGACAACAAATGAGAAGAAGAAAATGCAAGCATGTCGCTATCAGATTTATGCTAGAGGAGGATCTCCAGTCGTCGTTAATGTCGTATAGGGCATTCATCAATCATCCCAGTCAGCTGTCTCGTCAAAGGAGACATAAACATCAGTGAGTGTTATCGTCAAGACATCTCAGGTCGCTCGTCAAAATCTGCAAGTCTAGTTTTCATCAGGGCGTAAAGATCAATTTGCTCGGATGACGAGTTTCGCCAGAAATTTGTTTGATAGCGAGTCGAAATCTTTGCGGTCGAATTTCGCGTTCGGTCGCCCGCGAAGGTAGTTTTCTGCAAGGTCTGTTAGCGAAAGACTCTGGTCCAGTCAGGGAAGGCTGTTTTGCCAACTTACCATATCTCGTAACATGTTCCCGAACTTCGGTCATCGTACCGCACACGTCAGGGTTCGACGCCAACAGGGTGTGGTGTTTGCTAGTATCCCACTCCAGGAATGAAGGAAGCTTCTGAGAGATGGCCTGGAAAAGTCCGACGACGACGCCAACCGGAGTGGTCTCCATGTCGGTGCAGAACTTGTCCACAGATGAAGGATTGGGAACACGATAGTGGCAGTCGAACTGCATGCACTCCCAGACTGCCAACAATACCGAAGCCAGGATGAAGATGGTGGGCCAGTTCTTGAGTTTGTCACCACTATACACGCTCGAGTAGAGGCTCGACAGCTCTTCAAGGACATCCTTGTGGAGCTCACGCCACATATCGGCCATGGCGCATTTGATTTGAAAGTTAATCATAACCGGTGCCATTGTTTTGCCGTAGAATTTGGAGCTTTGCTCTTCGATCTTCCCAACCAAAGATTCCTCGGCGGGAACACCCTCAACCATTGTGATGTGAAGCGTCAGGTTGTACGCAAGCATCAGCTTGAGGGCCTTCTTGATGATGGTGGATCCCGTTTTGAAGTAAAATCGGAAGGCCGTCTTGAGCATTTGTGACAGAAAAGGGGTGCCCTCGAAGTAGTCGTCAACGAATTTCTCAAAGGTGCCAGTGCCATCGATGTGGCGGTCAAGATAATCGCTCAGCATCGTCGTCGATATACCCTCCATGCCGGCTGAGAGCTTGGCCGTGGGAACCTCGAAGCCTTCAGTGGTGATGGATTTGGCCTCGATCCAGTCCAGCTTCAGACATGTTTCATCCCTCACGTACACCTCACGAGCAGTGACCGGCAGCATATGTCCATAACCATGGGTGATGAACAAGGTCTTTTCCGTGTCCGAAAATCCCTTGATGTTGCCCACGGAGAAACCAAGCGTGACATGACGCTCGTAGTCGAATTTCCAGTCCTTCAAGAAGTATCCAATTTCTTTGATGTCGATTCGCGTGCATGGGACTTGCCACAGACGAGCATGAGATGGCTGACACCCAGCACAGGGTTCTCCTTTGTCACAAGTCTTCTTCAAGAACTTACATCGCAAGCATGCTCTCAGCTTCCGGATCTCACTAGCTTGTTTCCGTTGCTCTGGTCGAAGAGGTCCCTTTCTCCGTCCAACACGCTTCTCTCCTTCGACCTTTCCTCCCTGTGCAGATTTCTTCATAACCTTGTCGGTCGACTTAGCGGCAATGGGGCTCTTCTTTGAAGCTCTGCGACCCGGCGACCCGGCTGACCCTTGAGAACTAGGCGATCGTATAGACGGGGCCGAAGACTTGGGCTGAGGGATTGGGATCGGGCGGACGAGTGCCGCAGGATTGATGTTCGTGGAGGGAGCCGAACCCTGGTCGATCGACAGGCGATGGGTGTGTCCCATATACTCATAGTCACTATCAGATAGGCTAGTTGGCGAGTAGACAGCTTGAGAGTGGCCGATATCGAGGTTCGAGAGGAAAGTGCCGTTATTCTTGACATCGAGGTCCGAGTATGATGATTCAGATAGGGTTCGATTATGGACGGTTTGGTTGGGGTCGACGAAGTATTGCCGTTCGTAAGATTCGAAGGAAGCACGAGGCTCTATAAAGGTCCATCCGTGCTCGTCACATGAACTGGGCTGCGACAGCACCTCTAGATGTGATCCGGTTGGTGAATTGGTCATTTGCTGGTATGGCGAAACAGCAAGTCCCACATCCGTAGTCGTATAGTTTACCAACTCACTCTGAAAGTCTGCCCAGTTGTGTGGCATACCTTCAATGCCTGTTCCAAGAGGGAGGTAAGACTGGTCAACTGGAAGAGCCGACGTGAGGGGAGCCTGCGAGACTGGCATCATGGCTAACTGGGCAGGATGTACAGGGAGACCGTGGAAGTGTGTGTCATAATGTAACTGGTATTGAGCCTGTTGACATGAGTAGTCGACATTGTGTTGGTGTTGTTGCGCCTGCTGCTGTTGAATCCTCCACGTCTCGAGCATAGGGTGCTCTGCCATTGTTGTCTGCCGCAGTCCATGATGGTTGGTCTGTATGGGAGAAATGTGCCTTCTCGAGTCCGGCCTCGCTGCAGCTACTTGATGCATCTGCATCGGCCATGCCTGAGTTTGCAGGTAGGAAGCACTTCTTGCGTCGAGGTCATAAGCCAGGTCTTCGCTTGTCAAGGCGATATTGCCCGCCATACTGGAGGATTTGTCAGACAGTCAGCACTCGTGGGAGGAGTGTGCTGAGAGGAGGAAAGGCGTCTCGAGAAGGAAGGTCGTCTTGCTGGCCTCGTGAAGCAAGACAGAATGGAAGCTGACGAGAGGAGGACACGGAGAGAAACCTGAGGAGAAGAGATACGAAGGGTGACCGCCTCAAGGCGAGCACAATCGAGAGTGCCGACCTTTGGGTTGAGGTCGAGTGGAAGTGCGAAGAGGCGGTGAGCAACGCATGCAGGTTTGGGGATCATCGAATTGGCGGGGACGAGCAAAGTGGGAGGATAAACCGCCGACGAGGCCCGAAGTCGAGAGGTGAGTGGCCAGCTGCAGGTAAAAGGTCAGGCCCGGACAGAATGCCTCGCAGTGAGTGGTTGATTGACGGGTGGCAGTTATGGAGCACAGCCCCATCTGCTGGTGGGTGTTGGGTGATAGGCCTAAAGATGGGCGAGACCCTCAGAGAGACGGGCTTTTTGCTGGTTGCTTCAGGTGGGCTTTTTGGGTCGATTGCCCGCGGAGGACGAACCAAGCAAAATGTCGATGGCAGGATGTTTCTTTTTTTGCAAGGAATCGCCTCTCCCCAAGTTCTCGATACCAAGCTAACAGGCGATACTGTGTGCGCTGTCGTCAACACAAATCGTCATTTCCAAGTCACGGTTTTCTAGATAGGTTTTGTCGCTAGATGGAGATGGTCGCCTGCAATGTGTAAAACTAGAGACCGAGAGTGTTCAATATGATATGTGTAAAGCAACACCATACGAATGATGGATGCTGATTACTGCGCCTCCCGAGCGTTCAACGTACAGATAAGATACGAACTTGCCTTCTGCTACCTGACTCTCTAATCCCCCGCCAACTTCAAGAGGCGCGAGGTGGTCATCCCGTTGCCTCTCAAGTGAGTGGAGTGAATCATCAGGTACCTCGTAGCTGTTGGTGGCACAGCCCGAGCAAATACCAGTGAGGATAAACGCAGAGTCTGCTTCGGTTTCTTGCAGCGTCTGCATCTCAGGACGAGTCACATCGCAACACTGCCCATGGCGCGATGCCAGTTGGCCATCAAGGTTCCATAAACAAGCGAACGCTTATGCATCTAATCTGACGGCGCTCTCAACTAAGCCCATGTTAGGCAAGTCCTTCTCCCTCTGGTCGGTGGAGTCGTTTGCCTGGAGAGCAGCAGGTGCATGATTCTGTGCTTCGCCTCAGCAGTCATACAAGAACCATCACGCATTTTGGTTGCTGTATGCTGGGAACTCAGCCTCGTCCATGGGGTACATGCACATCCGTGGACGGCGAGTATCTCATGTACCATTGTGAACACATCTTCAGGTGTCCAAGGGCGAGCTGAACGTAGGCTTACCCACCCTTGCTCTTCAAGAGGCCGCTGTCCCGAAGAGCGGTGTAGACAAAAGGCTAGTCTTCCCATTCAAAGGTCCACGGTCAACGGCACGGGGTCACTTCGCGAGTTTCAAGCGGGAAGGAGTGCAGCTTTGCTTCGTACTAAGACACCTGAAAGATCCGGGCAAAAGACGGACGTCTCATGTGTAGAATTGGCGAGACATTTGGTACAAATCTTCCGAGTTGTTGAGAACCGTACACAAATCAGTTCATGCGAGATGCTGTGCACCTGAGTCTGTTGTAATCTTGCCTGTGACCCCTTCTTGCGCATGTTTCTCGAACATCATTTACCCTTTATACTGCTAAGTTATGGATAAATGAGGAAGTGTTCTTTTCCAAGTCAATTACGCTTTCAATCTTGCTCAATATGCTTCATTGTTTTGTTTTGTTCATGTTGATGAAAAAGCGGCGCCAAGAGCTTAATCTCGAGTCTCGGGAGCTTCGATTCACCTCAGCTGCAATGATTCTCCGTGCCAGATGGTAATATAAATGCATTCATTTTCTACGTCTTCCAGCTTTGTCTCGTCACCTCATTGCAATTGAAGTGCTTGCAACATTCAATGCTGTTGCGTGCGATGCTGCAATCCATGACGTAGCTTCGCACTGTCCCGTCTGGAATGCGAGGACAATACTAACCGCACAAGCGACACTTCAATGCGATTAAAAAAGACGTAGCACTCGTTGCCTTGCGACCTCATCTCTAGCAGCGGAATACCGCTTGACTCCTCTCGCTTCTTCTGCCGTCTCATGGCATAAGGGAATAATATGGCAGAATCCGGATCATTTGGTTCGTCAATACCAGCTTATTGCCGAACGCCAGCGACCCTTTTGGATACGCTGGACACGGAAACCTCGCGACTCCAGAAAGACACTGTAAACGAGTGCCTACCCCTACTCGGCGCCGTGGACGATCCGGCTCGGAATCCCTTTGACTTCAACGAATTCGGACTGCCTAGCTTGAAACGAGAGGATCATATCAGTTTTCTTCATGAGAACTTGGAGCAGTTTCCGCCATCATTTGTGGGTATTGATGCCAGCCGTCCTTGGATGGTATACTGGGCGCTGGTCGGACTTTACATGTTGGGAGAAGATGTTTCCTCATTTCGTGCCAGGTAAACTATTTTTGATTCCTTTTTTCAGATTCAACAGCTTGTCCTAATACTCGACGGCGATTGTAGCTTCTGTTCGTCGAGGCTAATACAGGCAATAGCGTGGTCAAAACATTCTATCCGATGCAGAACAGAACTGGAGGTTTTGGAGGGGGTTTCGGGCAGTACTCTCATCTGGCCGGTACATATGCAGGACTTCTTAGTCTTGCACTCGTTGGTGGCGATGAGGCGTACTCCTTGATTGATCGAGAGGCGATGTGGCAGTGGTTAGGCCGACTGAAGCAGCCAGACGGAGGCTTTCAAATATGCGAAGGCGGTGAAGAAGACGTCCGCGGAGCATATTGCGCTCTGGTTGCAATTTCACTCCTCGATCTTCCTCTCACCCTGCCACCAAAGTCTCCTGCGCGTGAGGCAGGCCTCGAGACTTTCATGGATGGCCTTGGAGAGTATCTCTCCCGATGCCAGACTTTTGAGGGCGGCATTGCAGACGCCCCAGGGGATGAGGCTCACGGCGCATATGCCTTCTGCGCCCTTGCGTGCCTTTGCCTTTATGGAGAACCTCATGTCGCCATAAACAGGTTTCTTGATGTGGATGCCATTTTGTGGTGGCTTTCTTCTCGACAATACGCACCAGAAGGAGGCTTGGCTGGACGAACGAACAAGCTTGTCGATGGTTGTTACAGTCACTGGCTCGGAGGTTGTTGGCCATTGCTTCAGGCTGCTTTGACCGGTCCACGAGAATCCATCGAAGGTCTGGGAAAAGCAGTGAGCAACAATCTCTACAGCAGCGAAGGCCTTGCGCGATATATACTGGGATGTTGCCAAGGTCCTGACGGTGGATTGAGAGATAAACCCTCGAAGTAAGTGCCTTCCTTGCGGAAATATTTCTTTCTCCTGACTATTATGCGCAGACGTCCAGATTCTTATCACACTTGTTACAATCTGTGCGGCCTGAGTATCGTGGAGCACTCCCACACTTATGGGCAAGCCAACAGCTCTGAACCATTTGCTTCAGCATTCACCTGGGAAGCCACCAAAGCTCGAATACCCTGTGAGACCGACAATGCCGTTGACTTCGGTACTGGTGCCGAAGTGAGACCCCTGCATCCAGTCTATGTGATACCTCATAAGGCTGTTCGTGACATGCGAGCTTGGGCAGTGGCACGGCCTCTTGGACGGTGAGCTGGTTTCGAAGCGGATATTTGGTTATACCTTTCGCTGTACCTTCGCTGCACAAGGCGTACATCAGCTCGTCTCTCCCAGCAGCGAAAACCTTCAAGTCATCCTCTGATGAGGTGGGTCATGACATTGGACGGCTCAATGTGCAGTTTGGCATCAAACTTCTTCACATTAGGAGTGCTGGAGTTGGTTGTGCATCGCATCAGGAGGACGTAGAGCGAGATAGGTGGTAGAAACATGCGACCCAGGGTTCACGCCACATTCCTAGGGACTAGGCCTGCTGCGCGACAATCATTTGGTGCCCTTGATTGTCCACGGGGAGATCAAGAATCGCTCTTGCCTCTGTCAATACTTTCACTTGCCTTTCTCGCTGTCGCCTGAATCCGCAGACCTGATCCTCAGCCAAGACACCGTACAGCCATCTAAGTTCCACTCAGCACTTATTGGGATCTCTGGAGGTTTATCTTTTGCCCATAACTTAAGCACGAATACCCGTTGCCACTACCCTACCGAAAACCAAGCCTGCAGCAGGCAAGCTAAGTGGGGAGCAACTCAATGCATCTTTAACTACGGGCGTCTGCAGGATTGCGTACGCGTTGACCCTCTGGACCAACACGGTTGAAGACTGAAGTCCAGATGACCGGCTTGCTTCCATCCATTTCCTAGCAAGAGAGACGATGGTGACCAGCCGTCGAGTCGAGGCCAGACAGGTCTGGATTCGACGGAATATTTTAGACCAGGAACGCTGGGAAAGGTAATGATCTCTACTCCAGGTACAGGTCTTCCTATCGCTTCTACGGAACCGAGTAGCAGGGGATCATCGGCTCTGTCGGTTTGGCTCAGCATCTTGATTGGTACGAAATCACACAAGATCGCAAAAAGGACGATAAGCCCAAAGTATCAATGCAAAATGCCCAGCAAACCTACTACTGGGTTTCCAGTGCCCCATTCAACACCATCATTTTGACAACACATTCTTGCATCGGAACGTTATGCATGGCGTGCCGGGCGTCTCAACTCGTCTGCCAGTCAACCATGTGCTGCAGCCCGTACGACGCTCTCGCTTTTGAGGGTCCCCTTGGCTGAATAAGTGGCTCTCGGCGCGCCAAAAGCATGCTTCGGACGCAGTCAATCTAGATTGCGCACGTTCGAGAATCCTCTTCTCAAAACTGAACCATTGCTTGCCTATCCACAAACGTTCTTCAATGAATGGCTGTCACGCCTTCCTTCATGACGCCTAGCTCCTAGAAGAACGTGCGATGCCCATAAGAGAGCGAGACCACCGACGACAGAAGACGCTACACCAGGGGCCCGCAACATCATGATACGCCCATACTCCACCTGCCAGGTGTCTCTGCATAACATAACACTGCGTCAAGAATGGAAAATCTTTGGATCAACAGAAGCACCCCGCCAGTTCTAGATTGACTCATGAGAGGCGTCGTCTTTGATCTTCACCGGTCACGCACGTCAGCAAGCAGGACCGTCGCAACCGGATAGGGTGACCCTCAGAGCATATCTCTCATCAGACCTTCTGCGCGGGGTACTGAAAGAGAACTCATCGCCAATCAAAGCGCGTATAGATCTGCACCAAGACATCCGGCCATAGGAAGGATTTTAAGAATGGCCCCGATATCGACTCTCCGATACTGGCTAAAATGACTGCCAGCACATCAATGACATTACGATGCCATAAGAGCAGAACATCACTACCAGCCGCAGATCGGCCAATACGCAGCCACTTTGCAAAGTAATTTGGCCACAGTGGAATTTTCAGTCTTGCCCCACGGCAGTGCCGCTTGTCTTGCATTTGCTTTGCTGGCATCGCAGGGTTCCTCTTATTGAGGCATGAAATATGTGGGCACAGGCTTCACCTACGAACCGAAGCAGCTATATCGATATTAATTCCTCCCATTGTGTGATGTCTGTCACCCGAAGATTCGATCAGGTAACCTTTGGTACTCGTTGAAACACCTTTGTGTATGGTGACGTTGTCGACACGGCCCCATCATCGTCGAAAGTTCAGTCCTTTGGTGCTTCACTTGTTTTTTCCCGGCGACGATTGGATGCACTGTTGGTTGGGCCACAAAAGTCTGAACGTCTGATGCGGATATGTTGCATACCGTCTACCTAGCGAGTATGTCTCCTCATATGGTGTTTCGGTATCCTTGGTGTTGCTTTGAATTTTCACATCTGCTCCGGCTCTCAATGGTCGAATGCAGCGCTTCCTGGACGAGCGTTCCTGTGTTTGGCTCCCAGGAGTTGGTCAGCCTTGCCAGGGACACCAGGCTATGTCTCGGCAGGATCTTTTGACCATTCCCATCATCGCACCCACTTTGCCTGAGGTTTGCCTTGAACCGAATTGCAAATGCTGACCACCGTTACCAGGTCTTTGTCAGCGCCGTCGATGGCCCGAGCCTGCCTACCTGACCACCAATAGCTCGTCTGGATATCGATGTATTGTCAGGGTGAACAACCGTGAATACCAGACGTCTTCCTATCACTCGTCAGAGTCCTCGGCTAAAGAGGGTGCCGCATTGATTGCGTTCAACATTTGCCGAAACTTCTCCGCCAATGATGGAATGTACCCGACAGGCTTTGCCCATGGCGGTGTCATCCAGGGAAATCCAGTACCCGTTGGCTCGGGACGCCATAATCGCAGGAGCGGAGAAGACGCTCGCCACGAGTACCGATATGGCGATACTGACAGCTCCGGTAGCAGGAGCGGAGGGAGCAGCCCCGACTGGGTGGAATCTCGTCGGTCTGAGCGAATGCCCTCGAGCTACAGAAGCTCGTACTCCTCGGACTCCAGCTCACATGGCCAACGAGCGACGACACGCTATTAGTGCACCCCATCCCGAATCTAACGAAAACACCAACAACAAAAGCTGGCTATTTCCTGTGTTGACTATTCCGGAATGCCCCTTTTAACGACTTACGAATCACGAGATCATGAATGTCAAAGTGGAGGTTCTTGTTTCTTTCTGTCCTTTCTTTCTGTCCAACGATCGACATGACGCACGATAACGTGTTCCTCTATATGCATGCCCTCTTAGACCAAATGTATGCAGGCGACTGTGTGGCTCCGTCCATTTCATATCTTGAAAGCATAGCGGTGTGGATGGCAGGAGAAAGTCCTTGAGCGTGGTTGATCAAGCGTGGATGGATGACTGAATGACTTTTTCCTTTCCGTATCATTTAGACCACCAAAAATGAAACCTTTTTGTCGTCTCCAAGCCAAATCACGAAGGTCATGCTTTTGAGATGTTTGAGGCTGCCCTTGTAAGTAGCGATGAAAGTACTTTACTTAAAGCAGCTGCCCCTGTACGGGAAATGTCTCCAAGCGGTAGGCGCCATGGGGATATTCCCGATTGTGGCGCCTGCGGCTGAACTCCTTTTGCTTTGCAGTGACGTCGTATTGTGCCTCTGAATCGATCAAGGAAGTCAACAAAAAACCAAGTCGGATTTGCTCCCCGTGTCTCTTAATCACAATTCATTTTCAAGTGTCAAGGTTCACACCACAGATACGAATATGCTCATGGAAAAGGATCAATAACAGTCTTCTCTCGCAGCACTCATGAGTCTCGCAACACCAGCGCGGCAGCTGATGCAGTCTCGTGGCTTGCATCAAGTCACTGTCCGCGCGTCATTGGCGTGTTATGCACGAGATCAGACTCGCAGTTGCACCCTGCCGCACAAGCAGGAGGCACTGAAGCCCTCAGGAAGGATCAATGTCGTCTACTGCACGACAAGGAGTATATCCGGTGAACAGAAGGCGAAAGATTTGAACCAGCAGGGCATTGACGAAGCTCTTTCAGACTTCGACACAGCGATAGCTACGGAAGCCAATGAAAAGCAGATTCGAGCACCATGGCACCGCCAGGGCGCAGAGGAGCCTCCTGTACGCAAACAGCGGTCGGCCGGAGCCATGACCAAGGGTAAGTGCTTCTAAGCTCGAACATCCAGGTTGCTGACAACTGCGCAGGAAAACTACTGACAACACCTTCCCGACTGCTCAAGTTGGTCCTTCCTCTTACTACCCTCGACCACAATAGCGACAGAAAAGATGTCGCACCTCTTGCTCTCTTAGTGCACCCTCAGCAGCCACTTTCGTATCTCGAAAGGCTCATCCAGGCCGAGCTTCCTACTATCACGACGGACAAGGGTGATAGCAGAGTGCCTAGCGTGTCATTTCGAGCCATGGAGTCTAAGAATGATGATATTAAACCAAAGGAAAAGCTCCCGGAAGAGCAGGATCAGACCAACCAGTCCAAAGATCAAAGCCAGAGCCATCGTGGCGTTGAAACCTACAGCGGTGCTGGCAGGGAAGGAAAGGGCGAAGATGAAGGTGATTTTGTGAGATGGAGCGCTTCGACCGAGATTGGCGACTTTATCAGAGATGCGGCCAGAGCAAAAGAATTCGAAGTCGAAATCGAAGGCGGCTCAGGGGCCATCAAAGTTGCGGTACCTTCCTTCAACGACAGAACCTTCTACCTGCGGCAAAGGCTGCGCAAGGTGTCAAGACAAATTGCCGACATGGCTGACATCAAGAAGGAGTGTGATGATGCCGCGCACAAGAGTGCACAGAGGATTGCCATGGGAGGATGCGGGCTCTTGGTCGGCTGGTGGTACTTGGTCTACCGTTTGACGTTCGAAACTGATCTTGGATGGGATTTTATGGAGCCGGTGACTTACCTTGTCTCTACTGGAGGTATCATTGCTGGTTATATGTGGTTCTTGTACCATAATCGCGAGGTCTCTTATCGTTCAGCATTGCACCTAACAGTCAGCCGCCGCCAAAGCAAACTATACGAGGTCAAAGGCTTCGACGTGCACAAATGGGAATCCTTGGTCGAAGAAGGTAACGCCATCCGAAGAGAGATCAAGGCTGTGGCCTCCGAGTATGATGTCGAATGGGATGAGACCAAAGACGAACACAGTGAAGAGGTTTCCAAGGCGTTGCGGGAAGACCGGAAGAAGTCCAACGGCAACTCGAAGAAAAAGGACAAAGACGACAAGGATGACGAAGATTAAGCATTAAGGACTCCTAACACCCTTTGACCAAACGTGCCTGGGACTCTTACAGATATTACACAAGCAATTCTGACCAAAACGCCCACCTTCAACGGCGCACATATTTGTCTCGAGCAGGGTCAAATATTGCTGAATCTGAGCCGCCGGAGGATTGACCTACAAAATGCATGCATTAGCTTATGCTTTGGGAGAGGGAAGGATTGGCCCACTTCCAGCACAACTACCCTCTCCTGCCCGACGGTTGCGGTTGTTGCGAATGTCTCTTGACCGGAAGACGCTGTACAGCAGCCACAGAGTCACCCAATTTGGAGCATGTTCGCCAGTCGTGGCGCCCTGGTCAAAAAGAGTACGTTGAATAGTTCCAGGTTTGGCTTGCTGCCATGTGTCGATGATGGCTTGCCGGCGACGATCTTGACGGATGTGGTGCCAGAAGAACGGGGGTGCTGTCGACTTGTCGTTGCGCTTTTCGTCTACCAGACTGGATCGATCAGAATTCAGCCTCGCGTACACCGCAATCGCCTCCTCCTGTTCTTGATCAGCCTTGCAATTCAGGGTGATATTCATGGGTGTCTAGGACGTACTCTCATCGCTCGATAATAGCCTTCGTGGCGCGGATCGGTCGTACTCAGACCCAATGCTCGCATAAAGTCATCTTTGGGCGCCCTCGGTCCTACCGGTTGTGTTTGAGGCATACTGGCGGTGTGAAAACGAAACAGCCCGAGATTTATGTGCAGGATGGTACGAGTTCGTGAGCACAACGAGTGAGTGTCACAGACTTGACGATGCGATTTTGCGTTGAGTGCATCATATATATCGCAAGCAAAATCTCAAGTCTGAGAAGAGAGAAAGCAAACATACCAGCGGTCCACATGCCATACAAGTCAGCAAGACGATTACCTGCACACGTTTGGCACCTCAGTTGGGCATCTGATCACGCCGATTTGCAAATTCGGATATTCAACGGCGTCTGGAAAATGTGGATGATATTCGCTCACGACGGATGCCATCGAGCCTGAAGTCAAATATGCCCTTAACGACAGGCTTAGCGAGTTTGACATATGCAAGTGGCCGCAGGACAAGGGCGCCTCGTGGCCGTTTAATGTGTGGGACGATATGAAGGCCAAACCGGACAACATCCATCGTGCCGCATATTTCCCTAAGCGTCGCCTTGATGCATTGAAACTGAACTCCATCGGCCTCATTAAGAATCAAGGGACACGCCCAGGTGTTTGTAACAACGTTGATCACAGCAAAAAGCAACATGTCAGGGTGAGCCTCCCTTGGTTGCTGAGACATGTTGGGTGATCCCTGATACGCGGGGCTGAAGCAAACCTCAAGATTCGCCTACTCAAGTCTCCGACACTAGCTCGGACTACAAGGCTCTGGCATTTTTTTTCAAACACATTTTGATTGTCGTCAAGTACTTCCCCGGTGTGGATTCGGCTTCCGCATTAAACAGCTGTACTTTGAGACAGTTGGACAGGCCTGTTCTCAAGGCCAATATGACAGCTGTTGTGCTACAAACCGCAAGGAAACCCTGTAGACGAACTCTTTACCACTGGGCAGTCAATTACTCCCTTGGGCAGTCTGGGCATAAATGCAAAGCCGGACATACAGGGTTCCACTTGTTTGCTCATGCGGACGCTAGGATTAAAGTATGCATCACAGGCAAACAGCATCACATCGACAGGACATTGCAAGCTCCAACAACGGCAGAGAGGCTCTCATTCAATGACTCTAGTTCTGAAACAATCCCACGGAGAAAAGCCGCATTTGACCCCCAAACATCGCAAGCTAGAGTCGGCAGACGCCCTCACACAGATTCTATCAGCTGACCTTCTTTACGCCGTTGTGTGAGATGTCTTGTGGCCTTTCAAGGCTCTGGTATGCTGCTTCGAAGCTTGAGCTGGCAGTCTGGAGCGTACCGCCTGATCAGGTGTCATCGCATGAGAGCAGCTCAAAGGACCGCTTCTATCCTGTTTCCATTCTTGAAAATTTCTCCATCATGTCGTGTAATCTGTCAAATGGCAGCCGGCTGTGCGACCTTCACAATGCCGCTGCAGACAGTGCCCTCCCGCACCCGCAACCCTGTGCTACAGAAAACTGTGCATTTCCCAGAAGGTCAACAAAAAACGTCACTCCTGGGTAGTTGGAGATGAAGTGAAGAGCAACAATAGAACAGTCAGGACAGAGAGGATTTGCAGCTTGTTAAATGCCTCTATCGACAGGGTCTCAGGTGAACGACTGCCTCCGAGAGATTGGTCGGGATCGAAGTATGGCTAAATCCTGAAGGAGCGGGTGTTTCGTGGCATCAACGGCCCAGCGACCCCTTGATTGGATATAGCATCCGCGACCATCACTGGGCATCTGCAGCGACGACCACATGGTGCGGTGGCTTTTTTGATTCTGTTAATGCCAGCCTCATGCTAACGACACACTGATGCACAAAAGCTGAGGGGATGTGGCCGGACTTTGCGGCAAGGCTACAGGCGAGGCTGCCTCATAAATTACCTCAAGTTGATAGAACCAAGGCGACCAAAGCCGCTGACCACAGCCTTGCGCGACCGTTCTGCGATCGAAATTGGGTCGTTTGAGCTTGGCGAGATGGGGCATGGGCAATGCTTCCAAACTTCTCCCATGGATAAATATCCATCTGGTCAATGGACAACTGAGTTGTGTATTCGCTATTTCGGAGTGTTTACAGTATGTCTGCGGTTAATTCGCGGCCTCCAACACCCCAAAATAAGTTGTTCAGTTGTCTCGCATCCGTCAATGTCTCGTGCTCCGAGACCAAGAACCTCATTCTTGTCGTCTTTGACGCGAACGCAGTCTAGCTGAAGGCAGACCTGATTCTCTCGTAGCAGTTCCGACAGCTCGTATCCGCCAGCAATGTCTTGCACAGACACACCACGCCGTTGAATGCTCACTCCTCTCAACTTGCCTCCGTCCAGTCTGTGCATACGCCTTGTGCCTCGGTGCATTAAGTCTACACACATCCACGGTCTTAGACTCTGTTCGAAAATGTCAGTACCATCGACGGTGCCCATACTGCTCCTCAAGACTCGGTCTCAGCCTCACGATGCTTACGAGGAATACTTCTCCACATTCGAGAGCTGCGGCCGAAGTTTCCAGCCCCAGTTCGTGCCGGTACTAGAACACCGAGCGAATGCTGAGAACCTGGCTGAGCTAGACCACCTGCTGAAAAGTGGCGGTCTCACAGAGAAATATGGCGGGATGATATTCACGAGCCAGCGAGCGGTCGAGGCCTGGACGGACGTGGTCAAGAGGGTGGAACAGCAATCAACTGGCGATAACACATCTGCCACGGGGACTGGTATGGTCTGTCCCACTAGATCGCCCGGTCACTCATGCGTCTGTTACCTCACTGACAATCGTGCTCTTGAACAGGTGTGAACGGTGCGAACGCAAATGCCAGTCACAGCACGCCGGCCGCGACAGACGATGCCTCTGCCGAGCTCGTCGACAGTGACTTTTCGTTCCCACTTTACACGGTAGGACCGGCGACATCACGGGCATTACAGACTCTGATCACTGCGTCTTCGTCCTCGTCACCGTTCGGCCGCCTGCGCCCTTCGGTCGTGGGCGAGCACACAGGAAACGGCGCCGCGCTCGCCGAGTACATCCTCTCCCACTATAATGCGCTGCACGCACAGAAAGAGTATACATTTTACGACGCACCGCGGCTGCCTTTCATACCACTTCTCGGCCCCTCGAGAGGAGAACGCCTGGAGAAGGATGATAACCGAATACGAAAGAAGGGGCTCTTGTTTCTGGTCGGCGAGCAGAGACGGGATATCATCCCGAAGACACTGATGGATCCGGAAGGGAAGCTAGAAAATCCGCATGACCGGATCGAGGTGGATGAGGTGGAAGTCTACAAGACGGAAATCATGGAGTCCTTCCAAGAGGATTTCCAGTCGAGGCTGGATTCGTCCAAAACACAGGGCCTGCACCTGGTTGTTGTGGTGGTGTTTAGTCCGCAAGGCTGCGAATCTATGCTCCGCTCGTTAGGTTTCATAAATGACTCCAACGCATTGACTGAGCGAGGGAGGGACAGATGGAGCGCTGAACATAGTGAGGGTTCTTTCAAGAGTGTCATCGTGACGATTGGACCGACGACCAGGGACCATCTAGTGAAGCATTATGCCTTCGAGCCAGATGTGTGCGCCGCGAAACCTAGTGCGCAGGGCATTGGGGATGGATTGAACGAGTTCCTCAAGAGCAAGGGTCTATTATAGTTGTTTGCCTCGCAGAAAGATGCCGTATACAGTCTAATTTCTCGTTGCTCTACAACGTAGCCTTCTCACTGACCCTCCACTTCCCACTCTCTGTCTTGACGACTTTCCCATCCTTTTTCAGCTTCTCTAATACCATCAACACCCCATATTCAGCAGGTTGGTACAGACTCTCCGGGTAGTGTCGGTAAATGACCTTGACCATCTCCATGCTGGCCCACTCCTTGCCGACGGTGACTTCTTTGCCTAGCCCAGCGGGCTTTTCGGTCTCACTGTCACTCTCGCCATAACTCGTGATTGAATCGTGTGTGGCGCTTGACGTGCCGGGCGGCTTGACGGTGCCGTACCGCAGCACATTGAGCGCTTCTTCTTCGCGCATTCGCCGGTGTGCGATATATTCGTCTATCTTTGCCGTGGCGTCCTCGATCACCGCGCCGTGGCCTGGGTATGCTTTTCCCTTCGCGCGGCTCTTCATCAAGTGCAGACTGTCGAGGTATGCTGCTAGATCTTCGAAGACGGCGGTCCCGTGGCCGAGGACGTTATCCGCCGTGAAGAGCGAGCCGACTTCGCTGGGGTCCGGAGACGACGTGACCAGGAAGCACATGTGGTCTTTGGCGTGGCCGGGTGTGTGGACTGCTTCAATCTCGAAGGGCTTACCGTCGGTGCTGGTTGTGCTGAATCGTTGGCCGTTGCTGATCTCGTGTACGCGGTCTGGATCGAGGATGCCGTCTGGATTGAGCGTGGGTTGGGCCTTGTAGACTTTGATGGGTCCAAGGGATTCGAGACTTTTGACTCCGCCGACGTGGTCGTGGTGCCAGTGCGTTAATATGCATGTTGATACTTTGGCCTTGTGGACGTCGAGGACGGTGCGGAGTGTGTCGGTCCATTGTTTCTTGCCCTCGCCTGTGTCGATGAGGAGTCGCTCGGAGCCCTGGCCCAGCAGGTATGTATTTGTGCCTTGGAGGGTGAACTGAGGACGTCCACTTAGCATGCAAACCGTGTACGAAAGGAGAAGCGCTGCATTACCTTGCTTGGATTTCCACCTAGGATCCTCACCACGTTGGTGCTAACTTGTTCCCAGTCGGCGAGTTTGGGGAGATGCTGAGCCATTCTGGATCTCGGCTTTCTTGCAAAAGTGGTATTGTTGAAGAGGCGGAGGGTGAGACGCATAGACGCCCTCTATGTATGAGGCAGCACCAACGCAAAGGGGAAATGATGGTGTCTTGTCCCTAGGGTAGACTCCTGGTCGTGTGCCTGGCTAATCGCTTTCCGACCACTCTCGATATGAGTCGCACAAGTAATGGCCTGCCGATCGAGTACTGTTTCGAGGTTCTTGTATCTATTCAGGCTTTCCCGCTCTTTACATTCTTCATATAGCCTGTGTAACCCAAGTCGAGAACTCGAACAGTCCGGCCGGTGCTGGATTGACTACAGTATCCGCGCTACTGGTCTGGCTGTTCTCATACCATAGCCATCGAAGTAAAACGACCAAGATACCGGAAGATGCGATGGGCAGTAAGTACCGGGATACGAGACAGGCGACACTGAACACAAAGTGGAGGAGGGCTACTTCGATCAGTAAGCAATTATAGAAGAGGCTGCGCATCCTGTACAATCGGCTGCGAGTATGGCTTGGTGTCGCCATCCCAGGAATCTCCAATTGACCACAATCTGAATCCCCACGCCATCGAAAACATGCCGAGGTATGAAAGTGACGCAATTCTTACTCGATGATTATAGTTACCAGGAGGCCGTGAAAGATATGTTTGACTGACGACGCCTTGAAGCCGAGGAGGCCGTCAATTCTAGGAGCGTACTTTCAACAAACTATTGTTTTGAGGGTCTGCTGGCTCACATCGTGAAACTGGAAGGATTGTAAATCCGATGTACGCCCCCTGCAAAGAACATAAAATGCTTGGGTCGAAAACAGTACACAATTGGTATTCTTGCTATTGACTGAAGATACATGACTTCGTGCTTGCAGAATCCCTTCAGACCACATGCCATCCCCAAGTCTTCAGTCTCGCTCCGATTCGTCCTCCCCAGCACTGCTACTGAGACTCGAACCTCAATCTTCGCTAGTCGAGCCGCTTCCCAAATACCATTGTATGGACACTCTGTTGATGATAACTCCTCAGCCAAATTTACTCGCTTAATGTCCATGCTTCTTCGCCATGGTGTTCAAAGCACTGCCGTTCTTGAACCATTCGAGTTGACCCTCGTTGAAGGTGTGCGACAATTCGCACTCCCACTTCTCACCATCCTTGGGGTGTACCACCATGGTCAAAGGCTTGCCAACTTCCAACTTAGTAACGAGCAAATCGACCTTGTCGTCAGGGTTGACCTTGTCGTAGTCTTCAGGGTTGGAGAAGGTCAAGGGCAACATGCCTTGCTTCTTCAAGTTCGTTTCGTGGATACGGGCAAAGCTTCGGGTGATGATGGCGATACCACCAAGATGTCTGGGCTCAAGGGCAGCGTGCTCTCGAGATGATCCTTCACCGTAGTTCCAGTCACCAACTACCACCCACTTGATGCCGTCCTTCTTGTATTGACGGGCAGTGGCTGGGACGGCATCCTCTTTACCAGTTTTGAAGTTCTTGACCTTGTTGGCCTCACCGTTGGCGGCGTTAATGGCACCAATCAACATGTTGTTGGAGATGTTGTCAAGATGACCACGGTACTTCAGCCAAGGGCCAGCCATAGAGATGTGATCAGTAGTGGTCTTTCCCTTTGTCTTGATCAAGATGGGAAGATCAACCTGATCCTTTCCATCCCAGGCCTCGAAAGGCTCCAGGATCTGAAGACGGTCAGATGTCGGAGATACCTTAACGTCAACTTGCGAACGCTCCTCAGGTGGTGCTTGGTAGGTGTCACGACCCAGGTCGAATCCGTTCTTGGGCAAGGCATCACCTGTAGGTTCCTTCAGCTTGAACTCGTTGCCGTCTTTGTCCTTGAGGGTGTCGGTAAGTGGGTTGAAGAAGAGACTTCCTGCAATGGTCATCGCAACAGTGAGATCCGGAGAGGTAACAAACGAGTGAGTTGCTGGGTTTGCGTCGTTGCGGCCAGTGAAGTTTCGGTTGTATGATGAGATAATCGAGTTTGGTTCACCTTTCTTGACGTCCTTTCGGTCCCATTGACCGATGCATGGACCGCAAGCATTGGCAAGGACGATACCACCGAAGTCTTCAAAAGTCTTGAGTTGACCGTCACGCTCGATGGTGGCACGGACCTGCTCAGAACCTGGCGTAACGCAGAACAAGGCCTTGGCCTTGACGCCGTGGTCCATGGCATCTGTTGCAATAGAAGCAGCACGGCTCATGTCTTCGTACGATGAGTTGGTGCAAGAACCGATCAAGCCAACTTTGAGTTCCTCAGGCCATTTATTCTCCTTGACTGCGTCCTTGAACATGGAGATAGGTGTAGCCAGGTCAGGAGTGAAGGGGCCGTTGATGTGAGGTTCAAGTTCGTCCAGGTTGATCTCGATCAATTGGTCGTATTCGGCGCCCTCATCTTCGCGAAGCTCTGCGGCATAGGCGCGAGCCAAGTCTCCGATTCTCTTGCGCTTGGTGGATTCCAGGTAGTCGTACATGCGGTCGTTGAAGGGGAACATGGAGGTGGTGGCACCGATTTCAGCACCCATGTTGCAAATAGTGCCCATGCCAGTGCAAGAAAGCGATTCAACACCGGGTCCGTGGTACTCGACGATAGCTGCGAAATGTCAGCAACCTGCAACAGTTGAAACAGCGGAAGACTTGTGCTTCAACGGCACACTGGCACATTGGAAACACGGAGTACTCGTGTATCAAGAGCCAGTCACTGATCCATTGGGAACACGGAGTACTCCTGCTTCAAGACACAGTCACTGGTACATTGGAAGCCTGGAGTACTCGTGGTTCAATGGCACAGTCACTGGCACATTGGGAGCCCGAAGTACGCGTGTTTCAATGACACAGTCTTTGGGAAGGGAAACACTAACCACCCGTACCGCCCTTGACCTTATTATCAAGTCAGCAGCTGTACTAAATGGTCGACAACATGGAAGAACTTACAGTCAGAATACCGGCAACCTTCAGGATGATGTCTAGTTGTAGAGGTTAGCATATTCTGCCACAATCGAAATATGCCCGCTTACCCTTGGGAGTGGTCCATCCGGACATCCTGCCGGTAAGTTTGACGCCAATAACCTACATATTGTCAGCAAGTTGTGTCAATTAAAACCTGGGTTAGACCGAATGGTTACTTTAGGAGCCTTCAACTCCCAAGGCAGGTTGGCCATAACGTCGACAGCATCAGCACCACCGACACCGATGGCAGCCATGCCAAGACCGCCTGCATTGGGAGTGTGAGAGTCGGTACCGATCATCAAACCACCGGGGAAAGCGTAGTTCTCGAGGATGATCTGATGGATGATACCAGAGCCAGGTCGCCAGAAACCGATGTTGTACTTGGCACAGCTGGTTGACAAGAAATCATAGACTTCCTTGTTGATGCTCTTCGCTCGATCCAAATCTTTGTCACCACCAATCTGAGCCTCAATCAAGTGATCACAGTGGACAGTAGTCGGGGTAGCAACAGAGGGCATGCCAGCCGACATGAACTGGAGGATAGCCATCTGTGCAGTGGCATCTTGGCATGCCACTCGGTCGGGTCGCAACTTGAGGTATGAGACACCACGCTCGATCTCTTGGTTGTGCGGATCGTCCAAGTGTGAATATAGGACCTTCTCAGCATAGGTGAGAGGGCGGTTGAGTCTGCTGCGAACGATCGATAGGTTCTCGGACATCTTCCTGTACAGCAGAATGTATTAGCTCCTGCCGCAACGACTCTCGTGCCTTCCCATATGTATCTAGATCCACTTCGACATATGCATAAATCAACATTGGAGGTGACTGACTTGTAGTTGACATAATGGCCCTTTTCCCAATTCGTCATCTCGACCTGTATAAGGTTGTTAGGACCAGGCGGCCACAGAAGGACTGGAGGTCACTTATTTTTACTCAGGGGGTCGTCAGAGACAGTAGCATATCCCATTCTGGACATCCGCAGCGGCTGATATGGTGTGTTAGCTTCATATTCGTATTGTTATTCGGGCGGGAGGGAGAATGGAGGCCGTACAGTTCCGACATTGGAGCCCTGTACACATAGATCAGTCAGTGTTCATCCTAACAACCAGTGTCGAAATTGCGATCATGCAGCCGTTGAGGTCAGGATGATGGCGGAGAGTGTAGACAAGTTGCACATGGCAATGATGCAAGGGCAGACTTACCATGCGCGTGGCCAGGCGGCCCAATGGCCTTGAGGACATCATGATTGCGACGATGCTTGAGCTCTAGCAGCAATTGCAGATAGACCAAGCTCGACAAGATCGTGTGCAGGCACAATGAGTGGAGAGGTGGAAAAGAAATGAAGAAGAAAGCTGTGACGGTGGTGGTGGAAAGCTCCTCCTGGGTTGGAGAGGTGCAAGGTGCGGCTTGTTTGAGCGCCTCGGAGGAGAAGCACGATAAGGTCAGAAAAACGACGTCAACTCAACGCTGAATGGCTACAGCGGATCAACTTGCAGCTCCTCCCACGCAATGCAGTCTTTCCTTTTACTACACGGTATGAAACTTCGCAAAGGACCTTTCGGATCCGGAATGCAGAATTATATATTATATCCACCTCCCCGAGGGTGCCCCCCGAGAAACAACAGCTACCTAGGCAATGGAACCCACCCATGGTCCATGGCCCGAGCAAATGCCTCATTTTCTTCAGACCTGCAGACCATCTGTTGCAGCCAATCAGATCAAGGCAATTACTTTGTCGCTGTGCGCATGAAGGGAGATGCTCTATTCTGCCCACACATGAATGGCATGGCAAGACTGACCAAGTTTTGGGAGATGCATTTCTGCTTAGCAACATATGCGTCGCAATTAATAAATCTGAGTCGCAACGCGGGCTCAGCTGTAGATGGTCTGGGTCTTGCTCGTACTTCCAGCTGTCCGGGACTTCTCGAAAGGGTTATTATAAAGGTCGGCAGTGATTGGACGGGCGATGTAGAGCCGCGGCACAAATTGGAAGATGAGACCTGGAGAGCCTGGAACGGTACATGAATGGACGACTTTGTCAGACAGAATAGTGTAGTCACAATATTCCCCTTGTTTGTAGGGATATCATTTTTCTGACAACAATTTCTTCCACGCCTCTGTCGAGGTTCTCCCCGAAAATTGGCCCACAATCCACCCGGTGTCCACTACTGAATGTTTACGCCAAAAGGCTTGCGTGCTGAACTTTCCGACAATTTTGCGCCAGCGAGGTCGAATTCACATTCTGCGCAGGAAGATTCCCCCGACTGACCACCAACGTCATGGGCAGTATCAGACGCAGCAAGACAAAGCGTCGAACACGGTATGTTCTATCCGGTGTTTGTAAACCATATAAAAAAAGATTGCTGACGCTTTTTCATAGCGATTACGACCAAGTCAAGGCTGACCTGAAATCTCCGAAACACCTCGCTCAACATAAGGGTGCGAAGCCCTCCGAAGACCTGCCGGGCTTGGGCGCCTTTTATTGCATAGAATGCGCCAAATACTTCTCGGACAGTCATAATTTGAACGAGCATCGCCGCGGAAAGAATCACAAGAGAAGGTAGAAATATATAACTCGAGATCACCGAAATGTAGCTGACAACCCACCAGAGTCCGAACGCTCAAGGAAGAGGCTCATTCTCAGGAGCTCGCAGACGCAGCGGTTGGTCTAACAACAGACAATCGTCGCTCGCAGCGGACAAACAATGAGCCAAAGACCGAAGCGATGGAGGACGTCTGATTTCGACATGTGCCCGGTATCCTAAAAGCACCCTCGAGGATATACGCCTTGATGGTTTCGTCATCCACGAGTCCTTTGAGCGGATATCGATCTGCAAATATTTAACAGCCTGAAAGCGCACTTCTGGCCCTTGGGTATGCTGCCTTGCATGAGCAGGTCGAGCGTCACGTGCGCATGAAGCCAGGAGGTGAAGTGCTGGTGGACGAAGAGATCATGATTTCTGCCCGCCAAGGAGCGCCATGATTCTTTCATAAGCGTACCACTATCGTCAATGTTAGTGACCAGCGGCCAATTCGACAGAGCCACGCCTACCTGGATTGCATTCACGAAGAATGCTCGCAGGCTACAGATTCCCACGCCACGATAGAATCCACCAATTCCGCCACTGCGCCATATTTCGCGCGCCACATCGAGGGATGTAGGCGCACGATGACGGACTGCGCCATCTGCTGGAAGAAGTCCCTGCCTCTCAGGATGCCATGCGGGTTCTGTCTGGAGACGAGTCTTGATCACATCCAATGGGTAGATGGACACCCAGGTGATGACACCCGCGATACCTCCGCTAATCAACACGTCCGACGCTGTTGGTGACACGAATGGGTCGGGCTGTCTTGATAGAAGCAACCGCTTGCTCAGCTCGTATGACCAGAAATACCAGCCGTATCTGTTGAGTTGTCAATGGAAAATACATTACCTACAAGCTTTGAGCGTACCCAAATGCATCTCTTAGGCTAGTTATTGTGCCACCATAGTACAAACCTCGCAGTCCGCCATGTTTCCAGATGTCCTTGAATACAGCATAGGACGACCCTTGCCCATCAACGACTAGCTGAGCCCGACATTTTATGAGCTCAGAAGGCGCGGATACCACGAAACTTGCCAGGCCTCCAATTGCACCAGCGACCCAAATCTTGCCTAGGTCAACGCCAGCAAGTTTAGTATAGTCAAATATACTCGGGTCCATGAGCTTCAATGACCGGTTGAAGGTCATAAAAAGAATCGAGTTCAGAGCACCATAGCCTAGTATTGGTGCTGCAGCACCCCGAAACAAGGCTGTGAACTTCTGAAGGTTGGTCCCGAGTTCTGGAGCCGTAACCGTATGAGTGCTGCCGGTACTTGCCTGAGCTCGCACCTTCAGAACATCCAGGCGGTTTCCAATCAAGATCCCGAGTGCGCCTGATGTGTAACCGGCCCAGAAATCGGCAGACATCTTGAAGTACTGGACCCCAACCTCCCACTCGTCGAGAAAGGAAATCTGGTTGGCTTGTGTCTATATCATCTTGCTCAAGGATCGGACAGGATCGGCCGGGCAAGCAGGAATGGAAATGCTTCCAGCGGCGAACACACCTTACTGTTGTATACGGGCTCAGGCTAAGTTGTTTCCAATATCCGATCGCTATGACCGTCCCACATCTGCAGAGTAACGTGGAAGTATGTGCGGACAAGGTGCACGTGATCGCGCGAGTCGCGTCCAGGAAGGAACGCGTTCCCTAAACGCGGTTGCCGATGGTATTTCCTCATACTCGCCACAAACTCATACGACTCTTATGCTATATTGATTTTTCTCTCTTGAGCCGGCAAATTTCATGTTCTGGAGGGTTAAAAGTCCATTCCTATCATGTATGCTAACATGTTCAGCTCAGATATTCAGTGGTTGCTAACATCCGACAGGATTCGTGCCAAAGTACTGGCGCTGGGAAACGACAAAGAGAACATTCCTCCCTCAAAGGCCGGCAGACTAAGTGTCAACTCTCCAGCTGCCCTCGACCTACTCGTCAAACCTTTCAAATGTCCTGGCTCTGCCAATTCCCGGAAGGCCAATGGCGAGCCGATACGGAAGCGACGGAAAGTCAACTACGCGGAGGAGGAGGGAGGCAGTGAAGACAAGAGTGGAGGTTTCAGCATCGATGGTGATAGTGTCGCACTCAAGGATCGCTTTCCTGTCTTCAAGGTCAAGGACAAAGAGTCCACCTTCCGTACACGATTTGCCATCCCTCTCATCAACAAGAATTCGTACGATCCTTCGCGGCCGGCACCTGGCCTCGGTATGCGCCGCGGAGGTGGCTTTGTGAACAAGCCCTTACATGACCCGAGTGGAGAATTTGCAATAGTGTTGTTTGATCCCACCATTGATGACAAGTCCGAGGTCAAGCCGGAAGAGCTCAAGGAAGAAGACAAGCCCAAGCTGGATACACCACTCATGCACAAAAGCCTGGCCGAGATTCTTGGGATCAAGAAACAAGTCGAAGGCGAAAGACCCAAGGTGCCAGTTGTTATTGATCCAAGACTGGCCAAAGTGCTGCGACCTCATCAAGTGGAAGGTGTGAAATTCCTGTACCGATGCACAACAGGCTTGATCGACGAGAAGGCAAAAGGCTGCATCATGGCTGACGAAATGGGCCTCGGAAAGACTTTGCAGTGTATCGCCTTGATGTGGACTCTGCTCAAGCAATCTCCAGAAGCAGGGAAGTCAACCATCCAGAAATGCATCATTGCGTGTCCTGCCAGCTTGGTCAAGAATTGGGCGAACGAACTGGTCAAATGGCTCGGAGAAGGCGCTATTAACCCTTTTGCCATCGATGGAAAGGCAACGAAAGAGGAGCTTACCTTGCAATTGAAACAATGGGCAATCGCATCAGGCAGATCGGTTGCGAGGCCCGTGTTGATCGTGTCATACGAGTCACTCCGATTGAACATTGAGGAGCTCAAAGACGTCAAGGTTGGCCTAATGCTGTGTGATGAAGGTCACCGGCTCAAAAATGCTGAGAGTGAGACATACATGGCGTTGACCGGACTGAACGTGGACAGACGGGTAATCTTGTCGGGCACACCGATTCAGAATGACTTGACTGAGTACTATGCCCTGCTCGATTTCGCCAACCCTGGCTATCTGGGTAGTAAGGCCGACTTCCGCAAGAAGTTTGAGCTGCCCATCCTGCGTGGTCGCGATGCAGCAGGTTCCGACACCGACAAGCAGAAGGGTGAAACAGCTAATGCTGAACTCGGATCGCTGGTGAAGAAATTCATCATTCGGAGAACCAACGATATTCTGTCGAAATACTTGCCGGTCAAGTACGAGCATGTTGTCTTCTGCAACCTTGCGCCGTTCCAGAAAGATCTTTATAATCACTTTCTTCAGAGCCCCGACATCAAAAGTTTGCTCAGAGGCAAGGGCAGTCAGCCTTTGAAAGCAATTGGGATCTTGAAAAAGCTGTGCAACCATCCTGATCTACTGGATCTGGAGAAGGATTTGCCGGGCAGCGAAAAACTGTGGCCGCATGATTATGTCCCCAAGGAAGCTCGAGGCCGAGATCGAGACGTCAAGTCATGGTACTCTGGGAAATTTGCCGTGCTTGAACGTATGCTTGCACGTATACGACAAGACACAAACGACAAGATTGTCCTCATCAGCAACTACACCCAAACACTGGATGTGTTTGAAAAGTTGTGCCGAAATCGAAATTATGGATCCCTTCGACTTGACGGTACAATGAACGTCAACAAGCGGCAGAAACTTGTTGACAAATTCAACGACCCCAACGGTGAAGAGTTTATATTCTTGCTAAGCAGCAAAGCAGGCGGCTGTGGTATCAACTTGATTGGTGCCAATCGCCTTATTCTTTTCGACCCTGATTGGAATCCTGCAGCTGATCAGCAAGCTCTTGCCCGAGTCTGGCGAGATGGCCAGAAGAAAGATTGCTTCGTCTATAGATTCATGGGCACCGGCACCATCGAGGAGAAGATCTTCCAGCGACAATCTCACAAGCAAGCATTGTCATCCACAGTGGTGGATTCGGCAGAAGATGTCGAACGCCATTTTACCTTGGATTCCTTGCGAGAGCTTTTCCAGTATCAACCAGAAACGAGAAGCGATACCCACGATACATTCAAATGCAAGAGATGCAAGTCAGACGGTGTACAGCAGATCAAAGCACCCGCAATGCTTTACGGTGACACCAGTTCTTGGAACCATTTTGTCAACAATGGAGAGAAGGGGCCAATGGGGAAGATCCAAGACTTGCTTCTTCGACAGGAAGCTTCGGAGGCGGACGTCAGTGCTGTCTTCCAGTATATCAGTCATTAAGCATCGACAGCTGCGCGTTTTTGTGACAAGCAAAAGAACCGGCGAAGTTGTTCTTCATGTCTGGGTGCACCGGCTGTGGTACAAGGACGTCACCAACGGACAAAGATGAGATTGAATGCCTGAGCCTGCCCCCGTCGTGTGGTATAGTGGTACCATTGGTGACCATAGAGCATGAGAATAAAAAGATAAACTCTGATACCCCATAATTGATCATATTGCGTGACGAGAGGTCGAGTATAGATATGTTTAGGTGCCCATCAAAGCCGAAAACTACTTGATGATATTATGCTTTGGTTAATCAAGTTGTGATCTCATGTGGCCTGTTTTCAGTTTGCCTTTGGCGTTGCCGCTGCCAGATAAATGTCGTTGGTGGTCCCGCCAATGACGGCGTATCGGTGCCGGACCTTCAAACTTGGAACCTCCAATGCTCTGAGCGGCCACTTAGAACGCGCGTGCATCACAACTCGAACACAACATTCAACTACATTTCTATATTTGTGCTCAGCAGAGGCCATCAAGGGAGCAGAGCATCTGCATTCGCGGATCCTGGATCATCTCAATGCGGGTAGCATCGCATCATCTTGGACATAGCCCCTCCACCATCATCTTTCGATGATGATCACGCGAGGCACTTTGAACATCAATCGACCGACACCTCGATATGGATCCATCTGTACAGCGTCTGCTTACCGACAAACTTTATGACAAGCGGAAGCAAGGCGCCCTTGAGTATGCTGGACGATATATTCAAGCTGTACAAACATTGACTAAGTTCTACAAGGCTCGAACGTTTTATCAGAGAAGCGTCTGCTGCCAAAGAGCACGAGAGAATCCGCAAAACCCTCGATCAGCTCTGCCATGACTACGCCTACGCAGTCCATCTGCCACATGCCCGTAACGGAGGACTCATTGGTCTTGCTGCGGCCTCAATCGCCCTTGGCTCGGTTTGTACAGCCCCATGACCACCATTATGTGCGTGATACTGACACTTGCCGCAAAGGAAGAGGTAGCTCGCTACCTGCATGTGATAGTACCACCAGTCCTGGCATGCTTTACAGATCAAGATGCCCGCGTTCGTTATTACGCGTGCGAAGCCATGTACAATATTGCCAAAGTGGCAAAGGGCGAAATTCTGGTCTTCTTCAACGACATATTTGACACTTTATGCAAGGTACAGTTACCGATCAGCCTCTTATGCTCATGCTCACCCCTCTTCACAGCTCGCAGCAGACTCTGAGCTCTCGGTGAAAAATGGAGCCGAGCTCCTTGACCGTCTCATCAAGGACATCGTATCCGAATCGGCGGCTACTTATGTCTCGGTGCTCGAGCACACTGATGAAAACGGTGACCCTACTCCTTCCGACAAGGAGCAGGACCAGGAGCGAGCTTTTTCCCTCGAAAGATTTATCCCTCTGCTCGAAGAACGAATCCACGTACTCAACCCGTTCACTAGGACGTTTCTTGTTTCATGGCTAGTACTTCTCGACGAAATACCAGAGCTGGAGCTGATACACCACTTGCCCGCCTTCCTTGGTGGCCTGTTCAAATTTCTCGGTGACCCCAACAGGGATGTCTACGTGGCGACACAAGGTCTGCTAGAGCGGTTCCTGAGCGAAATTAAGCATATCGCGAAGGTCAAACGAGGCGTTGCCGAAAGTCGACGGAGTCGAATGAGCAATCGAAGACAACGAACCAACAGTCAAAGTGAGAGTGCCACAGCAACCGGAAGTACTGCGCATGATAATGCTATTGAGGATTCGGATCCTGGAAGTGCTCAGGAAGAGTCAGGCGAGGCGGGTGAGGATGCCGAGGAAGGCGAAGAAGGCGGTGATTGGATTGTACCTGGACAAGATGTTCAAGTTGACTATACACAGATATTGGACATCCTGCTAAAATTCGTTGATGTGTCCTCCAGCAAGGATTCGGCACCAAGCTTGCGACTTGAAGGACTGTCCAAACAAAAGGAAGAGGAAATCGGGATAGTGGCGTTACGATGGATCGACAGCTTCTTCGAGATCAGTCCAGAGGAGATCCTGCAGTTTGTTCCGCGCCTCTTGTCTCGGGTACTGCCAGCCTTGTCGTCGCAATCGGAACAAGTTCGAACAACAGCCAGCAAGGTCAATAGGTCATTGATGGACTACATTGTGAGCTTCCAAGATGCAGTCTCCAACGACGAGGACAGCCCACCCGCGCTAAACAACCATGCTCTGAACTCAACGCGAGATGGGGACTCGGACAACAAAAGACAGTCAGGGGCAACATCAAGAAGCATAGCGACTTCTGCCACGATAAAGGAAAATGAGGCTTCTGAGGCTCCAGCTGAACCCGAGCAATCACCTCCTGAAGTAACACCAAGATCCACTGCAGCACCTTCACCACAACCCATGGCAGACCTGGACTACGCTGCTGCAGTCAATGCCCTGACTTTGCAGTTTCTCAATCAGAACGAGGAGACACGAGTAGCGGCATTGAGCTGGTTGATCATGCTACACCGCAAGGCTCCCAAAAAAGTACTCGCATTCAACGACGGCACATTTCCCGCTCTGCTTAAGACGCTTTCCGACCCTGCTGAAGCCGTCGTGACGCGCGATTTGCAACTGCTCTCTCAGATCTCCAAGAACAGTGAAGACGGCTACTTTACCTCGTTCATGGTCGCCCTGCTGCAGTTGTTCTCCACGGATCGCAAGCTGCTGGAAATTCGAGGCAACTTGATCATTCGTCAGTTGTGCATCAACTTGCAGCCGGAGCGGATCTACAGGACCCTGGCAGACTGTCTCGAGAAGGACGAGGACATCGAGTTCGCCAGTATCATGGTCCAGAACCTGAACAACAACCTGATCACCGCGCCAGAATTGGCTGAGCTGAGGAAGCGACTTCGCAACCTCGAAAGCAAAGACGGCCAGATGTTCTTCGTCGCCCTTTTTCGCGCTTGGTGTTACAATGCCGTCGCTACATTCTCATTGTGCTTGCTCGCTCAAGCGTATGAGCAGGCTTACAACCTGTTGCAGATATTTGCGGACCTGGAAATGACTGTCAACATGCTGATACAGATCGACAAACTGGTGCAGCTGCTCGAGAGTCCGGTGTTCACATGTGAGTCGCCTTTCTGTCCTGGCATTGTGCGGAAGCCCTGTTGGTTGCTGACTTTCGTGCGACAGATCTCCGTCTGCAACTTCTCGAGCCCGATCGGTATCCGTATCTATACAAGTGCCTCTACGGCCTGCTCATGCTGCTCCCGCAGTCCTTTGCGTTCGGCACGTTGAAGAACCGCCTCAACAGCGTCTCGGCAATAGGCTTGCTGCACACGCCTGCATCGATGCCGAGCAGACCAAGTGTCGTGGCTGGCATGTCCTCACCTGCGGTACCGTCGGGAGCCTCGGGGGCTGTCACAGGTCGTCTCAATCGCACGCGCGACTCGACGAGCAATAATGAAGTCAAGTGGCCTGAGTTGCTTGACAAGTTCAAGCAGACTCAAGAACGGGCGCGGCGACGAAATGAACGACTCCTGCGTGGCATGGACGCAGATGTGTCTTCGAGCGGACCGCCATCCCGGGGTCTGCTTGACGGCGGTGAGGGTGGGAGAACCAGTCGCGCCAGTATCCGCTCGGATGCGGATGGACGAGTTGGCGGGACTAGAGGAGCTGGCCGTCCGCTGAGTATGGTAGGGCCATCAGGTGGGCAGGGACTTAACAAAGCTGGAAGCGGGTTGACTATTCAGACGGGTGGTGCAGCGGGCGGTGGTGCAGGAGCAGGAGCTGAGAGGCCGCCGCATAAGCGAGGACACAGCCTTGCTGGGGGACTGGGGAAGTTTGCTAGTGGGCTTTCCAGGGCGGGTGGTGCAAGTCGTGACCGGGACAAGAACAAGAAGTAATCTGGCTGTCCTGGAGGTTGAAATTGAGATCGAGGTGGCGAAGTATGTGGCATTGGTTATAGGGAAGGAAAAGGCCGGGGTTATTCGCTTTACTATAAGGGTTACTGGCAAGTACCTTTATGCAAGGCTGAGAGCGAGTCCGGACGCTCACATGGGCTTTGAATACCAGAAAGCCGTTGACCAGCATTCGGAGAGTGGTCTTGTATGGTTATTTCTGTAGGAACAACACTACCAATGCGCTTGTATACGTCTTTCCTGCTTGCCATGCTCTCATACCAGGTCTGACAATGTCGCTGTTCGGCTGTCGAATCGTTCTGGAACGACGTTCAAACGCAGTTTCAGCCTGACCCGGCCTTGCGACGATCCTGAGGCTGTTTGTGACGCAAGTATGGGCGATCAAAGACAGGGGTACGTGCTGACGCGAGGCTCTGCGGACGACTCGAGGTCAATGCGTGCGCACGTGCGTGATAAGAGGGGTGTCAGAGAGGTCACGCTGATTGACAGTCAAGATAATCTCTGTTCTGCGGCGTACGGCAGCGAAGCTGTTCACTGACCCCTATTCTGCGGTCTCTCAACGAACGTGAGCGCCAGTCGCCCGATGCCGGATCCTTCTTCTCCTTCCTGTGAACAACGCTTGTAACAAATGAAACTCTTGTCCTTGGACCCCATTCCCCACGCTGCGCTCGTGCTGCTGCTCAAACAACCAAAGATGGTTCCAGACGCCAATGCTATGCATAATTCAAACGACGATGATATCGACCAGAAACGTATAAGTGTACTTCATAAACCGTTCAACAAAACGTGATCATCTGCGCTGATCAGGAGGTGCCCAGAACACTGTCCGTCTCTTGCTTGAGCTTCCAGAACCTCCGGTCGAGTCGGCGGACATGGGACCGTCCATGGAACCGGGGCTCACAGGATAGACGTATTCTCCGTCCACGTATTGCGCGTTGGTAGTATAGGTAGTTCTGTTCTTGCGACGGGCGTACTTCTGTTCGAGACGGTAAAGGTCCAGTTCTGTGCATGGGCCGTTAGCCAGAAGGTACAAAGCACGAGTGAAGAGACCTTGAAGGTATGAGCTCGCAAAGTCTAGGAGATTGTGACTTACTTGACTGTAGCTTGTCGAAGAAACCCATATTGGCCTCTTTCGTATGTGAGGTATGTAGAAAATGTGCAGTTGGGGTATGAATGGTTCCGGACAGCGATGCTTATAGCCGGCCCAGGATCAGTAAGCTGATGAGTATGATATTCCCAGTGGACCGCGTCTTTTTCCCACAAGAGCCTTGTGATCTGCGAATGTACGTCCCAACCTGTCGGTTTGTTTCTATCCGGCCTTCCGTAGAAGGATTATGAGGCTTGCTGCGTAGGAAGACCTGTGATTGCTCGCCGTATGAAGTATCCGGCACAAAGCGGAGATAGTAGAGTATAACAACGGCAATATGATGCAAGACAGAGTGCAGCTGGTCTGCTCTCTTCGAATCAAGTTTTGAGATGGATCACAGGGTGCTTGTAAGAGCTAGGATAGCCCGGGTTTTCACAGCTCTCTGAAACGAACGATAGTAGCAGAGGAGGGAAATGAGCGTTTGGATGCCAGTCACACTTCGCAACTGCGGCACGAAAGATATGGAGAGTGAGAGGGAAAGGCTGTCAGTGTGAACGATCTGAAGTATGGCATAATACTCGTCGCCAGCAGGGAGGGGACGGAGGGAGCATTATCAAGGGATAGTGAGCCCGTTTAGCATTCCATTCTACTGCAGAGAAAGGAGTTTGGCGGGAAAAGAAGACGGGCAGTCGCAATCTCTGCAGGCGTTGAAAGGGAAGCTACGCGAGCATTAAAGCCCCGTTAGATGGCGACGGTTCGCGCCTAGATTTGACTTGGAAGCTCCGCTGCCAACGCTTAAAGATTCTCTAGTGCTTCTAGCTTCGGTCCTCCAAGAAATGTCAACGATAGGCATAGCACGTCAGTCGCAGCTCCCGAGAAGGACTTCAATCTTGCTGGGACAAAAAGCTGGGGAGTTGACGTCTCGCAATAAAACGTCTTCGATCATATATGATTTGAAGATGACGAAGCTGACATCCGACTAAATTCTCTCTACACTGTCACACGACCTTGGCCTTCTTTCATTACACTTTCCTTGATTGTCCAAAATGGGAGACTTGACAGAGAGAGCATTCAGCCCGGTTTCTTCTCGCTGCAACCAAAGAAGCCAAACGACCGACGGTCTAGGCATAGCGGCCACTTGAAGACGCGCTGGTGGGCATCTTCCCCGGCGCGCCAACGCCACGTGTGCCAGGGGTAGCTGACCCCTGTCTCTGCATAGACTTTCCACCATCTTGGTCGAAAAGTGTCTCTGGAAGAACTCCGCTTCAGGCAGTGCACGATCCTTGGTTCGGTCCTTTCGATCTCGGGTAGAAATGATTTTTCTGGCGAGCCACGCTTGAGCACGCGAGCAGCAAGGTGCATATGCAACCTTGCGACCTAAAGTTTTGCCCTCAAATGCCCACTGACCTGATCAAGGAGCAATTGTTTGCGCCCTAGATTCTCGGTAAGTCATCGACGGCCGTCCTGTCTGGTTGCTGTGCATGCCGCCATGTACCTGTGCCATAGAAATCACGAACAGTCGATGACTCTCTCCACCGTAAGACATTGACAGACGATTGGACGTCAACTGCGATGATCCTTAATTCTTTTTCTCCCTGTCTTCACGATCTTCTTCCAGCGAGCGCTCGAGTCCCATGTCTTGTCCAATCGATACTTCTTGTGCCGACCACAGGTCTGAATACAGTCCGCCCATAGCGAGCAATTCTGTATGGCTGCCTTGTTCAACCACTTGGCCGTCCTTTAGCACAAAGATGATATCGGCGTCGTAAATGGTGCGAAGTCGATGAGCCACAAACACACTGGTCCGCGCTTTCTCCTTTAAGATGCTGTTGATATTCTGCAGCAGCGTCTGTTCCGTGTAGGTGTCCAGTGCGGACGTCGCTTCGTCGAAGAACAAGAGTGGTGGATCTTTCAAAAGCAGCCTGGCAACCGCAAGCCTCTGTTTCTCACCACCTGATATCATCATGCCTCTTTCGCCGACCATCGTGTTCCATCCAGCAGGTAAGCGCTCCACCAGATCAGCAATTCTCGCCCGTTGGGCTGCCTTTTTGACGTCGTCGAGAGAAGCATCAATCTTTCCGTAGCGGATATTGTGCTCAATGGTGTTGTTGAACAGCGGAGTGTCCTGCGGAACCACTCCTATGCTCTCTCGTAAGCTGTCAAGGCTAACATCGCGGATGTTCTGGCCATCGATCAAGATCTTGCCAGCTTCTGCATCGTAAAATCGGAACAGAAGTCGGAGAATGGTCGATTTTCCACAACCGCTGGGTCCGACAATGGCAACCTTCTTACCGGCTGGAATTGTCATGCTCAGATTACGCAAGATGGGACGATCAGCATGATATCCAAAATTGACGTTTTCGAACTTGATCTCACCCCCACGTATGAGGTTCAGAGGTTTTGGATTTGCAACCTCCTTGACTGTAACATTGACCTTTTGCAAGTTGAACAGCGCCTCCATATCCAGGAGAGATTGACGAAGTTCTCGGTAGACCGAACCCAAAAAGTTCAGAGGCACCGACAGTTGGAAGACTAACTGGTTGACCATGACCAAGTCTCCCACGGTCAATTCGCCGCCGGCTACTCCATTAGCAGCCATGTACATCATACCTGCAAGAGCACTTGAGAAGATGAGGTTTTGCCCAGTGTTCAAAAAGGCGAGTGATGTCGTGACTTTAATGGATGCGTCCTCGTACTTCTTCAAGGCCTTGTCGTATCGGTCTACCTCGAACTTTTCGTTGTTGAAATATTTGACTGCCTCATAATTTATCAGCGTGTCAACAGCCACTGTGGCGCCTTGGTTGTCTGCAGCGTTGGCTTGCTTTCGGAACTTCGTCCTCCATGATGTAGTAGTGATCGTGAATGCCGAGTATGCTATCATGGTGGCGGCCGTGATGGCGGCGAATTGCGGCCCATATTTGTACGTCAATATGCCGCACACCATACCTATTTCCAGCACGGTCGGGAAGATGTGGAATAGCATGGACGTCAACAAGAAGCTGATACCTTTCGTACCTCGGTCAAGTGCCCTTGTCAGTCCACCTGTTTGTCTTGAAAGATGGAAATAGAGATCCAACCGCAGCAAGTGGGCGAACACGTTACGCGCAACGTTGCGAATAGCCTTCTGAGCCACACTGGCGAAGACGGCGTTTCGTAACTCTGTGAACAACGTAGCGCCGATTCTCGTGACACCATAGGCGACTAGCATCGAGCCGGCAACCGTCCAAGCTGTACCGCCGACGGCTAAGAAGTCAATGTTCATTGAGTCGACGATATTTTTGAAATAAAAGGGCACATTGACGTTGAGTATCTTTGCAGAGACCAATAAGCCCAGTGCTGTCCCCACTCGAAGTTTGGTTCCCCAGTCACCCTTTGGCCACAGGTATTGGACCATTTCTTTCATGATGGCCAAGTCGACGTTGCGTTGCTCCTTGTTGGATACCACCTTCTCTGAGAGGAGAGCTTCCTTCTTAGCATCTGCGTCGGCAGCCCTGCTAGATGCAGTAGATTGGAGCGTCTCTGGCTTGGTCACTTCTGCGGCCTCTGACCTACTGGGAGGACTCTCGCCAACCTTAGTAGCCTGTGCTGTTCTTTTGGCGGCGTCATCGCGTTTCCATAAGAATGACTGATGAAACGACCGGATAGGCGAATGCTGTACAGATGGTCGCGCATGACTCCATATCTTGAGGCTCGAGGATTGCGGACCGTACAGTCGGCGCCTCCCACACGTGCAGAGTGTCCTCGATAACATGCTTGCTTAGTGGGACTGGCCGTGATATCCAATCCAAGCAACCACGTTATGCTTGGGCGATCATCAGCCCTTTCTCTCACTGCACCAAGCACAGCAGAACCCCCTCAAAACTTCTAGCGGACGCACACAAATTTGGTCTCGCCCGATGCACCTCTCCTGCCAGCACACGATGTGAAGTGGTTGAAAAGATTAGGCAATTCTGCATGAAACTGATGCCATTTTCTGACGCCTCAAAACACACCAGAGTCCGTCATCGGCCACGTAAGAAGTGAATATGTTTCGCCGTAGAATGACTTAAGCTTGATTTGGTTAGGCCGGGAATCCAGCCTCATCACTCTCTTCAGCCTTGTCTCTCTCCGACATCTATCACATTCGTTTGCATCTTATACCGCCCATTCACATTCTGCCTCACCGCACAAGGTCACACACACGCTCGCGACCAAAAATCCACAGAGTACAAGCCGAGAGCTCAAAAAGTCCCTGCTCGAACAGAGCGCCAGTCAAGAATGCAAAAACTCAAACCTCGAGAGGCTTGAGAAACCCCACGAAGAATTTTTTCATTTATTGTCTGCAATCGAACTCGTCTCTCCGACTTTAACTCAGTAACATAGTAGAGGAGAATAAGAGGTCGGATACTGGAAGGGAGTATCGCCGAGCAGGGCGGAACGCACTCGTCTCACCAAGCATTAATACCATGTTTAGACTTGTGAGGTCGGTATTAGGAGGCTCAGATACTGGAAGGGAGATTGTTAGCAATTTTCTACAGATTTGACCTATATTCACTCAATTTCACCAGTCGTTGCATGTGACTGCACTTTCAGTGAACTGATATCTCCGCCAAGCGGGTGGGTGAGGAAGAGGGCGGCCTCCCGGGAGTGCTGGACCTGACTAGGTACACAGACCCGGCGAGATGTTTGGGGATAACCAGAACGAGCAGAATTCAAGGCCGGTATTTAGGCACCACGACTCTCGACATGCTCGCATCAAGTGTTCACTGCCATCGGCATGTCATTGGTATTGTCGTCAGCGCTGAGCAAGTGGTGAAGCTAACAAGGGTGGCGGGCATAAAGCCTACCATGACGATACGGATTTGCCAAATGAGATAGCTAACCTCCTGAAACTGGATAACAGAGACTCTAATCTAATATAACACATCCATCTTCAGACAATAAAATACATCGAACACGATTAGTCGCCATTAGAATGTCCACTTTCCCATAATCCGAAACACTTCTTACCCAGACACGGTCTTGAATACATTGCGCTAAACAGTCGATGAACGCCATGAAGGACATGATTGTACTGCTTCACAGAACGGAAAGAAAACATAACACTTGCTGACTCCTGCTTCAATCACTCGCACCATTGATGGTAGGTGCAACTTCCACAGCCATGGAAGCTCGACGCATGATCGTAGCGTCATCCTCTTTGGGTCGTGGAGCGAAGAAAAGCTCGATGATAGCCGCAATCGCTATTACCGCAGAACTCCACCACGCTCCAGCCGAGCCTAGACCGCTGTAAAATATGCCCACGAGGGGCGGCGCTACGGTTCTGGCTGCTGAACAGGCTGACATGGCCAGTCCGTTGACCCTGCCCAGCACGAGGGGCGACTCAGTCGCGTTCTTCAACAGAATTAACAGACTCGGATATATGATGATGGCGGTGCAGCTCTGCAGCGCAAGTAACACGCACATCCCGATTCCTGGATTCGGCAGCATCGTAACAAAAGGGACCAAAAGGTGCGCTATCGGAGCGACGATAGTGAGAGACAGTGCGGCCTTCCAGACGCCGAATTTGGAAACGTAGATCGGAAAGATGACACCCTGGACGAATAGCGAAAGGACACTATTGGCTGCCAGAAACACGCCGACAGTCGGAAGCGTTAGCCCTAGGCCTCCCACCAAGTCGAGGTGCTGGGGTGGTTGTCGTGGATCGTCTAGGAGATAGATTGGGAACAGCGCATAGAACGCCATCTGGTGGTAACACATGAGGACAAGGGCAACAGTCCAGAAGATGACGCCCTTGTTGAAAGCCTTGATTGAGTCGGATTTAGGAGCCTGGAATTCGTCGTCCTCAATGACAACATCGACCGTTGGCGTCATGGTGTGATGTAATGGTTTGAAGGACGTGATGGACGCAATTGAGCGTCGTCTGAGGTCGAAGGACGGGTCATTTGGCAAGGGTGCAGAGCTGACTGCGTACGCGATGCTACCCCCGCCCACGGAGAATGCTGTGAGGTTTGATTCTCGTCGGTCTCTGCGTTGAGCGAGCGGCGTTCTCTCGTCGACGATGTGGCTGTCACTCGTCCTTGACATCGATGCAGGCCACAGGGACTTCGCAGCCGGGTTGGTCTCCTCTAGAAGTATCCAGCCCTGAATCATGGCAATTACAATGGCAACCACGGAGACAATGTTGGGCAGGAGGTAGGGATATTCGCCAAAGATGCCATTCGGGTCGAATACGTGAGGATAAAATTTGGCGGGCTGGGCGGTGAAACCTCCTAAAGCCGATCCGACGATCGATCCCAAACTCCACATGAATGGCTGGACAGAGTATGCGGCGGCTAGAAGGAAATGTCAGATCTGATACCGCACGGTTGTGGTTCGTGGCGACTTACGTTCATGATCGGGATTCTTGATCATTTCGGCGACCATAGTCTGCATGACAGCGACATTCCCGTTAAGAGCACCGCCAATTACCCTAGCCAGTAACGCAACCCAATACTTCTTTGCGAATCCAAAGATCAAGCTGGAAAGAGCGGTTCCCGCAAGAGCGACAAGAATGATGGGTTTCCTGCCGTAGCGATCTGAGATGCTGCCCCAGATCATGGCGGTAGACGCTTCGGCCATGGCGAAGGCGGAAATGAGCAGACCGGCATAAAATGATGCATCCTCATCGCCTTTTATGTCCTGTACCATTACAAACGTGTATGCGGTAATGGAAGTGAAAGCGATGGGCTCAGCCAGCCGGCAGATGGCTGGATCTCACGTCAGCAACCATTTTTTGCGTCACGGCTACTAAGGAAGATACGTACCTAGAACGGCCAGCTGTCTATAGGGAAAGGCATCGTCATCCTCCGCCGTTGTTCTCGAGGCCTCAGGCGCCATCGCTCCGTGCACAATGGCTCAAGGAGAGCGGTCAGATGTGGTCAGAATTGAGCCTGAGAACGGGTAGAACCATTTCCTTGTGCATAGAGTTTGCGGAATATAGAAAAGGGAAAGAGAAATTTCAAGCACGCATGATAAAAGCCGGTACCCAGCCTCTAACGTTCCCTGTGCCCACTGCAGCGGGAGAACCGAAGAGCGGTGGAAAGTCTATCTGGTTTCCTGCTTTCTATGACCCATCGACATCGTGATTGTTGGGCTAAAAGAAGGGTGGGAATGGGTGGGAATCTGGTATGCAAGCATCATGGGCTGTCAGATCTCCGATCCTTGGTGCCTATTGGCAGATTTTGTTAGGCGTGGACCAGTCTTTTCCAGGCATACCCGTGCATATCTGGGCGCCACATTCGCTAGAACGGCTGACAGAGACCCTGGCGAAGTTCTGCCATTGTGGAGGAATAGCGTCGTTCACACAATGCACATACCTGGTAGCCGACGTCCAGCGTCACTCTTGCTTCATTGCTCCATGAAGACAGAGGCCAGGCCCACCACTCGACCATTTGCATACCTATAGTTGTCACACTTCTTCTGAAAAGGGAGAGATGCGGTGGCTAGTTTGCAAATGTCCCTGTAACGGTGCCCGTGCGAAAAGGCGGCTCGGCCCATCACCTGGGCTTACACTTACCGCCACCTTCGTCAACCACAGAAGTCTTCAATAAAATCAGAAGATCATCCTCGTCTTACTTCTGTCAATAACAAGAGTGGTGTGCTTGCTAGGTTTAATCACTGCGTCAGCGATCTTGATACCAAAAGACGAACAACGGACTCTTAAACGGGGCCGATCGCCCACTCGGGGCACGTTGGCGAGAGGGTCAAGTCCGTTCTTGAGTGCCAATTAGAAGGCACCGTCTCCATGTGACCTGGTTCACCAGTCACCACCAACAAGTTGTGTACGGGTTCTGACGCCATTGAATGCGAGAACTGACAACGTCCCAATGTTATATTATGCAAATGTGCGACCATTGCCACTCACGCTTAGATGTAGTGTACCTCTAATTCTCGGCGCGATGTAGTACATAGTTTTGATATTTCAACCAGGATCAAAAAGACAAAATAGGTTCGATGCAGCTGCACGAGGCTGAGAGTGGCAGACAGCCATCCTGGGCGGAGAAATGGGAAAGTCCTCCGAATACCTTGGCATGTTTGATACCCGCGTTAACCAGAGCTCGAAAGCTACCATAGAAAGTTGCCCTCTCAGTGCGAACTTTGAACCGAAAAGCGATCGGCTCGCTTTGATTGACCCTCCGGCAACCTCTGGATCTTGTCGCTCACACTGGGTACTTTCGAAAGTAGAGATGCCTCCCGTCGCCGCCAACAACCTCCGACGGTTGTCAAGCTTCTCCCGGAGACGTGTATTTCCTGCGCATGTCATTGCAGGAAGAAGAGTTGGCGGATACAAATACATCTCAGTACAAGCGACACCAGCAACAGATACCAGCAGAATCGATGTGGCCGGTAAATCAGTCTCGGCAGATTCACCAGGTTTGTGCTGGACATCTTGGACCAGCTACCACTTACTGACAGATTCAGATGCCTCGTTTGAAGTCTTGGGAAGCCCATATTCTCTCCTCTCGGTCACTCTTTCTCCTTCCCAAGACCTTTACACACGTCGCGGCACGTTAGTCGGCTTTGGAGGAGGCCCTGATGGCACCGTGTCCACCCTTCGGATGCTGAGTCCCGTCCGCCGTGCGTTGGTCGGAATACCTTTTCTGTATCAAAAGATCACTTCAACGTCTCCAGCGAGCGCTCTCATATCTACAAAATCACCACACACCACCTTTGCGGTTTTGCAACTTGACGGCACGACAGACTGGAAGTTGGCACAGAGAAAAGCTTTGCTAGCATGGACGGGCAGCACTCTTTCCGTGACACCGAGCTTGAATGCAAGATTGTCTTTGGCGTACTGGGGCAGTTCGGATGTGACTGGGAGGGGTCTGCTTGCTCTTGCAGGCCAAGGGCAGGTCTATGCCATTGAACTTGCTCAAGGAGAATCCTACACCGTCCATCCCGCAAACGTCCTGGCCTATTCGGCTTCCTCGCCTTCTCCCCTTCCTCAACCATATCGATTCAAGTCCAACAATATCCGCTTGCAAATACCACTTCAACTCGGGAACTGGTTCCCGTCCTCAAAGTTCATCGAAACCTTGAAGACAAGCGAGACCTACAAGTTCATAGCCAATGCTCTTCTAAGGATCCGTACCTGGAGTAGAAGGACCATATGGGGCGACAGACTCTTCTTACGGTTTCAAGGACCTACAACGTTGCTTGTTCAAAGCCGTGCTGCCAGAGTCAACGACGTTTTAACCGCTCAAGAAGTTAATGAAATTGCGGATACTCCAGCTGGAACGGTCAGAGAGGCAATCGGCAATACCCAGAACCCTACAGGTGCGAGCACCTCTAGATCAGGCGTAGCTGAAGCTGCATTACCTCCTCCAGGGAATCAACCAAAAGTCTCGATCGCCCGCGTTGGTGGCGATGGTAAAGTGTCATTCGAAGCAGCTGAACTTGGCAAAGCAGACCGCTCCTGATGTCCTCAGGATACAGATGTACAACAAATATCTCCTGCCAAACCTCTATTCATCGTTCCCAATGATATCTTTTTTAGAAAGGCTCGAGGCCATCAACGCTCGTGTGTTGTTACCGCGTTGCTCCTTTCTCTTCCGTATCTGATTCACATGTCTTCCCTGCCTCGTGAACATGGTATTTGCATGTGTTGTCGCTGGCGGGCTCTTTGGGGCGATCGAGACTAACAAAGTCGAGCGCCGTTTGAACAGCTTGTCTGAACAGTCGAATGGACGGAAAGTCTGGTCTCATGAACAAACCTTTCACTATCTCCAGTCGTTGTGTTGACTCCACACTATCATCGCTCTCGTTGGTATACATACCGGGAACATCCATTACATCCCATGCGAACTGGTCCACGATCAAACTGAAAAGGAGGCTCGTGTTGCTGAGATGATCGGTGGCCCAAGAGACAACCTCTGGCTCCATGAAATTAGTGGTCCAGTAAGCCATCGCTTGGTCAATCGACTCATTCTGCCATGCAGGCATACACAACTTGTCGGCGAGGACCCAAGCCATGAGGACATTGATGAGCTTGTTAGTGTCGCCTTTCTCGATCTCATCGACGTCGCATCTGTAAATCCAGGAGATGAACTGATCGAATGCCGCAGGCTCATCCTCTGGGAATTCGATCGTGTATGTTGTCGACTCTACCATTCCTGCCGCCAGACATTTCGCAACGAATGGACACTTGTCGATGACGACCGCTTTGTGGGCAGTGTATACAGCTTTCTCAGGACCGACGATGAAGGTTACGATGGGCGACCGTGCGAAGCTGAGAAGGGATGATGTTAGTTATGGAACTCCCCATTCTGGTATCGGGTACGTACCTCTGTGATTTGCCTGGCGTACCTCCGGTCCCGGGAGTGTCGCTATTCATGATGAGTATTGAGTCGACCTGGCGAATAAGGGAGAGGTTCCTGGTCAGCACAAGATGCCAGGGAAGAGCGCCTCTATCTCAAGGATTAGGGAGGAAGTATTAGCGACGAAGAGGGAAAATGCGACAAGGCATGCGGCAAGGAGACTGCCTCTCGAGAACTTCACTGACAACATGTGCCAGGCAAGTTTGTTTTTCATTTCACTATCACTTCACTGTTCACACTGCCCTTTGCTCACATCTCTACTAGGTGAAATGAGAGTAGCAGCGCTCTGCGTAGTCAGAACTCAATCACGGCCGGCTCATCATGGTACCTCGCACATTTCTCAACGCTTGCATGTCAGTCCTCGACCATCGACTGCATATGCCCTGTTGAACCACCCCTACGGCGTGATAAAGTAAGACCCTCTAGCAGTCGGACTTTGATCTAGACCAACTCAACACCTTCCCTCCCAAAATCCCCTCGTACCAGGCCCCAGCCCCTGTCCGTCAGCCCGCACTCATGTGTTCCTTATGTCTTGTTTCAATCACCCTCGTCGTGTGAGGTGAATGCCGCTCTCAGTCACCCTTCAACGCATAAACAGCTCAACACTTTTCTTCGAAGGCACCTCAGCGTATCTGACCCCAACTCGCGCCCCTCCCACTGGGACCATGTAATCTTCGTACGACAGAGGAGGACTAGGTCCTCGAAGCGCGAAAAACGGCAGCGATTGTACCAAGAGCTTGTTGCCAGGGTGTGTGCACCTGCCCTGCAATCCTTCGAAGGCCTCATAATGCTGCCCACCACTCTGGTACGACCTTGGATCATGCCCAACGGTATAGACTAAGATGTCTTTGGTCACACGGTACAATGCACTGTACGGGTGCAGCCGTTCGATAGCCCAAGCATAGAACGCCGGGTCTATCGGGGCCAAGGCCCAAGCCGCCATGATCCGTAGCATCGCCTCGTTCTGTAGGGCCGGCATCATGAATTTGTCGCCGAGGACCCATGTGTGCATACATGCGAGGACGTCTTCCTTGCTGCGTACCCATGCTTTCGGGATCTCGCTATGTAAAGGTATATGATGAATTGCTCGAAACCCGACACATCGTCCTCCGGAAACTCAATCACATTAGTGGATAGTTGTGGTTTTGGCAAACTTACTACTCGGTGCCTTGGGTTTTGATGTGTGCCCACACGGGGGTATCATCGTCTTCCTTTTTCTTGACATTGGCATTCTTCTCCATGCCTGTTTCCTTCATGTTACTTGGAGGCATATCGGGTGCGCTTAGGCTCGAGGAGGTCGCGCTGGGCGGAGAAGGAAAAGGGGTGGCAGCCTTGTCAGAAAACGGCTTTGAATGAGGGTTTCTTACTAGTTCGGCGAACTGGAAGCCACACTTTGCAGTCGATGAAGAGGAGGTAGGAAGAAACAAAGAGAGGATACTGTTTTGTGCATTGTTTCTATGTGACATTATTTCAAGGCAGCCAAAGTTCTGCTCAGTGAAGCAGGGTATTGCTTGTCCTAAGGCAGTGCAAGCGAGGCTCTTGTCACTCGCAATCTGAGTGAAAGTTCATACTGGTGGTGACGCCCTCTTCATAGTCAACAGCCAAGCTACCATCTTTGATGTCCAGGAACATACCGCCCTCATCGAGAACCCGAAATTGCAGTGGTGCAGGCCTGCGACGCATCAGCAATGAAAGTGTGGTCTGGATTTTTGTCAGTAAATTCCTGTCTGAGGAAGGCGTACCACATACGTTCAAACTGCTGCCTTGCACTTCTCTCCCTCTTTGTGGACGTGATATACACAGCCAATCAGTGTTGCTGGATTCCGCAGGTCTTCTTTTCCGCCGTTCTGACGTTGAACTTGTCTTGAATCGATGAATTTCCAAAGCAGTGCGTTCGCCGCTTGGGGGCACGTCTCTGCCAGCCGACGAAAGCCCTCAGTAAAATGTCCGCCAGTGTCTGCTGTGTAGTGGTGTGTTTTCGTGACCACGTCATAGTGCAGTTTGTCCACAACGAATTGCGACAACTTAGAACCCTCTGCATGCTTCCACACAGTCTCCAGCAACCGTGGACTCATGATGACCCTGCGCTTCTTACAGTCAGTGTACCCCTGCTGGGCTCTCACATGGTCGATGATAGCGTTCTGCAGGCCCGTCATGCAGAACTTGTCCGCCAGGGCGTACGAATAGACAAGGCCTGCATCAGTCCAACCCGTGGTGATTCGGTCAGTGTACATCCACTGCACTAGGATGTTGAATGCCGAAGGGCGCTCTTCTGGCAATCTGACGGTCTTTTCCAATTCTTCCTGCATTCCCGAGCTCAAGCATTTATCAAAGAAAGGACAACGGGATCTCAAGATGCTCTCATGGAGTGCATATGTCAGCTTCTCCTCGCCAACGATGACGGTGATGATATTGGAGAGTGCAAAGCTAAATCAGTGAGCCACATTCTCCAAGATAAGGGTCAATGCTGTGAACTTACATTTCAGGCGTCGTCTTTGGGACGATCTGACCATCCGCAGGAGGGTCTTCGTTAGTAGGAGCCATGCTTCTGGTGGTCGGCAGACTGGCAACGGATCCAGAAAGCACGGTGGTTGAGCTGGGGAACAAGTGGGTGATTGAGTTGACCAACGGAAGAAGATGCAGAAGATCATGCGGGCTCCTAGATATCAATGTGAGGCAGCACTGCGACAAAGGCAGTACATGGGTTGAGTGGCACTCGAAGCAAGTCCACTGACTGCCTTGATCAAGTGAGTGAGTTCTGACTTGATCATGGACTGAAAGCAAACTGAAACAAACCTGATGTGAGATCCAGGCGTTAGTATGGGCAGTTCATGATATGCTCAAAGCGACAGGGGCCACGAAAGTCGCACAGTGTACCAGGTATGTTCTGGATAACGTGAACTGCCTTTAGGAGTGCCCCAAGCCAAAGGTGAGCTGAGCGTTCTTCGGTAGCACTCCAGTGCTGAGCAGATTTTAACACGCTCAAAGGAACGGGAGCCATAATTGCTGTCTCTCGACGAGATTGATATTTGTGATATTGGACATCGGGAGGGCCTCCGCCTTGAGATACGTGGTATCGAGTCATACCTGCGTTGACAGTATCGGGATGCTGGTATCCTGTTGCAATGGGAGTACTTCGAGTACCCATCCGGTACAGACCACATCGATTACATAGAACGTATCACAGGGGCTTTCGTGCCCTTGGGAAGTAAGTGCGTCCCATCAAGATCGGTATTTGACCTGGTCGGGCTCTCAATGTGTCCCTTTAGGCCATATATTCTGCGACCTAAGGATGCAGTTGTCCGGCATCCTCAATACTGCTCACCACTCCTCCCAAAATGCCGCCTAGATCAGATGCTTTGACCTAGAAGCACAGAAAGATTAGCATAATTCTCCCGCGACACTTTCAGAATTACGACGTACCTGAAGTATGCCCGCAGATACACAACCTGCCACGCACCCAGACCGACCAGCATTCCCATCGTACCCAGTGCGAACCATTTCACCCGCTCATTTGTGCTCTCATTGGTATCGCGGAGCTTCTGCTCTCTAAGCCGGAGGTACTCCAACTCCTGAACAATCTCATTGACCGTCTCTTCCATCCGTCTAAGCTCCGTCTCTACCGGCTTCAGCTTCTCGTTCGCCTGGATCGCCGACCAGTCACGCGCATCGGCGCCGATATCGATATCGAGTTCGACGTGTCGTGAAGGGTTATGTACGTTCGCTTTTCGAGAAATATCAGCTCAAGTAATCTCAGGCGTGCGCGAACGACATACTTCGACCAGTCAAGGTGTTTTCAAAGCACACATCGAACGCAGTGTCCGCCAAACTTGTGAACGCCATTCTCTTCTCACCCGCCACGTCTTTTGGTCGGCCGTAATCGTTGCCTACGGCATCTTTGATCTAGATAGTCGGAAGAGACATCAGTATACCATCCTAATAGAATTTCCAACTCCCGACGAGCCCCATGCCAGGCAATTCTTCCGTGCTAATAGTATGTGGAGGGGTGACATACATGCATATTAACCATCTGTCCATCTCCTCTGCTGCCGCTGACGATGGCCGTTACCACGACAAGCGTATCTTTCGTCACAAAGTTGCGTATACATCGTTCGTTATTGTGACCGTGTTGTGCAACGAGTTCGAACTTCAATGCGTAGGAGAACGGGAGCAGGAGGAGAAGGAGAACGGCGGAGATTGAAGGCGACTTCATCGTGGTCTGCACAGGTCCTAGACCACTATCGCCAGTAGGTAATATCGACGGCTTGAAAACAGGAAGTGTGCCGTGAACAAATCACCTACTGCACAGCCTGTCAGTTTGCGGACTTCTGGAGTTAGGACAGAATTTCAGGAGTGCACGCGAAGCCCGCCGTGTACAAAACCCCAGATCACGTGAATATCTCAAAGCACGAACCCCTTTTCTCATGCCGTAACAGCATCATGTCCGAACCCGATATAGACCAAAGAACCACAGTAGATCTAAAGTCATAATACTCGAGCGAGACTGCGTGAGTTGGACGACCACATTGAACATGATTGTTGTGAACTCCTCTGCTATTCCACAAAGAAAAGAAACCTCAGCATCGCTATTTACTGGTCGGCAAGATTGTAGCCACTATGTCCAGTCCAACGCTCAAATACACAGGGGAAACATCATTAATGCATAGACCAAATTGGCAAGAGATTTTCACTCGATCAAGGTCCTCACTTCCCCACACTCGCCTTTCGCTGAAAGAATCTCAAAAACCCAGCTTGATCTTTTGAGGTCCTAAGTCTCTGAGGCGGAGTGTCCATGCCGGGTGGTGGCCCAGAATTCTTCAAGTAGGCCGCCAGATCCGCTGTTTCACTACCACCTGAGAATGTGGCGTCTCTTGGTTCGGCACGCGTTTTCTGGCGATTCCTCTCGACATGTGCTGCATGAGTAGGCTGCGTTGGGCGGTACTTATCCATCTTCGAGCCAATTTGAGTCAGGTGAGGAGATTCCGCACGTGCACCGCTACCGTTGGTCATCCTGTTCATTGTACCATTCTTGGGCGAAGTGGAACCATCGAAGAAATTTTTCAACTTGTCGTTGCTGGTCCGCTGATTTAGGGTGTCTGAGTGATCACTAGACCCGGGAGCTGCAGCAAGTATAGGCTGAGTTGTCATGCCCGGGCCTGGAGCCGTATTTCTCAGGAAGTCAACGAGCGACTCTTCGTCAGTGCGGCGTTGCTGTTGTTGGGAAGGGAAGTCGTCTTCCATGTCTTCGTCCTCATCATCACTATAGTCAATGGCATAAGGATCGAGGACCCTCCGTCGAGTCCTGGTCGGCATGCCGTCGGTCTCAGGAATTATAGGTTGCCTAGGTGCAGCATTCGCCGCCGAGCGGATACCATTGGTAGCTCTTTCGTTCGTTCGGTTTGTGAAGTCAAGCAGGCCTGTGCGCGAATTCATCGACGACTGCATCGATTTGACAGTTACTGCGCTCTCTTGATTGCTGCCGTCCGACCTTCGTCCATTAGCATCAAGCTCTGGCGGAGGCGCCAATGCATTTAGGTCGTCCGAATCCATGGTACTGCGAAAAGGCGCGACTCGTCTGTCAATGCGGTGGTCACCAGGAGCTCGGGGAGGTCCTTCTCTGATGAAGTCTATCAAGTCGGAACTCTCGGTCGTCCTTGGAATCTGGGGATCACGTGCCTGGAATTTCAACCTATTGGCCGGTTTTCCAGGTGTTGTTGATGGGCGATCTGATGCGCCAACCGCTTCAGAAGCTCCTGCAACGGCACCAGATCCTTCTGTTTGTGCAGTATTGGGTCGGGCAGATAAGGGCTTGGGGAGCTGCATCTCATTTTCTGGACCAGTTGAGCGAGCATAATCCGCGAGGTCTCGAGTGTTGTTCCTAGTCATTCGAGCATCACGAGGTTCGCCCAAGCGATGCTTAGGTCGCGACGGCGAGCTGACGGATGTCTGCTGGGTTGAGGGCGATGGAGGAGCATCAGGAACGATGGGGATGTGAGACTTCGTGGTTGGCTGCTGATTCGATCTGCTACCAGTAAGGTTGTCCTTAGCAGAGCGGGATGATTTTGGCCGGGTAGTCTCTTCTCCGGGAGGAGCAGTATTTCGGAAGAAGTCCGCCAACTCTTGAGTCTGGCTTTTCACTTTCGGCTTCATCCCCTGAATAACTGTTAGCGGCGTCACATGTGGAAAATGGATTACATACCTCTCTAGCGGACTTGGGCGTTAGCGTGTAGTGCAGCGTCTCGTCACTATCGATCAGAACATCAAGACTCTTCTTCGCTCTATCCAATTCATCGGCCTGTGTGTTCAGTCTTATATGTTGTCGTCGAGCTGTTCCGGAGCCAGCAGTCGTCGGTCGTCCATCATTTGCACTGGTTGTCCTGGAGTGAGGCTGCTGGCTGAGGTTAGATGAGGTAGCATATCGGGGCACTCGGTCTGGAGTGTGCTCCGCAGGCTTTTCATTGCCATTTAGTTGCTGGGAAGTAGGTAAGTGTTGGGGAAATCTCGGCGAGTCAACATTTCGATTCGCCGCTGGTGGCTCTGCGGGCGTTCCCGATGCGTCTGTGCTTCTGGTCGTCGGGGCAGCCACAGGAATATTGGAAGATGGAATCTCAATAGTCGCTGTGCCTAGATCGTCGTCGTTGCGATACGAGCTCGCACCATCATCTGCATAATTGCTTTCATACTCGCGTTGCGGAGCCCTCCCCCTCCCAACGTCAACAGGATCCTGTGCAGCGCTCGTAACTAGATCATGGACACCGGTTGATTGTTCCAGATCAGCATTCCGAACCTGACCTTGTATTGGCAGGTCGCCTTCGCCTGCAGCAGCGACGCCAAAGCCCGAATCTCGAGGATTCGTCTGGTTGGTATTCCGGCCATCTCTCTCATCCGCGGAGCTCAACGCCAGGTCTTCCGGATCGCTTCCGCCCTCAACATCAATTGCACCATCCGAAGTTAGATGATGCGGCGTACGTGACGCCTCTTGTTGATGGTCACTCGGTACTGTGTTTATACCGAGACCCGCTGCGGCGCCGTTATCAGGCTCTGCTGATGTCGAATTTTCTGGAGTTGAATGGCCCCTCCCAAGTGCTCGTGCTGCTTCTACACTTAGAGCCCCAGCGATGGTAGCGACTGTGGCACTGATTGTACTTGAGCGGATGCTCGATTCAGTCTGCGACTCTTCCGGGAAAGAGTTGTCCGGGTGATCTTCCGCTGATTCATCAATATTGCTCTGCCGATTTTCGAGCGGTTCGGCCATCGGTTGATGCGATGCATCTCCGGTCAATTCCACGTTACCTCCTGCTGTTGATGCAGCCTGAGTGCCTGCGGGCACTGAATGTGATCGTTTTCTCTGATAACCAGGCCTGGACAGATCTCCGGCCGCAGCCGGGGTCGAAGGATCTGGGAACTTCCCAGGCATGATGAGCATACTCGAAGGTCTACGATTGTCGAGTGTAGGACGCCCGTTTGCGTTGTCGGCCTCGCTTGCGAAAAGATGCGCTCGACTTGGCACCTCGTTATCTTCGATATCATCATCGTTGATTGGAAGCGGAATGTCAGCAGGTAGTGGGCTCGATCTTGGCTTGAGCGACGGGCTTCGTTCCTCTTTTATTGTCGAAAAAGGTGGTATCGACGGGAATTTCCATTCGTGATTCGGTGACTCCGGGCTCGAAGGCGACAAAATGCTAGGTGTTGTAGGTCGAGATGATACGCTTCCACCGCCTCGCACGCTCCCCTTCCAAGAGCGCCAAAGTCGGATGAGGGGACCCTCTTTGCCGACGCCTGACATATCTATGTCATCCAGCAGGATATGGTGCTGACCATCATACATCGTCTCATTTGGCTGTGCATCCTTGCCTGCACCCTTCGATGTCATGTGGCGTTTCGTAGCATGTTGGGCAGCAATACAAAGAGCTTGTTCCGCTAAGAATTCAAGAACGGTGGTTAAAAAGATGGCAGACGGCGGCGTAATTGTTGCTGATGCCCTGGCGGAGTTGCTCACTCGTGCAAGCTGATCTGCCAGAGTCTCGTCCTCCAAGTAGTCTTCTTCATCCTCCTCTTCCATGTTGCCCAGCTTGGCATAGACCATGCAACGTAGTCTCGTCAGCTTCCAAGCCAGATCAAGGTCAAAGTCTGCTCTTGGATCGAGAACTGGTGGGGTCGATAAGACCTGCGCCATCTCTTCCTCTTCGATATAGTCTTGCAACTCTTCATCAGCAGCCTGCACTGCAGATCGACCCAATCTCTGCTTCAAAATGGCTGGTACTGCCGATCGAATTGCGGGCAGTGCCGTAGAATGCGACCGAGACAGGATGTCGTAGAGGATTTGATCCAGAAATCCATTCACCAATCGCAGCGCACTTTCTGAGACCTTGACAGGTCGCTCTATTTCGGCAAAGATCAATTGCTCGGCTTCGATGTCGGAGATGTAGGCAGGCGGTGGGTGCGCATAGGGAAGAGTGGCTCGCACGGATTTTGAGGACATGGAGAGAACGTCTGAGTACGAGCCCATGCTACGCAGTCCTCTCGGACTGCCAATGTCTGACATATCGGTCCGCGAAGGTCGGCGATCCATGCTGCGCGGGCTTGCCATTACGAATCTTGGTATGTGTTCACGTTGCGAAGAGAAGCGCAACTAGGTAATTCCAGGCAGTCAGCTGTCCATGTCGGCCGTGGAACTGTCTTTCGGTAAGGGTTCAGGTGAACTTCTGGATTCGAAAGATGCTCTCGTGAGCACCGCGTAAAACACAGGCGATCGTGCACCTTGTCAGCTCCAAGTTGCAGTACTCGGTATCTTTGATGGCTGGGACAAGTTTAGAGCCGATTGGAGATCGTGCACAGGGCACCAATGAGGTCAGGGGTGCGGTTTTGGGATTTGGAGAAATACTGAGAGTCGACAAGAGCTGGCTTGCGATGTGCGCTTCACATTGAGCGTTAAGAGTGTTTGAAAGAGTCAGTGAAGGTGAAGTGAAAGGTCAGATAGAAGTGGCTTGCATCACTGCAGAGGCTGGCAAGGAGCCGAGCGCATGCTAAGAGAGACGCAGAGCGGCCGCCAGAAACTTGCAGCTGGGCTCCTCAGGCTCGGTGTTTCAATTGGGACATGGATTGTCGACACCACCGCTTGTGGCTGCACTGACCTGCATTACAGTGGACCTGACTTGCGGGTGAGCGACGCAGCGCCATTTGTTCTAGCAGACGAATTTTGCTGCGGGCAGCTCGACAAAGGCTACGGGGTATGCAATAAGAGCATTACTGCCCTCTTATTGGCGTCGTAACTGGTCTGCGTCCGGCACCAAACGGGGAAGCCATACGTACCTTAGATAGCACAGCACTACGTCGTATACTACGGAGTTGACCTTTCCTGAAACTGCGGTCTCTACATGAGGTGCATCCACCAAACCAACCCCCGTATGTGCAAGTCTTGAAGATTGCTGCAATGTTGCCCCTGAACTGTCCTCCGCACGTTGCCAGTCATCAAGAAACTTAGGTGGTTAGGGTTTCAGTTCGGTATCCTGTCTGGAGAAAATACTCAAGCTTTCCCTTTCAAAGTGATCGACAACTTGGTTAAACTTAGGCATCTACTGTAGCCTTGCTAAGCAGCCTTGGTACCTATTTGACTCAAGGATCGACTTAAAACTGACGTGTCGCTTGCTCGGTGCTGGCACGACATGTTCCTGTCAAGATCAGACACTTGTTACTCCACGATAAGTCACGGAGTCCACCCTTCGAGCATGTGGTTTTGCGTCATGTCTAGGACGAGTCGCTTTTCGTAATTCATACTCCGTTCCGGGAGGTTCAATCATCACTGTATTCAATCTTGCTCCTGCATGAAACTGTGCATGATGGATACTGTACTATACTATGTTGATCTGCCCCGCAAGGATGGTAACAATCTCAATTTGATGCCCGGTATCCACTGCGAACTTCCTGAAGCCTCGAAGAAGAATTCACGTACTACGATACTACCTGGAGTAACACATTTCCTACACCACGCTGCCAGAGTCAGCGGAAGTTTGTTGCTTCACCTAGATCACCTCAATTTGTAGTATGGAGTATTGACTTTGGGTCAGTCACCTAAAGCCCTCGGTTGCGAGTATAACCTGGAGGTAGAAGAGCCTATCCTTTGTGAGGGTTGTGGATCAGGCATTCCTCCATTCTGTTCCAACCTCACTCTCCGAATCATGATATACTGTACACATGAGTGATCCCATCCCACTGCGGGTTTTGACGACAGGCGTTTTGCGAGTAACAACTGATGTATCATCCAGCAGTCCCCTCCTGGACAAAGGATTTGCCAGATACAGGGCATCCTGAGACAGAGGTCTCTAACAGTGAAGACCCCCGGCGAGATCGACTTTCATGAGGATTCGCTACTCCGTTGCTGCTTCAGAACAGCAGCACGACGCCAATGCATCACTAATGTGCTGTACAACGATAAGCCTGGCCATCTTGTGCTTGATTGGCATTTCTCTCAATATGATCACGAACATTCAGTCCGGACATTCCAGGAGCTCAATGCGCACTTCACGAGCAATGGCGATGTTCCTTGGTTGTAAACAGCACACATGAACACCGCCATGGTCATTGCAAAACACGGTCGGGTACTGCAATGACAATTCGTGGCTCTCGTTTAGACCCTTTCACAACGAGCTCGATACCAGAGCCGCTGCCTTTTGGCTGAATGCTTGAATCAATGTAGAAGGCCACCGAGATCTCTCTCAATCCCCGAGACCCGGTCTTCCAAGGACTTCTTCCGGGCCTCCAGCTCTCGGATCTCCGCTTCTTCATGCTGAAAGTCCTGCTCCGTGAAGGCAATTGCAACACCATTATTGGTTGGTTCCGCGTCCACGACATTCTCAAACTCTTCATCCTCGTATTCGCCGCCTTTGTTCCGGCGTGCTAAGACAGCTTGTTGCTTGGACACTTTTTCTTCCAATGCCGATATTGCGGGTGCGACATCCTGGTAGCGACTTCGCAACGCTCGAATCTTCTCAGCAGCTCCAGCGACTGTGTAGACACTACAAAGTCTTTCTGCACCACGAAGGAGGACTTCGACATTGACGCCACCCTGCCTGTTGGTCGCGTGCCTGATCTCTTGAAGCATGTCACTACCTAGCAACCTCGTGACAGTAGACTGTTTGCTTGGGTGAGCAGCTGGAGGAGTAGTCTTGCCCGCCTGTAGGAACAGTCCAGAACGGGACGTTGCCTGCTGGCGATGTCGATTGACAGCGCTTTCGTCGAGGGTGAACAGGGCACGCTCATGGGGCTCGGTATCACGGATCAGGGTAGTGATCTCATGGTCTTTTAAAAGCGCATTGGTGAAGATCTTTGGTGGAGGAAACCTAAGGAGTGGTCAGTCGACCTATCGAATATGTTCGAAGGTGTTCCCAACTCAAGCTCTGCTATAGATTTCGTAGATAGTAATATCTGTTCTAGGTGGGTTGCCAAAAGCGACATGTTGCTGCTAATGGTGACCACATCGGCTCGAGCCAGCTGTGGATTTGGTCGCAATGTACGACTTGACAGAGGATGCGATCAATCACTCGCACTTTTAGGCGCCATAAGAGGCTATCATCGGCTACGTAAAATAAGTCGACGTGGTTGCTGAAGCATTGTTGATGCGGCTCTACAAGGCTAGTTCGGACTGTGGAGAGGGATCGGACGCGTTTGCTGGTCGTGCCTGGCCACTGCGCAGTTGCCCTACGGTCGACCGCAGCCAGAAATCACCTTACCTCATCGCATCTACATTCACATTCACATTCACCTTTTGACTTAGCCTTAAACCTCTACAGACTGTTTTGCTGCATTCAAGGGCAACCTACACGGCCAAACGCATTTCCGAGCTGACCTTCCACGCACTCCGTCCGAAAGCTACTTGACACAAGTAACGCCAATTGAACAGCGCACCCGTGCATCTGGACAGGTTTCTTCAATCCGTCCTTCGCAGTACAACGATTCAGAGCAGATAACTGATCTCTGCCTTGACGTTGTCAGGCTTTGGCTGAGACTGCGCCCTCGAATATCCTCCGGTACGAGTTCCGAACAGACCTTGAAGGTCTTCCGCTGCGGAAATGAGCGGCGACAAACCCCATATGAATGGAAACGATCCTTCCAAGAAAGGTACTGATGGTTCTCAAGACGTTGAGATGAAGGAACAATCGCAAAACTCGAAAAAGACTTCGAAACCGAACAAGGACAAAGATGGCGATGATGAAATGACTGTGGTGGTTCCGCCATCTAAAGGATCGTCCGCGCCGACTGCTCCTGATAAAGCAACAGAGGCGGACCTGACGAACGGCGCAGCGGATGGCGAGGAGACGAAGGAGACCGAGCCTCCTGTTGATCCGCAAGAGAAAGCCATTTCAGGTAAGGAAGTGATACCTTTCTATCGCGCAAGTACAAAGCTCACACGACAGCAGAGATCAAGGCCAATCTTCCCTTATTGGAACGCGGAGTCAGCCAATTCGATCCTCGGTTCAGCTTGCGGGTCCTTCGCTCGATATCTTCAGTCCGAAAACACTTGTCCGCATATGTAGTGGCTACAGTCGTTACAGATACTTACCCAACTTCAAGCGCAACTGCGATATCCCTCCTAAGCGCCGTCAAGGACGATCCATCTTTTCCCTCGCAAAAGGTCGAGGAGTGGCATAGCAGAAAAGAGGGCCTACAACAGAAGAGTTCCTCGAGGGAAACTTTGCCAGAAATCGATGTCTACCTGTCAATCCTAGTGCAGGTCTATCTTCACGATAAGAAGGCTATCGACGCGGGTGCGCAGTTCTCGAGTGCTCTTGTTGAGCACCTTCGCACACTCAACCGTCGGACCCTGGACTCCCTTTCTGCACGTGTGTACTTCTATTACGCGTTGTTCTACGAGGAAAAGTCACCACTACCACCTTCGCCTGCGGCCGCCGTCATTGCCATCAGAAAGAGCCTTCTTGACGCGCTAAGGACTGCTACGCTACGAAAAGATCAAGACACTCAAGCGGCTGTTACCACTCTACTCCTCAGGAACTATCTGTCGACTTCCCACGTCACACAAGCCGACTTGTTGATTTCTCACACACAATTCCCAACCACTGCCGCAAACAATCAGTATGCACGCTATCTGTACTACCTCGGACGCATTCGAGCTATCCAACTCTCTTATACCGAAGCACACGAACATCTTACTGGGGCCACGCGGAAGTCGCCAACGACTTACAAAGCCAGTGGATTCTACCAAGTATCTACTAAGTTGATGATTGTGGTCGAATTGTTAATGGGAGATATCCCGGACCGTGCTACCTTCCGCCAACCAAGCCTCGAGAAGGCCCTGCAACCATATCTGCAACTTGTCCAAGCTGTCAGCTCGGGAGATGTGATTGGGTTCCAAAATCTTGTGCAACGATACAATTCCACTTTCCGAAAAGATGATACATACACACTTATCCTCAGGCTCAGACAGAACGTCATCCGAACGGGAATCCGTATGATGTCTTTGTCCTATGCCCGGATTTCTCTGCGGGACATGTGCTTGCGATTGGGCCTGGACAGCGAAGAATCTGCAGAATACATTGTGGCCAAGGCGATTCGGGATGGAGTGATCGAGGCTAGCCTTGATCACGAACGTGGCTACATGAAGAGCAAAGACGTCGGGGATGTGTATGCCACAAGCGAACCTGGCGATGCCTTCCACGAACGCATTCAGGCCTGTCTAGCTCTGCACGATGAAAGTGTCAAGGTATGTAACCCCGTCGAACCCCCCAGAGTCGTGCTGATGCTGCTATAGGCCATGCGTTTCCCCATGAATCAGCACAGATTGGAGCTCAAAAATGCTCAGGAGGCACGTGAGCGGGAGCGGGAGCTCGCGAAGGAAATCGTCGAGGGGGAAATGGACGACGATGACGCTCCTGGCGGCGACTTTGAGGGGCTCTGAGTGACACGCCGTGTCATAGTGTACTGTACAAGTGGAGCAGGCGCCCTAGTATCATATCGCCATCTTAGACGTATGCAGGCTGGCGATGGAAGCATAGCCAGGAGATCAGCCATCAGGCACCAAGCATCAGGCATCAAGCATCAGGCATTCGACGGAAGAGAAGGTGCAAGGAGTTACAAAGTTTCCAAGGTCCATTGCATTCAGACCCAGAATGTACTTAGTGGCCGGCAGGCTCAGCAATGGCATGCTCGCAGTAGCCACTGTATTGTAATCATGTCCCATTCCTTGCCACACTGTCGTCTATTCGAAGAGACATGCATTTTGTCGTCCTCCTGTCGTATTGACCTCGGCAAAGCTGCCCAATCTTGGTTGTAGAAATGCTTAGCAGCAGTGTTAGCGTCCTTGGCCCGCAACAACAGGGCGCTAAGATATCTGCCGATGTTTATCCGACATGCCGACGTCATTTCATTTCGCAGTTTCACGACGCGTCTGCGATACAAATTCATCTGTAGAGATGATTGACGGACCATTGCTCAGTATTACCTGCAACGATGTCGCAAGGTAGAGCAACATCACAGACGCGTCCTGCAGGCAGGACAAGATCGCGATCGCCCGTATCACGGCCAACAACACCGCTGCGTGCATCCTCTCGGTCTTCGTTCAGAGCATCACAAAGCAATGCCTTCACTGGGCCATCTCCTCTTGACGCCTTTGAGCCGCAGTTTGCAGAGTTGAGTGACTCAATCGCAGACCTCGAAGCAAACCTCATGCACCTCCAGTTGATGCATGAAAGTCTTAGCAGGTTTGGAGAGAGTTTCGCCAGTTTCCTGTATGGACTGAACATGAATGCCTTTGTGGTCGATTTCCCAGAGGTGAGCAATCAATCTCGCTATGCAGTGATGTGATTGTTGACTGCATCCACATAGGCGCCGATTCCGGAATCAATCAAGCGCTTCCAGAGGCGACAGGGACAAGGAAACATTGATGAGACAACCATTCTGCAAAACCATGCAAACGAAGGGAAACCAGTAGAAGGAGACGCAACTCTTGCCACAGCTGATGCCAGCTTCACGAGCATGAAAGCGACTCCACGCCGCCGAACAATGGCGCAAACAGTTACACCAAGTACAGCGTCGGCCATGAAACAAAGCAATGCAAACAGTCGTGGGGCAAGTTCGACGAGAGGAAGCAAAGCTCCTGTCCGTGGAGGGAGAGCTAGTGCCTTACCGCGTGGTAGAGGAAGGGGCACGAAATGAGGGTGTCGTACAAAGCTTGACCACCTTTTTGAACGCCGAGCATCAAAGGGTATTTAGTGCAGACCTCTTCGAATTTATCCACTGTCCTCATCGTCAACAGTCCTCGCAAGAGTTTCAATTTGACAGCGACTCCTCAACTTGAATCAAACACCTCAACAAAGCGGCATCAATTCAGAGAACCAAAGCTGTGCAATTTCACAGGTACCGCTGTCGATCAACATGTCCACAGACGACCAAGCTCAAAGTAACCGACCGCTTGCTCTTGATCTCAGCCATGTCGCTGACCTAGTGTTATAGCAACCCTGCTCGCTGAAGTCGAAGCTGCCGGACTCCCCTACTTCACAACATGCATGCACACATACTACGACCTGTTGAGCGTTATATCCGGGGCTCAAACGAGGGTCAGTGCTAGAGACAGACACATTACATCGACGCTACGTGGAGGAAGCAATGTGGATGCAGTCGATGACCTGGCAAGATGCAGATTCTATGATGAAGAACTGGAGAATGCATGGGACTGGTGCGTTGAGATGATTGACCTTACGAACTCCGTCCTCGTCATGATGGATGGCATTGTCTTTGTCGACAATGAAGTGCGTGATGAGCACCTTGAGGTGTTGGACGATCTCCCCGCCATGATGGAAGTCTGGCAGGATTGGCTTATGGGCAAGGCGCGTGTGCTGGCCATCATAAGCCTGTCAAGAGCTGTTTGAATAGGCGTCCGCCCCAAGAGCACCAGAACATGTTCTCAAAGTAGTATCGATGGCGTTAGAGCGTGCTCCTAATGCAATGAGATTGCACATCCCGCTTCTTGCAATGTTCTACTCCACTCACATCGACCTGCAGTCCTTTGTATAGAGATGGAGTTCGTCAAAGGCACAACGGGAGTGTATGACATGCAAGGCTGAATGCACGAGGCTGAACTGTGTGGCGACGCTGCAAGGCTTATTGCTCGGTTGCCGATTGGTCCGTCGACTTCCGAATAACTTTTGAATCTAGAGACCATCACACTTGAATGTTTTCTGCCACTCCTGATCGGATTACCAACAATAATAGTTTCTTGGATTTTACGGTCTCGTCAATAGGGCACAATAGCCAGGCAAGCGCTATTGAGTACTTTTATTGGGTTGGAAAAAGCTTGCGCTGTTCAGCTGCAGATATCGCCTCTGCATCACACCATCATCTCCTGAACCAAACATCTACACCTTTCTGCTCTCCATTTCTACGTGTGTACTGCTCTACTCTTGAACGAAGACTACTGGGTAGTCATGGCACTTTCAATGCATATGCCAGCAGCTGGTTGCGAGCATATGAACAATGACGCCATCAGCAGAATACGCAAGTTTCGCTCCAAGCACAACCATGAAGACCTTGTCCAGTACACTTGTCTCGAATGCCCAGCTGCAGGCGGCTTTCCCACATTGGACCAACATTTCTCAGACTCACAGCACGAGTTCGCTGTCAGCCAGAAGTCTGTGTATTGTGGTCGCTGCAATGACCTTGTCTATGACCCTACCTTACTCAGCAACAGCAAGAAACGGAAACTCACAGAGGCAAACGATGAAGACGACTCCTATCTCACCGCCAACACTTCTCAACGACCATGTGGCCGCAGCGGTGTGCGAGGCTTGTTCAATCTTGGAGAGACATGCTACATGAACGCGGTTCTTCAAATGATGGTTCACAACACTCTCCTGGCAAGCTATTTTCTCGGCATGGGCCATCCTACCCACACTTGTCCTATCTCTAAGGAACCAGACAAGAAGAACAATGACTCCGACTCCGAGGACGAGGACGAAGAGAAGAAAGAACAACAGACTTGTGTGGCTTGTGGCATGACAGAGGTCTTCTCGGATGTGACCATGGTTGATCAGCCCCTCCCTGCTCATGCCGTCAACCTGCTATTCGCTTCGTGGAAGAATATACCGGTAAGTTGTGGCCTCTCTCGTAGCTGCGGTGATCTAACATCTCTATAGCAAATGTCCGGCAAAGGTCAACAAGATGCCCAGGAATGGTTCATGTGCATCATCGACCGACTCCATGAGGCTGTAGCTCACTACAAAACTCCTGAAAAGACAAACAGCGCCAACGCAGCAAACGGTATTCCAGCCATTGAGAAGCAATGTGTCTGCTTCTTCCACAAGGTCTTCTACGGACGCTACAATAGTCAAATCACCTGCGACACCTGCCATACGGTTTCTTCTCGGGAGGACGAATTCTCCAGCATCAGTCTCGACTTCAAGAAACAAGTCAAAAAGAAGAAGAAGGCGGCAAAGGATGCTGCTAATGCCGCTGCTGGCGAGGGCAAGGAAAAGGACAAAGAGCCACTCAAGATTGCGATCCCAAGTCTCCACGAGTGCCTACGAAGCTTCACCGCCCCCGAACCTCTATCTCCCGAGCAATACAATTGTCAAGAATGCAACGATAGACGCTCTGCCAGCAAGCAGACACGCATCCGCAAGTTACCTGCGATCCTCTGTGTCCACGTTAAGCGGTTTGGCATGAAGCAACTTGGAACGGGCGTTTACGTTCCCGAAAAGTACGAAGGCAGACTGGACTTCAATCTACACCTCGATATGGCGCCCTATACGACACGACCCCCAACAAACGGTGAAGACAAGGAAAAGTACATGTACGATCTGGACTGTGTGGTGGTGCACCAGGGCGAACACGCGCAGAACGGCCACTATTTCGCCTTCTGCCGCCAGGACACCAAGTGGTTCCGCTTCGACGACGAGATCGTGAGTGCTACTACCACGGAGGACGTCATGAGGCAGGAGGCCTACCTGTTGTTCTACTCGCTCAGGAGCTTGGATAAGATGTAGGTGATGGATGGCGTTGGGGTTGGCGGTTGCCTTGGATCAAACGTGTAGTATAGGACAGGCACGTAGTCTGGATGCAATGACATGCGTACAAGTTAAGAGTCCCGTACTTTCGTGATAGGTGGTTCTAGCTTTGCGTTGACGACGTGGGTCTGTCCTAATATGAACCAGTAAAGTGATTCAGCAGGCATGTTCCGCCATGCCAAAACTGCGAAGATCGTCATGGCACTGGCGGAGGGGATGTTGGCCGCCCTCAACAACGACTCCGCAAAGTCCAGCCCGTCAACACTACGAAACAGGAATCTGGGGCAACAGTCTCCTCGACGCAACGCCCATTGAGATCACTCATCTCATGTGGTGAAAACGAGGTGCAGATGCTGAATGATACATCGAGACAATCACTAATCACGGCGAAATGCATGTAAGATTCATCGCATGCCTGATCTCCTTTGTCGGCTCCGTCATCGCAGACAACTTCCAAGAGCCTCTCCGCAGTCCATCAACCTCTCTATCAAAGCCACATCGCATCGCAGTTGTTGGTGCCGGTCCAGGCGGCTCTGCGACATCATACTATCTCGACAAATTTGCGAGATCTTTGTCCCTTCATCGGCCCCTCGAGATCACCGTCTTCGACACGAACACATACATAGGCGGACGGACTACGACAGTCAACGCCCTCGAGGACCCACGCTACCCGACCGAGCTGGGCGCCAGTATCTTCGTCGAGATAAACCATATCCTCTACAATGCCACCCGAGACTTTGGCCTCATACCCTCCGCAAAGATATATCAGGCGGCGCCGGACTCGAAATATGAGCTGGGAATCTGGGACGGGTTGTCCTTCGTCTTCACATCCGCAACGGAAGATGATACCAGCTCGTGGAGCGGATGGTGGGACATCGCGAAGCTGCTATGGAAATATGGGCTGAGCCCGATCCGCACACAGAGGGCAACAAGGAAGGCCGTGGGCTCGTTTCTGGAATTCTACAATGAACCAGTATTCCCTTTCCCCTCGATCCAGGAAGCAGTGCTTAGCACAGGGCTGGTCGCCTACACCAGCGTCACAGGCAAGGATGTCCTAAATGCGGCCGGGGTGGGTGACCTCTTCAGCCGCGAGATCATCCAGGCCAGCACGCGAGTGAACTATGCCTCGAACCTGGGCGGGATCCACGGGCTCGAGACCCTCGTGTGCATGGCAATCGAGGGCGCCATGGCCGTCGAGGGCGGAAACTGGCAGATCTTCGAAGAGATGGTCACGTCGTCGGCGACCCGTCTACTTTTGAATACAACAGTGACAGACGTGATCAAAGACACCAAGCATGGCACATTCACATTACGGACCACCAACCCGGACGTCAATGAGTTCCTGGGTACAGAGGACGAGGCGGCATTCGACACCGTCGTCCTCGCAGCACCGTACCAATTCGCAAATATATCATTCGCACCTGAACTGGCCAACCCACCCGCCAAAATCCCGTATGTAAGTCTACACGTCACGCTGTTCACCTCGCCGCACCGCTTGTCGCCGTCTTTCTTCGGCCTCGACACACAAGCCGACGTCCCCTCGTCCATCTTGACAACACTACACGAAGGACTGGACGAAGACCTCAGTTCACGAAGGGGTGTCGACGCCGTGGGACCAGCCGGGTTCTGGTCCATCAGCACACTCCGCGTCCTCCACCCAGACACGGACGGGACATTCTTCGGTCCAACCTCGAACCATTCCACAAAGGACTCTCAACCTCAATACCTCTACAAAATCTTCTCGCCCGCGCCCTTGACAGGCACATTTCTCTCTGACCTGCTCGACTTCCCGCACAGTGCTGGCGAGAAGGACGATCCACTCTCCGCGCTGTCCAAGAAAGATGTAACATGGCTGCATGAGAAACTCTGGCACAGCTACCCCTACGAACTGCCCCGAAGTACTTTTGAGAACTTCACTCTTCTCACGTCGTCGGGAGACGATCAAGATCAGAAAGAAGGACTCTTCTACCTATCCGGCATGGAGAGCTTCATTTCGACGATGGAGACGTCCGCGCTGGCGGGCATGAATGTCGCACGACTGATCGTCGATCAACTACACTCACAGTCTTGACGTTACCTTGGCTAAGGTATTAGATAAGCTTACTCCTGCATGACGGAGTGTCTTCTGTACCAATGTCTTGCTCGGCGCTGGAGTTATAAGGGCACTTCTTCCACAATGCCCCGGGCCCACATAGTGAGAATGGTGGAAGACAGTGACTTTGGCATTTTGGCGATTTGTCCTTGGTCAACGGATAGAGTGTCACTTTGGGTCGTCAAAGCACAGGGTTCTACGCGTTGGAGTATGCTAAAGCTCACCTACAAGGTACGTAGTCTAGACTCGAAGAATGAACGATCGAGGGATTAATATCATTAGTAGCTTGGGTCATTGCGTAACTAGTGATTCAAAGAGCCCTGATTACAGCTTCCTTTCAATGCTCATGTGTGTCTTCTCAGCATCGCTGTGCCAGCAACCGCCGAAAACCACTTACTCGCAGACATAGGACATTGCGTTCGTGACAGGGTTCTTTACACGATACATGCGCTATATACTCGCCTGAAGAACTATCCTTGCCACGGATGTCCATCGTCCCGTCATGACCATAAGCCCACAACTATCGGATGCCTGAACGCCGCTGGTATCATATTCATTAAATCCCTATCAATACTCCTCATAAAGATAACGCTGGTCAAAAAAGCACACTTCAGCTCGCACTATAGTCAAGCCTGAACACCCCTTTGGGCGCTCGTCCAAAGGCGTCTTTCAACTGATGCAGGTATACCACAACAGGAGGCCATCAACACATCAACCACTAAGCGGAAGCACTGCCTTAGACAGCGGGTTTAGTATCGACGTCCATCTTGTCATCAGCTGGTGTAGCAGGCTGATTTGGTAGCTCTGCCGCTTTTGCTGGCTCTTCAACAGCCTGCACACCTTCCATTTTCGTTGGGGCATTGGCTGGAGCTGAAGGAGTTTCTGCTGGTGTAGACTGAGGCGGAGGTTGTGGTGTAGAAGTTTCTTGTCCGGGCGTCGGCATGGTAGCCGCCATTGGAGCACCTGATGCACCAGGGCCATTCGCAGTATTGGCCGCATTTGAGGGAGCAGGTGAACCAGTATTCGAAAACCCGACAAAGTTCGGATTTTTGAACCGCTCGATGAAGTTGCGCACATGTGCCATGATTGTAAGCTCTTCCCGATTTTCGCCTCCCGGTTGCAAGGAATGTGGAGCACCATGGAGCAAGCGTCGTTTGACCGATGCAAAGACTTGTTGCCATTCCTCGATTTTGCTCGAGTTGCCAACCTGCTCATACATGGCAGTCTCAAATCTTCGGATTGCTAATAGACCGTCCGTAGTGCAAGGCATGTTTCGTGACGCGGAAGAGGTGATAGGAGGCGGAGGAGGAGGGCCTGGGAGTGCGCCTCCGGACGTTGATTGAGAGACTCCTGGTTTCCCAGGCGCCTGCTGACCAGCACCGGCAAGCGGAGGTTGTGGTGAAGAGAATGGCAATTGTCCGGCTTGAGGAGGTGGATAGAATGGCTGACCCTTTTGACCAGGCGGCACCTGCGGAGGTCGTCCATTTGGACCCGGCGACGCTGATGCTCCTGGTGGAGGCCATGGCATTCCGTTCGGTGGCGGTGGCATTGGACCGTTTGGACCTTGAACAAAGAACGGTGGTGGGGGACCTCTGGGCGGCATACCGTTTTGCTGCGGGTAAGGAGTGCTGTTCTGCCAGTTGAGTGGTGGCGGCGGTCCCTGTTGCGGATTCTGGCGCGGCGCTGGAGGTGGTTTCGGCTTTGCAGCTGCGGCTTGTTGCGCCGCTCTTCTACGTTCTGCTTGCGGCTGGAGAGCCCCAGGAATGGCCTTCCAGAAGAAACCTTTACCCTCCTTTTTGGCTTTGTCGAATAATTTTTCATATTCTTGATTCAGATTGTGCCGTACACTGCTTTGCCAGCCTTCTGAATCGACCCTGTGGACGAAGAAGGGAAACTTGAGCTTCAAAGCCCGGTAAATCTGTTTCAGAGGCAGCGCCTCTGGATGTATGTCAATTAAGATGTCGTAGATGAGGCGCGCATAGGGTTCTGACGGTCGAGCAAGTTGTTCTTCCGTCAGACTTTCTACAGGCGGATATTCTGGTGACGGCGACTTCGACTGTCTAGCCTTCTTCGAGGGTGGCGCATTCTCGGGCTCGCTTGGGACGTCGACTTCGCCGCTGCCTTCGATCGATTGCAAGACTTCGCCGTCCTCACGTCTTCTCTTCTTGTACTTCCTCTTCTCCGGTTTCGACTCGACCAGAACTGGTTCTTCTTCCTTGATGACGGGCGGCTTGGGAAATTTGCCTCGCATCAAGCCAGGTGGCGGCGTCCTTCCTCCATTGGCAGCTTTGGCTTCGGCCAATTTTTGTGCCTTCTCTCTTTCTTTCCGCTCCCTTGTAGACATAATTCCATCCTTGGGCGGACGGCCTGGCCCACGCTTTTTCAGTGGCATAGACTGGCCATCTGGTCCATCTGGTCCATCTGGCACGGTAGGTGACGGTTTCTGGGTGAACGTCAATGTGACCTTAGTCCTAGTCTTGCCGCTGCGTGAAGGGGAGAGACTTTGTTCCTCATCATTCGAGATTGGTGAGAGGCTTTCCTGGGGCGGAGGAGTTAGCTCAAACTCCTCACGCTCTGACTCGTCGCTTGGAGGTTCGGCGTTTCGACCTGGAAGCCGAAAAGTCATCCAGACGTCAGAGATCTGAATTTTGGAGCCGTCACGTAGCCGTCGGACGGATCCACGAGTCAGGTATTCGTCATCCAAGAAGGCACCATTCCGGCCTAGGATTCTCATCTGGAAGTATTCCTCCTTAAAGTCCCACTCTATCTTCACGTGTCGACGCGATATGCTCTTGTGGTTCTCAACTTCTGACTTTTCGGCGGTGCGCATTGCGTGGATGGGAATGAGTGGGCAGTTGTCAGCGTCTGGGATATGATCTGCAGTAACAGGAGCTGGCTGTTCGGTGTCCTGTTCTAGGAGGTTTTCTTGTTCATGTTGCGCTTGCCGTTCAGCCATCTTATGGTAATCGAACGGGATAAGCGGAGGGTTGATAAGCACTTCTTGTGGTTTGACGATGCTACCGCCAGATCTTTCGGACGAGTTCGAACCGAGGACATGACCATCAGCACGCTGCCCATCCTGTACCATGGGTGCATCGTCAACGCCTCCAAAGCCTCCAGCCTCACTGACAACACTGCCTTGCACTTGACTGTCACCCGGCCGAGGCATACCTTCAGACAAGCCCGACCGCCTCCCGCTAGAACTTTGAGCACGATCGCGTTCAGCCTGGGCGGCCTCTTCAGCTCTGGCAAGTGCTGCCTTGTACGCAAAGGCATCGCGACCCAATTCGCATGCATATGTGGTGATGTAATAGTTTCCATCCTCGAATTCAATCTTTGCAAAGGCCTCGATTTCTCTTCTTTCGTTCGGCACATCCTGCGATGCAAGGGGTAGTTGCGACTCCTGATAGTCCATAGCCATGGGTGCTTCGCCGATCAGAGTCGTCTGTGATGCTTCGAGAAGATCGCTAGGAATGGCGGAAGAGAAGGGCTCGGGAGCTACGTCGGTCATGAAGTCGTCCGTAGGTAGTGGGGGCAGTGGAGGAAGCGACATATTATGGTTCGTGTCTGCTTGGTGAAGGATCGAATATGGCTCGTTTGAGGCGGATTGGACCGGTGCGTCATCTGTGACTTCCATTCTGTCTTCACCTGCGTTTGTAGGCGGCTCTTGCTGTTCCGTCTTCACGTTTGGAGTCTTTGCGTTTAGGGTCGGACTTAGGGGCGCCAGAGCGGCCAACAGGTTGCCCACGGCCTGATTGCGTTGTTGCGCATCCATCTCGACCCAGGAATGACCTTCTTGGTCTGATTCTATTTGTTCTGCTTCATCTTTCGAGTCGTTGTTGTGAGGATTCGAGTGGTCGGACCATGTTGGCTCTTGAAAGTTATGCAGGTCTATTGAGGGCGATGGAAAGTCGGGCAGACCTCTTGCAGACGTCGCGATTGCCTGCGACGACATTACGAGGTCTGCGCGAGGGAGGGAGAAGGCGCGTTACGGGGGACTGGTGAAGGCGCACTCATGCAGCAGACTCGAGTGAAGTTGTCGAAGTTCTTTCGGGCAACGGAACAAAAAGTCTAGTCTTTAGAAAGGCGGCGGGCGGGCTCTTGCGCCGTCGCCAAAAGCCAAACGGAGAAGTGACAAAAGTGAATACCAGCCAATCACCGCATCACCTGCTACCGATGAGATTTTGTTCCCCAGAAAATACAAGGCTTATCACATGCATGCATGTATCATTTACTAGGATAAGATACGTGACTCTGTTTTGGTCCTTTGAGTCATTGGTTGTTGAGTAATAGAATTGCTCGTCGAGTCCAATGACTTGACTGTTTCCCACAGCCCAAGGTCGAGGCCCATTCGAGACTTGTATGGCTTTTTTAAGACAACATGCCTGCTAAAGTAAAACAAAAGTCCGTACAGTCTGCGAAAGAAACAACCGTCCAAGTCAAGAAATCTCAACCACCGGACTGGCCATCCTTGACTCCTCTCATTCCGGCAGAACATCTCTTCATCGAAACGGTATTACCAGGGCAAATCTTGATAGTCCGGAATATATTCACCTCCACTCTGTGCAGGAATCTCGTGTCGTTTCTGTCGTCCTTGCCATTGACCACAACACCCGGGAAGCCAAAGCGTGGAGAAGCAGTCCGGGTCAACGACCGATTCCAAGTGGACGACCCTGTCTTTGCAAGGACGCTTTGGGAGAACACCGGCTTGGAATCACTACTGAATACGGCTGAAGTAGAGGAGACAGCGTTCGATGGCAAAATCCTCGGCTTAAATCCCAACATTAGGATATACAGGTATCGACCTGGACAATTCTTTGACAAACACTATGATGAGAATAATAAATTACAGTTTGGCGATGACAAAATACCCGCCAAAACGACCTGGACCTTGCTGATTTACCTCACCACCTGCGAAGGTGGCGAAACTGCCTTCTACCCAGAAGCTCTCAAAAAAGGTGAGCAAACACCTGAGCCTACAGTGGTTGGACTTGAGGCTGGGATGGCTCTACTCCATAAGCATGGTGAAGACTGCCTATTCCACGAAGGCAAGGATGTGAAGAGTGGCGAAAAATGGGTTCTGAGAAGTGATCTCGTTGTCCGAAGATGAGAACAGGCATCAAACAGATACCTCGCTTGCTGGTGGCACTATCGATGGCTTCGAGTGCTGATACAAAAGTGGTTGCCTCAACCTCCTTATCATCGACGCATATGTTCTGCGTCAGTCTCTGGGACGGTGTTCTCACGAGCTTCAGCAAGCATCGTGTCGACGCCTTTGTCCTTGAGAGCTTTCTGCTGGATGATTAGCTGGTCGATGGCACGAAATCTCAACTCAAGTGCGTACCGATAAACAGGACTTGTATTGCTTGAAAAGTGGTTCACACTCGTCCGTTGAGGAGTGCCCCCGAAGATATTCTGCAAAAGAGTCAATCCTGATGTGCTGCTAGCTGTGTATAATTGGACCAATATCGTACTTTCCGAGTACCATTTCAGAAAACATGTATCATACTTTCTACAAATCAGAGTCAGCGAAACCCAGAGCATCTCTCAAACAAGCTTACTCCTTGACCTCATTGCATTCTGGCGCTAGCGAGGCCGACATCCTTCGAAATGCTGATATACGCTTGGAGTGACGTGGTTTAGAATTCGCCTTTGCAGAGAGCCTTGAAATTCGTCTACTGAAGGCTGCAGCAGGGTCCGATCTCCATCCCAAAGCCGGAGCGGAAAATCATTTTGCCGCTCCGCCTTTGCTCTAAGAAATGCGCTCGGCCCGCACCCTCGGTCATTATTGTTCCTTTCTTCCAGTATCGGTCTGCTGTTCTTTCCACAACATGTGCTACCGCGCTCTCCTTGCTTAGGACTGAAGAAGATCGTGATCAACCATTCAATCGTTAAGGCTACAGTATTGACTTGCACCGTCGCCGTAAAGCCGAAGTAACAACCAGTCTTCCAATATCTCGCATCGAGTGCCCATACCGCATTCACTCCTTGGAAGATGCAGTCTCACTCGTTAAGCAAGCTAATCAACTCCCAGAAAGCAGTACAAATCTCCTTACTCTCCTTCGCCCAGAGCGCCTCCGACTTGCCCTCGCCCTCCCCGTTGGCCTTCGCATCGCTAAGCGTCTCCAACGCGTTCTCCTTATCAATCACCTCACTCTCCTCCGCAATACTCACTTTCAGTCCCAGATCTTGGCCAGTCGCAGCTTTCACCAGCGCCGCCCGGTCCGGAAACGTCAAGCCAACGGTTTCCTTGACCACCTTCATATCCACACCCTGCAGCACCTGCTGCAACTGCACCGCGGCCTTCCCACCACCATGTCCACCATAGCTCACCACCAAGGCCGGCTTGCCTTTCCACTCGTTGAACAAGTAGTCGATCGCGTTCTTGATGCTGGCCGGATACCCCCAGTTGTACTGCGGCGTGACAAAAACGATTGCCTGATACGAAGATATAAAGTCGGACCACTTGCGTGTGTGCTCGTACTTGTACTCTGACGACGAATGGATTCGCGACGGAATGCCTGGCTCATTGTAGAGTGGCAGTGGATGGTCGTTGAGGTCGATGAGGCTGAGCTCATACGGTGTCGCGCTTGGATGAGCCTTTTGGTATGTTTTGAGCGTGTCGAGGACGAACTGCGTGATCTGAAGACCTGCTCGTGGACTGCGCTGGCTGCATACTATGACGCCGATCCTGTTAGGAGCCGGTGCAAGTGCTGCATTGATGGCGCTTGAAAGGTTGGAGGTGGTCGTGCTGGCCATAGTGAAGTGTTCCGCCGAGAGGAAAGACTGGCGGCAGAGATCTCAAGAATGTAGTTGTAGTTATTGCCCTTGGATCTAGAAATGTCTGATCGCGTCCGTTGTAGCCTTGATACGCGTCTGCAATGTGGTGTATACGTCAGGCACCTTGGTATGTCTGCTGTTACTCACAAAGTCAGGTAAAGTGTGAAGATGTGTTGTAAAATGAATGATTTCCATCAAGATATTGACTGGATGCTGCACTTTTATATCCTCATTGCATTACAGTATAAATCCTGAGAGAACTCTGTAAATACAGTACTCCAGACCATCAACGCCAACACTCACACAAATAAAACCTCACATTGGGCGTTCACCGAGCGCTTCGGGCCTGACCTGCAAAGTGTCTGTATGAGTTGAAGTATGTCCATGTCCTATTCGCGGGGACGAAACGGCGCCGAACAAGCATTGTCGCGCATTCATGAACCCTGGATTGGGGAAGGCCGAGGGGTCACTCCATTGTGGATGGCGTCCGACACTGCGCAGTGTCCAATCATTAAACACCTGGTCGGAATTTGGCGCTCAGACCCCCAATAGGCATCATTGGGGGCCAAAGTCCGTCCCTCTGAGGCTAGTGTAGGCCATCGGTCTCGGTCCTACCGCACTTCTAATCCAACCGAGATCTTGTCGCTGTGGAACACCGAGATTGATCAACGACATCTACTACCGGCTTCACATCTTGACCCTAACTTAGCGACATCGAGATTGTTGTTCAATATTGCGCAGTCTCCAATCAGATGATTGCTGCGACATGCACAAGCAACGGTCCGGTCGTAATACGTGTATGCGTACTCCGTATCTGCCCGTGTCAGCGTTAAACAAGAGCCTCACACGGATGGCTTGAAGAATGGCATATATAATATCCCGACTACATCTGGTGTCTGCAGAAAGGTAGGTCTATACACAGACAATAGCACAAGTGTTCCCTTGCGTCCAATAAACAATCATGAGCAGCCTTCGCATCGCTATCGTTGGCGGAGGGCCGGCAGGCTTAGCCCTGGCCCGACTTCTCCAGGTTAACAACATTCCCTGTACTGTGTTCGAACTCGACCACACTGCGGGCGAAAGAGATCAAGGCGGTACGGTCGACTTGCACAAGCGAGGCGGGCAACTCGTTCTGCAAGAAGCTGGTCTCTTCGACGAATTCAAGCGACTTTCTCGCCCAGAAGGCCAGGCAATGAAACTTCTCAAGTACGACGGCACAGTAGTCCTCGACGAGAACACATCCGGCATTCACCGACCGGAAGAATTCGACGACCGTCCGGAAATCGACCGCACAGCGCTGCGCCATATGCTCCTGAATTCTCTACAGCCTGACACTGTGGTCTGGGGCAGAAGGCTGATAGCCGTGGAGGAGTCACCGGAAAAGGCTGGAAAGCACGACCTGCACTTTCACGACAGCGTGGAGGAGGGCTTCGATCTCGTCGTCGGCGCAGACGGTGCCTGGTCCAAAGTGCGCGCTTCTCTCACGGATCAACTACCAGTTTATTCGGGCGTCACTGGGATCGAACTGTGGGCAACAGAAATCGAGCAACGGCACCAGTGGCTCAGTGAATTTGTCGGCGCCGGCAGCTGTTTCATGTTCGACGAGGGACGTGCGATCCAGGCTCAAAAGAATGGCAACAACAGTATCCGGATATATGCCAGTGTGCGGCAACCGGAAGACTGGCTTGAAACCTGCGGCATTGACTGGTCTTGTCCAGAAGAAGCTAAGAAGAAGTACCTTGACGAATATTTCGCCGACTGCGCACCCGAGTTGAAGCGAGCTGTTCTCGATGCAAATGACAAAGTCGTGCCGCGGAAAATGTGGATGCTCCCTGTCGGCTGGCGATGGGACTCACGTCCAGGACTAGCTCTTGTGGGAGACGCAGCTCATCTCATGACCCCATTCGCAGGGGTGGGCGTAAACCTCGCTCTGGCCGACTCTCTGACTCTTGCGAAGGCGATAGTGGCTTGTGGTGGCAAGGCTGAGCGTTTGTCAGACGCCATCGCAGCTTATGAGCAGGAGATGTTCCCTCGCGCCGAACAATTTGCCCAGAGGACTGCAAGGGGTCTCGTCGGTCATTTCTCTGCCAATGGCGTGGAGGAAATGGCTGCACGTATAGCAGGCAGGTGAGATGGCTGCTGCTATTGGGAAGAGGTTCTGCTGCAACAATACGACCACGATAGTTGGGATCGCGATACCAACGTAATGGCAAGGCAATGAGATGGGTCGGTGTGGTTACTGCTTCTTTTTGGGCCTGGATCGAGCATAGCAAGCAAGATATTTCAATGAAACACCATTCTTGTAATCCGAATTCTAGAGGTTTAGCTGTTACCGAGGACGTTTGCCTGACGAATCGTCAATATTGACGTGACTTTGTTGTGGCGATGCGCAATATTTGCTGGAGAGCAAAGGTCGGATCGTAACCAGAGTTCTTCATGCTGAACGATCCATGGTGTCCCCCAAGTCCGGCGGAGCAGTGCACTAGTCGCAAGTGACCGTCTCCGTTGTTACTGCCGGCGATACGGCGGTAGAGGTGACCTTGAGTTGCCTGTTGCATGAGAACGAAGTCTGCAAGCCCATCCTGTTGGTCACTCGGCGTTTTGTGCCATCACCGGAGTCTACTCTCGCCCGACATTCGTTGCTCCTACAGTAGGGGTGTGTCCGGATACAGAGTTTCCTTAGACCGCTGGAGAACGGCCAGATATTGGCCGCCGAGAGCCCAGCGGTTGTTCATGGTCTCGAGGACTCTCCTTAGCGCGTGATATGCATCGGCTGACTCTCTGGATCCCGTCTCGTGAACAAGCCAGCCATATGTGGCAGCCGCCATATATATACAGTCGCCAATGAGTGGGCTTATGGCAGCCGGATTGTTCGTCATTTCCACATGTAACAGCTGGCTGAACTGTAGTATATCAATGGCGGCTTGTTTCATTCCAGCTATAGAAATTGTCATCATCTCAGTCTCCTCTACTGAATTCGTGCCGTGATTAGTCTCGCTACAGGCAAAAGGGTCATAGAGGTGGAGTAGACCACCATAACACAATGCCAGAGACGTTCCATACTGCATCGGGGATCGTTGTAAATCGGCAGGCAATAGGTTAGTCAAGGCTTGGAACGTGCGGTGTAGTTGTATCGCTTCAGTGAAGCGCATTGGAGAGTCACTCATGTTGTCATTCAGCAGACGATTGAGTCTACCGAGCAAGTGGCATGCCTGGGCTGTCCTTGCAAAGGGTCCCGCCTTGACTTTAGTAGACGACGAGACGTATATCGGTTCGCTGGTAGTCATTTCGCCTTCATCCCACAGAGTGTCATCTACTGGGAGAGTGTCGCCTCTGGCAGGGTCATCTGTCGCCAGGGGGTGACCATAGGTGCCGAGATTGACGTACCTAGAAAGAGTAAGTCATCGTTGAGGATCGGAATCACCAGTCCGTACCTATCCAAAAGCATGATAGCCCACCAAGTACGCTTCTGTTCTTCCACCTCTGCCCAGGCGCCGACCCTTTTCAGCACCTGCGGAGCATGCCGACGGTCATTGATGCCTAGGACGTGACCGAATCTGGCACAGTGACCGGCGCTGAGGTATGCCGCTGGATAGATTGCATGGCCGATCTCATAAGCCGCAACCAGAACGTTGGCCTGCAAAGTCTGCAATGACATCAATGCATTGGATTCTGCTAGGAAACACATACGCTTGGCGAGAAAGTAGAGCGGTGATCGAACGCACTGCAGTCCTTTGCTGGGAACCTGGGTAATGAGCTTCATGGAGAGTAAGAGCAGAGCAAAATCGAAGGAGAGCTCCATCGCAGGATTTGACAAGGTCAACTGCATGCGCTTTTTGGAGATAAATGGTAGCCAGGTGTGGATATTGGCAAAGAATCGATCCACAACGTCCTGGATGTCGAGGATTGAGGTACCCAATGTAGCCAAAACCTCTGGAGGAACAGGGAGCGATGGTTTGACGACGGTCATTCGGCTTTCTGTGAATAACTGGGCATCGAGAAAGAAAGCTGTGGGGAATGTCGAAGCAGTATCATTCGTGAAGCCCGATTCGAGGCTCGACGACGGCCTCCTGCTGATGGACTTGATTGGCTCGTGCCACCCAAGGTCAGACCGTCGACCTTCAAGCCGCGCCTCCAGATCAGCAATTTTCTGTCTCATGACGGCGAAGTCGTCGGCGTTGGGGCTCTGGGTGGTCTCGGAATAGTCGCATGCTCGAGACATGCGGCTGCAGAGAGCGCAGCTAGGCAAGTCTTTCGAACATTTTCGCTTCGCCTTTCGGCAGGCCACACAAGCTTGAGGCGCTTTGGGTATGTCCGAGCCGTCTACGTCCATTGCCATGGCGGACATTATGTCTTCGGAACGTCCGGTATGTCAAACCAAACCCAAGTGCTGCTTAGTATTTGCTCAGGCAAAGTAATTATATGTCTTGCTGTCAAGCATAAGAGTGACGGAGCTTGGTTATTAGGAGATAAAAGGCAGGACAGATAGTATGGAGTAGGGCTAAGATCTATTGGCATTTATAAAGGATGTTGTGGTGGACACTGATGGTTGGAAATCCAGATTATGTAAGCAGATGTCTTTTCTGTGTAAAACAGCTAGAGCATCGAGCATTCACGTTCTTATTCTGCAATACCGTTCTATGACTGATGGTACAGGCATTCATGTTCAACTCGGTGCCACGATGATAACCCATGAAATGAATCAACCCGACACCTCGCTCAGATATAAACCTGGAAACATCTCCTGGCTTCAAGTTTTCTTCCCTCACTGCGTATACTTCTTCTGCAGTGCCTTGGCTATCGTCGTGAGTTGGATATTGCTCGTGCCCTCATAGATGGCTCCAATCTTGCTGTCGCGATACATCTTTTCAGCGATACCATCTCGAACAAAGCCCATACCACCCATCCACTCGACCGCTAAAGAGCTGACCTTACCTGCTACTTGACTAGCGTACAGCTTCGCCATTGCAGCATCAGTGACGAAATCCTCGCCGGCCTCCTTCTTCCTGGCAGCATTGTATACGAGCCCACGAGCTGCAGCGATTTCCGTATATGCTTGAGCAAGCTGATGCTGCATGCCCTGAAATTCACCCACCAGCTTGCCGAATTGCTTGCGGTCATTCCAAACATACTTCGCAGCGTTCTCCCAAGCTCCGAGAGCCAGACCAGTCATCTGCGCGCCAATACCTATCCGTCCCTCGTTGAGAAGTCCAATGGCGTATTTGTAGCCTTGGCCTTCCTTACCCAGAAGGTTTTCTGCAGGGATTTCCACGTCGTCAAAGTTGACGACACAGGTGCTAGAGGCCTTGATGCCCAGCTTTTTCTCCTTCTTCGCAATGCTGAAGCCTTTCATATCCTTAGTGACAACGAAAGCCGTGATACCTTTATAGCCGGCATCGGGGTTGAGATTGGCAAAGACTAAGAAGAAATCGGCCTCTAATGAGTTCGTGATCCACATCTTCGAGCCGTTGATCTATGCTTGTGTGAGCCGACGTTCTGGATCATCCGTACATGACCTAGCCTTACCTTGTACCCGTGTTCTGTCTTTTCCGCCTTCGTTTTCAGGGCAAAGGCGTCGGACCCTGATACAGGTTCAGACAGACAGAAGGAGCCCACTGTGTTTGTGGCCAGCTTCGGAAGCCACTCTTTCTTGAACTTCTCACTGCCATACTTGAGGACGGCAGTCACCACCAGAGTGTTGTGTACATCGCACATAACGGAAACTGAAGGGTCAACTCTGGCGAGTTCCTCAATGCCAACAATAGCCGATGTAAAGTTCATTCCGGCTCCCCCATATTCCTCTGGGATTTCGAAGCCCATCAGACCTTGCTCAAACATCTGTTCAATCACTGCAGGATCCATCTTCTCCGCCTCGTCCATATCGCGGACTTTGGGCATAAGCTCTTCGTTGGCCCATCTTTCTACCGACTCTGCCAGCATCCTCTCGGTCTCGGAGAAGTGAGTGATTGGAGTTGGCGAAAGAGAGTCGGTGTCGACATCGTCAGGCATGTAGGGTTCGGGATAGCGCCGTCTTGAAGTGGTGACGAATGCGCGTTTGCTAGCAACATGTAAGTTATGGAGAGACATATCAGTGGTGGCAATCTTACGGTTCCAAAGTCCTTCGTGGGAGTAACCTCGTGGCTGGACTGCGGGGAGCAAGGGATGCTGAGGCTTTGGCGACTGGCCGCAATGACCTGCATACAGAAGCCATTGTGTATATAACGTGATTTCGTAGATGTCAAACTCAGCAAAATCTCATAAGATACGTGGAGGTCGAGAGAGACACTTTATGTGTGAGTAGATGATGGATCGGAGTGGCATATTGATGACCCTTCACGAGCTTTTGACTTTCTGGTTGTCCCTCGGCTCCCGGTTAAAGGCGGCTTAAGCAACCCTAGGCTTCCATGGTCCCTTGAGAAGCGCCCATTCAGAATCTCTGGGGGCACCGGGATTAGCTCGGATGCCCTCCAGATTCCCGAAACTCTCATATTTATTCGGCCTGATTGGGGAGACAATAAATGTGTATCGGATCCGAATGTTTGAGCACATTGAGAAGCAGGTACAATGCCGTCTTCGTTGCTCGCTATCGGGATGTCGCTTCACGTCTTGACCTGCAGTTCTGGCTTTCAAATTCCGTCCGTGACTGTGCAATCTTCCCACCTACCTAGGTCTTTTGGGACATTGAACTCCGGAGACTGTCTGCTATCAATGCTTCACATGCCCACGCGAGACTATCGATGGACTTGAGTGCGCTGAGTCTTCCGGCTGGTAGGAGCTTGTATTCATCATTCCTGACGGACGGTTTGGTATCGGAGAAGGTGAACTTCACGCCTGCCTTGCAAGCAAAGCAAGAAATCCTCTTCCTGCTCAAAAGCACTTGGCGACCAGCATGCAGGTCTTGAGAGATTCGATGTTCTGGTTGTGAGTGACGATCTGTGGCTGCAGCACCGCCACAATGTGTGACGTCTTTGGGGGATAACCGCCCAGTTTTCGACACTGCGATGATGATGATTGACTGGAGACAAGACAATGCCCAGACATTGAGGGATTCCAAGCCTGCCTACTGCAAGTGCAGCCTCATATTAGACCTGATGGTAGGCGCCCAAGATATGATTCTCTCTGTTGACCAATTTCCTCCAGACTCCTGCTGTGTTTTTCTCCCAAGCAGCAACTCGCACCAGAGTCTACCATACTAGCAATCATGTCGGCAGGACACTCTGAACCCCATGTTTTGTACAGTGTCAACAACATCTCGGCTTTTGCTGTACAAGATGGAGAAGAGCATCAGATTACTACTTCTGGACCACAGACTCTATCGCTATTGATGGTCCCTACTTCGTCGCCCTTCGCAGACCTTTCCAGCACCGAGCCCAGCAGCGCAGCGCCTGAGGAAGACTTCTACCTTCACCTTCACCTCCCTCCCGAGCTCGATCTACCCTTGCCTGCGACCACCCAAATATTCCACAAGCCACCAAGCAGTTACCTCATTCCGCGATGGGATCTGGGTCCTGACGCTGGGGCTTTCATTCGCATTCAATTCCCTTCAGTCGGTACCGGTCTAGGGAAGGTAACGCAAGAGGAGGTAGACACTTTCGAGACCATTCTTGCTCAATGTACAGCCTTCCTCGAACGTGCACATGGTGCCTCTCAAGGTGTTGAACGGTATAACCCTCAGGATTATCGACCAGGAGAGGGCTATATCAGTTCTACAGCACCTGGAAAAGAGCATCCTCCTCAGCATGGTCAGATCGTGCTCATCGATGAGGAGAATGGTAGCGTGATCGGAGAACTTGGGAATACCTATGACTTAGTTGAGGCGTCGTCCGTCACACCTGGCTCCAAAAGTATGTATAACCGACCCAAACCTCCATGGACATTCGTTGACGAATTGTACAGGGCCAGTTCAAATTCAGCTACCGGCTGAAGGCCAAGGTAACCAGATTCGGGTTGATAACGTCTCTGAAGAATTTCTGGCGATAACAAGACATCCCGCTTATGCGAAGTCGACCATTGTGCAATCGTCGGCGACCGCATCCAGACTCATAGTGACAAGCTCGAATTATCTGGCTGAAAAGATGTCTTCTGGTGCCAATGCGTTCCAGCAGAAATCGCAGCCGAATCCTAAACCCATGACCTTCTCTCCTGCAACCCACGCCCGCATCCGCCAGATACACTCTTTTACACAAGGCGCTGTTGGCGTAAGCGCGAAAACGGTTGGCCAACTAGGCAAATATGCTCAGAATTTCGGCGCCCGCATGGCTGGCAAGGGTGAGAAGGGCAAAAAGGAAGCGGGCAAAGATTACAAACCTGGACTACTGAACAAATCCATGATCGCCTTCTCGACTATCGCCGATGGCATTGACCAAGCCGGGCGCAATCTATTGGCGTCTAGTTCGGTAGCAGCAACGAACGTGGTTGGTCACAAGTACGGCCCGGAGGCTGGTACAGTCGTACAAGGGCTCGCTGGTGGTGTCAAGAACGTCGGCTTGGTTTATATTGACGCCATGGGAGTATCAAGGCGAGCAGTAATCAAATCTGTGGCCAAGGGAATGGTTGTGGGAAAGATGCCCAACGGCCAACAGCTGATTGTGGGCTCAGGCGATGGTGGAGTGATTCCGGCCGAGGCCTATCCTCCTGACTCGAAGCAAAACGACCATCATTCTTCGAATGTCTATGGAGGTGCCTCTCAAGCTGGAGTGAGCACCCCAGGCTATGGCGTCGAAAATTATGGTAACACTGCCAATGCACCACCAGCGTATTCTGGAGTTGGCGAGCCACTGGGTTCGACTTTGCAAGGGCAAAACGTCAGGGAGAAACGATGAGGGACTCCGATGCTTGCATGATCATTATGGGAGGAAGGCCTCTTGTTTCGAAATGGACGCTCGGACGTTGAAGATTTCCAGCCGATACAATCGTTCTGGAACACATAGCCGATGACTCGTAACGAAGCTACGATGAAACAACGCATTGATCATTTAGACGGTGATGCGCAACTGTGCAGCCGAAGGTCGTAATCGCAAGCCTCAGTGCTCCCAACTCTCATTGTGGTTTGGTCAGTGTCATTACCTGCATGACATCTGCCGGTCGGCAGTGGCTGAAACCAGCTACAGGGCTGCCAGGGTGGACAGGATTCCTCGATAATCTGGATTGTTTGCGCTACCAGGTAGATATCAGGTTATTTTGATGGAGAGAAAGGAGTCACAGCAACAACATGCGCGAACACACCCATGATATATGCCTGGGATATGTTGTCCTTTTTGCCCGAATTGAATGTCCCGCCGCATGGGCAAGATTGCGGCTCATGCACAGCAAACAGTTTGCAGATCTCTGTGAGGGGACGAATTGCCCGAGCTTTCACATGCGTCGATCAGCTGGTTCTCCAGGATCCATCGTGGCGATCAAGGAAACGAGTGGAGAGACTGTTCAGCAGCATCATTTGTACAGAGTAGGCACACCACGGGCTAGAACTCTGTTCTGGCCGCTTCAGAATTGATAGTCTGAGACTTGACAGCTTGTCAGAGATGCATCGCAGCGACCATTTGACCCAATACTGAGAACCATCAGGGCCAGAAAGCTGACCGCCAGAGTTTTTCTAAAAAAGAGGTGACCTCTGAAGCAAGCGAATCACCCGTGAACTTCCCGAGCGGGAAGGAATCTGATTTGATGATTGAGATGCACGTTCAACGCCAACAGGCATCCTTGGTCGCGTCTGTGAGGCGTTTCAGCACTGCAGGGAAGCAGATTAAAATCCGAAATCTCGCTAAGCGGCACGCCATGATATTGATTGTGTCTTCGTTTCACTGCGCGTCAGCCAGATCCGGTGATGAGTATCCGTACCTTTGTGATCAATTTTCTATTCGAGTCTTTCTTTTGCAACATAATGTCGACCATCCCAATCACAACTCCCAGAGATAAATGATTGAAAAAGTAGTTGGAAGAAGGTGGAGATGAGATTGGGCCCCTATTTACTCGACGCGTGCCTATAAAAACTGGGGAAGTTTGGGCGCGCAATGGGAGAAGCCCAAGCGCAAAGACGGTGGCCATTGCTTGGAGAACCACATAAAGTCAGCAAAGAGACGGTCAAATCATTGGCATCGTTGGAGTGTACGTATATCAGAGCATCCTTGTTGTCAATTGTAGCAGAGATATAATGGTGACGAGATGGACTGGCAATAGTTTGAATACCTTGACATGGTTCCAATGTGGCTTGATTTGACTAGTAATTCCATTTTAGCGTGGCTTTTGTTATAGACCTAAGTTCTAACAAGCTAGTTAGGTGAGAGTGGGTTTGGTTTTAAGCCCCAAAGGAAAACACACTTGTGCTTGTGGTCCGCCTACCTGCGCCCGTGTCTGCTGCTGCTGCTGCTGCGCTGGCCTTGTCTACTCGTATCTTGTTCACCGACTTGCCTAACCTTACTGTAAACCAAACACACAACACCACCTGCAATACCTACACTTCAACTTACCGACATCCGGCGCCGCACTGTCAACTCGCTTCACAACTACCTAGATACCCATTACTTCTCCCATCTGCTTCTCGTCATATCATACTGCTGGCCAGTCAACACAGCCTCTCCTGCCTGTCCTCGACCCTGCCGCGATGATCGCGATCCTCTTAATCCGTCCTCTTAAACACCTGACGTCGATCCGTATTTGTTGATGATTGGCCTTGGCTGCACATATCTCACAGCCTCATCAAGGACAATTCCCTACAGTCGTCGCTGGTACGGCGTCTGTTCAGCCGTTCCCGAATTTCTTCAGAAGACACCATTTGGACGCAAAGCCCCCTTCACACACCTCATCTTTGAGGCCAGGTCGCCGCGCAACACGTGGTGGAATACTATCTGTGACACCACCAAGCAAAGAATAACATTTGCGATCCTGGATGAAGTCGGATAACGTGTTGGTAAAGATGATTCACCACTAAGTTCATCCCGCATACCACTAACACATGTTATGACTACAGCCATTGCCGCGCTCCCTCCATCAACCTTACCGGGACCAATAACCCTCCTGCACCGTCACTCGTGGGGGTTCGACTGAACAGTGTCAGGACCTGTGGGTGAAACGGTGTACTACAGGAATATCCATGGACACGATGCAGACGGCTGGACAATATCGGGAGCATATCCCAACTTCTGCCACATATTCCCCCTCTGGCAGTCACCACTACGATGATCAGCAGAATATGGATCCCGAGGGCTACTACACGAATCAACCGGTACGTTGATCTGGCACTCGAGACTTGCCTTGCTTCGAGCCAAGGACCATGCTAATTTCTGCCGATCTATAGTATTATCCGTCCCCAAATCAGAACGATGCCCTAAGGTCCACCTCACAGCAGGAAGAGAGTTCCATCCCTGCCTCATCATACCACGACCACGTTACAACTTTACCTTATCACACCCGTCATCAGTCCGCCGGTCACGGCCAATATGAGGGCGGGCCCATACCGCCTCCTAGAACATCATCGCAGCAACAGGGCTCTCCCCACCATGCCGTAGGTTCGAGCAGACAGGCCAGACAACACATTCCTGATTCTCACACCGGTCGAGTTCATAATCGCGTCGGAGATTACAATGAGGAGGTGCGAGAAAGACCGCGGGATGATACAGCTACCGCCGCCGCATCTGCTGCACGCAACCGAAGAAAAGGTCCTTCCAGTCCTGATGGTCCACAGCGAGCCACAAGCACAAGAGAACGAAGTCAACACAATTCACCCGCAGCCAGCCGATCTGAAGCTACCATGCTTCCAGCCCCGACACATGCGCCTCTAGTGCGTGAGTATAGTGAGGTAATCAACAGGGTTGTTGTTTCCGATCCACAAGAAGACGTTGAGAGAGCTCAAGAACGGGTTGCTGAGGCACAGCCCGACCCTGTCGGCACAGGCGGCACAGGCGCCAGCAGTGTCCCTGAGGACAATGATGACCTATTGCCCGCTCCGGGACCAGCCCGTCGGCAAGATTACTCCAAATCACGCCGGAAAGAGATCCAATTCGGAGAGTACATGCTTGGGCAGACTCTCGGCGAAGGAGAATTCGGCAAAGTCAAATTGGGGTGGAAGAAGGATGGAAGCACACAGGTGGCTATCAAGCTCATCAGGAGAGAAAGCGTCGCGTCGAATCCTACGCGTCTGCCCAAAATCTACCGAGAGATTTCCATCCTGCGCGAACTGGCCCACCCAAACATTGTCAGACTTCACGAAATGGTCGAGACTGAACGACATATTGGTATCATTTTGGAGTATGCCTCGGGCGGTGAACTCTTTGACTACATCCTTAACCATCGATACTTGAAGGACCCAGCGGCACGGAGACTGTTTGCCCAACTCATTTCCGGCGTCGGTTATCTACACAAGAAAGGTATCGTCCACCGAGACCTGAAGTTGGAAAACCTGCTTCTGGATCAGAACCGTAATATCATCATCACGGATTTCGGTTTTGCCAACACCTTTGACCCTGGCGATGAACTCTCCGATGAGATCGTCTACAACCTAAGCAACAAAGAGTTTGTTAGAAAGTTCAAGCTCGACCGTCTGGATGCCCGAGGGATGAGAAGAGGAGATTTGATGCAGACTAGCTGCGGCAGTCCCTGCTATGCCGCACCCGAGTTGGTGGTCAGTGATTCTTTGTACACAGGCAAGAAGGTCGACGTGTGGAGCTGTGGTGTCATTTTGGTGAGTGCGATCCCTTCACGGTATAGTCGCGCTGGACTAACAAACAATTACAGTATGCCATGTTGGCCGGATACCTGCCGTTTGACGACGACCCTTCCAATCCCGAGGGTGACAACATCAACCTGCTCTACAAATACATCACGACGACCCCCTTGACGTTCCCAGAATATGTCACACCACATGCCCGGGATCTGTTACGGCGCATATTGGTGCCGGATCCACGAAAACGCGCCGATCTTTTCGAGGTGGCCCGTCACAGCTGGCTGAGTGAGTATCATCATGTGGTATCTCATATCACAAGTAGTACCACCAACGTGGCGGATATTGCGCATGCCACCGTCCCATCTGGTAAATCGCTCCCACACCATTGGAAGGCTTTTGCTGACTTTCTACAGAAGATGAACCTCCGCCAATGCATAGAAGTGCCTCTGTACGAGAAGGACCGTCGCGGCCCACAGCGACCTCTCCAGGCGCCCTTGGCCGAGCCCAAGAAGGCCTTCTACCGGAGGTTGAAGAGGGTTCGACAGGTTCGCGACGCGATAAAACCGCTCGTCATACCCTTCAGCCAGAATATGTTCCACCAACAACACATACAACTCGGGTTCAGCCTTCTGCCACCGCAGCTGCATCGAGAAGCCGCACTCGAATCGACGAGGACAAGTCAGCTCCAACGGCCACCCAGTCTTCGTCCAGAACGAAACCTCTACCGCAAGATCCTCCGGTCGAGGCTATGCAGAGAAGACCTCAGACAACCGAACGAATGCCACCACCAGTTCGACCGGCTCGAGACATTCCGAGATCGGTGTCTGATTCCACCACTGCACTTGGCTCCGCGCCGAATGTTGGACAGGGAGGACAGTACACGACCCGACCAAGCACACAAGGCTCCATAACTTCGACAGGGGCACCTGCGAATACCAGATCTGACGTACGACTGCCATCGCGTGGCTCATATGGTCAACCAGTTGCGCCAACCGTTGCTACGACCAATGCGCAGGGCCGTGTCACACAACCAACCAAGCCTTCTCGAGGCTATAATATTTCAGGGCCACTGCCCCAATCCGGTGCTCAGAACTCGATCGGACAGCCAATGACGACACCCATGCCGCCACCAAGTGAACAACAACAGCCGCAGAAGACGGCACACCATAGACGATCAAGTACATTGAGTGGGCTTGGAGAACGTCTCTTTGGCCGATCCAACTCCGTGGTAAAGAAAGATGCTGAGCGACAGAAAAATGGACGAAAATATCCTCCGACCAGTATGAAAGACTATCCGGCCGAGGCGCAACCTCGTATGTCAACGGATTCCAAACGATCATTCTCGTTTGGCTTGGGCAAGAAGAGAAGCACGGATCTGGAGAATCCAGGGCAGACAGGAAAGGAGGTACGACGATTTTCACTTCTTAATTCAATGTCGTTGAAAGGTCTGTTGGGAGGCTCCAAGGAGGAGAATTCATCCAAACCTGGAACTCCCCAGACGGAACGATATGCCTCGTCCAGCTCCAGTCGTCCAACCACTGGTCAGGCCTATCCAAGTGGGCAAATGTCTAACAATGATGGGCAGTTTGACGGATCGCGTCCGAATAGTCACAACAGCTTCTCACGACCACCGCAGTCACAATACCAGCCGCAGCGAGCGGTGACAACACAGGCTACCAACGATGTCTATGGTGGAACAGGTGTGTATTCTCCGCAAGATCAAAGCCGCGTGCCACATCAGCGTCAACAAAGTGAGCCAATGGCACATATCATGTCCCAATATCCCGAGGCTAGCGACAGTCGACCTTCGATGCAGCAAGGACGAGAAAAAAGGGGAGTGCTGGTCAAGAACAATCGCAAATTTAACGATGCGTACGGCTATGATCAGGGGCCAAGCCACCATGGCGGTCGGTCAGGAGCGGTGAAGAAAGTCCAGGATTTCTTTCGTCGGCGACGGACCCCAACAGACGGGTAATTTCGCTATGATGAACAAGAGTACTGGTCAATCGAGGACCATTGTTTTGGTCGAAAAATCTCTTTCTCAGTCATGATTGGAGTGAATAGAGGTTTCTTGTAATGATTAATTGATTGTTGACGGGCATGGATTTTTGCCTGAGCCGGGAATCCTGTGGATGGGTACATTCAGCCATTTGTCCTTTTTCCCTGTGCAGAGAACGATTTTTGGGAGTGCTCGGGACGGCATACATTCTAGCATGGCATTGATATTCTGTTGAGAGGGTGAAGACAGGCTAGCTTTGCGAAGGACGCCATGGATACCCCCTTACATAGCATAGCACTTCTTGCTGTGAGAACAAAGAAGAATTATTGAGAAGCATGACGTTGCCCTTACTTCCCAGTTCTTCTTTCGGTATTACATTGAGGCAATGGATGGAGAGCAGCAACGTTCGGGATATTGCTCGGTGTTACTTGGTATGATTTGTACCCAACTCCTCTTCCCTAATGTAAAACTTGTACTGCAGATCGACTGTTCTGGCATCGTTGCGTCATTCCACAGGTCGTCAGGGTCAAAGCTTTTGCGGAGGAGTTTTCGTGCTCCCTTCAAATCAGTATGAGTACACCTCGTACTCTGGTGGTGATGCCAGTGGTCATCTCAGTTGATAAGGCCACTTGCTCGGTGTCGTTGAATGCTTATATCGACTGCAGATCAGCACATGCTCCAGTTGCAAATATTGGCCCAAGGACTTACAAAGGACGCGGTAATGCCGTCAATGTAAAAAGTACCTGTCATATCCATCGACCCAGGTTTTCCACATTCCCCGCAAATCAGTGATCACGCTCACGGCAAAGATTTGACCGGATTACTCCTCTTTTTCTCTTCTACCACCTCACTCATTCGACAAGCCTATGCCCACTCTCCAGGGTCCTCCTCATCAGCCGGCGAAACTGCATACAACCCCGCCATGAATGGGCTTGAAGCTGCCCAAACAGGTGTACGATCGGCTGCAGTGGACTACCGGCCGGCTCTTTTTCAATTGAAGGTTACATACAGCTTCGTACCTGAGCGAACCACGGACTACCCACCATGCTCGCCCGTTGCTACCTGAGGGCAGCCACAATCGGCTTTTGCTCTCTCGTGCTTTTTCTGGCAAGCGGTTACATGATCCGTAGAGAGCTGCTAGTGTCGTTATGGTGAGTGGACAATTGTTCATGCTTGATTGCTTTTAAATCCCATGCACGCCCGTCCCTGCAGAGTCGCTCCAGAGGTGTCTCATTGCCTTTTTACCTCAGTCTCGATCCTTCACCTCAGCGGCCGATAATTGCCGAGCATCTTCATCCAGCCGGCGGTCTCAAGATGAAGGCAAATGCTCTACTATCGAGTCTGCTGCTTGTACCCTGCCTTGCCGCGGCTCAGACGACAACAGCGGGTTCCGGCAATGCCACGACCACAACGTTCGCTGCTCAGTTTACTGTGCCTGCAGCTGCCGACGAAGGAGCGCTTCTTCTGCCGAATGTTTTCGACCCAACAGCTATCAACGCCCAGATTGCATGTCCGGGCTACAATGCGAGCAGTGTCAAGACCTCTTCGACTGGTTTGACGGCGCATCTGACGTTGGCGGGAACTGCTTGCAATGCGTATGGTACGGACATTCATGATCTGAACTTGACAGTCGAGTATCAGACCGACTCCCGCCTGCACATCAACATTCGGCCTTCGAATATTGCTTCTCAAAATCAAAGCTGGTATCTCCTCTCGACGGACTATGTGCCTGCCCCAAGCCAGGAAAATGGGCAAATGACCACCAGTGATCTCACATTCTCCTGGTCCAACTCGGTGAAGACCGGTTTCGGGTTCAATGTGACTCGAAACAGCACAGGCGATGTCCTTTTCTCCACCACTGGGACCAAGCTAGTCTTTGAGAGCCAGTTTATTGAGCTGGTAACCCAGCAGGAGGAGAACTACAATCTGTATGGGCTTGGAGAGGTCATCCATGGCCTCAGATTGGGAAACAACCTCACGCGGACGATCTACGCTGCCGACAGTGGTGATCCGATAGATTACAACATCTACGGTAGTCATCCATTCTACTTGCAGACCAAGTATTTCGAGGTTGGCAATGGCAACAGCTCAACACCGGTTACTCAACCGCTGGACACCACAAATGCTACTGGGAACTACACCTCTTCGTCTCATGGAATTTACTTCCGCAATGCTCATGGTATGGAAATCCTGATGCGACCTACAAATGTCACGTGGAGGACTCTGGGTGGCAGCATCGATTTGTACTTCTTCTCTGGGCCTGCCCAAACGGACGTTACCCATCAATATCTTGACGTTATTGGAAAGCCGGCCCTTCAAAACTACTGGGGCTTCGGCTTCCATCAATGCCGATGGGGTTATGAGAATTGGACTGTTACAGAAAACGTGGTGAATAACTATGCCAAATTCGAGATCCCGCTGGAGACCATCTGGAACGATATCGACTATATGTTCCAGTACCGCGACTTCGACAACGACCCTATTCGTTTCAATTATTCTGACGGCACTGCCTTTCTGAATCGACTCCACAGCAATGGTCAGCACTATGTTCCCATCATCGACAGCGCTATCTATATTCCCAATCCTGCTAATGCGAGCGATGCATATTCCGTTTTTAATTCTGGAAATCAAACCAACTCATTTCTGCTCAACCCGGATGGCTCGTTGTATATTGGTGAAGTCTGGCCTGGATATACCGTCTTCCCAGACTGGCTCGCCGCTTCCGCTCAAACATGGTGGAAGAACGAAATGGCCGCCTGGATCCAAAAGCTACCCATCGACGGCGCCTGGATCGATATGAGCGAAGTTTCTTCATTCTGCGTAGGCAGCTGTGGTACTTACAATCTATCTCTGAATCCTGTTCATCCTGGGTTCCTCCTACCTGGTGAGCCAGGAGACGTCATCTACGATTATCCAGAAGGATTCAACATCACCAACGCCACAGAAGCGGCTTCTGCCTCCTCTGCATCGATGGCGCAGGCTGACGCTACGTCGACTGCCACCAACACCGCAGCTGGGACCACATCCAGCACCTCCACCAGCTACCTCCGCACGACGCCTACGCCGGGATCACGCAACGTAAACCACCCTCCATATGTCATCAACAACGTTCAGGGTGACTTGGCTGTCCATGCCGTGGCACCAAATGCTACGCACCATAATGGAATTCAGGAATATGATGTCCACAACCTCTTTGGTCACCAGATTCTGCAAGCAACCTATGCAGCTCTTGCAGCTGCAAAGCCAGGCCTTCGGCCATTCATCATTGGCCGCTCGACGTTCCCAGGCTCTGGCACTGTTGCTGGACACTGGGGTGGAGACAATGCTTCGAAGTTCTACTACATGTACTTCTCCATCCCTCAGGCCTTGAGCTTCAGCCTGTTCGGAATACCAATGTTCGGCGTGGACACTTGTGGTTTCAACAGCAACAGCGATGAGGAGTTGTGCAACCGCTGGATGCAATTGAGTGCATTCTTCCCCTTCTACCGCAACCACAACGTCCTCTCAGCGAACTCACAAGAGGCCTATGTCTGGAGCAGCGTCATCGATGCCACTAAGACGGCCATGAACGTGCGCTTCCAGCTTCTGCCATATATCTACACACTGTTCTACAACGCACATACCTCTGGTGACACCGTCATGCGTGCTCTTGCATGGGAATTCCCCAACGACCCATCGCTCGCCGACGCTGATCGACAATTCTTCCTCGGCCCGTCGATCCTCGTCACTCCAGTGCTCACACAGGGCGCCACTTCCGTCGATGGCGTCTTCCCAGGTCTCGTTGAGAAGACGGACGTCTATTACGACTGGTACAACAAGACGCCCGTCAGCGTGCCGTCGAGCAAGAACACCACCATCGCTGCTCCGCTGAGCCATATCCCCGTTTACATTCGCGGAGGGGCGATTTTGGCCACTCAGCAGATGGCTATGACCACCCGCGATGCAAGAAACACGTCGTGGTCTATCATTGTGGCACCCGGCGTCAATGGTACGGCTACCGGGTCGTTGTACCTTGATGACGGTGAGTCGGTGCAGCCCAATGCCACCAAGCTGGTCACCATGTCCGCGGCCATGGGATCGCTGAATGTCACTGTGTCCGGATCATATACCGGTCTTGACTTGCCTTTGGCGAATATCACGATTCTCGGCGTGACGCAGGCGCCGCCGAGTAATGTCGTTATGATCAATGGAGATGTCGTGGCGAATAGTACTTACAATGCCACGAGCAAGAGCTTGTTCATTGGTGGATTGGAGAAGGCATTGGGTGGGAATGTCTGGGGTGGGAACTGGACGCTTTCGTGATATAATGTCTCACCGTAGGAGGTCTGGAGAGTCCTCGAAAAATAAAGCTCCCGCACGGGTCGGAGTTGACGGAGTGGGTGAGATTAAGTTACTTAGGGCGCCCGATAGCCGAGCACTCTTATGACAACATCACTTGATCAAACAAAACAGTATCAGTCGTTTAACACTGAGATCAGAGTTCCGAATCATCTTCCGGCTTGTTTTGCGTCTCGTGCTTAGCGCTGTCGACCATGGCATCGAGTATATTGTCCCCTGTGTCTCATATGGCCTTCGGCGAGTTACCTTCGCCTAATGGATAGTGCCATCCGTGAAAGAGTACCTGGGTATGCTTTTGCTTTCCAAGAACTGTTACTCAGGAGTGCCAGATTATGCAAAAAGAATCTCGTCTCCGGCAGCAGCAACTACACGCTTGTTCAGGATGTTTTCGAGTTGCCTTGATTGGCTCGCTAGAGCTAGAGGCCGGACAAGTCTGCTGCGCCTAGCATCCGAATGCGTTTGGCCAGAACATTTTCAGCCTGATTGATGCCTTCCACCAACCTCTGTCATTCATCATGTTTCCTTCTAGTCTCAGTCAAGGCATGCCCAGGCACAGAGCTGGCCGATCAAGATGACTGCAGCGTATCACCTGTAATTAGTCCAACATTGCCGCCATGCTTTTGAAGCTGGGCCTGATATCTCCTTTCGACGCGCAAGATGTCGGCCAGCCCACGATCGAGTCCGTCGCACGTGGCTGCGCTTAGCCGAGACGACTACCACATTGGACTGGTGTTTGCACTCCCGAAGGAGTTGGCGGCAGGCAAGGCCATGTTGGATGAAGAGCATAGAATGATACATGGTCAGGACCCACAAGACGGCAACAGCTACAGCCTCGGTCGTGTGCATGAACACAATGTTGTTCTTGCATGCTTGCCGGTCAGTGTGGATGGCACGACTGCAGCTGCAGCTGTGGCAGTCAACATGTTGAGAACGTTCAGAGCCTTGCGTTTCGCCCTCATGGTGGGTATCGGAGGTGGCATTCCAACCACCAGGCATGATATAAGGCTGGGGGATATTGTTGTGAGCGAGCCTCAGGGCACGGGTGGCGGTGTAGTACAGTATACCAAGGGCAAGGTTCGACCTGGTAGATTTGAGGTCAAAGGCACCCTCAATGTGCCTCCAATTGCCCTCCTTACCGCTCTGGCCTCTCTCAAAGCCGACCACGAGCTTCAGGAAGGTCGCGTACCCGGATATCTCTCAGGAATGATACAACGATATCCCAGAATGAGAAGAAACGGCTATAGCTACCCCGGGACCAAAGAGGATGTTCTTTTCTGTTCTTGCGCCGATGATCAAGACGATGACTGCAATCTGTGCGAGAACGGCAAGTTGACTCGATTGTCTCGTGATAGTCACAGCCTGAGATCCACTACGGTATCATTGCCTCGGGAGACTTGGTTGTCAAAGACGCAGGCTTCAGGGAGTCTCTTAGCAAAGAATATGATGCTCTTTGCGTCGAAATGGAAGCTGCAGGGTTGATGAACAACTTTCCTTGCTTGGTAGTCAGGGGCATTTGTGACTATGCCGATTCGCACAAGAATGATACATGGCACAAGTACGCCGCAGCTACCGCCGCAGCGTTTGCCCAGGAACTCTTATACTACGTGTCGTCAGAGTTGGCGAACAACGAGATGCCTGTTCAGCAAGTCATGGGTGAGTAATTGTGGCTGGGACCATTTCGGTTCTGTGTATGTTCTTTTCTTCACAACCTACTCTTGCTTTTTATGAGAGTTGGAGTCAGCGACATTTTTGGGTAACTTGACTAACACCAGGATTCTGAAAAGGCGCCCTAGTCGACCACCTCAAGACGACGAAGGACCATACCGAGCTTACCCGGGGCATCCTTGAAGAAACACGGCAACAAAATCGAGCTAACGATGTCCGATATGACGAGGAGAAATACCGCGCCTGCCACAGGTCTTTCAAAATCTCATCCTACGAGGCCGACAAGAATCGCAACCCAGACCGAGTCCGGGGCACCTGCTTATGGGCTCTTCGGCATCCCACCTTTCAGAGATGGCAACAAAGTACACACGACGACTTACTGTGGATTTCTGCCGACCCGGGCTGCGGAAAGTCGGTACTGGTCAAGTCCTTGATCGACAACGAGTTTAAAAGTACCAAAAGCCATACAGTTTGCTACTTCTTCTTCAAGAATAACGATCTGCAAGACAAGCTACGCCTTGCGTTGTGCGCAATGTTACACCAACTCTTTGAGGCGCATCCTGATTTGATCAGACACGCCATTCCTGCATGGGACAAAAACCATGATAAACTACAACTCGAGTCGGCCCAGTTGTGGCAGATCTTGATCAATGCCGCGACTGATGAAGCCATTGGAGACATCACCTGTATCTTTGATGCTTTGGACGAGTGCTGCGAAAGTGACCAAGCGGAACTCATCCACGGCTTGTGCAGGTTCTACCAAAATGCACAAGAAGCCGTGAGGCCGGGGAGCTTGAGGTTCCTGGTCACGAGCCGTCCCTACAGCAGCGCCGCGCGTCACTTCCAGCCTTTGCCATCGGGACTACCGAGTATGAGGTTGCGGGGTGAGGAAGAAAATGATACACTTCGACAGGAACTCGACCTTGTCATAAGACAGCAGGTTGCAGAACTTGCCGAAGACGTCGATCTAGATGCACAAACGAGGGAGAAGATGGAGACCAAACTCCTTGCTATGGAACATCGCACCTATCTATGGCTCCATCTTGCCTTTGAAAGTATTCGACATACCTTTCAACACAGCCCACGACCTGCACAAGAGTCGATCAAGACGCTACCTGTGAGTGTCGAGGATGCTTACGAAAAGATCTTAGGCCGGGTGGGAAAAGATCAGCAAGGTACGGTCAAGAAAATCTCTCAAATCGTGGTCGGCGCACGACGGGCTCTAACGGTGGAAGAGATGTCGACAGCCCTGGGTGTGGCCATTGCAAGGCAGGTCGTGTCTTGGCATGATGTCCATATCGACACCGTCCGTCTGGAAAAGAATATCCGCGACTGGTGTGGGCTATTTGTGTTCATCAGTCACTCGAAGATATATTTGATACATCAGACAGCTAAAGAGTTTCTGATGTCAGACGCAGAGCCGGTCGGTACTGGCATCAAATGGAGAGGCAGTTTCAGTGTGATCGGGACCGAAGCCTCCATGGGCTGTATTTGTGTTAATTTCCTCCCAATTCAAGAGGTCGATTGGGATACAATCCTTCATAAAAAGAATGGCCTCTCCGAATCTGGATCAGCTAAAGACGACCTTACTAAAGATGTCAGAATATGGGCCGGCTGGTACGGCTTCTTACATTACTCTGCAGAGTACTGGCCAGTCCATTTTGCCAATGTTCATATGCCAGCGGATCCAGCGCTTATAAACTCCAAAACCCGGCTATATGATACCAGCAGCCATGTGTTCCGTATCTGGTATGATATCTTCTGCCATTCTCTGAAACCAAAATTGGATCGTGAGATCTCACAAAATCCACACCCTCTCGAGCTCGCAGCTCTCTTTGGTCACAACGATGTGTTGAAGTCACTATTGCTGACACACAGCGACGACGCAAATTTCGGCAGGATGTGCAGCGAGGAGGCGCTGGGGCACGCATGCACCTATGGTCACGCAGAGATCGTCAGAACGTTATTAGAGCATGGTGTCCATGCCAATTCAAACTCCTTGTGGGGAACAGCGCTAGTAGCAGCGGCCGGGCGTGGTCAAGACGTTGTCCTCCAGATGTTGCTTCAATATGGCGCTGATCCTAATCTGCAATCAGTGGGTCAACATGGGTCTCCACTAATCGCAGCAGTATCGCATCGTCATGGGACGGCGGTGGAGATCTTGCTGGCTGCCGGCGCCAGTATAGATTTGAGCATAACTTTGCCTAACGATGGGGACCCCATCGCCATCATGTACGGGAATGCACTGATAGCAGCGGCATTCAATAAACAGACACCAATCGTGCAACTCTTCCTGGATGAGGGCGCTGATGTTGATGCCAGACCGTCCAGTGGAACATTTGGCACAGCATTGATAGCTGCGTCTTGGGCCGAACATTCAACGATTGTACAACAATTGTTGGATCATGGCGCTGATCCCAATTTGCAAGCTGAGGCCGGAGAATGGGGGACAGCCTTGATAGCTGCTTGCTATACAGCAGACACGGCGGCAGTAGGGTTTCTACTCGACAGAGGCGCTGACATCTCTGCTTATGCACAGTCAGGCGCATATGGGACAGCTTTGATAGCTGCCTGTGCTCGACTCCCTGACAATTTGACTTTGAATTCTGAGATAGTGCACTTCCTTCTCAGCCGGCAAGCTGACATCAATGCTCACGCACGCAGCGGCAATTACGGGACGGCCCTGATGGCTGCTTGTTATTGGGACAATTTTGAGATAGTGCACCTCCTGCTCGATTGGCAAGCCGACATTCATGCTCAAGCGCACATCGGCGAAACTGGGACGGCCCTAATCGCTGCTTGTTGCAACGGCAGGATGGACACAGTGCAATTGCTACTGGACCGTGAAGCCGATGTCAATGCTTGTGCGCGCACTGGTGAATATGGAACAGCCCTCATAGCAGCATCCTATCGGCGCCGGCTGCTTCTTGTGCGTACCTTGATTGAGCATGGTGCCGATGTCAATGCCCGGGGTCAAGTTGGAGACTATGTCAATGCTCTGGCTGCTGCGGTTGCTGCAAAACCGCGGTGGTGGGCGTCAGGTCCATGCGCACGGGATTTCATGAAAGCCCGAAAGGAGGTGATGAAGCTGCTGCTGGGCTGGGGCCCTGGGAATGATGACCGCCTGGACGATCGTGCACAAATAGAGCTGCTTCCAAAAAGACGCCGCCACAGTTCGGAGCCTCTCTATGCTGGGAGGCAGCTCAACGGTCGCTTCAAATGATGGCCTGTCGGAGCTTTCTTGTTACCATGATGGGATCACAGTTTGCACAGCGTGTAGGATCGTGTGCCTCGAGTTCAAGGCTGCTCTCGTAGCGTCACTAATAAGTGTCAAACATTTGTGGTGGAAAAACTCAAGAACGGCCTTCGTGGTCGAGCCGCCAGGTCAGACGAAAATCGTCAAACCCTGATGCGATGGTGTCTCAACGAAAACTAGTTGTGTATGTCCATGAGTACCTACAATTGTGTATATAAGTTAGGTAGCTGTGGCCCAGAATGCTTGACCGATCGACTGCTGTCCCCATACCACAGATGCGCCATATACTTGTGTCTCTCATCTGTGGAAACCACTCTTCCGCGCAGGTTCCACTGTGCTCCTCAGTCTCCTGACCTCTAGTCTGTGGGTCATTCAAGCTTAGACACCCTCAGCATGTTTCTCCCCCAATTTCTCTGTCTGCTCATTCCGAACCCTCATGTCCATAGACTCATCATCCCCAACCGTCGACGACCTCTCACTTGCCATCTCCCCATCCTTGAGGAAAATGCGATCAATATCCTCGAGACTAATATTCGACGTCTCAGGGTAGAAGAAATAAATGACCGGCACGAAACTGAACGCCAAGGCCATGAAGATCAGGTACGTCTTCCAGCCGAGGCGATTGATCAGGACCGGCGTGATCATGACGACGAAGAAGTTCCATGTCCAATGCGCGGCGACGGAGATTGCTGTGCCCCTCGAGCGGGCTTGTAGTGGTAGGATCTCGGGACCGTATACCCAAGGCACGACATTTATCGAACCGCCGAAGATAATCATCTGGAAGTCTTCAGCCTCATTGATACGGTCTTCCGGAATGAGGCATACTTACGTATATGAAAAAGAAAGCGACGGCCGCGGCGCTGGTGTGAGGTTTACCGAAAGACAATAGAATTGACGCCATCATCATGCAGCATCCCAGGCCGAAGGCGCCATAGAGCATTGTCTTACGGCGGCCCATGCGGTCGAGGGCCAGGGCGGGGCCGATGTTGCCCACGATGAACATCAGTTGGATGAATCCAGCGATGATTTGTGCGACACGGGGCGTGAGTTTGACGGTGTCGATGAGGACAGTCGGCATGTAATAAACGACCAAATTGATGCCAACCATCTGATTCATGAACAGTCCGAAATAAGCCAATATTATCCTTCTCCTCGTCTTGAGCTTGTCTTTCTTGAACAGCGCCATGTGACTGGTGACTCCAGCCTCGACGCGCAAGGCATGTTTGATGTTTGCCACTTCCGAAGTGATGTACGGATCTGTGGGTGGGAGGTCGAATACTGCGCAGAGAACGTGGATGGCTTCTTCGTCACGACCTTTCTTGAACAGCCATCTTTGAGCACAATTAGCCGGCGACGTAAAGAAAGGACATGAAGTGTCTTACCTGGGTGACTCCGGGAGACCGAACAGGAGGATGATGACGGTTATAGCGAAGAGGAGTTGAACCGCGATCGGAAGACGCCATGCGATCTCACCGCCTGCATAGGACATGCTAAAATGGATCCTTGTTAGCCCGACAGACCGCATTGTAGATACTGGCACCGAGACATACCCAAAGTCCAACCAGTACGCGAAACTGATGCCCACGCCAATGAACAGGACCTCCCAGGAGACGAGACGGCCTCGCCACTCTTTCCTACACAGCTCAGACTGGTACATGGGCACTGTGGACGAGTCGATGCCTGTGCCAAAGCCCGTGATGATTCGGCCGATGACAAGATGCGGGACGGTGTATGCCGAGCACTGTAGACTGGCGCCGACAATGACGAACGACATGGCGAGCCACATCATTTTGCGGCGACCGAAGTAGTCGCCGATGAAGAAGTTCAGGCCACACCCACAGAGGGCACCGAGGCAGTAGCAGCTCACGAGGATACCGGTCTTGGTATCGTTCTGTTGGCATGTTTAGTGTTGGTCCAGAATCACCATAGGGGATGAATAGTTGTCTTGATTTGTGACTCACCGGATGATGGAACTGATTCAACCAGTTCTCGTTTTGCAGAATACCTGAAAAGACTCCCTGGTCGAAGCCGAAGAACAGAAAGGCTGCAAGACAGCATGTTCCGATGGCGGCGCGAAGAGGGCGGCCATGACGGTACCAGTTCCTCATCTTGAGTGGGGGAGGCAAAAAGTCTAGTATATATATCTTTCTTCACAGTGTGCGCGATTCTGAGCAGTGTTTGTTAGCAGTATCAAAACAGCAGGCGGTAATAGCCATAGACAATCTGAATATGAGATGAAGACACAGGAAGAGGAGGTGGGCGATCTTGACTCTTATAACCGATTACCGATGTAAAGCATCGGCCTCAACAGCAGGGATGCCATGCAGAGACCCTCTCGCCGACCATACCGGTCAGCGGACATGGTTGCATGCTCACAATCTCTGGGCGCACGTCGAGCGAGCATGTCGTTGCAGGCTTGCAGATGTCGATCACGGTTACATTTGGCCTTCGGCAACAGACATGATCGACAGCATGACCAGCAGAGACTGAAGTGGAGTATGGCAAACTTCCCCGACTTTGACGCACCAGACGCGGCGATGTGGGTAAAGGAGTTGTGAGGAGTCACGAAGTGAATTTGATAGAGACCTAAAATACCCCATGTCCTTTTGCTGGGTGCGGGGAAGCCACAATAGTCATGTTAAAAATGGTCAATGGAAGGCTTCAGAGTCCTGGACGAAAGGAATGCCTCGAACATCGCGCCCAGATCTAACCGTTCTAGGTAATCTGAAGAGGAGAAGAGTGAGGGATGCTCCAAACTAATGCACATTGTTCTGCATGATACCCCCACAGAATCATACTCGGCCTTTGCCCAATTGCATACACCGGTGTTATGCCTTCTTCACGCTGACCCCTGGACAACGTCGGACATCACTCCGTGTGCGCCAGGTCTTCCCTCTTTCAGCTCCCTGTACATGTGGTCGACGCCTTCTCGAGGTTCTGCATCGACTCAATGTGACAATGCTTTGACAGCGACCGAGCAGTCCTCATGATACCCTCCACAGGTGATGCTCCTTACTGCATTTGGTTTGCACATTCAGAAGGCCCGAGGAGGCTCTCCATCAGGAGCAAAAGGACCAACAGTGGAAGCGCGGCGGCGCGTCGATTGGGGGATGGCACTGGGTTGACGTCCGCGTGTCTTCTTGGGGTTGTGCCTCGGGCCCTGCTCATCATCCGTTTCAAGGCTCTCTTCATCGTCCCCTACTGTGAAAGCAGTTCGAGTTTCCAAGGTATCCAATCTTTCCTTCTGCTCCTTCAGCATCCTAAGCAATTCGGCTTGTATGGTCTGGTACGACTGTTCGGTTTGCCTCACTTGCTGTCTGGCGAGGTCGATGATTGTGTCTCCCGCCGTAGTAAGCAACACGGTTAACTCGGTAGGATCACAACCAATCTCCTGCTTGAGCTGTTTTGCCACACGGTTTATGCGGTTGGTCGGAAGGCTCTGTCGGAGTTTCGCAATAGCAGTGGCCTCGGCTGTCTTGGAGTCATCATCGTCTGAGTTGCGCTTGCGTTTCCTGGATTTGCCTAGGTGTGAATGATGAATTAGTACATGGGGATCAGGGGCAGCTGACACGACAGGGCATACATACCTCCTCCATTATCCAGATTTTCTTGCTTGACTTCTTTGCGACTCTTTTTATGCTCTTCTTGGTTTTCTGTCTCAGGCCGTGACATGGTCTTTTCCTTTCCTGACTTCTTGTTGGGACTCTCGATTGAATTCTTGTTCCCCTCTGCTGCAGCAGGCTTGCTCTTTTCCTTCTTATTCTGGGATTTGCTCTTGAGCTTTGCTTCTTTTGGCCCCTTTTTGCCATGATCTTCCTGAGCTATGGTCTTCTCCTTGTCCGGAATTGACACCTGCTTCGACTTGTCCTTGCTTCTTGACTGTTTAGGAGTTGGAGTATTCTCTTTGTCATTGGACTCCGCCTCGGAAGTGTCATCACCATAATCATCGTCAAGCTGTACCGTGCTGGAAAAGGACGGTCGGACGTTGGCCCTATTCTTAGCCAAAGCGAGTTGCTGAAAGATGTAGGCCGGACTCGATTTGACGTCTTGAGGGGCGACAATCAGAGTGGGCTTGGGATTGAAGGATGGTGACAATGGCGTTGGCTTGTCGCGCGTCGGAGCCGTTGAGTTGACAGCCCAGGGATCATCTGTGAGATCAACAACGTTCTTCCAGATATGTCTCGCCTTTTGCGGTGTTGCACTTGCGGCACGCTTCCGAAGACCCGAGTTCACTGTACTCATTTTGATATTGGCCAGGCACCAGTGCCAATCAAGGTGATGCGTGGGCCCAGATCGAAGCCAGAGGAGTTTCTTCTGCTGTTGTCTAGAGAAAGATGAGGTTTGAGTTTAGTGGTGAAGTTGGGAAGGTGGGCGAGGTGTGAAGAGTGACAAGATTAGAGCTGGAAGTGACACTCGTGTGAGTAAAAGGATACCTGGACATAAGATCTCAATGAAGTGAGACATGAGATGCTCTTTGCCAAGTGAGTCTCGTTTGATCTCTACCAGTATCGATGGTGCTGCGATTTGGAAATCAGGTCGCAGCCATCAGCAAGGAGTCAACTCTCATCGACACCCTGATGCCCTGCTATCCTTAGGAAAACACCTTGATTTCTGAACTTGTATTTGCATTTTGATCGTCATTATCTCATTAGAATCTGTCTCAACTTACAAAGTCATTGCCACACCTGAACTTTTCCACCTAACGCAGGGATGACCGACGAATCGATCAGACTGCCACCATTTCCCTCACTTTGTCGACCTTGATATCGGGCTTCTCTACCCTGTCCCAACTATTCCAGATATCTGCCTTCATCTCCTTCAGACGCTTGTGCATCCTCCAGAGGTCATCCATGTCTTTATCATCACGGTCTTTTTCGTCAATCTGTGAGATCCGGTCATACAGATCCTTGTATCGTTTGTAATACTTTTGGAACCGTCTCGCATCGTCAATCACACGTTGTCTACTTGGAACCGGCTTTTCAGGAGAGGTAGAACGTTCCGAATCAGTTCTGACAGGCGTTGGCCGTTTCAAATGTTCACCTGTACCGTTTGGAAGCGGTGCCAAACGAGCGCTGTCTGACTGTTGACGTTTGGCAGGACGCTCTTCTTCGTTTGCAGGTGCCTTGCGCTTGACTGGAACTTTCTCCGGGCTTCTTCCCCCCGAAACATTACCGCTTCTGTCCGAAACGACGGGAGAGTATTTATTGCCTTGCTTTCGCTTGGGCATCTCTGTATCAGAAGGTGGGGAAGAGGGCGCTGAAGATTGATTGGAGGCTTTGCTTGAACTAGAATTGTCGGCGTCGGTGGAGGTAGTAGGAGGCGAAGACCCCAGAGGAGACGGCTTCTGGGGAGAACTATCGTGCCGTGGTCTGGGTGACACACGCGAGGTCGAGTTCTCCGGTTTCTGGTGTGGTTTTAACGATTTCGAAGCATTCGTTAGTGTACTTCGCACCTTCTCGTTACCGCTGGAAGATGAGCTCGACAGAGATGTTTTGTGTACTGTCTTTCGAGGAGATGAGACTTCGTGTGATGGCCTTGGCGTTTTGACACGCTCCTGATCATGCTTCTTGTTGACTATCGAGATTGGTTGAGGCGTCGACTTTCCCTTCTGTTTTGTGATCACTTCATCTGCTGCATCGGCATCTTCATCAGAATCCTCGATTCGTTCAGAAGACTTGAACTTCCCGTCGGGCTTGGCTGCTTTGGGTTGTAAAGCGTCTTTCGACCGGCCAACGCCAACGATCTCACTCTTTGCAGGGGCTTTGGAGCCGGCAGCTTTGTCCTTTGGTTTCTTTTGAACCACCACAGTGTCAGTCTTCACACGGGCCTTTCCAGTTTCTCGGTCAGACATTTCCGCCCTGCTCTCGTTTCCGTCTTCAGCGGCACGCTCGGGTTTTACTACAACTGGCTTGTCGAAGTTGAGTCTGGACAAGACCTTTCCCTTTCCTCGATCTTCTGTAGGTAACAGCAGTTGCCACAAGTTGTCCTTCTTTTCCACACGCATCCGGTCGTATGCCTGAATAGCATGGTCGATTGCTTTCTGTCTGTCCTCCTGGGACCGATAGGGAAACTTCCACACATCCAATTCACGATACGTCTTCTCCTTCAACTCTTTCAGTCCCTCTCCCGCCTTAGAATCCCGAGCCACTTTGTCTATCAGTTTCTCACAGTCGTCCTTAGCAGCATGAAGTTGTTCGGCTATTGCTTTTACTGTCAACGGCCGAGCCGCAAGAAGATGAATCAGAGGTATACGGATAGCATCGAGCCGGACTCTATCTTTGGGTGACAGGCCCTGACCCAGAGGTGTGGATGTCGGACCTAGTCCGGGCGAGAAAGCTCCGGCCAGAAAAGGACTTGAGGGTCGGGATATCGACATGCCTGATAGAAGACGGTCCTTCCTCAACGCAGAGTTCTGGCTTAACAGAGGTGAGGGTCTGTGATCCTTCTTTGCACCATGCTTCAGGTCTTCTCTGCCGCCTATGATACTGGTCTCGTTGGAAGCTCGTTGCTCCTGAATCGATCTGAGTGTGTTTTCCAGGGCGGCCAGTGCTTCGTCACTTTTGGCAGTATCCTCTGCGGCCTTCTGCACTTCGAGTTTGTGGTTGGACCTTCCCGAAAAGTATAATAGTCCACCATCTTTAGCATCTCTCGTGAAGATCTCGGAGGGGAAGTCTTCGACGCCACTAGACAAGGGGATTGTCTTCTTGCCAAACTGCAACGCTTGCCTTTTGCCACACCGAAGGCGGACTTGTTCTTTGTTCTTCAGAGATCGAACTATATCCTTGTTCACACTCCCAGGCAAATCCAAGCGGATCACCTGCGGGGGTTCTTTCGACTGCTTGTCTTCGGCATCATGCTTCGAAGTATGTTTGAGGGCAAGGCCCTGCGGAGGCACACTGAATGTCACCATGATGTGGGGATTTGGTAATGTGTGAAGTGTGAGGAGGATTTTCGGTTTGAAGGTGTTCAGGTCAGTTCCGATCTGCCGGTTGACGGTGGTCAAGGGCAAGTGACAGTCAAAGCCGCTCCGCTTGCTGCATGGCAGTGACAGCTGCTGGCAGACGGCTTCATGACAATATCAAGTACGTGAAGGAGGATAGATCAGTGGAGGAATACGACAGTCGAAGGGAGGAGTTTGTGAACAAAGGAACAAAGGAAGACGCAAGCAGCCAGGTTCAGGTCGATAGACGAAGATGAGAAGCAAGGACTGGACGGTGTTGCTGACGATTGGAGGGATCAGCTTGTGGGGTAGGTGGACAAAGCGATCTTGGAAGCACGCGGTCTGAACAGTGGAACGAACTTGCGCCCAAGGAGCCTGTTGGCTGAGCGGCCAAAGAGTGCGGGAGCGGCATCCTCAATTCAAGCCTCGATTTGGCTGAGAAACGCCTCTCAGGGCAGTTGGAGGGTCGTGAGGGACAAGGGTGGGTGCCGTGATAGAGTCCACAGTGGTGAACAGTGCTCGACCTGAATGGTCCTTCTGCCAATGTCTGGTGGCCTTTCTGAACTGTCTACGCCTGCTTGGGCATGGCCCGGCCGCCTTCCCGGTGCCTAGGTCGCGCTTTGGCTTTGTGTCAGCACAGGAAAAGCAACTGACCACCACCCCCATTCCATCACGCGTCAAGATCCGGACTAGGTCGAGCCAGCCATTCGGCAAGACATGCGTGTTTTACAATTATCTTCCGCACTTCAAGGAGGGTATCAGCGAAAATTCAACGGAAGAGATATGCGCGTTGATGCAAAGCTAAGCCTGCGAGGACGACCAGTTCAATCTGCAGAGTGCATTCGTTTTGGAATGAATCTGAGACTGACTTGAATCTGGCCATACGAACCAAGATTGGGTAGGATCGTTGAAGGGGGCTGGATGTCAAAAGGTCGCCACACAGCCCATTTGTAACATGAGCCCCGAAAAATCATTCCAGATCAAGGCGTGTGTCAGTGTATCACCCTCCTTCAAAGGTGTCGGGCTCCGGGATTACCATGTAGTTCCTGCAGCTTGACATGTCGTGCTGTGGACTGTGCGATAGCAAAGAGGAATAGCATCATTGGTTATCCAGGTCAGCTATTTGGTGTGACCTACGCAACGACGAGTTCGTCTTCTTGGCTCAAACCATGCATGATTACCATTTCCGCATGTGAAGGCCGAAACGATTGGTTGTTATCAGTAGAATCGGACATTTCGTAAAGCTGACAGGCTGCTTTGGTTATAAATGGCCACCAGATTTAGCAGTACAGTGAACATGTAGAAATGACCGAGCAGATGAATCCTATTCCAGGAACGAACTGGGATGGCCGCAAACATTCGTACCTGAAAAGGATAAGGGATTTTGTCTCAAGCAAGGGCCTTGGGTTCCGCATGCGGGTGTTGCATGACTTGGTGACGAGGGTTTCCCAAGCGTCCGTGCTTCGCTATAAGTATATCCGAACCTTTTCGAGGGGAAGGCTCTCCCACCGCCACCATCGTCGATGACCGGGGTTGTCGACTGTAGCACGACTTTCTAGTAATTAAATAGTGCACACCTACATAGATGAACTGAGGCTTAAAGTCGACTTGACTCGGGAAAAAGTAAAGAATCTCTCCCCCAAGGAGTTCGGAAGGAAGCCATGACGTGAGCCTGGAAATGGACGATTTCTCTTAACTGAAAGCGTGAATAGCGTGTGTTTAGGTAAGCGGCTCTAAGGGTCACACAGGTCACAACCGCATCTGTGGCACTGAGTGCGCATGCCACAAAATCACTTTCGCAGGCGCGCCTCGCATGGTGACCACTACTGATTGATTCGAACAACAAAGTGTACCTTGCCCTCCTCGATCCGAACACGCACAATGTCTTTGGGTAAGTCTCGCCCAGATAGTGTCGTTGGTGTTGCGCCCCCCAGTTACGACGCTTTACAATTTTTGCGCAGTCGCAAATGACCGTCACGCGCGCAGCAAAGATGCTAATTGCATTTCCAGATCTGGATGAGAAGACCTTAGAGGCCGTCGCCAACAATGGCGAAATGGACTAGTATGTGATCTGGCTGGGTTTGCGTTGGTGCGACTGACCACTTCAACAGTGAGAAATGGCCCGCCATAATCGAACCACTACTGCAACGTCTGAATCAGGTATGCAGATTCCTGAATGGTCAAGTGCACCAAGCTGATATACTGGCAGATCGTCTACACTGAGTTTCCCATGCCACGACCTTATCCGAGCATGAACCGTCAGCCATCGCTGTCTTCTCCCGCTCAGAATCAAGCAACCTCGAACCGAGACTCCAATCCTGTCGCGCAGGCTCCCTCTACGCCCGTCCGAAACCTCCCTCCAGTGCCTCCCTTTCCCAACTCGTCAGCTACCTCCACAAGCCATGTACCGGACTCTTTACCTCCTTCCCAAGACCCTGCCGTGGATCCGATCAACGAACTTCCTGCGCTGTTGCTCCAAATGCTTAACAGCGTAACACAAACTCTCCAGTCAGCATTTTCCGAAAGACCACCGCACACTATTCAACGACTAGCGGAACTAGTCATATACCCAACGAAACACTACAAGGCCCTACCAGCCTGGCTGCGAGCGCTAGATCGAGTGGTCAGGGTGAGCAGTTCCGCGGACATTTTCCCTCTGTCAGACACTCCTCCCATGGTTAATGGTGTCAACGGTGACGGTGGTGGGGGAATACTCTGGAACAACGACAACACGCGCAATGGATACGATAACAATTCTTTGGGTAGTGACGAGAGCCTGGGTGGTGCGCTGCTAACTCCCATACCGTGGTTGCGGAATGGACTTGGTGGCGTTGAAGGATCGAGCGAGGAGTCGGGTCACCTGGGCTCGGATCAGAGTGCCAGTACAGACAGTCTTGGTGAGCCTCTAATAATGCCGGAGCACAACGCTTCGGAACATCTGGCGCCAGAAAGAGCAGATGGCGGAGTCACACAGGGTGAATTGATGCGGATGGAGCAAGAGGCAGGTGTGATACCTTTGAACCAGAGTTCCCATGATGGCAGTGGGGCTCCGAGCAGAACCATGGCTGGGGCCGAGGAAGGTCTATATATGGACGAGGACGGAGACCTGGTACCTCATGCGCGTGGGCCTGATGTTGTTGGGTCAGTGGATATGGGTCGTGTTGGTGGTCAAGATGTGCAGATTCGAATTGGAAGTCCTCCCCAGGAAGACGGCAGGACGACGGATGCAAATGACGCACAGACGGTACTTCCAGACCAAGATGATCTTCCAACCGTCACGGACTCGGCTATCGAGCCATCTACTGTTGATTCAGACGACTTTGAGATAGTGCTCAAGGACAGTGAGAGTGCTGCTGCAGGCGTTGATGCCATGCAAGTTGACGAGTCTGCGAGATCCGATGGAAAGCAGGAAATTGGGCAGCAGTCGAAGGAGGAGCACGATGGAGATATCGTCCTGGTTGATGCGGATGGCAAGACTGAGGATGACGCTGCATCGAAAGCCGATGCCTCGGGCGAGAATATCGGGCCTGATGCCGCAGACACGTCGACCGTTACCTGAGTTTCTTGGTCGCAGATTTGGAAGAATAAATCAGGACCTGTGCGCCCATAAAGCCAGAGCGCGACGCAGACTCATGTTGCTGGACGTCTGAAATCGCCGCGAGGAGGAACGAAGAGCCTGGGCTTGCAGTGCAGTGCAGTGCACGAATGTTAGTCTCGGCCCCAACTTGTTCGATACTGGCATCAAAAACAATGAGCCTTCCGCGCCGATGGCTGATCATGATTATAGTAGTGTTGTCCAGAGCCTTTACGCAACGCGAGGGTCAAGAACTCTCTCGTCATTGACGAGACAGCTTCAGGAGCAAGACCACAGAACAGATGTTCTGAATATGTATATTTGTATATATGCATACGCTGCTGGCGCAAGTGACCCAACTTCATCGCAATAAATCTGAAAGTGACGCTGTGCCCACTTCCTTAACTCCCGTCATAAATGCTAGCATCTATTGCCTCCGCTGTGCTCTGTCTGAGGTGGCTACAATAGCATGCATATAACCTCTCGATCCGCCGGATCATGTCAAAGTCAGAGATGGACTAAGACTTGGGGCGCTGACTTGATGGCGAACAGCTCCGCCTCAGGTTGCAGCATCATGCTCCGGTTCTCGACAAGCCTGTATACAGGAAGCATGGCCGTACCTTTCTTCCTTGTGAGAAAAGTCGAAAACCTTTGCCTGCACGTCCCGAAGCTGTTTGAACTCCGTCGTGAGTTGGGATGTCTGCAGACTGTCGGCGGGAGAGAGTAGCTCAGAAATATAGCATGATCATCCAGTCTGACAAGCATGGATATGTAGGACACATTCAGCGTTGTGCTGGATGCTTTTCAAGTCATCGAGTCACCGAAACTTGTAAATAAGACCTCCGTACGAGGTTCAGTACGACTCATCTTCATTTAGTCATTCGAGCCTGACTCTCGGACATCGTTTCCAGTAATGGTCGCACCGGAATTTGCATTCGTCGACCCTCCATCTGTGCCCATGGGACCACCCTTCTTCTTCTCTTTCTTTGCCCACCGCAGACCGCAGGCGTTACATAGAGTCTTGGGGCCGTTCGGTCCTTTTCTCCATTCTGGACTGTCGAGCGTTCCACAATCAGTACACACGTATTCGTCGGCGGATTTGACTTTTTTATGTTTCTTGTCTGAGTATGCCGAGTATCGAGCATCGGCTTTGTCGATGGGGATGTGGATGCCGGCATCGCCTCGTATCAGCGCCGGGGATGTCCCGCCTGTTGATATTCCCTGAGATCTTTCACCCTCGCGATACCTAAGACCGGTGAACATTTCGATCGAGTCGACGTGCGAAGAGCCTTCGTAACGTGCCATCTTGTCTCTGATGCTATCCGGTCTTGCGAACGAGTTGGCTTCGTCCAGTGCCTCGCGTGTCAGCGCGATGTTGGACACGGTAGGCTTGGCGGGTGGTGGCATGGCCTGGTAGTCGGTAATTGAATGCACGGAAGGTGATGCGGGACTGATTTCGTTCGAAACCGAGGGTGTTCGCGAACTTGAAGCTCCTGCTTGCTTGTGGTAGTGCTCTTGCTGAGCGTCGGCATCCTCAGCCTCTTCCCTTTTCAGCGCTGCTATCCTCGCTTGTAGTCGGATGTTCTCGGTCTTGTGCTCCAGAAAAGAATCGAGGAGCTCTGCATTCCTGCTTGGATAAGGGCGCGCCATCATGAAGAAGCCTCTACATATCCCAGCTGGTCCTACGGGTGTGCCAGTCCGTTCCAGCGGTGTGGCCTCGTTGGTAAGATGCGGATGACCGTGACATTCAAAGATCCGATATTTGTCTTCCGCCGTCCGGAATCGATGGTAGAACCGCAGAGGATTTCCAGTAGCAATGCTCTCGTTGAACTCACGTATGAATAATGCCGAATCATCCGGATGGACGAATTCAAAGATGGACTTGCCCACGAGATCTGCAGGATTATACCCAGTGAGGAACTTGGCGGATGGTGACATGTAGAGTATCTGGCCGTCAGGGGTCAGAATATACATCAGGTCCTTGAGTTCTTCGAGGACACGTTGAGACCAGTTGCGCCTTTTGGTGAATTCGGTCAGGCTACTACTCGAGCCATGGAGGTTTTGAGATTGAAACCCAATTGGCAAGGGTCCGCCTCCCACGCTGTTGGCAAGGATGTTCTCATTCGAGTCAGCCTTGCTGGACTCTTGCTTCATATGAGATGGCGTTACAGCGTTCATCATATCAGCGAAGGTCGTGGGAGGCATGGACGTCATGTCGAGGGATGGAGCATCTGGATACAAACCCATCGAGGGATCGGACATGTCTTGCTGGAGACCGAAAGAGTCCAATTCGGTTTGAAAGGCCATTTCTGCAGCAACTGGTGGGTCTTTGGGTGGGCGCTTTTCTGATCGGTGAGGCCAACGAGGCGACGGGACCCAGTCTAGAACCACGGTCCTTCCACTCGATCCCCGGTTGAGGGGGGGTTAGACAGCAGTGTGGTGTCGTAGAATCGAGATCTGATGTCGCCGGTTTTGATGATTGTTTTTATCGCGTAAATTCGGTGGAGAATTGAACCGGTAGGGTTACAAGACCCTGGAAAATGGTGCTTGTACGGTGCGAGTGTTGAGCGAAAGGGTAGATCTGAGATCGCGGAATCGAAAAGGTTGCAATGGCAGTTTGCCGCGGCGGATTGTAGATTGCCAAGCCTCAAGAGAGGGTGAAGTCAGATCACGTGTTGTGGCGTCAGTTTCGATCATGGGGCAGGCACCACAGGCACCAGTGGCACTTAAACTTCCATCTACCTAATTAACGCGTCAATCACTCACTCATCGCGCGTACCTTTTGATGATTTTGATTTTATTCATTGAATCAAAGCAGTTTCACAGCGTCCAGATATCCCACTGCGCTACTCTCACGAGCTTTCGATCCCCTTCGTTCCCAAGCCGGAGAGCAACACTCTTTCATGGGGCTCTGACCTGGGCACTAATGATTTGATATTCCCAGTTTCTCGGACGGTACAGAATTGTTTGCTTGCACTCTCAGTTACTTTGCTCCCCTACACCCAAAATGTCTCGCCTTCATTCCATGAATATCAGCGGCATACGCTCATTCAAGGCCAACGAAAGTGAGACAATCAAGTTTGAAACTCCTCTTACCCTCATCGTCGGTCAGAATGGTTCCGGAAAAACGACTGTCATCGAATGTCTCAGATACGCCTTTACAGGAGAACAACCTCCCAACACGAGAGTCGGGGGTGCTTTTGTCCATGACCCAAAGTTGGAAAATGACAATAGTGTCAAGGCTCTTGTTCGGGTGGCCTTCAGAGGAGCCAACGGAGCTGCACTCGTCGTTACTCGTCGTCTAGAATTGCAAGTCAAAAAGGCGTCTCGCTCCCTCAAGACCCTGGAAAGCTCACTGCACGTCACCAAGCACGGCGAAAGAACAGTCATCTCCTCTCGTGTAGCGGAACTGGACTTGATCATGCCCAAGTATCTTGGTGTCGGCACCGCCATTATTGACAACGTTATATTCTGCCATCAAGATGAAAGCCTATGGCCACTCAGCGATCCTACGACCTTGAAGAAGAAATTTGACGAGATCTTCGAAGCGCAGAAATACACAAAAGCCATTGACAACATTAAGCAGATCCGCAAAAAGCATAATGAAGAGCTTGGAAAGTACAAAATCTTCGAGCAGCAAGCCAAGGGCGACAAGGATCGTGCCATCAAAGTCCAGAGAGGCGCACAGAAGCTGCATGACGACGTGGAATCCTTGAGGGCCGAGGTGGAAGATCTGGAACGGAGAATCTCTCAGGCACGAAAGTTGGCAGACGAGGCTTGGAGGAAAGGTGAAGACTACGCCAAGGTCTTGGGGACTCTGCAAGGGAAGCGTATTGAGGCTCAAGGCATACAAAACACCATTGAGGGGATCACACAAAATCTGGAAGAAGTAAATGAGTCTGACGAATGGTTACAGACGACGCTTGAGCAGTTCCAAACTCGGCAGCAAGAACTGAAGGACGAAATGCGACTCAAGCAAGAAGAGTACCTCGAGTACCAAGATCAGATCAAACAACTTGGTAGGCAGAGAGAAGAGAAAGTCAAACTCAAGGGCAAGTATGAACAAGAGAAGGAGGAGCATGAACGACAACTGGTCCGGCGCAAGGACATGGTCCGAGAGGTTGCTGCAAGACATCAAATCCGTCGCTTCGACGACCTAAGTAACGAGAACCGTGTTGAAGAGTTCTTGCTCAAGATCAAGAAGCTGTTAAAGGAACAGAAGGAAGCCTTGAATCGCGCTAAGCTCGAGCACACCACAGAAAGACGCGAAGCACAGACGCTCGTTAACAAGCTGACTGAGCGAAAAGCGGCGTTGCAGGACAGCAAAATCAACATACGTAAGCAAATAGACTCGAACGACCGGGAAGCTGGAGACTTCCAGCGAAGAGTCAACCAAATCGACGTTGACGAGGGTAGCCGAGCTGTCGTAGAGTCACGCATTGACAATCTCAATACCAAGTTGAGACAAGCCCAACAAACTGCCGAGGCTGCAGACTGGGATAAAAAGTTGCAGGCTGCTCATACGGAACTTCAATCGTATGAGTCAGTCAGCTCCAAGCTGAACGATGAGATCGTGCATTCGACGAAGAAAGCTGGGGAGCTTGCAAGATTGTCTCATCTGAAGCAGGAGCTCAAGGAACGTGAGCGGAGTCTAGAGACCTTGCTGAAGGCGCATAGTGATCGCATCAACAAGATCGTCAACCAGGCGTGGGCTCCTGCTACCGTGGAAAAGGTCTATGAATCGACGTTGGCCTACGCCGACAACGCAGCGAAGGAAGCTGACCGCAAGAGAGATCACGTCGGCAGGGAATTGGAGCAAGTGCAATTCAAGCGAGAATCTCTTCGCAAGGACCTTGGCCGGAAGAAGTCCGAGGCCCAGGATTGTGACAAGCAAATCCGTGCCGTGGTACCAGATGGTCCAGAGAGCTATGAAGAAGCCCTACAGCAAGCGGAAAATGATGCGGACTTTGCACGAGAGGAGAGCGGTGGTTTTGCTGGACTGCATGATTACTATCAGAAGGTCTTGGAAGCTATCAGAGGTGAAAAGCCAGCTTGCCGTACGTGTGCACGTGCGTTCAAGGGACACAACGATCCTGCCTTGACGAGGATGAAGAAGCGTATGGAAGACTTGGTGGAGAAGACACGAGCAGACGCCGAAAGGACCAATCCTAAAGAAGTCGAAGCCGATTACAAGCGTCTGCTGGATCTCGGCTTGATTGTTGAAACTTGGAAGAAGCTTGTGAACGCCGATATCCCTGCCAATGAACAAGAGTTAGCCAGATTGGACGAGCAGGTCGAAAAGTTGGAGTCCAAGATGGAAGACCATGACACCAAGGTGGAAGCATGCAAGGAAACGAAACGAGAGGTGGAATCAATTGGGCGTACAATAGCATCTATTGCCAAATACCACGGCGAGATCAAGACATTCGAGACTCAAGTCGAGGAGCTTTCGGCAAAGCAATCTCAACAGACTGGAGGACGCACTTTGGAAGACATACGCGAGGAGCTGAACTCGACCGCGGAGAAGATCAGAGGCGTGCAAAACGTGGTCAGTCGCATGAGAGCCGAGCAAGAACAGTCTCGCACAGCACTTTCATCTATGGAGCTCGAGTTGCGGGATCTAAAGAGTGAACTGAACACTGTTGGGTATCAACTCGACAAGAAAGCTTCGCTTGCTGCTCGAGTGGAAGAGTATCGAGCCCAGAACCAAAAGCAGCGAGAGGCTCTGGAGAGACTCGACCGGGATATTGAGAAGCTTGACCCTGAGATTGCTATGGCGAAAGCCAAATATGAAGACGTCGATCAGAGAGCAGCCGCCAAGGAACAGGAGATGTCACACGAGCAATCCAGTCTCAGCGAAAGTGTCAATGGACTGGACATACTGAACGAGCACGTCCGGTCCTACATCGACCGTGATGGGCCGAATCAGCTCGCCCGCGTCAATCGTGAACTCAGCCATCTGGAAAAGGAGCTTGACCGTGTGCAGAATGAGCAGGGACGGTTGACACGTGATATGAACAAAATCAACGATCAGATCCGAGATAGCGAGGCGACGAGAAGACGATATTCTGACAACCTTCAATACCGTCGTGAAACACGAGCCCTTGTCCAGTTGCAGGAAGAGATTGAAGAGCTTGCGAGTCAGAATGCCGAGGCCGATCGTGACAATTTCCAGAAAGAATCACAGAAACATACCCATGAGTACAACCGACTTGGTGCACAACAAGCTGGAAAGTTGGGGGAAATGAAGTCAAAGGACGCTCAGCTCCAAGAAATTCTGAAAGAATATGAGACCGACCTGAAAGACGCACCGCAGCGCTACAAGGAATTTCACATCAAGGTCGAAGCTACCAAAGCGGCTGTTGAAGACTTGGGCCGGTATGGTGGAGCCTTGGACAAGGCCATCATGAAGTATCACAGCCTCAAGATGGGTGAAATCAACAGCATCATCGAGGAGCTTTGGCGCAAGACTTACAAGGGCACCGACGTTGACAGCATCATGATCCGTGCAGATAATGAGACTGGACGAGGCAATCGATCATACAATTACCGGGTTGTGATGGTCAAGCGCGACGCGGAAATGGATATGCGAGGCCGGTGCAGCGCTGGACAAAAGGTGTTGGCAAGCATCATCATCCGACTCGCGTTGGCCGAGTGCTTCAGTGCCAACTGTGGATTGATTGCCCTCGACGAACCGACGACCAACCTCGACCGCGAGAACATCCACAGCCTGGCCCAGGCACTCAAAGACATCATTTTGTATCGACAGCAACAATCGAATTTCCAGCTGATTGTAATTACCCATGATGAGGACTTTCTACGAAGCATGGATTGTGCCAGGTTTGCCAACGTCTACTACCGAGTATCGCGAGACCCAGCAGAAAACTCCATCATCGAGCAACAGCAGATAACAGAGGTGATGTGAAAAGATGATGAGCAGGTGGACAGTTGCTAAGGTATGATTCGCCAAAATTGTCATGGTACCTGACAGGATTTCTCGTGTTTCGGATTGCGGAACATTATTTCTATTTCTTCTTTCTGGTGCCTGGAATTGTGGGCAAGCCAACGTTAAGTTACGTGGCCGTTCCTGAGAGGCAGTCCAATCCGAGAATACTGAATATTTCGCACGCATCGCGACGCAGGACGGTTTCTCTGCGCAAGTCGTGACAGGTCTCGTTAATAGTGCTGCAGAGGCGACTGAGACATTGTTGTTTGACGATGAGAACAGGTGCATGTGCAATCAAGGTCTCGGCCTCGGTAAACAGGTGCGGCTGTGTTGCTTGATAGGGAGTCCCAGTTCCAGGCGAATCGGGGAGGCTGAAGAAGGCCAAACCGAAAAGAGCGACTGCTGTCAAGAAAGGCTTGTCCTTGCGACCCAGACTGGGGTTAGTGAAGAAGGATGTGGAACGACGATTGGCATGATGCTTGCCCAGCCTATGGGAGTATCTGGCTGGAGCTGCAAGGGCACCAGAGGCACCATCGGCAGGGCATTCGGGAAGGCAGGGGTCCCCCCAGGACTTCAAGCAGAGAATAATCCATCGTCTGCGCGTTGTCAACAACAACGATTCCTACGACTGGGAAGCGATATTGCAGCAACAATTTGATGGAGAAAATCCTGTATGAAGCTACGAGGATCACAACCGTGCTATCATCGACGGTCCTCTATCCGGTTGTCCGTGTAACTCTCGACGTGGTTGCTGTGACGTGGTTGATGCATTGACTGCCACTGTCCTCATCAGCCGACGCGACCTTGACGAATGATAATTCTCCCAGCACTTCTGTGATCGACACCAGCCTGCAAAAGGAAGAAACAGCAGGTGATGGAACCCTTGCATGAGGTGCTTTCCCCAGTCGCATCATTATTCCATTCTCTGTCCGTTCTTTCTGCTTGCTGGGCACTGTGTCTCATCCGCGGCTGCTATTTTTTAACCTTACCACTCAGATGCTGCTCTTATGTATATCATTGCGCCTCTCCACCCAATATGCAACCATCCACAACGACTCACAGACCTCCTCCATACATAGACACTTCTGGTCCTTGGCATTTGTGCCTCTCTGCCTAGGGCGTGCACCTCGTTTTCAAGGTTCTGTGTTCTGAGGTTGACCGGGCGTGCCCTGCGTCCTCAGTTTCGCGCAATTTTGTGGCTGATGGTGCCAGAAGAAGGGTCCAGCCGTGAAGCTCGGACCCAGTCTCACGGTTCTCATCCTGCCTCTTAATTAACCGTCTCGTACCATTGTGCCACTGTCCCTTCATTCCCGCCCCACTGGGCTGTCGATGACCGTGTTCAACATTCCCGTACCGGCTTTTGTCTTCTCCACGCCTCCGGACCTTCCAATGGCCTTTGCGGTACTATGTACGGAGCACCATGGTAGTGCTTCCAGTGCTGTTCTTTTGCTCCACCCGGTGCTCTGAGCGACTACCAGATCCAAGGGCGACCGCTACAACCACTCAACCACTCCCCTCTGTCCACGAGCTGCATACGGTAGTCTCCACAGTTGGGGTGGCTCAAGGTACTATATGGCCGACTTCGTGTCGAAGCTACGTGAAGAAATGCGAATCCATACCTGATGCAGGCTTGCTCCGTCCAGCGCCGGCTCTGCTCATCCCAGAAATTTCCCCATATGTCGAGGGTGCTGATACTAGATCGACGTCTTTATTGGTGACCATCTTTCCACCTCGTCTGCAACTTCTCCTCACGGCTGTTCCTTTTTCACATATACTTCAGAGCAGGTGACCATTAAGCCGTCTCTCAACCATTCAATTGCTAACTTACCCCTCTCCGAATCGTCCACGTGGGTATCTTTCGGCGTCATTGCGCGGTCATAGAGAATCGCAGAGCATAAAGCTGACGTCCGCCTGGAGGAGGTTGGTCAAACTTCAGTCGGTGTTGCTGTTTACCGCTTGGACCAATACCTAGGGTGCAGGAACTGGTGCTGCTTGATCAAATACCTCAGTCGGGGAGACTTCGACATGTGGGGGAGCAAGGCTCTCTTGACTGCTTTGGCTGTCGCCAGTGCAGCAGCGTGAGTTACATTCCGGGTGCTGGGAAACGGAACCAACTGACATGTTCCAGGTCACCTATCGAGAAACGACAGTTCTCGTACGGATCTACACCCGTGCGAGGTGTGAACATTGGAGGTTGGTTGGTACTGGAACCTTGGATCACGCCGTCTATCTTCACACCATACGGGGGAAGCGTTGTGGACGAGTGGACGCTGTGCGAGAATGTCGCCGATGCTGCGTCTATCCTCCAAAGCCACTGGGCCAGCTGGGTGTCTCTGTCAGATTTTCAGAAGATCGCGGACAACGGCTTCAACCTAGTACGCATTCCCATTGGATACTGGGCCTACCAAAAGTACGATGGAGACCCGTACATCCAAGGTGCTGCAGACTATCTCGACTCAGCCATCAGTTGGGCTCGTCAGACCGGCTTAAAAGTCTGGATTGACCTCCACGGCGCACCACTCTCGCAAAACGGCTTCGATAACTCTGGCCATCTGTCGACACCAGAATGGACTACCGACGACTCAATCGACCAGACACTCAGCGTCATCAGCCAAATCGCCCAGAAATACGGTACCTCTTCTTACTCGGACGTCATTGCCGGGATCGAACTTTTGAACGAACCGCTGATTCAGTCTTTGCCCGGAGGAAAATCTGCTGTCCAGGGCTACTACGAATCGGGTTTCGGCATCGTGCGAGACTCCGGCAATTCGTACGTGGTCATCCACGACGGTTTCCTCAATCCTTCAGCTTGGGACGGAGTCCTGACAGGCTCGGGCACATCGGGAGCCATTATCGATCACCACGAGTACCAAGTCTTCAGCGACGGTGGTGTCGCTTTGACACCGGCAGAACACGTCAGTGAAGTGTGGACTTCGGCAAATACCTGGGGTAATGGGTATGACAAGTTTGTCATCGTTGGTGAATGGTCTGCTGCCATGACCGATTGTGCTCCCTACTTGAATGGTTATGGTACCGGAGCCCGCTACGACGGCACATACAGCGGGTCTAGCTACGTTGGATCATGCTCGGCTATCGACAACATTGGCTCGTGGAGCAGTGACTACAAGTCCGACACGACGAATTACATCAGCGCCCAGATCAGTGCTTTCGAGTCCAAGGCTCAGGGCTGGATCTTTTGGAATTTCAAGACCGAGAACGCGCCCGAATGGGATCTGTTCCAGTTGCTTGACAATGGCGTCTGGCCTTCGTGAGGTCAATGTCGACTGACACATGAATACTACCGCCTCTGGTACTGAATATGATGACCTGGGTGGATGTCCACTGTGATGACCTTTACTTCGGTATTTAGCGAATACGAGATAGAGACGTGCATTGTGCATTCTGGATTGTATGGTACTTGCATGAGATATCCCAACATTGCATCTGGAAATCAAAGGGCAAAGATCATGTTTTGGACATATGCGCTGTGACTGTGGTTGTGGCTGCCTGATGAGGAACAAAAAGGGGGAAATTGGTGGACATGAAAGTGGCACATTTTACGATACGAGACTATGACCCCTTATACACTATATACCATTCACGACAATCGCTCATATACACAATAGATCCATGCATGAATCTCGGATAATATCATTCCCTCGTATTCATGACCGTGGCCTTCCCTTGGCTATGTGACTATTGAATTTGACGCTCCTTGATTGTCGCGCACGAGCAACACGGCCTAGCACATGAAATTGGGAAAGAGAAGTCATACCATGTCATATTGATTCCAGAACCTCTTCGTCTAAAAATGAACACCACACTGTCAAGATGAAGAGGACTTGATCCGGCAACCCCGACCACCGTATCTACTCAATCACAAATCCTTCCGCATTGGCCTTGATAATCTTCTCATAGTCGACCTCCTCATCCATCTCCAGCAGGCGAGCACCAAGTACGTCAACCTCGATGAACGGCCGCGTCATCTCGAAGGCCACAGACATAGGGAAGAACTCGGCATCATCATCGGCCTGGGCATCGAATTCGAAACTGCCATTAGCGTTCTCTGCGTCAATCGTGCCAATCGTCCACTCCAAGCTATCTCCTGTGACTTGGTAGATGGCGTCGAAAGATGAGACAGCAGGCTCGGCTGACGAGTAGGGTATTGTCACAGTCACGTCGCGGAGAGTGTTTTCCATGTTGGTAAGCTCATATTCGATCGTGATGGTATAGCTGTCCTCAGCCTTGTTGACCCATGCAGTGAATGTGATGGGGAGGATATCAGGCGTGTCTGCTGCGGCTGTGGCGCGCCAGCGTAGAACACCAATGCTGTTGTTTGTGGGGAAGCGTTTGGTTGTGTCCTTGAGCTGGATGACCTTCTGCGAAGTGAACAAATTCTTATCCACGTTGGGGTGTGTTCGGAATTGAGCTTTTAAGGGTCCTTCTTGGGCCTGCACTGATAAAGCCAGTTTTGTGAGAGCCGGGTCCGCAATCTTTAACTGTAAATCACCTTTGACCTCGAACGATTTCAAAGCGCCTTCGCGCGAAAGTTTCGCTGAGAGTGTCTCGGTCACGGACACGGTAATGGGATTTGCATGAGATGGAGCGTGATCGTGAGTTGCGGCGGATGGGACGGTGCGATCAGGAAGTTCTGCTTCGATTTGGGCGGCCGTAGGCTCCGGTTCTCCCATTTCCCGTTGAACTTTGGCAAAAGCGTTGGATGTCTTTGATTTCTTGCCCAGCTGCATGCCCTTTGTGGGTCGTGCAGCCGTGAACTTGCTGGACACCTTGTTCTTCTCTGCCTCATATGAGTCGTATGACGACTCTGGCCGCACTGGGGGAGTGTAGGTAGGTTGTTGAGGCATCCTAGGCGCAACGCCCCTTCCGTAAGCAGCCGACCGAGCAGCTTCTTTTCTTTGCATCTCGAGTTGTTTAGCTTTGCGTTTCCGCTCTTCAGAGGCTTCCAACTCTTTATTTCGAGCGATGATCTCTTGAATTCGTTCTTCATGCGACTCCATCTCGAGGAAGGTCTTAATCTGATTGAGAGAAAGGTTTTCTCGGTAGCCCATCGTGACCAGTTCGTCAAAAGCGCTCAGCAGTTCGAAGGCATTCCGCAGGATCTCGCGCTCGTCGGGTTTCTTACATATCGAAGTGACCACTTGGCCGAACAGGTGTAGGCTGTCAATATCTTGAAGGATATTAGACTGCTTGTTTGTGATGAGGACCAGGTAGAGCTCATCGAGCGGTTGGTACACGAAGCGGACATTCTCTTGCTCAACCGTGGTGTGTTGTGTTGAGGTATCTGCGAGTTTAGGAAAGGATGCTAGGAGGGCTTCGACTCTGGACTTTTGGATCTCTCTAAATTGGCGGGACAACAGAGGCTTGCCGCCGCGTGTGCAGATCGAAGCGGCGAGGACGACCATGTTTGTTTGCGGAAATGAAGAAGCGAGTGAGGTGTGAATTGATATGCAGCGCACACGGGAAAGGACAGGTATTGTTGTCTCGGCCAAAAGTTGAAGCCAGATTCGATTGGAGACCTGAATGAGGAAAGGCCCCGCGGTTTCCCCTTAAGCTTGGCGGTCATATTCACTGCTTATAGGCTGCTTGGGCACAGGCGGTCACCTCCGAGAGAGCCTTGCTCTTTATCAGAGATAATTCTTGACCATGGCTCATTCATTTTCCTCTTTGCTTTCCGGCGTGACGATATTTAGTGCGAGGCAAAGATGGATGGCCTCAAGGAGATTATTGGAGATGTCGCCTTGCGCGAGCCCATTAAGTGTGTCGATATGCACACGACGGGTGAGCCTACGAGGATCATTTACTCAGGGTATCCCAACCTCACTGGGACACTGCTCGAGCAGCGCGCTCAAGCTTTGACTGAGTACGATCACATCCGCAAAAGGCTGATGTTCGAGCCTCGAGGACATTGGGACATGTATGGCGCCATCTTGCGGCCAGATACTGAATTGGTAGCCAGTGGAAAGGCCGATATGGGGGTGTTGTTCACCCACAACGAAGGTTATTCGACCATGTGCGGACACGCCACCATCGCACTTGGAAGATTCCTCGTCGATGCTGACGAGTCTATATTCCCTAGAGGAAAGAAACTAAGATACGACAAAGATATATCGTCTTTCCATCTGAGCCTTCATGTGCCTAGTGGCCCACTTGAGGTCACCGTCCCGGCACTACCCAACGGCAAGTCAGATCCTTCTCGTCCCGTCTCTTTCCTATCTGTACCTTCCTTTGCAACTGGAGTCTCTGTCAAGATACCTCTGTCGCCGGAATATCGCTGGCCAGAGTTGGGAGACCGCACATTTATCACTGCCGATTTCAGTTATGGAGGGGCGTTTTATTGCATTGTCGACGCGGAAGAGCTAGGTTTTTCTGGAAGGCTGGCGGATGTTGAACTAGGGAAGATGGATCATGCTTCCAAACAGCTCAAGGCGGCAGTCAACGCAAACCCCGACCTCTCTTTTCGTACAAAACATCCGATTACCAAGGAAATGAGCTACTTGTACTCGATCATGATCGTTGATACCAGCCTTAGGGCCGGACATGGCTCAGAAGAGAACGATACAAGCGGACCCGATCATGCTGGAGAGGAGACTGGCCTTTGCTTCTTTGCCAACCAACAAATTGATCGTTCCCCAACTGGTGGTGCCGTTGCTGCGAGGGTTGCCCTCGCTTACAACCAGGGGAAGCTCTCAGTCGGCCAACGCCGGACTTACCATTCCTTGCTGTCTCAAAGGACCGGAATGGGCGGTTTCACTGGCTCGGTGATTGAAGCTCTGCCTTCCAGCTCGGAACAACCACATGTAAGAGTTCGTGTGGAAGGATCTGCTCATTACACTGGAATGTTTACTGCTGTGGTTGAAGAGAAGGATGGCCTCGGCAGGACTGGCTTTGCTTTACACCAATTGGAAGGCTGCCAAAGATGAGGCTACGCACAGCAGAGAAGACTCATAGAGGTGCTAGTAAAGACATAGACGCATAGCAAAAGTATTTCTCACCTAGGGCGGCCGTCGTCACTATTGGAACAGGTATAGCGTAAGACGCGTCCGACGCGTTTGCGGAGAGTTTCAGGTTTAACTTCACCGCCTCTTTATCTTTTGATTATGCTCGACCCTTTCTACCACCATGTACTGTCAGTTTAACGTTCAGTAAATGTCTGAAGGATTTGTTCTGGCCGGCTGATATTGCTGTTCTGCGTTTTGTTCGATTGTAATCATGTCTATGACCCAAGCGACGGAGCTGGTCTCCAAGGTGGAATTACCCTCTCGCCCCAAGAAATGCAGTGCGTTGGGCTTGCTTGATAGTCAGCCGTGTCACTCTGATGCAATATCACTCAACGGACTGTTTTGCCAATTCCATTCCAGACAGTGCCATGGTATGTTTTTACATATGCTCAAGCACGAAGCCTAGCCACCATCATGACTAGAAACTCTCCGCATGACTTGCTGACGGCGGTTCTGCTGAACAGGCTTGTACGTGGGCTACAAGAGGCGCAATGCCGAACTTGATGCACTGCCAAATTCTCTCCCGGCCTATTTGGCAGACAGTCCCAAAAAACTGGCAAATGAAGACTTCGCCGAGCTGAGTGATCAGAAGGAACTGGAGGAGATCCATGAACATCTTCTCAAGCGACACAACCTACTAGACCGCGTGATCAAAGCCCGCAAGATTCACCACAGTCATTTCTATGCCCTCACCATGGATTATGGACACGAGAAGTTTCTGAGCTCACTGGTCACTCAGAAGCTAACAGTCCTGAAAGCACTCGAGCGTGTGGTGCAACGCATGGCCGAAGTGATGTACCAGCAGCGTAAGTGGTTTGAGTGGGCCCGGGAATGCCAGGACGAGGAAGACAAGCAGCGCGAGAACGAGCAGAAGAAGATAAAGCGAGAAGCAGCTCTCTTTCGACGTCAAGCCAAAGGATTGCATCGCCGTATGCGTGAGGCCAAAGCAGAGGAGGACGCTCGGAGGCAAGAGCAGTTCCTAGAAAAAGCCTATCAGGAGAGACTCGCCGCAGAAGCCGGCCAGGAATCCTGGGATCCTCTCGAGGACGTCGTTGAGTATGAACGGGGCTCTCACGTCCACCTGATCAAGCATTTCTTGTGGATGGACGACCAACACACGAACGGTGAAGAAGTCGACTGTGCGGAGACTGCCGAACGTCCTGCAGACTCTGTTTCGGTTCCAGAAGCGCCGGCAGACACTCAAATGTCTACCAGCACGAACGAAAGCACCCCGAAGCCGACGGATGCGGCTCCAGAATCCCAAAACGGCAGAAGAAAGAAGAAGAAGGGCAAAGGCAAAAAGTCCGAAGAGCTTCCGTCGACTGACCTTGGAAACGGTATCACAGCTTCAAGCGAGAGTGAGAGACAAATTGCCCCCAATGCTAAGCCCGTCGTTGTTTCTACAGGGGACCGGCACCAGCGTCCAGAAGATGAGCCAGACATGGCAGAGACTGAGAGTCGACAGGAGATGCGGTCAAGGCTGCTCCAAGGAACCAAGGTCGCAGGAGGGAGATTGATATTCGTTGCAATGGATGGTACAAAGCGAATTTTGGAGCGTATGCCACCAATGTCGCAATCGGAAGTTGACCGCCTTACCATGGAGATTACTGAGATCAAAAACTATCTGCTGTGTCGGATGCTTCTTCGGACTGCTGTTCTACTGCCTGCGGCTATGGAAGCCAACAGCCTTCAAGAATTCTTCGAAAGTCCGGAACTGAAAGCTCAAGATCTGCGAGACTTGTGTCTTAAGCTGGAACAGCCCTCCCTCCAGGACATACGGGATGCGTGCGCGGATTACTTTAGAACAGATGAGGGCCCTGATGCTGAAGATCCAGCAAGTGAATCGGAAGCAGACGAGGAAGACAGTGAGGCGGACAATGATGTGGTTGCCGCACCCCCAGGCAGCCGTCGACGGAAGCATCATTTACCAAAAGTATGGCAGTCGAAACGAAAAGTCGCAATGAGATCTGAAATGTCGGAGGATCAAAACCAAATGGTAGACTTGTTCGAGGAGATGAATCGATCCGGTGAAGAACAGGGCACTCGCATCAATTTCGGCACGCTTGATGACGCGGGAAACCTTCGAAAGAGCAAAATGCGTGTCAAGATATGTGGCCGTTACATCTACAACTATCCGAGTAAGGGATCGCTGAGTCGTGGCGGCTGGCTGCAATTCAGTATTCTCGCACGAAATTGCAGCTTGTACAAGGCTGCCGAGTTGTGTAAATCCTGGGACGAGTTCTACGAACTCAACCTTCTGGCGCATTATTTCTACTTTCCAAACCCGGAGTGGTTCTCAGGCGTAGCCGAAAACTTCGTGCAGCGGTCATATATTCAGATGGTAAGTTCATTGCTGTGGTCCAGGAGCCCAGAGACTTTCTATATCTTTCGCGGGCAAATTCATTTCCGTTCGCTGCAGGTCTTGAAACATGCTGATGGCCCTGTAGGGATTTGTACCGTTCGACATCTTCCAAGATGCGGAGCTTTTGAATTTCAATCGCAAAGGGCGCACCAGTGCTGGACGTCGAGTCCATGCTTCGATCGAGGTCAGAAATTGGATTTGTGCACAAATGAAGCGCAACGACCCTGTCAGTCGTCGTTTCATACAGTATGCGTCAATGCGGGCCCTCGAAATAATGATTTTGGTGCGAGATGGAAGGACTGGTCGAATCATTGTCCAACCACCTGAAAAAGAGTTGTGGCTCGAAAGACGACGGGGAGGGTATGGTAGGTCTGCCCGCGCCGAATGGGACACCATCAAATACGTTGGACCCGACTTCTTTGAAGAGATGGAAAAGTATCGAAGCTTTAGACTGGGATTCGACGATTACTACGAGATCTACATATGGTCATCCAACCCTGGCGGACAGGGGCAAGAGCTGCACAGCCATGTGCTCAAGGTAAGGGTCGTGCCGTTGCTCTTGTCGTCCAGAAGCTAACCCGTCCCAGGTTCTTCACAAGGCACACCGGATTAGCCAGCCATTGGATTGCTGGGCCAATGCCGCTCCAGTTCTAAAGACTATCACCTACGATGGAGACTCATTTCGCGTCAGGGATGTTCGAGAGGACGAGACTACAACGACAATCTGGGACGATATGACTTCGGATCCGAGTGCCTTTCAATTCATGACACCCGATGGGGACGTCTCTCGCGAAGTGCCCAAGCATTTGCTCTATACGAAGGCGGATATGCTCGAGGACAAAATCTTATTCCCCGAAGAGGCATGCACGATCTCCACCCGCAGACGTTATAAAGGCGTTGAAAACGAGCTGACACAGTATGAACATGGCTCACTGAGAGAGTTTGCAATGAAGTTCTTCGTTCGAGATGGCGATACAGACGAAGAGGAGTCGGACGGCTGGGAAGATGAGCTGTCTGTATGGGAATCGGAGGACGATAGCATGGCAAGCGATGACGATCACACAGACTCGACACGCACTATTGAGGATGATACAAGCCTTACTCCGGAACAATCTACAAGCAGTGGCTCAAAGGACCTGAATGGTCATGGACCGCTCGCCATAAGGGCTCAGACCAAGAAGTGCGTATCCCAGAAAGATCATCGAATGTTGCGCACTGATACCACGTGCTAATTTGGTACAGATCGAGCGGAGACATTCTGAGAGGGATCTCTCCAAACCTGGCTACAGCTGTAGACATTCTCGACTCATTTGGGCCGGGACCAGAACGGAACGTGGATATGGACAAGGAGTTCATGACATGCATGGACCTATACAAATCAAAAAGTGAGTTGAACCCGACTTCTCGCGCATGAGATTGGAGGCATGCAGAAGCACGACCTGACTGTGGTGCTACCGCATGCCCGAGGATGCCTCCTTATCTTCCTTGAGCTCAGCACCCTGATTACTCCTGCGTAGTCGAAGAATGTCCAAGTGCAGACCATACTAATATCATACAGTATTCAAGGAGGCATGGCACAACTCGGACTTGGAGCCGGGCGCGCAGCAACGTTGGCATGAATATCTGGAGATCCGTCGCGATGCCGAGACACCTGATCTCAAAGAATACGACGAGATATTGGTGCCATGTGCGCGTTTGCTGAAGTTTCTTGACTACCATCCAAATACACACAGGCGAGTCATGAAGGACATGAAACGAGCATATGGCATCGTATCCTTGTTTTTCTCCGCAGGTGCGACGTTTTTCGCCTCGACAAACGGCCTGAAACACGAGGCTTCCAAGATCTTTGACCAGACACACCGCTGCAAGCAATTACCCGACAGGCGGAGTTCACGGAGCTCCCGTTACAGAGAAGACAGTTTTTTCCAAGATCTTGACAATGCAACACGACGCTACAGATTGCCAGAGGATTATGCTGCAAATGACTTACCTCTTGAATGGGATATTTGTATCCGGCCCAAAATTGCTGAATGTAAGATGCTCCTATTCAGTTCGGCAGAAATTCACTGACGCGCACACCAGTCTTCAGACACGGCGTTATTTGCGTCTCTTACGTGGAGGAACCGGAAATATGCGGGAGAGCTTTTGCGGCTCAGGAGCACGATCGACCCCAGGATCTCTACTTTGACTTCCGGCCCGCTATTGACGGCATGAAAATGCCGAAGGGGTTCGTCGATCCATACAGCATCACGGTGCGATCCCTTCGCCAAGATGCTACGGCCTTCGTGGAGAAGTTCCCCCTGGCGCGTTTCTCGCTCCTACGCGTCTGGTCGTCACCACACTTCTATCCTTTTATGCTCTCCTATGAGAAACGGGTAATGACCAGTTTTGTCGATATGCTCGGCCGAAGCTGGGAGTGGAAGTTTATTCCTAAAGACATGCCGTACTCGGAATGGAGTGTGCACTACAACATGACCCAAAGGTTTGAACCATATATGTCGCACTTTGGAGACGGCAAGAAGATCAGGATACGCAAGGATGTTGTGTTGGTCATGGCCGAGAGCGAGTCCGATCTGCTACAGTTGACGGCTGCTGCTACCTTCATCATGCAAACTCAACCCTGGAGGCTCGAGGTCGACTTTTGGAAAAGTTTTGTGAACGTGGACCGTCAGTTCTTGGATGGACTGGTAGACGAGTGGTGGTTGTGAAATCCCTCATATAAAGGTTGCGCGAAATTTGTGCGTGACAGATCTACACATGCTCACAATCCTCGGTACCAAGGTAGTATAAGTACCTTGTTCGGTGTTGATGGCCCGTCAATGGTACGTTTTCATCTCAGACCTCAAGCTACGCTCTTCATTCAAGGATTGAAACCACTTTATCACCTTCGAGGCCGAACTGCCTCCTGATCATATCGACGTGCACACAAGTCTGAAAACATGTCTGGCAACCAGCAAATTAGTAAGTTGAATTCCCATGGTCTAGCACTCGTCTCACTTGTCTCGCACTAGGTAGCGAGGACGCGAAATCAGTGACCGACGCGTTAACAGCGACCCGCGCATTTGGCGTCTGGGGACTTGTGCTTGGACTTGGTGGTGGTCTGTTGCTGGGATACAACATGTTCATCGACGAAGAGTCGGGAAGTCACCGTCGCGAGAGAGAACTTACGGAGAACTTCAGGAAACTTGAGAGCAGTTTCAAACATGGGCTAGAGCTACAGACTAATGAGTTAGAGCGACGAGAGGTTCACAGAGAGATCAACCGGATCTTCAAGAAATAGGGGACAGAGCGATGCAAACAGCTGATACTTGGTCAGACGGTTGGAATCTTCTTGCTAATAGACTCCCTTCTCACTCCTCATGAGGTGCAACAACCAAGACTCTCACTTGCAGTATCGCATCCGGAGAACAACATGTTGCTCGTTGATCCTTGAGAGTTAGTATTTACCAGTGAGTGGTTGATGTGAAATCCCTCATATGGAACATTGCGCGATATTTGTGCATGACAGACGCTATACATTCTCCAAACCTTTGGTACAAGGGTATGTATAAGTACCTGGTTCAGCGCGCATACCCCTTCGCTCGTGTAATCTCAGACCCCAGACCTTCGACCTTCAACCTCCGTTCTTCAAGCAAGTATCGAAACCGGTTTCTCACCTTAACGGCCGATTTGCTCCTAATCTTGCCTCGAGGGGGACCGTGAGAAGTATGTCTAGCCTTCAGCTTCTCAGCCGACGAGGGCCACAGATGTTCCGGCAAATCCAACCACATGTTCCGACGAGGACGTTCATGAACCAATCCGCTCTTCTTCGGACGCGAGCCCCGAATCCATGCGGATCTTCGATCAAGACCCCTCTGTCACTACAACAGATGAGACTTCAGGCTCCCAGAAGAACCTTTACAGATTGTCCACAATCCCGACCAGCCTGTGGACAATGTTCACATGCTCAGCAAGCCTGGAAAGATTCCCAAAAAGTTGTTGCGCAAGCTGAAACTAGTCAGCAACCCGGTAAGTTGAAGTGCGAGATTCTAGACGATCGACTCATTTGTATACCAGGTGACGACGGCGGAGCCTTCCTCGCTTGTCTTTTCGGAGGTTTTTTTGGGGGTATATTTATGGGATACCACCTGTTCATCGATCGGGAGTCGTGGAGTCACCAGGCTGAAGCATTGAGAGACCGCGAGAAGGAAGAGACTGCAGAATTCAGGAGGAAGACCCAGAAGGCACTCGAAAATCTAGAGCGGCAGCAGAAATATGGAAGGTGATGTCAGCAGTTGTTGCTTGGAAGAATGTTTGAAATGATCTTTTCTTAGACCCCTCATCTCCTTCTGTTTGAAACAGAATGATAAAGAACTCAACTCATGATTCAGCGTAGTGGAGAACATTATGTGACTATGTGACTCATGGCACTCAATACCCACGAGAGGAAACAGTCTTGACGGTTCGTGGCAGTCCTTGTGTTAGGTACCATAGATACCTAGGTATGTAGCCGGTTTCGGTCAGTGCCGCTTTGATGCCAGAATTTGAACTAAGCTTGTTGCGGACATCTGCGGCTGCCGCCTGGAAACAATTCTCAAACCTCCTCTTTCAAGACTTCTGCCTCCTTCTTTCATCGCCAGCTTTTGTGCGCAGTGTGCAACACAGTGATAATGTTTCAGTGAAGTCTTGCTGGACTCACTTTCGTTTGTTCCCACCGTCGCCTATATTTGACTGCTTCAAATATCCTCAGCGCAACTCCAAGAACGAAATCTTTGACCCTTCTTCTATCCGCTTGTCATTCGAATTGTTACGCGTTGCCTCCCACTCTTCGTTCGCTTTTCCTTTCGAAAAACCCAGAATACTGCAATCTCGAGCAGTCAAATCTTTACTGGGGTTTCGATCCGCGCAGTTGGCGCCTCATTCCGGTATGACCGCGATACCATCATTTGTGTTTCAAGATGTGGACGCGCCACAACTGGATGATAAAATGGACGTAGCCTCATCGCCCTTTCGGCAGCCTGACGACATCGACATCGAGCTCGATTCCGTTCGCGACCCTTCAGTCATCGGCTCCATACACGACGACATGATCGATGATGAGTCCGTCCAGTTAGACGACAGTGGTAACAACCCTCGGCAAGATGAGACCGATGAAATATTGCCTGATGATGATATGTTTGATGATACGAATGCGCTCTTGACAACCGAAAACGCAGATATCGATTACAACATGGACGGTGATGGAGAAGGAGTCCGACTTGACGAAGATGAGGACATTTTGTACGAGGAAGAGGAAGACATGCCCCTGGAGCAGCCTATAGAAATCACCGACCATGCCTATGAAATCACACTGGATGAAGAACCACCATTCCTCGAAGAGGGCGGTGACGAAGTCGATCTCACGGTTCTCGAAGAACACGCTGAAGACGAGCAACTTACAACTAATGTAGCACCCATCGGATCATACCAGGAAACCACAGACGTAACTGAACAGAAGCCGAAGGCCGCCGTGCCCGTCCAATCGCCTCTTCCAGAAGTTGAAAACGAATCGGCACGCTTCGAAGACGGAGAACAAGATAACGGTGGCCAGGATCATGACCAAGTTGAAGACCATCACGAATCTGGGGACGACGTGTCCGCGGCTATTGATGGAATCGACACGCATGAACTGGCCGTCCAACCCTCGGAGACGGTTCCATCTACTGGTGACGCCCTGATGTCCGCTTCACATGACAATGTCGAGCAGCAAGAAGATGCTGAGCATCCAGCCGCCGAGCATGCAGACAAGTCTCAGGAGACACAAGCCTCTTTGCATCCTGTAACACTGGTCTATCTGGACGAGGAGATGTCACTATTTCCACCCATGCTTGGAGACTCCTCAGCCGTCTACTTCTTGCAAGACTCCTCGCTTGCCTTCGAGCCACTTGACAAAGTGCTCGCGACTTGTCGTGACATTCTCAGTGGAACTCTGGATCATCACGATGAGCTTGTCCTGGATATTACTTCTCTGGGACTTCACATTTGTGAAGATTCGAAATATGCCGCACAGATCACCTTGTCCCAGATCCTCGAGGTATACTTGCAACTCTGCAACAATGATGGAAACGAAGAGTCACCACCCTTGTGTTGTTATCTGAGCAGCCGTGTGAGCTTGGCGTCGCAATATGCTTATCTTTCATCCGCATGTGGTGAAGGTAAAGGGTTCTCAGAAATCGCCGCTGACTACGTTGACACTCCAGAGCCTGAGGATCAGCAGCCTTACCATGAGCACGATGCCGAGGAAGGTGCCAACCAGAGGTCTGCCATGGAAGAACTTCCTGGCAACGGCGCAGATCCTGTCACGGCAAACCTTGCTGGCGAAACTCAGGATGCTTCTCAGCCGGCTCAAAATGCTCCGGATTATGTCAACGAACCGGAGGACGCAACAGGATCTGATGGTCACTTTGCTGAAGGTGCCCAGAATGCGGACGATGTGTTTGCCTTACCTGAGGCGGATGGAGAGCATCCTGCAGAATTATCCACAGCCCAAGAGACGAACGAAGATGCCAAAGTCCCTGCACCTGACTCTGCAGACCAGCCTGGTGATGATCCCGACGGCGAGGGTGAGGAGCTGGAAGTTGCTGACGTCGGCCATGATACCTCGTCTCAGCTTTCCGGTCCCTCAAAAGTGGGTATAGATGAGGACGAGACCAATAGCTCACATACCGTACAAGCAGACCATGTGGAAACCGAGTTTGCAGATCCTGATGCTGTACGAGTCGAAACAGAGGGCGAGGAATCATTCAACGAATTCCAGAACCACGCGCAGGATTCCGAACACGAGCCTGTGCCAGAGCTGGATTCCTTCAGTGATGAAGAACTGTTTGCTCTGGAAGAGGGCAGCAAGGACGATCTTAAAGATGTTTCGATTCCTGCGGAGCATGCAGATCCAGGTCTTCCGGGTGAGCAGCAGCAGTCAAGCACCCAACCTCAATCAGACCCGCCAAGTCTCTCCCTCAAACCTCCGACCGCCGCAAGTCCTCCCATTACGCCATCCAAGAGCATTCATTCCAAGCGGAAGGTGGAAGACGACGATGATTTCGACCTCCTGGAATTTGATACACCTGAACCCAAGCGTCGGCGGCCTTCTTGACTTTCGAATTTCACCGAGATACTTCACACACATGGACGACCACAACACGTCTGACATCTTCTGGATATCGGCTCGAACCACGACCACAGATCAATCTTCGTCTTGCTAATCATGACAGCTTCTAACGCGTTAGGTCCCGGTCGTAAGCTACGGCGTACAACACTTGCGTATCTCAGGAGGACGCTGTCGCGCTTATCCTCCATACCCTTGGATCTTCACCCCTTCAGAATGTCAAAATTCCCCTGTGCTACTAACATTAGGTCATTCCCACGTATGGACAGTTGTCAGTTCGCCATCGCTTTTGAGTTGGGTAGAAACACTAAGCTCCCCGACTCTGCGAACCCTTCTCTTCCACCACGGGAGAGTCGGTCGTGCTCAATGACACCTTTTACGTTATGGTGACTGCAATGGCAGGGTGGGTGGGTTTGCAGTTCACCGTAAGTCGAGTGTACCAGATCATAGAATGAGGTGGAATTGGCATGGATCAAGCGGGAAAATCGTGCTATCATTATTCTTTTTCTTGCTTTACGAGCAGTTGGGCCGGCTGAAGGAGGATGAGTGCCTTGGTGGTGTTCAACCTCCTCATGCTCAAGCGGCGGGGGATGCGATGGAATCCGTTGAGACGGGACAGGCTTTTCCGGAGAGGTGTCGATGGCTCAACGTACAACGAGGCTCTACCATGATGTCCATTGGTCTGTGCTTGAGCAGGTGATTGTAACGAGATACAGAAGGTGCCTTCCACAGAAACAAGAGAATGAAGAAAGCTAAGCTATCTGCACGGATGATCTCTTGCCAGTCTTTCGTGACACCGATAATGCTTCCTTCACACGACGAGTCTGGGGCCGTGGCACTCGTGATGTTAGGCATTCCGCAGGCCGAAGTGAACCTCGGCTTTCCCCACTCGAGACATGACATGCAAGGCACGAATCCAATGAACCGCACCCGCACGTCTTACCTGCATTCAATGAACACATGTAATACGAGTAGATCCCTCCTCGAATGTGTCGTTGTTCTTTTGTTCCCAATGCATGTTATTGCCTTGGCCGCTTCACTTAGGTCTGGATTCGTAACCTCTAGATTCCTCATTCATATTAGACTTCTAGACTGGAGCGCATCGCGAATCAGTCACCGTTCCTTGAAACAGACACATAGACCTCAGGATCCTCGATACATCCATTTCTGTAGCTCACAGCGGACCATGGGCGCTCCCAAGCCGGGCGAACAATCTCAGATCACAGGCAAGAGGACCGGTGCGGGTACCGCGACGATGGCGCCCTCCAAGTTCGAAGTGCGAGGCTACACCGAACACAAGGCGCCCAAGCCGCCCTCGCCCAGTGCAAGTGTGATACTCGTCTCACCCACCAACGAGATCCTTTTGCTGCACCGCGTCCAGACTTCATCGGCTTTCCCCTCGGCTCATGTCTTCCCGGGCGGCAACCTCGAGGCATCCGACGGTGACCTCCCAGCGGACTCGACAGACATCAACCGTCACCTCGACAGCATCGCGTATCGCACGGGAGCTATCCGCGAACTGTTCGAGGAGTCCGGCATCTTGCTCGCGCGGGAGTCGAAAGACGCCAAGGCCCTCCTCGCTGTGTCCCGCGACCAAAGACGACAGGGTCGCGAAGCCGTGCATGGTCACAAGACGACGCTTTCGGCGTGGATCAAGTCGATATCCCCCAATGCCGTGCTGGACACGGACCGTCTGATCCCGTTCACGCACTGGGTCACGCCGCCTAATGTGCCTAAGCGCTTCACCACGCAGATGTACGTTTACTTCGTGGAGCTCGAGGAGGCTGGGAACCCGTCGGTGCATGCGACGGCCGACAAGGTTGAGACTATGGCGCCCAGGTGGCGACGGGCGCGAGACTGGTTGAATGGCGCACGGAGCGGAGAGATCATCTTGTTTCCGCCACAGTTTCTGTTGCTGTATCTGATGTCGGAGATACTGGATCGTGAGGTCGTGGATGGACAAGCCGAGGCGAGAGACGAGGTGCTGCGTAAAAGAGAGCAGCTACGGCATAGAATTGAGACAGAAGGATCGCCTTTTTGGAAGGATAAGTTTATCAGTCCGATCGGCCTACAGTTTGGACGAGAGGATGGGCGGTCGGTGTTGGCATTGGACAAGCCCGGGCCCGAACTCAAGGGTAGTGGGCTGAAAGGGGATTCTGACTATGTCGTACTGGTCAAGTTCAATAAGGAGGGTCCCAGGCAGCTCGAGGTCGGGTTGCGGAAGGACGTGTTGAAGGACGAAAGGGATCTTAAGGCGCAAAAGGAGCAGAAGCTATAAAGGTACTGTGAGCGCGTAGAAGCGTCATGCACGTCTTTGCTTGATGATGAACAGGATGAGCCCGTCATGATGTATAAGAATTTTCAATTCTGGTTTGCAGATTGTATCTAGGGAGTCTTCGAAATGCCCCATTGTAAAGCCTCATTGTAAACTCCTCCAACGCCCTTGCTAAATTCGAGTCGTCAAAGAAAAACATCCTCAGAACCACGACAATGTCCACAGAGCCGGTAGATTGGGCCATCTCTCCTGCCAGCTGGCCAGGATATCAGGAACCCTTTCGTCGAAACTCTGCCGTGCAGCTCCTGCCCCATTCTCCCAGCCTGCTGTGCCGTTGAGCTGCCTCTCCTGGACAGCAGCCTCATTGAGAGCGTCCGCCAACTCCAGGATGGCTCCACCGCCAACAAGCGCTTCCTCATGATTATCTTTGATGTCAATGTTGAACACGTGGACAGGTCGATTGAGCGGCGCGCCTCTGTCTAGCAGATTGTCAACCACGGCATCCCAGCATCTTTCCTCGCATGTGAATATGACATCGACGACACCGCCTTCGGCACCTTCTGCACCCTTGTCCCCTCGGTTGAGAGCTTCTATTCTCGCAGCGCCAACCATCCAGTCGTGAAATCGTTCTGGTCCCCATTTGATATTTCGATTTCTGTCCAGCATGTTGAGAATACCGTTGTTACGATATAGCCTGGAATCCTGCGCGTTCAACTCTTCAAACATTTTCGTGTAGGAAGTAGTATTGAAATTGTAGACCTGTGGTTGGGATATTGATGGGCCCGGTAACCGGACGTATGAACCTGTGCCGAAGGAAATGACTGGGTATTTGTGGGTCGAAGTCGAAAGTCGTAGATGTGCCTCCATGCTTCGATTGTTGTTCGATGCACAGACAGTGCAGAACTTTAGCTTGTACGAGACATCATCAGATTTTGCTGCCACTGTCGCGGCTGGGGAAGAAACGTCGATTGTTCCATCAAGACCTGTGGTAGTAACGAGCTGCTGGGGAGCTTCTACAGCTGCAGGTGCCGTGTCTGGAGCTGGAGCTGGAGCCGGAGCGAGAGGTACGAGGGCAGGAGCGGCAGGAGCAGGAGGAGTTTGTGGTCTGGGAGGTTGAGGCGTGACTGTTCGCCCTTGAAGACGAGCCAGTCGGGGATCGGTCGACATTGTGGTTATCGCTGTAGGTTCAACATAGCGCGACACTGAATTTTACAGTCAGTACTGATGCACGGCTGTATGGATCAAGATAGAAAATGCCAGGAAGCGAATGTGTTCAGATGGTTGATTCTGCGTAGATTATGGGTATCCTCAGTGTGAATAGGACAGCTCCAATATGTGATCATCATGTTGCGCAATGCGAGGAAGAGAGGTCGCGGAGTAGTAGACTTACCAAGGTGCGTATCGTCATGCGACGAGTACTCCTCTAAATCAGAGACTGATGTCGTTAAAAGGATAATACCATCATGTATGTTATGTAGAGCAAGTTCAGTTCTCGTTGATCGATATCAAATTCAAGTAAAGTGTGGGAGTTTTTCAGCCAAAAGGGTCTTAGCCTCTGCACTGTCTACAGCTTGAAACACTGGACCAGAATTATTGGTTGTGCCCAATCAAAATTGTCCGGGCTGCCCTGAATGGTTTGCCCTGCGCCGGCCCATTTGCTTAATCGTGTGCTGCGAACAGTGCTAAGCGTGGCTAAAGATGCCACTCTCGCCCACATTGTGGTACCTGTGGTACCTATTGACGACTCACGAGTAAAGTATCCTGCTACCATCCATGCTAATAACTGGTATAGCTTGCCTCCAGTCAAGAGATCGATCGATCTCTCTGTCAAGCCTAGACCTCCTCCTCTTGTAGACCATACTGTATTAATTAATACTCACGTCTCTGTTGAATATCCTCCCCTCTGCAATGTGAACGTTGTGCAGTTTGCTTCCTGCTTTGACCCTTGGAAATTCCCCAGTTGTGTTTGGGGGCCCTTCCCTACATCCATCTAAATATAGAACTGCGCATTCGCATTTCTCAACCACTGCACCGAGAAAGCCCTCCACATCCAGATCCAGATCAATCACAATAATCTCAGCTCGGTGAGGCTTGACTCCATAATCCACCAACATCGATCGCATCTTCACAACACCCGAGCCACGTTCACCATCCTCTCTTTCCACCGGCCTACCATAAGCGCGCGCAGGTCTGGACGAATTCCACCTCCCTCAGGGTCTTCCCTCTCCCAGCCGAATCAGTAGCGACGGCGCCGCCCTTTCGCACTGTCTAGCCGCCCGCACTGGTCTCGTGCTGCAGGTGCGCATTCCTCTGAAAACGATTACCTTCGCCCGTCATCTTCCTCGAACTCTATCCTTGCCATTGCGACCGTCGGCGGGCCTCAGTTTTGCGCTCTATTTGGGGAAGGATGGCCACCATCACAGCCTCACCACCCACAATGTCACCGCCTCTCGCCGGAGCATCCTCCAGTCCTCCGACCCTCCCTCCCTTGATCACAGCAACACCGACACCACGACGGGCGAGTTCGCAAAGACCGACCTCGTATGTCGAACGACGAATGTCCTCCTTTTCGAGCCATTCCAAGGCTTCCCATCAACCTCAGTCCCGTCCTATCTCTCACGTCTTTCCTATCTTCCATTCGAGCCTCACTTACACGCTCGTACGGGACTTTGCATATTTACCAACACACCCATGCCATTATGGTCCTCCTCCGAGCCAGTCAACACTTTCCACTCCGGTCAGTGAGTCCCGAAGACTATCAGATCCTTCGCTCTCGTCGTGGGAGGATTCAAGAGGACAGTGGTCCGCAACACCGCCATGGATGTCAGAAACAAGCACCGGACCGTTCAGTCGGGATCGACTACCTGTGATGACGTTTAAAGATGATGGACCGCCGTACAGTGAAGACGATGATATTCAGTCGCCGATTGTGACAACCAGCAGACACAAGAAGCACAAGTCAAACGAACGGGGGAGATCCCCGGGTGCCGCAGGACCGAATCGTGGATTACTGGTTGAGAATAACCATGATGAGATGGATGGACCTGGCGAGGCTATAGACACTTACGACAACAATGTCCTTCGATTCCCTCAACAACCGCAACATCGAGATTCCAATTTCGCAAAACCATTGGACAGAAGCAAATCACCGATGGACGGACACGAACCCACGTCCGAAGACGAATACTCGGAAGCCGACGATGACGCTCGATTTTCCAAGGACTATTCTTTCACCATTGCGAGTCCGGACGAGAAAATGCACGGGAAAGCAGTCGCACTATTCGACTTTGAAAGCGAACACCAGAACGAGCTGCCCCTGAAGGAAGGGCAAATCATCCTTGTTTCTTACCGACACGGTCAAGGGTGGTTAGTGGCCGAAGACCCGAGAACAGGTGAGAGTGGCCTCGTCCCGGAAGAGTTCGTAAGGCTGGTCAGGGATATCGAGGGCGGTCTCCATGGCTTGAACTCGGTAACCTTGGATGATGTCAACATGGACGGGGTGATGAGCCCGGAATCAGCAGATCTCACCACGCCAGTCGCGGGCACCCACGATTTTCCAGCATCAAAGAGCAACGGGAATGGTCACAACAGCGAAAAGCACCCACCTGTCCAATCGAGCTTCAGCACAAGCAGCCGAGACTTCAGCCCGTACCCTCTCACTGGGAAAAATGAAGAGACCAACAGCACGACTCCAGTCGCCGCAACACAGCCCAAACCAGAAGAGGACGCCGCTGAATCGGATACAAGCTGACCAGACGCTACAGCTGCTCGCTACGAAAAGCCCACGGAGATGGCAGCTGTGGGATATTGGATACCTGAATATCCCTTAATGTTTTGTATGACCAGTGTTTTTTGATGATCGAGATATCCCTTGGGCGCAAGTCCGCACTCTTGTACGCCTGTCCAAAGTCTGGGACAGTGGCAGCAAGAACAATATATTATTCTTCTTACGGTCCTCACGACCGTCCTAAACATTTGCCATTGCCTTGTCTCCAATTCTTCCATGTCGCCGTTCAAATCAGCCACAAAATGGTGATACGAGCTATTTCAAGTATCCGAGTGACCCCAAGCAGCTACAGTTCTGTCTCGTGGCAGTCCACAAAGAGACGCTGCATGCGAGCGGCCCGCCCCGGTCGAACATCGAAGAGATTGGCGAACCCGAGACTCTGCGAGCGTCTGCTACCCACCGAGCCTGTTTCCAGAAAAAGTGGCACCATCTGAGTGAGAGTACATCGACGATACAAATTCGAAGTCCAGCAGGTCGTTGACGGCCGTTGCCTTCCCTCCATATTGGTATGACTATACGACAGAACCGATGGTCTCCTCGCCGTCAAAGGTTAACACTCTATCGTTGTGTGTCAAGGACTTCCCGATGACAATATGAATGGCAACCCCTTGAACCTGACCAGCTACAGCGGTCAGACTGTGCCACTTTTCCTGGAAACAGGTCTGCCGCCCAGGTCCGTCTTGTCTGCATTCAACAATTGACAACGGGCGAGATGTCGAGGTATGTGTTTGTGGGCAATGGTGCTTCTGGCCGCACCTGTACTAGTGCTCATCCTCCAAGTATCTCTCTGGCCGTTGATTTCTCCGACTTGCACTTCTAGCACTCCTTCTCGTGGTCATCCTTGTCATCTGCGGACTGACGTCGTATTCCTTGTAACCATCATCCCAGTCCCCAACCCTATTCCTTCTACTGTCACTTCTCTGGGGGTCTCCCGATACACCGGTGGTCCTTCGACTGATCCTCCTGCTGGCTCTGTCGCCTTCCTGCATGCGTCTCAATTGGTCCACTTCTTTCCAACTCGCGCCTCCATTGTTGACCCTCTCGCTCCAGATTAAGTGCTTCGGTTTGCCCGGATACACCCCCTTGCGCACTTTCCGTTTGCGGTTGAAGTACGTCAGCGAGATATAGAAGCCGTGGATGTGGCTTGGGATGATCGCCAACAAGAACATGACACAGTTGAAGACGAAATCCTCATTGGGGCCGCAGAGAAGTAGGACGGCCAAAGGCGGGAAAAGAATGTTGCAGCATGTGATGACAAGGCGTTTGAACAGTGGAACGCGCATGGTGAACAAGATCCCAAGGTAGGGCGATGAAGGGATTGGAGTTGACAGGCACCTATCGACCAAGGTGACATGAATAATCGATCAGCCTGGGGGCAACGATGTGCTGGCCATCAAGTGGAAAAGGTCGAGGCTGGTGTCAGCAACTCACAAAGCACAAGTCCTGTCCAGGAAGTGAGGACTCCCAACTCCATATGTATAGCCAGCTATTACTTGTCTACGTGGCAGTGCTGTCCGCTCATTTTATGTCGCCCAGTGCAGGGACTTCTCGACTTACCTATCCCAAGCAGAAAATCGGTCTGGGCGACAAGCATGTATGCACGAAAAACATGGCAAAAGAGTGTCAAGCTGCATGTCTAGACTCTAGACTGACTGATGAGCGACCACAGACGTCATGATCTTCCCGATATTGTGGCTGATGCGTCATTAGCGGTTGCCAATCGCTTCCAGGTCTGTGGCGCAGATATCGATTCACACTTCTACCTAGGCCTGGCCTCATCGACAGATCTATCATCTCGACGCTCAATGTTGCCGTACAGAAAGCCCTTCTGAACACTTTCGTCCGAAGCCTGGTTGTCTTCACACTCTGACAATGAGAAAGTTTACGTGCCTTTATCATACAACAGCGCTGACACGATCAAGTCAGGCCCCCCTCCGGGCCACCAGCGTGAAATCTACGCATCGAGGAACAGATAACTTACTAAATTTGCAATGTATCTTCGCCTCATGTAGGTGTTTGCTGAACGTGTTTTCTCGTGGTCACATCATATCGCTGTCCAGCCATTCCTTCAACATTCCCTCTGAGCACGTTTGGTAGCACACATCATGCTTCGTATCGCGGTCGCTGGAGCCGGGGTCACCGGCTTGCTCGCAGCGATTGGCTTCGCACGCTACGGTCATCAAGTCATCATCTACGAGCGCAAGACTGAGACTGTATTCGCAAATGAAGGAGGTGCTGGGATCCAATTGCAGGCAAATGCCATGCGGATTCTAAAAGCATGGGATCTGGACATCCAGGATGTTGCACACGACAGTGATGGCGTCGCCGCAAGACGATACGCTACCGGAGAGGCAATCGCAGTCATCAAGCCTGTGGCAGGTACACAGATGTTCATGCTGAGATCAGACTTCCGTCGGTCGATGCTCAAACACGCGCTGGCTGCCGGGGTGCGAGTCCTCTTAATCAGGACATATCGGGGGTGGATGTTTCCCGGCCGGCTCTTTTGTTGAAGGGCGGTGTTGAAAAAATTGAAGCAGACCTGATCATTGGCGCAGATGGGATCAGGTCCAAAGTGCGGAGTGCGCTGTTCCCAACCGTGCAGCCAGAAGTACGTGCAGAGTGCACGTTTCAATTCCACGTGCCGTTTTCGGAGCTCAAAAGCGACGCTGCGAAGGAGATAATAAGTTCCCCGAACGCCAATCTGTTCTTCGGACCTGATACAACAATTGTCGCAAGTCCAATATTTTCCCGGAATATCTTCGACCTGCAGTTCATCACGCAGCGGTATGGCCGGGAGACGGATCCCCATCCTGATACATGGAATGAGTACATTCCGGATATGACTGATATCAGGAATCGGTACCGGACTTATGGACCTGTTACTCAAGAGCTGTTGAGTTTAGGTAAGGGGGTGTGGAAATGGCGACACGCTGAGTGCTTCTCTCCTTGTTGGACCAGCGAAAATGGTAAGGTCATACTAGCTGGAGACGCTTGTCATGCGATGGTGCCTTTCGCCGGTCACGGCGCAGGAATGTGCATTGAGGATGCCGCTGTGCTGGCCACGATGTTTCGGGATGTTTCTCATCAAGACCATTCAGGTATACGGACACGTGCCAGACTCTATCAAGACCTCAGACAGCCTCGGACCGATAGATGTCATCGACGGACGTTGGCGTTGGCTGTGTCTTACGGGCTTCCAGACGGCGAAAACCAGAAAAAGAGGGATAATGCGTTACGACACGTCATGGAGAAGTAAGTACAATTGCCTCTACGGGGAGACCGAGACGCCCACCCGTTGTCGAATGAGTTTGAGAACTGGCTCGAGCAGTACGATGCGCTTGAAGAGGTAAGAATTCCTCATCTTGTGAAAAGGTCTGATGATGACTCTTCCCAGGCACGAAGCGCACTACGAACAGCTGGATTAGCGGAGCCTGTTTCGAAGTTATAGACGTTCAGCAGCCCTATCAAGGATACAAGTTCCCTCGCAGGTATCCGCAGAGCCTGTTTCCAGAAAAGGTGGCACAGTCTGACCGCTGTAGCTGGTCAGGTTCAAGTGGATACCATTCTTATTGCCATCCCAGAGTCCTCCACACACGACGATATAGCGTGGGCCTTGGGCAGGGGAAACCATCAGCTCTACCGTACAGTGCTTCTGTCTTGCTGTCGAGGCATCCGCTGTTGTGCACAAGTTTGACTTGGAACTTGTGTCTTTGATATACGTCCTGTCAGACGGTGCCACTTTTTTGGTAACAGGCTCGCTGCGTGGCTGCATTTATATCTATATTCTACGTGGAATAGAGGCATCTGCTCATCTATGTCCACTGACCAGCAGAATTGCACTTCCGAATTGCTGTCTTATATCCTCGTTGTCAACATCATGTGTGTCTTCGACCTCTCCCCACATACCAGTCTGCCATTTGACTTCAAGACTGGCCGCTTCAGCAGCCTCTTCGATACCAAAGCGCTTCTCGCTGCTGCGTTGTAGGTCCCGGAACTCTTCACTCCAATCAATCAGCAGCCTTGTGCCGATGAGCACGCTCTTGCCCGCCAAGACTGCCCGTTCTAGAGCTGCTAACTCCCACGCCGGAAGGCCGGCAATCCAGCCTTGAATCACACTTCTCGTGACTTCCGATTGCTTCACGGGCATGATGCTATGTTCGTCCAGCACTGGCCTGATCTCGACGCCGGGCCATACTGACGTCTTGAGGTAGCTTATGATCGGCATCGCTGTTTGGATTTGCAATTCTCGTAGCGTGGTCTTCCGGGCCGTCTGCATCTCCAAACTCGTAGCGGTCTCCGAGGATTGTCCCGGCGCCCAGCATAACAACGTATCCGTGTCCAGATAGCGCATCATGAAGTTGATGATTTCATCTCTTACTGTCATATCCCCACGAGCTTCGGCCTCCATTGTGTCTTGCGCCCTCGCCACTATCGAAGTCATGGGTATATTGTGGTTCTTCAATGCTTGTTGAGCATTTTCCAGCATGTCCCACTCGATCGCAATAGCATGTGCCAAGTGTGGCTTTGACCGAGGAACCGTGAGGATGGATTTCGTTGGTGTCCGGACAGGTCTTGTGTCGAGAAATACTTGATATCCCTCGGGAACTTCCTTGACGTGAACATCGCTCCAGAACCTCTTCTTCAATGGACTCGTCTTCTTTCCAGTCTGTGTTGTATTTCGCAATTCCTTCCCCTTCTGAAGGAGCTCTGCTTTTCTACGACGCTCGTCGACCCGATCGCCATACTGTGATGAAGTAGGGATGGGAGCGCTGGGAGGTGGACCGGTGGCGGTGATGGGGAGTGCCGTCGCTGGTCGAGATGTAGATGATCCTATATGACGGACTGCAGGCTCCGCCAGGCGTCCTATTGAGGATCTAAAACGCCATGCGCGCGCCGCATTTGATGCTACACGCAGAGTAGTCGATTGCATGGTGTGTGTACGATAACAGTCAAAGAATGAAGGCGCATGAACAAAAGCATTCGACGTCCGGCGCCGGACTTAAAATAGCCAAGCACGGATTTTAGATGCGCCTGTCCCAGAAAAAGTTCTAGACGTAGACTCAACTCTTCACATTCTCACGAAATGTCAACCACATAAGTATGGTAAAGGCGCCGCGTGAAGTAGGAGACTTTGTGGCGTTGCCCGTCAGGCTTCCGTCAACGGATGCTTTCCCAACAGAAGCCCTGCACTTTCTGTACCTGAAACCGCACGATCCCAAGAATTCTGACGAGGATGCGCCCAGGTCATTGTTCCTTGTGAACATACCAATTTCTACGACGGTTCATTCATTGAGACATCTGTTCACGGCACAGCTCGAAGGAGGCCACCTAGAGCAGGTATACTTCAACGAAGATGTGGCTGGCAAATCCTCCCAAGGGAAATCAAGTCGCAAGCGCAAGAGGATGACTGCAGAGGAATTAGAAGCAGGCCTGGACGAATACAGCCTTCCAAACCCGTTCGACAGTGAAATACATCAGTCAGGGACGACGGCTGTGGTGGTTTTCGTCGACAAACCGAGCATGGAACTCGCCCTCAAAGCCGCAAAACGAGTCGCGAAATCAGGTAGACCAGTGGGATGGGGACATGGCGCGGCTGGCACTCGCCTGGGCTTGACGAGATACGAGCATCACAAGCACCTGCAATACCCGTCAAGAAAGGAACTGCTTCGGTCAGTCAACGGCTTCATGACCGCATACGCCCAGTTGGAGGAGGCCAGAAGCCGGGAGAATGCCAGAAAGCGACAGATGCCAGATGAGGATGGGTTTGTCACAGTGACTAGAGGCTCAAGGGGCGCAGCTCGTCTTGATGAGGCAAAGGAAGTCGCAGAGAAGCAGAAAGAGAAGAGCCAGGGTCTAGAAGATTTCTACAGATTCCAAATGCGCCAAAAGAGAAAGGAAGAACATGTCGAAATGCTGAAGCAGTTTGAGGAGGACAAACGGAAAGTCGATGATATGAGACAACGACGAGGCAAGACGAATACCTGATCGGGCATACCAATCCTTGAGATGATACATTGCAATCAATCTCCCAGTTGGGTTTATGGCCAATCCAAGCCTCGCACCTGTGAACTGGTAAGTTCTCCAGGCAATTCTTTCAATCCACATGATGAGGCAGCTGGGGCCAAATGAGCTTTTGTCTTGTGGTTGGACTCTTAGTTCAACCCTGGACTTGATAATGCGATGCCTAGAAAAACCAGCCACAATATCTTCTCTATTCATCTGAAGGCGTGCCTAGAACATCAACATCACATTTTGCATCTTGGGGCTTGTGCTGACTTACTTGTTTAGATGGCAGTCATCCTCTTAAGATGCACCCGGGCGGTATTGAGTCAACTTCCGCTATGGTGCCCGCCTCATCAATTGATCCGACCTGGACGAAGGTTCACGCTGGAAGCAACATGAAGCCAGCTAGGACACAAGCAGCATACCGCGCTTACCACGTGGACGAGTCATCGCATTCCCGACGATGACTTTATTGGAAATCCGGCATTCATGTTTCGGCCCTTCGTTACGCCGTAAACGGACAAAGACCATTTGAGAGCATGCTCCATTGTCCGGTGCAAAAGCCTGCCCCCTAAGAGGCTGAGAAAAGGGAGCTGGAAGGGGCCGAAAAGGCTTCGCGGTGACTGGCATCTGCATCGCTACCGTGGCTGAAGGACCTGGGCAACTGAATGTTGAGAATTCGGTGGTTGCTTGAAACCAACGTATGCCACCTGGATCATACCGTCGTTGGCGTCAACGTCATGAATTCTGAAGGTGCGAAGTCGCCAGGGCGGTCTCCAGTCTACCCAAGGCAAGAGCTAATGTTGAATGAGCAAGTTTCAGAGCGAAGACACATCCATGGCGGATACTGTTGAGCTGCACATTGTGGTCCTGGATCCCTGTCACGATGTGATTTTGTCCATTGCGGACGGTTCACGAAGATATCGTCCGTCCGCCCAAGTCTGGAAACGGGACAGAATCTGCGGCTCAAAGGATTCCACAACCAAGCTGACTCCTCCTGGACTCTAATATCTTTTTGTGGTCTCCGCCTCGAGATACGAGAATGCGTGGGGTCCGTCCAGGCTTGCGTGTCTCTGTCATCCGGCTGCAAGGTCCTACCCGTTTCAGCCAGCCGGTAAGGCTAAGGCAGCCAGGCAGGAACAGATGCGTAGCGGGCCAAGACTGCAGAATGTACCATCAATACACCTGATTGTTGAGTGAGTCAATGAAGGTCATTACAAACCTGGTAGTCGTCCGAGCGTCAAATGTTTCAAGAATGGTTACAGGGTCAAAAGCAAATATATCGTACGTCGCATCGTATAACAACGTCCACTGCGCGGGTCCCACCGATCGAAAGCTGTGCGCTCCCCATCGTCACATTTGGAGAGACTGAGCAGCACCTTCCAGTGTATAGCATGTGAACAATGACTGGTCAGACCGCATTATCTGCCATGACCAAAAGGCCCAGAAAGGTCCACGCAATAGCCTAAATCGGTTTGGCTGAGATGTACCCTAGCCCTATCGAAGGCGCTGGCCTGACACGAGATGGTAAGGAGATACCGTAAACTCGGGACAATTATGCTCACGGAAGACCGGGTAAGACACATCAGCTGTCATGGGGCAAGTTTGGCTCCATGGTGGTGGTGTTCAAGGTGTTGAAGAAGGAAAGAGATGGAGGGCTGAGGTCGGCGAATAAGCCCGTGGGGACGATAAAAATAGGTTGACAGAGTCCACCCGAGGCAAGGCGACCAATCGATGGCTCTGATTTCCTGACGCCGCTTTGGCCATGTTTAAGGCGAAAGGGCGATAACGTGGGCAATGTGACGGCAGAATTGGGTGACGTCGTTGCCAATTCCTTGAAGTTTGTACCAAAGCAGCAGCATCTTATTCTTGGCGGTCTTCTTAGGTAGCAACTTAGCCTTTTTCTCTACTGCGCCTTTTTCTTGCTCCGAAGCCACTCCACATCGAGTTACATTATTCCGTAGCAAACACCTGGGGGTTGCAAGGCGCAGCATGGAGTACGATGTAGTCTTGCAACCTTAGCCACCACAGTCATGCTTTTCCATCTTTGCTAGATGCTTCTCTCAGCCTTTCCGCCGCCACATCCATCTCACCACTACTGATGGCAACATGACCAATCTGATGCTACGCTGGATAGGTGAACAGCTCCGTGGTCAGCAATGTCTCATTCACCATGAGCACTAGGTACACCATGTATAAGAATTTCTCATCACCCCCAACGGTAAGCCTTGTTTACTTCCTCAACAACTCGCTTCAAAAGATCTACAAGAACACATTCGCTGTTTGTACAAGCACATTCGCTTTGCTTGCTTTTCCTTGCCACATTCGCTCAGCATCTCTCCCCTGATTCAACGCACACACTTCTATATCTGATTTCATTCCGTGATACAACATGCATACCTCGATTGCCTTGGCCCTGGCAGCCATTGCTGGCTCGACACTTGCTCTGCCCCAAGGTGAAGGATGGACAAACTGGAACTCAACCTCATCAATCTCGACAACGTCAACTACAACCTCATGGAAGCCTTCTAACAGCACAACTTCCACGAAGCCTGTTACCACCACATCAACCAAGGGCTGGCACGATTGGACTAGCTCGTCAACCACGACCACCACCGTGCCTATCACTACAACCACCACTACCAAGGGCTGGAATGACTGGACCACCACTACTAGCACCTGCCCGACTGTATACAGCACTTCCACTGTGACTTCGTGGGGCTTGAAGACTGTCGTCCCCGGCTGCCCGGCTCCAAGCACAGTGACCGTCCCGACTACCGTCGTCGTTCCCACCACTGTGACTGTTCCAAGCTACGTGACTGTTACCGCCACTTTCACTCAGACTGAGTGTGGCTGGAACGACTGGACGAGCACCACGACCATTCCAACGGTACCAACCACTACCACCCCGGCCCACGGCTGGAATGACTGGACCAGCTCGTCCACCACCACCGTGCCCACCACTACAACCTCGGCCCATGGCTGGAATGACTGGACAAGCTCCTCCACCACCACGACGACAGTGCCTACCACGACAACCACCACGACCAAGGGATGGAACGACTGGACCAGCTCGTCCACCACCACCACGACCACCGTCCCTACTACGACCACGACTACGACCAAGGGATGGAACGACTGGACTAGCTCGTCCACCACCACCACCGTGCCTACCACTACTACCACCACGACCAAGGGTTGGAATGACTGGACCACCACTACCACAACAACTCCAGTGACGACGTCCACCACGACCACCACAGTCCCTACCACGACCACCACCACCACGAAGGGCTGGAATGACTGGACCAGTTCTTCTACCACCACCACCGTTCCTACTACCACCACAACTACTACCAAGGGCTGGAACGACTGGACCACATCTACCACCACGACCACGAAGCCCACTACTACTACCACTACCACCACAGTTCCAACAACCACCACCACCACTTCCAGCAGCGGCTGGGGCGACTGGACCACCACCACCACTAAGCCAGTGACCACAACCACTACAACCACCACGACAACGGTCCCAACCACAACCACCACTTCCAGCAGTGGGTGGGGTGACTGGACTACAACCACTACCACCACCAAGCCGGTGACCACAACCACCACAACTACCACCACTACTCCCGTGATCACGACCACGACAACCCCAGCCCAGACTTCCACCTGGGGAGATTGGGATGGCGCCAGCACCACCGTGGTGGCTCCTGTCTACACCACCACAGCTGGCTGGAAATAAGTGACGCGGTCAAAAGCGTGAAAAGTCTATGGGTTGACTAGTGATTTTTTTCGTTTCTCACAGCACGCCTTCAGGCGCGGTTCAGAAGACATACAGTCCTTACGATATTATCATTTGTAATGCATCATACATGCAAGCGCTGGGAGGGTTTGACCTTGGATGGTGTCTTTGCATAGCGCGGCTCGGCTTGTGGCCGATATATCGGATATACATATACCTAAATGATTAATACCCACTAGCATTCATAGCATCCCAACTTCAGAACAAGCATATTCACATGAATCGTGGAGACAAGTCAAAAGAATAACCTCTGCAGGAGACTACATTACCTTTACAGTCCTGGTTGACTTTGTGTCACGGGTCAGACGTGGAAAATATGGTCCAAGTGAAGATCAATATCATTCAATTCATGCAATCATTCATGTTAAAGCAAGCCCAACCCAACCCACTAAATGGTATCAGCTACTCTGTTCAATGCGAATGCGCCAGTATGCAGTGCAATTATGTAGACACTGTTCTCAAGCATAGAGTTTCTTGTCAAAGCTGTCCAGACCGTGCACATTTCCTTCGGCTTGGGCACTGACAGTACGAAGCTCGAATCGGACAGTGCCGTTGATGACTTCCTCGCGAAGCTCAACGAGGCTCTTGCAGCCAATGTCCTGCAGAGAGTGCTGCAGACCAGCAAGAAGGTATGGAACGAACTTGGTGACGGAGCCTCGGTCGAGGACCGCTCCAGACACGCCCTGGGCCACAAGAAGTCTGTCTCCCTCAGAGAAGTATCGGGCTGTGCCGGCATTCTGAGCCTTGGAGTCCTTAGCACCTCCACCTGCTTTCTTGTCCTCCATGGCATCGATGCTGCCCATGCCTCGGTAAGCCTTGACGAGTTTGCCCTCGCGGTTGACAAACGAGGTTCCGGGAGACTCGGTTGTGCCTGCCAAAAGACCACCCATCATGACGGTCGAAGCACCCATAGCCAAACCCTTGACGATGTGGCCAATGTTCTGGATACCACCATCAGCAATGCAGGGCACACCGAATCTGGCGGCGAATGATGCCACTGAGAAGACTGCGGCAGCTTGAGGACGTCCCACAGCCATAACCTCCTGCGTAATGCAAGCACTGCCGCTGCCCATGCCAATTCTCAGGCCATCGGCACCAGCAGCAATGAGGCTCGCGGCTTGTTCTCGGGTCACCACATTTCCAGCGATGACGTCGACCTGTGGATATTTTTCCTTGGTGTACTTGACCATGTCAATCATGTACATGCTGTTGCCCTGACTGCTGTCGAGAATGACAATGTCTAGGCCCGCGTTGACCAGTTTCTGGAGTCTGATCTTGTCATCGGGTCTTGTGCCAATCGCCGCAGCGGCAATGAGTTGTTTCGATTGAGGCATCTTGGAGGCGAGTGGGAAGTTGAGGTTCTTGAGGAGATCGGACCGCGATAGAAGGGAGATTAGGTTACCGTTATCATCGACAATGGGCAGTTTGCCCTTTCGCGAGTCACGTAGGACCGCGTTGGCTTCTTGGAGGGTGGTTCCAGCAGGTGCAGTGATCAAGTCTTTGGACATGACTTCCGTGACTGGGTCATCGGGACGGGGGTGGAACTGGATGTCTCGAGTGGTGATGATGCCGACCAACTTGGACCTTAGCTTGCCGGTTTCTGTGATGGAAAGGGTCAGCGTGGGAACACCAAAGGCCATCAGAATCAATATTCAGGGTTGTGGTCACTCAGACAGAAATCTCCTAGAATCCCCATTGCAAGTTCATGCTGCGGATGAACGAAAGTTTAAAAGGGTAAAATGGTTTGAACATCATGGTAAGAAGGAAGCACATTTCGTGGGGAAGCATACCAGTGACTGGAAATCCTCCAAATCCCCATCGGTCTCTCAGTTCTTTCGCCTCGCCGACAGTGGTTTTGGGCGAGAGAACCACGGGCTCGGAAATGAAGCCGTTCTCGTATCTCTTGACTTTTCGAACCATGTCTGCCTGATCATCGGCCGAACAGTTGTTGTGAAGGACACCCAGACCACCTAGGAGAGCCATGTGAATGGCCATGTTCTCTTCGGTCACGGTGTCCATGGGCGAGGAAAGGAGAGGAGTCTTCAGAGAAATGCGCTTGGTCACTGGAGAGTCAAGGGTCACTTCGTTGGCGGCGAAACCTGCGCGTCTTCGTTAGGAAGGCTTTCGAGGACAGGTCGCAGGTATCATACCAATGTACCCGGGTAGGACCAGGAAGTCATTGTAAGTCAAAGCACCGTGGTGCTTGTTGTCGAGGAGGGAATGGATATCTAGACCATCACGTGCGTCGTACTCCTGAAGGACGTCGACGGCCTTGCGCCAGTCCAGTGTGTCGACGTGGCGATTGACAGTAGCACCATTGGTGTTGGAATCTCCGTTGGCAATAGGCATTTTGACGATAATGACGGGATTGTCACAGAACTATTGGTTGTTCGTTCTGGGGGAGAGGGTTTCCCGAGTAAAAAGAAAGGAAAGACTCGAAAATTCGGCGCGGATAGAATTATTAAAATTTTTGTACTACGGGGGGATTTCGCGATTAGGGCTGGTGGGGCACAAGGCGGTAAAGGACAAAAGAGACACGCTCGCTAGGCCCTAATTAATTAAAGTCGCGACAGGGCCTAAGTTAATACCAGTAAGCGCAGCCAGGGCCCAGAAGTCACGAGTCACGAGTCTTGGTGTAAGCCTTTTAGCCTGCAACCCCTCACCCTTCAAAACCCCTGCACTCTGCAGCCAGCCAGGCATAATCACACTAAACCCTTTTCAAATACCATCAACAAACGAAGATCGGGGTTTTTAGTCCAGTCACTCACTGTACTTGCCCTGTGCTTCATTGACTTTCCCTACACAGTATGCTCACAGTCAACTCCAGCGATTGCTTAAAGATTGTTTGTCTCAATGCTGTCGTGCAATACGCACGCAAAGCAACAATTGACCAGGCAAATCTTTAGCAGAATGCGACTACGCTACCAGACACCATACGAACTCGAGCTCTGCGACTTTGACATCTTCCTCCAATCCCCGGCATGTCTCAATACGCCCTGCGCCGATCGCAGCCAGATAATCGCTACGGACTTCCACATAGACAGGACTCAACTGCGTCTACCGTCTCGTCTGCCTATTCTGCCGCATCGAGTGCCTTCCTGCCCAGCCAAACGAGCACCGTGACATCGACAAATTCCAGCGTGTACTCCAGAAACTCACCAGGCCACAAGCGAGGCGTCAGTGAAGCGGGAGAAATGACACCGACGCGATCTTATGGTGGTCGCAGCAGTATCGAAAGTAGCCCTGATCATGTCTACCGAAATGTTCGCCAAACACTGCGGCCTCTCCCTCAAGCACCCTCACCAAATGCCACACCGAGACGCCCCAGCGGCCAGCATGTTCGAGCGAACACCGTTGATCGATTTCCTCAAGCTCAGTCCGAAGATCCCTTTCTCGACAAACACCCACACGAAAATCATCCAGAGCCGCAGCATATAAGACCGCACATCCATCACGCCCACACAAATCCGCATGGCAGTGCCTTCAAAGCTCCAGACCTCCAAGAACTTCAAAAGTCATCTACAGCCCAATTGAAAGCGCTGTCAAGATTTGCTCAGGATGGTGAAGCCGATTTTGCCGCAGCTCCAGGGCATTCAGTCGTGGGACTGCACAATCGACGACAACTGAAGCGAACCGACTCTGTCGCTACAGGTGGGCGGAATGCAGCTAAGAGCTACGGCTGGGGCGACAGGAATTGGATGGATAAGCAAAGACAGTTTCTGGCAGCATATGAATATCTGTGTCACATTGGTGAGGCAAAAGAGTGGATTGAGGACATCATCAAGAAGCCTATTCCTCCTATCGTACAGCTAGAGGAAGCCTTGCGAGATGGAGTCACTTTGGCAGAGATCGTTCAAGCTTTCCATCCCGAGCAGACTCTCAAGATCTTTCGTCACGCGAAACTCCAGTACAAGCACTCAGACAATATCGTCATGTTTTTTCGCTTCCTCGAAGATGTCGGTTTACCAGATCTCTTCCGATTCGAGCTGATCGACTTGTACGAGAAGAAGAACACTCCAAAGGTCATCTATTGCATCCACGCCTTGTCCTGGCTTTTGTTTCGCAAAGGCATGGTCGACTTTCGCATTGGAAACCTGGTTGGTCAGCTCGAATTCGAGCATCATGAATTGGAGCAGACACAGCGTGGCCTCGACAAAGCGGGTGTTAGTATGCCTAGCTTTTCAGGTATGGGTGCCAGTTTCGGCGCTGAGCCTGAGCCCGAACCTGTTGAAACGGACGATGAGCGTATCGACCGCGAGCTGCATGAGCAAGAGGCCGCCATCATCGATATCCAGAGCCAAGTTCGAGGTGCGATTGTCAGATTGCGACTCAGTGACATTATGCAAGAGCTTTGGGATTCTGAAGAAGTCATCATGGACCTTCAGTCCCGTGTTCGAGGTGATTGGGCCCGACAGATATCTTCATATCGTCTCGACATGCAACGCTTTGCCACAAAACTCCAGGCCTCAGCTCGAGGCTTCCTTGCACGGTCCAACCAACAGCAGAAAGAACAGTTCTGGAAATCACGGGAAAAGGACGTGCTGCGTTTGCAGAGTCTTTTCAGGGCCGGACGGACTCGTGCAGAGGTGCGCAAAGCGAAAGTCCAAGTTCGGAAACACGAGAGCGGCGTTCGTGACCTGCAGGCTGCCATTCGGGGAGCTCTCTCCCGGCGAGACGCCTTTGACCAGTATGAAGCAACCAAGACTGCCGAGAGGGAAGTTCTGGGCCTCCAAGCGAGCATCAGAGGCATGCTTGAACGAACCAGACTCCAGACGGATCATGAATATCTTGAAGAACAGACCGATGCTATCACTCGGTTACAAGCTGGTGCACGATCATTGCTTGCAAACTTGACTCAATCGAAACTGCAGAAATCTCTTCAAGCTAAGTCGCCGCAGTGGATCGCATTGCAAGCATTGGTTCGAGCGGGCAATGCTCGAAACGCATTGGCAACACTGAAGCAACAACTACGTTCCGAATCAGCATCAATTAAGCAATTTCAAGCTATTCTGCGTGGTGCAAATGTGAGGGAGTCTCACAGTTCCCTGAAACTTGCTTTACTGCGACAATCAACCTCATGCATACCACTGCAGGCCGTGATGCGCGGCTTCACGTTGCGCTCCCGTTTGCAAAAACAGCGTGCAAGGCTGGAGCAACATGCCACCAGGGTCATACAATTGCAAGCCCTCGGCCGAGGTGCAATACTACGCATGCAGACCGGAACGATCCTCAACGAGCTTGATGAGAACTCTGAGATGGTCATACAGTTACAGTCAGCCATTCGTGCCATGCTCTGCCGGATTCGTGTCGCTGACTTGTTGGGTGACCTGGATGCACATGATGGGTCTATCAGCGAGTTGCAAGCTATCATGAGAGCAGCAGCAGTCCGGTCTCTCTTCAAGGAGAAACAGCGATACTTTAAGGAGAACATGGAGAAGGTGGTCAAGATTCAAAGTGTGGTGCGGGCGAAGATTCAGGGCAAAGCTTACAAGAGTCTTACCTCGGGCAAAAATCCTCCGGTTGGGACGCTGAAGGGCTTTGTGCATCTTCTCAACGACAGTGACTTTGATTTCGAGGAGGAGGTGGAATTCGAACGACTTCGGAAGACTGTGGTGCAGCATGTTCGCCAGAACGAGCTCGCGGACCAATACATCACGCAGCTGGACATCAAGATCGCGCTCTTGGTCAAGAACAAGATCACCTTGGACGAAGTGGTCAAACATCAGAGGCATTTTGGAGGCCACGTTGGCGCCCTTCTACCAAATTCCGACATCGCATCAAAAGATCCTATGGACTTGAAAGCCCTTAACAAGACGTCGCGCCGCAAACTCGAGCACTACCAGGAGTTATTCTTCTTGCTACAGACGCAGCCTCAATATCTGGCGAGGCTGTTCAGACGCGTTCGGGAGCAGGCAACACCAGAGAAAGAGTGTGATCGCATCAAACACCTAGTGATGGGACTCTTCGGCTATGCACAGAAGCGAAGAGAAGAGTACTACCTTGTCAAACTCATCGTGAGGTCTGTCAAGGAAGAGGTCGACTCTTCAATGTCCCTGCAGGACTATCTCAGGACGAATTCCTTTTCCAACAAGCTTTTCGCGGCATACAGCAAATCACCCCGAGATCGAAAATTCTTGAGAGATGTCCTAGGCCCTATGGTGAAAGAGAACATCATCGACAACACGTCCCTTGATCTCGAGAGTGATCCACTTCAGATCTACATATCTGCCATTAATAATGAAGAGTTGAGGACAGGCCGCCGCAGCCAAAGAGATCCTAACGTCCCGAGAGAAGTTGCGATCCGAGATCATGAAACACGATCAACTTTCATTGCCCACATGCAAGACCTGCGAGACATTACAGATCAATTCTTCCTCTGCGTGGAAGACTGTCTGCACCGTATGCCATTCGGGGTTCGGTTCGTGGTTCAACAGACTTACGAATACCTTTCGGCCCGGTTCCCAGGAGAGGACAACGACTTTGTCCTCCAGCTTGTCGGACAATGGCTGTGGCGGAGCTATCTGCAGCCGGCCCTCCTGGAGCCGGAGAAGTTCGGTGTCGCAGATCGAGCCATGACACAAGAGCAGAAGCGAAACCTGGGTGAGATTGCTAAGGTTTTGAATCAAGCCGTGTCGGGTCGTGAATTCGGAGGTGACAACGTGTATCTTCAACCATTGAACAACTACATCCGGGAATCCATTGAACGGTTTGCCGTGATCTGGAAGCATGGTAAGTCGTCTTCTGAGCATTTCTACGGATGTTACTGACTATGGTTCTAGCAATTGCTATACCAGCCGCAGAAGAGCACTATGACATTGACGAGTTCAACGACTTGTACGCCAAAACTAAGCCAACCCTGTACATCAAGATGGCGGATATCTTCTCCATTCACAAACTTTTGTCTCAGGAAGTCCCCAGCATATGTCCCAGTCAAGATGATATCCTTCGCGATACCCTTCGTGAATTGGGTAGCGTCCAGAGCAGCGAAAGCGAACTGAGGGGAGTTGCCTCCAGCGAAATCAGTCTGACTCTAAATCCGAAACTCCTCAATGCTGAAGATCCCGACTCGGACGTCAAAGCGCTGGTCACGGAGACCAAGCGTTGCGTACTCTACATTATCCGTGTCCAGTCAGGTGCCAGTCTTCTTGAGATTCTGGTCAAACCGATCACCCCTGAGGACGAGGACAAGTGGGATGCTTTGGTCAGGGATGAGCTACAATCAGACGACGGTCGCCGCGGTGCTTATGCGGATGCCAGCACTCATCTCGATATCACCGCTTTAAACTATCCAGACCTCAAACGTATTGCACTGGAAAATGTCCTGCAGCTCGAGTCAATAGGCCGCCTTACTCGGTCGAATAAATACCAAGATCTTCTCAACACTATCGCCGTTGATATCCGGACGAAGCATCGCCGCAGATTGCAGCGTCAGAAAGAGCTAGAAAATGTGCGAACCACCTTGGCACGTCTGAACGAACAAGCAGTATATCTTGAACAACAGCTCAAGACATACAATGACTACATCGAACAAGCAATGGTAACCTTACAGAACAAGAAGGGCAAGAAGCGCTTTGTCATGCCATTCACTAAACAATGGGACCATGAGAGAGAACTCCAACGCTCCGGTCGCTCGTTCAAGTTCGGTTCGTACAAATACTCGGCGCGCACTCTTGCAGACAAAGGAGTTCTTGTACACTGGCGCGGGTATAATGAACGCCAATGGGACCGCGTGGACTTGACAATATCTTCGAATGAGGTGGGTGTGTTCACGATCGATGGGAGCTCCGGGAATATGATGATACCGGGAGCAAATGCGCAGGTACCGCTGGACGACCTTCTGCAAGCGCAGTTCAACAACACTCAGTTCATGGAATTCTTCGAGGGGTCACTTCGCGTCAACGTCAACTTATTCTTGCATTTGATTATGAAGAAATTTTATAATGAATGATCGACGATGCTATGCAACACATTTTCAGGAGTATGGAGGATACAGACCGGTTGGAAACACGTCGAAGGATGGGTGGCTTGCCACATTGACTGTCTTTGCGGAAGAGAAGCATTGAAAAGTGATCTGGCGAATGGATGATACCTTCGCATGGCCGCGTACAGGCCATTGTTGTCCATGATGAGCATTCCTCGGATCTTGTTGTTCTTGCCGTGAACCTTAGACTCAAGATAAGAATACAACCGTGTCTGCATGCGTGAACTCTGTTGCAGAGTTGTTGCAACTTCTCTCTGCTTTCGGCCAGGAATGTATCGGAGTAGGAAGGAGCTTGGATATTGATGGACGGATGTGTGAAGGTCATATGCGCATCGGCCAATTTCGTTTTGACTTTCGTGCCTGAAATCTAGCTTGATCTGTGAACTGGCAGCGACCCCGTGCATTGTACACGGCGCTTTGATCTGCTCACGGACACCTTTGCTGCATGATCGAAAGCTTTATTCCAGCCTCCCCTGCTGCATGAAAGAACAAGATGATTGATATGGCCAAAGCATTGCGGATCGCAGCCACGGAAGGACGGCGCACCCCCAGTCAAACGAGGCAAACATAATACTTTGGCACGCATCGGGGCTTGCACCTGCCGCGAAGCTTGTCCGTTACTATGTTGCAGCAAGCAGGAGGGCGCGCGCTTGCCGGTTCGGTCGGCATTTTCAGACACATGTCAAAGTGCGCAGCATGACCATAGCAAGATTTCTTGCTACCGGATGAAGAGGCGGGAAGAGCTGGTGGTGGTGGTGGTGGTGCCAACGGTCGAGGAAGTCATGTCCGTGCCCCTGAGAGAGATGTCCTCCATGATCTCAACAGCTGGTAGCATTAGGCGAGTGGCTTTTCCATGGGACACAAGGCGGACAAGATATCCGCTGCAGCTGCGACATATCTTAGTACATAGCTTCTCGAATCTTGGAAGCAACAGCTACGAGAAAAGCTGGGATACCTTCTGGGACGAAGTGACCATTCTTGCGCAGACTGACAAAGACGCTCTTTATGGTGCGCATGTTGGGCGAGCAAGGTGTAGCTATGGACTCTATCCCTTTCCCTTGTACATGGAGAATACAAAGTTAGGATCAAAGATCCGAGTCTCGCAAGATTTTGAGAGAACAAAGGGGTTCATACTTTCCCAACGTTAAGCCGCACGACCTTGCATTTTGATGCGGTCGACGGTGGTCAAAGCTTTGCCCTCTCAATATCATTGGCTGCGACGGGGGTGAACCACCAAAGCCACACCCTTGATAACATCACTTAATCGTTCAAATACAGGAAGCCGACAACGCGACCATAACGCGGCCCTGGTGTTGAAATCAACGGGATACTGTGCGTGGCCAGCAGCTGAGACTTTGTGAAACAGCCGTCCCATGGATTGCGTCTTCTACGGACTCCATATCCTTCCGTAACTTTCTCGCTGTGCCTGACAGAAAGACGAACGTTGACAGATCCTACAATGTGGTTGAAGAACCGTCCAGACCGGCTGATCCTGCCGTCGATCGTCGATCAGCCCCGTTCGGCAGGAATCCTCATTCGTTCGTTGTTGATTGCATCTCGTTAACGAAGAGCAAGAGACTGAAAGCGTTTTCCTTGGCTTCGAGAAATCGAAGGTCTGCTATGGGAGCGCATAGTGATCATCCATACCACGGTGCTAGACTGTCTCCGGCACGGTCGTGCTATTATAAGGATCATATGCGACCATATATTGTACCTAATCAGCTGATAAGCTCTTCGACTACCTGCATATCATGGAGCACAGCCATGCGTTCCTAGATCTGGGAGGAAAGGTAGATCCCGCAAGATCCGGGGCAGTCAATCCGGCACAAATGTCCGAGTACGAGGTGGGCTGATGTAAAGTCATGACCTAACTGGCGCTGTCGCGTGAACTCGTGACTGTTTTGACAGTGAACGCGGCAGAACCGCAATTGTCATTTGAGTGCAGGTACATACGTACGCCGCCTGGGGAGGATTGCATGCTAGGATTCATGATGCGGCTCAAAAAGCAGCACACCATCCGAGAACGCACTGGCCAACCGTGGTTGGTACTATATGCGCCCCTGAAAGACTGGCCTTGCAGCATGGAAAAAAGAAAGTTGATCAGTCGGTCGAATCCTCTAGCCAATCTTCATACTCATACAAGTACGAAAGGCGGGAGAGGCGGTAGAGAGACAGGATTGACAGAAACCAAGTTTCAAAAGATAGAGCGTCGATCAGAGGATCAGTGGCGATAAAGTTGATGAATACCATATGGTTGAGATTTGTACGACGCGTGGTGGAAACGGCATGTCGCGTTGAAATGCATGAAATGAACTGGGCCAGCGAGAAAGGATGGCACTATGAACATGCGTATGCCACTGACGTGTTTGAGCACTGACAGTGGAGAGATAGTAGCATGGTCTGGGATGTTCACTCTTGGTGTTGGCCATAGTACGAGTACCAGGTATGCTAGTCGTCAGTAGGTCGTCCAACTTGAGCCCCTTGCCTGGTGTCTGTGGGATCGTTGATCACTTGTACGCCCAGGGTACCCACCTTATCATGAATCCAGGTTTATCTCCTGCTTCCTGGTCCATGGCACCTGTCTGTGCGCCGTTGATGCTATGCTAAGGAGAGGCTGCGCACTATGCCGGCTAGTTGATGATCGTAGATGCAATCAACGGGCTGGAATTGAGGAATCGATCAAAAAGACCTACTGAGCCCGACTGGGTGAATTTGATATGGCGCTCCTTCTGTATAGACTTCTTGCTTCTTCGGTCTCTCAGTTATTGAGACACAGGCAGAGTATTGATTGCCACTCGAGACATTCATTTCCTGGTATTGCGTTGATCGCAGACCACTTCAACACAAACACGCTCTCTATACTGTTTATATGGGACCTACATCGCCGACGAATCTTGTAACAATCGTTATCAGCAACGCGTGCTCAAAGCACACCAAGACCACACACAACCATGGCTGCACTGGGATACCGGACGACGCCGACACCCACGCCGACGGACAGCTGGTCGTCGTATTTCGACTCATGGAGAAACGAAGACATGCAGGTGCCAGCCTTTGAGCCGATGATTGTGGATGAAGATCTACACCCGGACAGCTTCAACGTCAATTTCAACTTTGCCAACCTGGATTACGACCTGGACTGGGAGATGGACTTATCCCAAGACCCAATCGACCGGAAAATCATGTATGATGCGAGCGAGCGGGTTCATCAACGTCGACAGCAATACTATCACCACCTCCCCAGTCCCATTGCGAAGCAGCAGTCGCCGCAACACGCGTACGGACATCAACAACATTATAATCCTCGTCAGGTATTCCGGAATGTCAATAATGCGAGGCAGCGTGCGCCTGATCATCGCCAAAATGACGTCGACCGATTTAACTGGGGCTTGGAGTCGGCGGCCAGTGCCACTGCGCCCACTGCGCCCTCGAGAGGAACAAGTTTAGGCGCCAATCTCAACGGCCAGTGGCTGGAGGAGCCCGTGAGTGCCAACTACCCCACCCATTCATTGCCCATTGAGATCATCTCATACGTAACTGCTTGTGTCCGCTTTCACTTTCCAGTTCAACTTCCTTGGACTAGTTTTCTCGGCCGTCCCCCAGAAGTTGCTTGTTACCACCAACCATTCCACCCTCCATCTTCTCTCATTATCTATTTCCACCCCTTTGTTGGAGCACAAAAAAAGACGATATCTGGCAGCTACTCCTGTACGGCGACACACCAGCCAAGCTCAAGAAAAGAGAACACAAAAGATCTCTGCTTCACCACCTGCACCCAACGCGTCTTTGTTCTGCACAGTCCATCCCGCAGCCCACCGACCAACCCTTTTACCCTGCATCATAAATTACCTTATTGTCCCAGCGGCTTATTCATCATCATCGTCATCGTCATCATCACAAACTCCTTCGCCTGTTACTTCGAGGAAGATCTGGCCCAGTCCCCTTTCATCACTCAGTCTCGCCTGCCTTTGGCCGTCTATCCGCGCCTTCCTTTTTACTGCAACCACCAATACCAACCTGGGGGAACTTTTTCTACCACGACAGAGCTTCCTTTCTCCCTCTCTACTCGTCATTTGTCATCGTCGTCTCTCCTTGTCGACCATTCTTTATCACACATACCATTGAACCTCACTAAAGATGAGTACCATTCAGAACCTCAAGAACTTCATACGTCATGGCAAGCAAGCCCGCGCTGCTGAGCCGCCCCGCGATCAACCAACCACCAACGTCTCTCCTGTACACGCTCAACAACAAAAACACCACCACGGCATAAGTGAACCTGCACCCGTCCGACAACATCAACATCAGAACCAAGTTCAACCACATCCTGGCGAGTACTCCGCTGCTGCCATCGATAACCGCAATGTCGCTGCTCAAGCCGGCAACGCTGCTGCCAATCAACAGGGCAAGCAGCAGAAGATCCATCAAGCAGATATCGAAGCCCTTGTTGCAGAGGAGCGGGAAAGAGCCGGAAAGATGCCCAGATATCCCGGACTCGAACGATACATTCTGATAGAAAAGATGGGCGACGGTGCCTTCAGCAATGTGTACAAGGCCAGAGACACAACGACTCACGACGAAGTCGCCATCAAGGTGGTGCGAAAGTTCGAAATGAACTCGAATCAGGTATGCCCGGATTTGGGGGACACTAAAACTGCCCATTTTCCTTGCCTTCTTCTCTCCAGCACATGATTCCTGAATTCCTCATCACTTCTTATCCAGACCTATTGTTTTAAAGCAGAACCAACTCTCTGACCTAGGGCGATGCTCACCTTCATCCGAATTTCAAAAAACAACCGAAGGGCGTGGAGGTGCGCATATCCAATCCAATCTTTCTGTCCTTCCCCTCGCTTGTCGTCACGTCAAATTCAATCAACCCTGCGGCTCACTCCTTCCTCTGGCTACATATGTACTGACTTTTCTTCAGAGAGCAAATATTCTCAAAGAAGTCCAGATCATGCGGCAGCTTGATCATCCCAATATCGTCAAGCTCATTGACTTTTCCGAGTCCCGACAGTACTACTACATTGTTCTTGAATTATGCCCTGGAGGCGAATTGTTTCATCAGATCGTTCGCTTGACATATTTCAGCGAAGATCTCAGCCGTCACGTCATCACCCAAGTCGCAGATGCATTGCTATATCTGCACGAGGAATGCGGTGTCGTTCACCGGTAAGTAAATCCCGCCCCACCAATTGGAGCCATCATGCTGATTATGCTGCAGTGACATCAAGCCCGAAAATCTTCTCTTCTACCCTGTTCCTTTTATTCCAAGCCGTAGCCCCAAACTAAGGGGACCAGACGAAGAGGACAAGGCCGACGAGGGCGAATTCGTTCCCGGAGTCGGTGCTGGAGGCATTGGCCAAATCAAGATTGCCGATTTTGGTCTGTCAAAGGTCATTTGGGACTCCCAAACCATGACGCCATGTGGCACAGTTGGCTACACGGCTCCCGAAATTGTCAAGGACGAAAGATACAGCAAATCAGTCGATATGTGGGCTCTCGGATGTGTCTTGTACACCCTGCTGTGTGGTTTCCCTCCGTTCTACGACGAATCCATCCAGGTCCTGACGGAAAAGGTCGCTCGTGGCCAATACACCTTTCTCTCACCATGGTGGGATGACATCTCCAAGTCGGCACAAGATTTGGTATCGCATCTACTCACTGTCAACCCAGAACAGCGATTCACGATTGAGCAGTTTCTGGCACACCCTTGGATCCGAAACACTCAAGAGCCTACATATGCCGCTTCCGACGCTCCACCTTTGGCCACTCCTCTAGCAGTGAGGCAAAAGGAATTTCCTACTGACCTTTACGGCCTTGGAACTCCGGCCACTCCTGGCAAGCGAGCAGACTTCCGATCCCCTGGAGCTGTCAACCTGCGTGAAGTATTTGACGTCGGTTACGCCGTACACAGACAAGAAGAAGAAGCTAAGAGAAGAAAAAACTTCAAACAAGGCTATCGAGGTGCTGGGCTGCCTGGTGGCCTAAACTCATTGAACGAGGATGATGATTACGATGACGATGATTACGAGGAGGAAGTCTCAAGTAAAGTACCCAAGGCACAACAACCAGCAGATGTCTCAAGTATGGAGGCAAAGATGCGTTCGACCAACCTTGGTTCTCAGCCCTCGACAGCCGCACAAGCCCGATCGGCTGCTGCCCCTGCTAGAAGTCAGCATCACAGTCAACAGCAACAGCAACAAGAAAGAGGCTACGGTCAACACAGCGCCGCTGTTGCCGCTGCCGCCAAACGAGATGTTGGTCGGAGGAACAAGCAACCTTTCGAGTTAAGTCTGGACAACTCGACGTTGCTGGGCCGGAGAAACAAGGGCCCGGGAGTTGGAGGAAATGCCGCTCCGTCGAAACTCAGAGAGGAGCTTAGTGTGAGATAATAACGGAGTGTTTCTGGGTCAACAACTGTTTACGGTGGTGGTGGTTACCGGCTGATGAGTTTATCATAAATAGCATCATGTCAGTCGCGTTGGAGTGGGGGTTTGGCGCGAAAATCATTTGAGCGCATCTGATTTGTCTTGACATGCTCATACACCGCGGAGGGAGGCGCTGACTGCTTGGAAGCAGACTCATTTGTCTAGAAGATGACTTGATGACCTGTAATGGTACAAAATTGAAGTTACCTCCCGATCATTGCCCGGCCTTTTCCTTGACTGTGGTAGTGTAAATGTTCATAGTCTTGTCCAGGAAGTTGTTTTGTTTCGATAAAGTAAATGTGTGGTGTTCGGCGACGTGCTGCATTCCGTTGTGACTGGCTCACCATAAGGGGATGACTGATGTACGGTGACGGTTCATGCATGTACAAGAACAACTACCTAGGCTTTGCTAGGAGTACATAGCGAGATAGTACGAGTAGATCGGCATTTCTGCGCTATACTCAAAGAGTACATAATGACAATTGGATATTGCGCGATGATGAGATCCTCCACTTTCGATGTGCGATGCTGCCCGCAAATTTCACTCCCCATTCTCGGACTTGCCCGAGGACGGTCATAGAAACAATTTTCTCCATGTACGAAATCGCTTCCTTCTCTCTAGTCATCTGACCATTTGGATATTCCTCAAATCTTGAAAATTGCACATTGAAGAACTATAAGAGAGCAAGGATAGACGAAGGCCCCAACGAGGATATAATTCTCTCCTCCGAACCTTTGGAACCAGATCGCTGAAGATCTGCTCGTGCCGACCTTTTCGTACAACATCGCCCCGGATTCTGGGTCCATGACCTTCAATCCAAGTGAACAACAACCACACGGAACTCCCCTGGGCCCATCCCAGGACGCAAGCCGCCCAAATCAGTCTCTCCATCACCCAGATCATTCTGCATGGTCTTCGGGTCAACCCAGGTCTCACCTGGACAACGAGAAAACATCATGGCAGGAAAATGAGAAGACATCGGGAGTCTCCTTCGCACCGGGAGACATTCAAGACAGCAATTCATCCAAAAAAGAAAACGCTCAAGAACTTGCAACTCTCAAACGACCCGATCTAGGATCCCGCCAGCCAACAGCGCCGTCTTCCGTATACGCTGCTCCTTTCGTTTCCTACAGTCATGATCTCGAACAGGTCCAGAGTCGACATGGCTCTGTTCGTTCACAGCGCCCTCGAAGTTCTTCGTCTTCAACTTCTGTGTCCACCTTGCGGGAATTGCCGAGCGATATGCGCAATGCCAGCAGAGAGTCCACAGACGCGTATGGAAACACGTATCCGGAAGGAGGTCGAGAAGCGTGGCTCTGTGTGTTTGGATCATTTTGCGGCTTGACAGCTAGCCTTGGGTAAGTTCACCCATCTTTCCAGTGCCGAATGACCACCTTGCTGACATTGAAAGTATAATGAATACTCTAGGAACGTATCAGGCGTATCTGTCCACACATCAACTGCAGAACTACACCGATAGTACAATCGGCTGGATATTCGGAATCTACGCCTTCCTGTCCTTTTTCTTCGGCATTCAGATTGGGCCTATCTTCGATGCGAAGGGACCCCGCTTACTGGTCCTGGCCGGCTCGGTTCTGCTGATGGCTGCGGTACTCCTGATGGGTGTCTGCCACAAGTACTACCAGTTTTTGATTGTGATTGGTGTCATGGGCGGGCTTGGGACGTCGTTGGTGTTCACTCCAGCCATCGCAGCTGTGGGACACTTTTTTCTCCGAAAGAGAGGACAAGCGACTGGACTTGCTGCCGCTGGAGGTTCTTTGGGAGGAATCGTCTTCCCACTTGCGCTGCAGGCTCTCTTCCCTAAAATTGGCTGGGCATGGTCGACAAGGGTCGTCGCCTTGGTCAATCTCGTGTTACTCATCTTCGCCAACTTGTTCATCCGATCCCGCCTGCCTCCACAAAAAGCAAGCAAGGAAAATATGCTTCCCGACTTCCGCATATTCCGAGATCCTGTCTTTGCGTTGACGACGTTTGGCGTCTTCTTCGTCGAATGGGGACTTTTCGTTCCCTTGACCTATCTTTCCAGCTACGCCCTGAGCAATGGAATATCGACGCAATTCTCCTATCAGCTCATCGCCATCCTGAACACCGGATCGTGCTTTGGCCGGTACTTCCCCGGTTTCTGGGCTGACAAGATTGGACGATTCAATTCCATGTGCATCACGCTTACATTGTGTCTGATTTTCACCCTGGCATTCTGGCTACCGGCGAACGGGTCTATGCCGTTGATCATCATCTATGCACTGAGCTTTGGATTCGCCTCAGGCTCCGGTATCTCACTGACACCTGTGTGTGTCGGCCAGTTGTGCAGGGTTGAGAACTATGGTCGATATTACGCGACATGTTACACTTTGGTGTCTTTCGGGTCTTTGACCGGTATTCCTATCGCTGGCCAGTTGGTGACTAGGTGCAATGGGCAATACTGGGGGCTGATTGTCTTCACATGTTGCGCTTATGCTGCCTCGCTGACGACGCTGTCCGCTGCGAGAGTAGTTGGTGCAGGTTGGAGTTTGAAAAAGGTCTATTGAGAGCATTCTGTGGGTTTCAAAATGGTGATTATTTTAGCAAGGAGTTTCACTGCATGGGATTGATTTCGATTGCATATAGCCGCCAATGGATAGCTGATGATACTTGGACAAATGGGAAAATTGATGTTCTTCTGATTGAGTGATGATCGGCCTGCTTCGGTCTACTGGCCGAGGTGCATCTCGCTTCGAGTCCTTGTAGCTTCCTGCAGGTTCTCCGCAGAATGCTCTCCGCGGCTAAGTACCGGCCTGAAGGAGGACACTTGCATTCTTACTCTTAATCCCATCCTCATTCCTTTCGACGCTTAGAGTCTTGCCAGTCTCACGCAGCCCCGCACCAAATGACATGCGAGGCTGCTCGTCTCTTTCGGCCTATTGCTTGTTGAGGTGACATTTGAGCCTTACAGCTGGAAGAGAAGCGAATTCTTCCAATGCTGACACGTCCCTTCTTCCACCTCACGCTTCGGAAGCATCCTTGAGTACCGATTATATGTGCATTGTTCTTGCAAACATGTAATGGACGCCGTCCAGCAGCTTCCCAAGAAGTTAATGGCCACAAACTCCCCAGCTCCACGAGGCTGACAAGGTAAGCACACCAACACCTTATGACGTCATCGCAAGGCCGGTACGGGTTCCGGCCAGACCAATCGCAGCTCACTTTGACTCATATCACGTGTCAGGCTGAGGCCGCATATATTCCGGCCAGACCATTCAGAGGAAAGGATGAGAAAGCATGGCGTATCTGGTTCCGGCCTCGAGAACAATTCATTACACAACAATAAAACCTGAGGAGGGGTCTGGTGGGCTTCTCCTTTTCAACACACCTCATTCTGCGCGCATGATTTTTCGAAATCTAAATATCCTGCGACATTTGCCGAGTGGCCGGAGGTGGCACACAGTGAGTATCAGCGCGGCTCGACGGGCGACATTCAAAACCACCTGAGGGACTCGGAAGGTGATGGAAGGACGCGCCACCTTCCTCAGCAGATCATTTGCAGCATTTGCATGCACTCAGAGGGCATCTGGTACAGTCAATGGTCATGGCAGGGCTGCATCATCGACGCCAAGACGAGGCTGCGCACCCCCTATGAGAACCAATTATGACCGTTCAGAATGACCAGAGTGTCGAGAATGAGGCGATCTCGTCAGTTTTGATGTCTAGACATAGGACAGGCACTTTGTGTTGCATCAGGTCCCTCCAACCCCTCATCAAAGTGTCGCTTTTCTCCTATCTTCTGGACCCAGTTTGGCCGGAATTAGTACCGGCCAAGGATGATATATACAACTGAGCCCGCCCAATTTCGATCTCTGCAATCCAGTACCTTCGGACGTCCTTTACGCATCCAGAAGCATTTCCAGGTAAAAAGGAGTCACGTGGCCTCCTTCACATCGACCTTTGTGCACATACCTTTGTTTCCGCGCCTATCAGTCCCAAGTCTCTCTCTCCAGCCTCAACATCACCGCCTCTGGCGCAACACCACCATGGCTTATCTCACAGAGTCGCCGCCGCTTCCAGCGCTATCCAGCCTATTTCCCCATCTTGATGACGATGCTTCAAGCATCCCTCGATCCACCGATCCATTTACCATCACCACGACCACGGGCTTTCTCCCTTGCCGGCCTCCTATGCGTCGTCTTCCGGCTCATTTTGACGCCCTTTCGGAGATCCTCGATGACATGCCCGTTGTCAAAGCAGACGGCACGCCTGGACTACTCGCCAAGTTCGCTCTTGGACCGTTGATCGACTCAGGAGCACTACCAGACTTGACACACCATCTCGATAATCTGCGCATTCTGGACGGCGCAGGACACCGCTACGACCTTGAGGCTGTCACGGCTCTGTTCCGTGACTATAGCTTCCTCGCCAGTTCTTACTTGTTGGAGCCCTGCTGGGAAACATGGTCCAAGGACAACAATGCTGGCTACGGTTTGGGTCGGCCAATACTGCCTCGATGCATTGCTGCGCCTTTGGTCGCGGCTGCTGATATGTGAGTAACCCCCATGTTATGTCATGCTCGTTACTCTGCTGACACATGCCATAACAACAGTCTTGACATCCCTCCATTCATGTCGTACGCGGCATCGTATGCATTGTACAATTACAGTCTCGTCAACCTCAATCTTGGAGCCAGCGTGTACGACAACCTGCGGCTCATACGTGCGTTCGAGCAAGGTCTCGACCCAACCAGCTCCGAAGCCGGCTTCATCTTGACACACATCCACATGGTACAGGAGACAGGACCTTTGATTCAGGGCGCAACAGACCTCCTCGCCGTCATCGAAAACATACCGAGGCACACCGGGGCTGCGATCACTGCGTTTCAGATAATGCTGTCGGCTATGAAACGCATTGAAGAACACATGGAGCAGATGTGGACGCACTCTTTGCCGAAGGACTACATCTCCTATCGCACCTTCATCTTCGGCATAACCTCGCAGTCCATGTTTCCCAACGGCGTGATCTATCAAGGCACAAGATACGGGGACAACAAACCACTCCATTTCCGTGGCGAGTCAGGTGCCAATGACAGTATCATTCCTCTTCTTGACCACCTGCTGGAAATTCCCATGCCTACCAACCCTCTCACGGACATCTTGAAGGATTTCCGACAGTATCGGCCTAAACCACATCGAGAGTTCCTGGCGTGGGTCATGAGCAAGAGTGCAGAAGTCGGCGTGAAGAAATACTGTGTCGACAGCATCAATGCTGCTGATGTTGAGCACTCGATGCTTCTTCCAACATTGTACCTGAAATTGCTCGAACATGTGCGCAGTTTCCGTTGGCGTCACTGGCTCTTTGCGAGGGAGTACATCATCAAGCGCACTGCTCATCCGACAGCAACTGGTGGAAGTCCCATTGTCACTTGGTTGCCTAATCAACTCTTTGCAGTCATGGATTTGATGGACTCGGTGTATAAGGAGAGCGGACTGAAGGGTGTCATTGAGGAGGGCAAGGTAGAGAGTTCAGAGATCAAAGTCGTAAAGGACTTGATGGAGAACGTCGTCTCCCAGAGGGACAAATTGGACAAGGAGGTCAAAAAGTATTGCGCCGAACGAGGCGCATGAGTGGTGGAGTGGGATTGTGGCATTGTTCCATAGGTTGTATGGCCAATGTTGTCCAGCTCTTTCTTTGTCTTACTCGGGTGTTCTTTGTCTCGAAGGTGGAGACTCCATCGAGGCAGCAAGACTCGGGCTCCCGGGGGTGTACGCGATGTTGGAGAAGTCGGCGGCGCATGCGACGGAACTTGCAAGTCGTGGGCGGAAAGGTATGTTGACTTTACTGCTAGGCGCGTCAGACTGGTCGCATGGTCATGGTGCTTGAACGGTGGGAAACGTACCTTATAGTCGCTGTTCAAATCTCCTGTTCAAAGATTGCCCAGGACGGCAACGAAACACATGCAGCCATACTGGCAGACATCGAGCTGATCTGGTCACCGTCAGGACTCTCTGATTCTGTGCTGCAAGTCTACCAAGTTATGAAAGCACCGTGAATGGAATGCAGATACTACGATTTCAATGGGTGATGAGGGATCATAACGCTATCTACATTCCACAACCTATCTCAGTAATCCGGACAAAACCTCCTTTGCACATTCCAGTGCACATCATGATGTGTCAGCACTGGCGACTTGCAGATCGGACAGACCTGACTACCAGACCCATCACCATTCGAAGTCCTCCCTTCTCAGCCGTTACATGGTCCTGGATATCAGAATGCTTGCATTACCACCCCATTCAACGCTGCTTGATGATGTGAAGTAGCCGTCAAAGGCATTCAGGGCTATTCAAGGCTCTGAGATGCCTTGTCAGAGGACAATAGTGACCCAGAAGTAGCTCCATTGCCTGAGCGGCCATTCCCTGGTCGGCGAGGAAGTTCTACCGTCACGGTGGGGATGTACTGGAAGTGTTTGCAGACAGTGCTGCTTCTCAGTCACTGCCTTACTGTCACACCTGGTTGCAATGGGTATAAATTCTTCCTCTGATTCCAGGTTTCTCTCCTTTTCCTTTCCTCCTCATACACTCATACATAGAAAACAAATCAACCCTTCAGAATCGTTCAGCTGGCCTGAACTATATATCAACAACTTCTCTCAGTCATGCGAGGTAGCGTCAAGAGATATGGCTAGGTCCGCCGGCAAGATGAATCCATTCTTTGCATGGATCATGAAGTATGCCATGTCTCTGGCCTGCGCCCAGTGATGCTTGACAACATCACTCTCTGCGGATACGACTTCGCACCCCATCCAAGCCTATGTGATCACCCTTCATCACATGGCTGGTATTGGGCGCTGTGCGCCTGCATCTAGCAACTTCCAGGCTCTCAAAAGATCGATTTGTTCGTTGACCCGCGCCGCCACCACAGCCAGCACCACTGGGATCATGCTGACCACCTCCCATGTGCCCGGCTTCCGTCACTGTCACCTCAATGGACGAACCATTGGCAGCTTGATGCCCAAACTCCTCCAGCACCGATGCACCAGCCTCCAGCACAGAAACTCAGCAGCATTTGAATGTGCTTGAGCATGATTATACCGGTCAAGACCTCACGCAGATCATCACCATCGCCAGCGACTTGGCCGGTATATATATAAAAAGATATGGTGGCGACATTCAGGTTCTCTCAAGGTATGTTACATCCATACCCAGCAGATCTGGCAAGACTGCAGCTATCCTTGTCCCTTGCATCTCGAAGCTATTGGGCTCGCTGCTCCTCGACCCATTCTTCTTCCTGTCAGACCCTCGACAACGCACGTCTTCTCTGCTGTCGATTCATGATGGCATATGATCGATGTTTCACTTGCAAGACAGTAGCTAACGAGAGATACCACAGGATCTCCTTGTGGCAGGCGATGAGCACGAGACCGACGTGCATGGAATCTCACGCAGAGTTCGAATGGCCTAGGACGCCGATGGCGTGATGCCGCTGCACGACAGTCGGAAGCGAGAGGCAATGATTTTCGACATCCGCAACGGCAATGTCTGGCAGACACTCAATGGCACGGTCAATGGACCTGCGCAATGAGGTGTACGAGGGCCACTGAAGCGAAAGACATGCAAATGGAGATGGCCACAATTGCCTCAACTCCCATGTCAGCTCGCTCAGAAGGCAACAGAATCACAGCGTCGAGTGCTAGCCGAGCAACCAACTTTCTCTTGCTCTCATACGAAGTGCGGCAGGCGATTTACCAAGCAGTATTCGTCCAGGACCACCCAATCTCCCTCCAGTCTTTCAATGGCCACCTTGTCTCCAGATATCCAGAAGACATCAACCTCGCCGCCCTTCTACTCTGCAGAGAAGTCAGTCATGAAGCCCTGCAAGTCCTGTACACCCAAAACTACTTCATCCTCCACTGGGGCAGTCTCTGCTATGGACCTCCTCTCAACCAGACCTTCAGCGAATGGCTCAAATACCTCGAAATTGACTGCTGTATTCTTGAACCCAAGTCGATTTGACCAACACCATTCTCCTCTGACGTCCGCGCCATTGCAATGGCATTGATCACCAGGAAGGATGCACTAGTTTCCAAAAGATGGCTAGTCCGTGTGTTCATCTGCTCACCTTGGTATTGGTGCCTGGTCGAAAGCGTGGCATCGACCAAGTCGGGGAGCCAGCCAAAAAGTGCGACCGCAAGAGACGGCTGCTGAAAGCTTGCAAGCAGCGAAAACCCAAGCGCTACGCCGGTTTGTGGATTCCTATCACTTGGGAACCAGTCGAGCTTGAGCTTCCGTCGTTTTTACCTTTTGAAATGGACTTTTGCCGCCTTTACCCGCTGTTCTACTATGGATTTGTGGGGCTTCGACTATCTCGATCATGTCCACTACCCGGCACCTTTCCAACATCACGACCTTCCCCTGCGCAATCGACCTGTCGAGATGTCCCGAAACATCATCGGGAACCAGCCTCGCTTTGGTCAATGTTCAAATGTTGATGTCGCAACCTCACAGCCGCTCTCCCCACCCTTCAAGAGCTGCTCTTCAACTTCGACCACGTAGGAATGCTCTTCGCCGCAACCCTGGATCCATCAATAGCTACGAGCTGAAAGCGAAAGTCGCCACGCTAAAGAAGGAGCACGACGATGAGCTAAGACAGCTCAATATGCGAGATGCAACCAGTCAAGAGGCCTATGAGGACCTGTAGAGCAATTTCAACAGAGGTGTTAGTCAATACGAGCAATGGTTGAATGAGCGAAAGTACTTGATGGACGAGGGCAAGAAATTGTGGGTTCAATGGGATACTGAGGGTCAGCAGCTGCCCGCTCTACTGGCTTCAATAGCGAGAAGCAGCAGAAAGAGGCCAAAGAGCAGGAGTTGAAGGCTCTACAAGACCAACAAAACACCCTGAAGGAGCAGGCAAAGGACTACCCAGCCCTGGCCCGGAAAGAACATGTGACCATTTCATTCCCTCAGCAGCAGATCACCGAAGAGATGCACGGTCAACTCGACGACCACAGCCTGCACAATTGACTCTAGAGCTGGTGTGGATGTCGTACTGCGATAACAATGCCAACGAATATAGCCGGATAGTCCGAGTTCGCGAAGCCGATATCCTTCGAAGAGTCAAGATCAACCTCACAAATGTCCCTTGGTGTTGGCCGTCCTCGCATGAGTACAAATTCGACTGACAGTGAGAATCACTCTCCAACGAATTCACACCTTCGCCAACAAACAAGTCTTTCACTACCACTGCGACGCCTGCTACCACCAGGGAAGGCCTGTTCCGCGCCTGAGGCTTATATAGCTTAGAAACTTGAGCCGTCAAAACAAATCAAAACCATTACCTACGTTCTTTCCTCTCGTTTCCTCCTGCTTGTTTCCGTATGTCCATGGCCCTAAACTGCTCGCTCGACTAGACGAAAGCAAAGCATCGTTTTCCTTTCGACAACCAGATATTTGACTGTGTAGTGTGTTCGTGCATGCTACATATCTTCAAGATGGTCTCTGACAGTGAATTTCATAACCCTAACTGCATAGCTTGGGCCCGGTCTGTGTTGATCCTTGGTGAAGGCCAGTAGGCAAAGCGTGAATGGAAGGAGCGAAGGTGACGACCTCGGACATCTCGGCTGTCCTCGTGCAATGTTTGATCCGATTCACGTTTCGCCATTCCATGTCGCCGACTCGCCGTTGCTGGAAAGTAGTATCCTTAGTCAAAATTGGTATCGAATATTTTACCTCCACACATGCACCAGCAACAGGAAATCCACACATTACAGATTGGAAGAATCAGGAGTGAAGCAAGCACCAGGAAGCATGTCCAAACAGCGACAGTCTCAGGACCAGGATGGAAGAGCAGCAAGCAGGACCCAGGCCGGACAACTAAGGCCCCTGGCACCAGCCAGACAAGACGCGTATACCACAGCATTGAACCCCTCTCACATCACCCCAGCCGCAAGCAGCGTCCGTAACGGTCGTCTTCCACCTGTCGAAGCTTCGAGACGCCCTCCACAGCTCATTCCGGGCCACTCGCACAGTGTTGGCGGCACGGCAATGGCCCCAAGTCATGCACATTCTTCCGGCAGACGGTTGGCGGTCGAAAATCCTCTTATCAGCCATCCCCAACTTATCACTACAGGTAGAGCAACAGCAGATCAGCATAACAGACAGTTGTTGGCGAGTCCCGATACCGACACATTCACTGGGCCAGCAGGAAGTTGGAGAGCCTACAACCGACGAGAGGTGGATGCTTACCATGGCTTGCTATCACTTCGGTATGGGCCAATGGTAGAGGCAACATCAGCATCGTACAACATGACCACAAGGCAGGCTTCTGGCGGCCGCGGCGGCCGCGGCGGCAATGTCCCAGCTCAATCCATGGGAGCGGCAACAAACGCCAGGCAACTTCGACCGAAAGTTCATGACAGTGACAATGTCCTGGGCTCCTCAAGGCAGTCGCTACGGCCAGCTGGACCACAATCTACTCATAAGCAGGCACCGAGTCCAGCGAGCCAAAACGAGAGGCAAGGACAAGATGCAAGACGAGCAAGGGACCCCCCAAGAAGATATTCATGCTATATGTGTGGATGGACGGGATTGGGGTTTTCATGGGCGCGGAACCATATGCTGCGGCGACATGGACTGGATGAGCGTGATGTGGATTATCAACGAATCCAAGCATCAGAGGTGGTATGTCTTTGGTGATGTTTTTAATCGGAGAACCTGTTTGTCGAGGAGTAAAGGAGGTTGGTTGTGATCCGGGGAGTGAACACTCTTGTAAGGGAGTATATTTATGGCAGCTTTTCCGAGCGGACTCTTGGCATTGACTTCCGACTTCCCGTGCCGCCGCTAGACTGTATCGAGCCTTGATCCATGTCGATCTCCGACCTCCATACTTATCAAAATCCAACAGTGACGAGTCCTTCTTCGACTCCATCTCAGCCTTTTCCAACCACCTCAATTGAATCGAATCTCATTTCACCAAACTGCAGCCTCTTCATTTCATTTCCATCTCATTTGCCCAAACTAATACCAAGCTAAAATATCTTATTTTTCTTATTTCTCTCGCTCTTGGACCTCTTTTTCTTCTCCTGCCTTCTCAATATCATGCCGCCATTCCTCAATATGCGGAGATTCTCTCGTTCGAGTTCCGTGCACAATCCCCAGGCGCCCCAATCACCGCCAACCTCGTTTACACCGCCGCTCACGCACGCGCCCATGATGCCCAACGGCACTTCTGGGTCTCATCATGACTCCCACTCCAGACCAGTCTCTGCCAATACCAGTTCGAGCTTTGACTTTGCAAATCGCCCTCCGCAACAGTATCAAATGTCCGCGCTGCCGTCAAACGTCGTCAGTAACCTTTCGCGCACGGATCAGATCGTCCTCCGGCACTTCTGGGACGTCAAGCACGAGGAGAACAAGACTAGAGATCTGCACTTCGTAAGCTTTCCGAGCCGATCTGGCTTGTCTTTTTGCACGTCATGCTAGCATACTAATCAATGCGCGACAGCTCAAATTCCCATTCTTCTCTCAATACCCCAGTCACCAAGATCTGATTCCGTACTGCGAGGTCTATCACTTGGTCAAGACTTCTCCCGGCGCAAAAATCATCAGCTTGGGCAGCACCAACAATGGCGTCTACATAGGGTAAGTCCGCATTGTCATTTGAAGTATCCATCCCTCAATATGGACATCCATTCTTGTCTCGGATGATAGCTTGTCACACAAGCACGCTCCTATCCGCAACTCGATCCGAGACAGGTAGACAGAGCCAGTACTGATTACGTGCTCACAGATTCGAACTCTTCTCCGGATCTCAACTCCACATCGACATGGACGACTCCTGGCACAATATCTCTCACCACCGCGTGACGTTCAAAGCCTACGACAGCGCGCTTAAAGACCCGACCTCGGACAACACGTTCAAGTCGTGGCCTAAACCTCTCACCATTGAGTTCCTCGAGGAGCAGTATCAACGCTGGATGCTCGATCTCACCAGTTTTTGCTGGGACACCGCCGAGGTTAGAGAGCTTGGCGGCAGCGGCAACGGTGAGGAGAGCGGCCAGGGCAGCGTGCAGGGAGACCTCAAAGACGAGATGTTGTGAGGTTCGAGCGCGGCCAATCAATCTGCTTCGGACTTATCAGGTCCTGATCCGATCTTTCCTTTTCCCATGAGTCACCTGTCACATTTCGAATCAGGCTGTTTCGGAAATGCAAGACAAGTCGCGGCTGCAACTTTCCGGATATGTCATTGAACACGAGACTTCTCTTTGAGCACCCACGTAAGCTGCCGCCACCATGCCCAAGGCATCGACATTGAACTGCGCCCTACAACGCAATGACACGACTGTTCACTTCTTCAAACTGGAAAACGACTTGATGAGACACGAAAAACAAAATCAACTTGGTTGAAGATTTTAATACTTAATTCAATCGGATATGACGGAATGACACATATGGACATTGTGGTAGCCATCAAAAATGATGGATCATGGGATCAGCTTCGACCAGCCACGTCTGGACATGTGTGGCCTTTCCGATGTGGTGGTCTTGGGCCGGCTACAATGGGGCGTTGGATGTTTTCGTTTGCGCAGGCGCAGATCAGGTATGATTGCTTCGCGACGAATGAAAAAAGTGACCCCAAATCACCTAAACATGTCCTGAGCTTCCTCCGAAAAAGTTGCTATTGCTATTTGTGGTAAAGTCATGTCGGCCGTAAAATCATGGTACTCAGGATGCACACAGTACATGTGTATCATCGTGACACGTCAGAAGTATAACAGTGAACGAGTTGTCAAAACTCGTAAACAACCCGATCCTCAAGCCAAACAAGGCCAAACAAGGCCAAACAAGGCCAAACAAGGCGCAACATACCACACCGCTTGACTAGTATGGAAAACACGTGTATTATTCGCCATGGGTGCCCAAACCCCACGTTGTCCACCAAAAAGGAGGACGACCATAGAGCATATTGGCCCGCCTGGCCAGTGGTCTTGCCGAAGCATTTGCAGTCAAACATTTGTTGGCCTGTGGCGGTCCTTTGGGGGTTGGACGAAACGCAAACGGCAAGTATCCGAACCAAAGAAACACGAAATGATAAAGTATGTGTTGAAAACATCGTCAGGCTGCAGCCACAGCGTGACGCCAATCAGTTGGCTTGTATCGCCAAACGAAATGGTTGTAACAACCAAATCGAACACCGGCAACCTTGTGAGCTGCTCGGCGCTGTACGTATAAGTCGGGCGTGGAAGTATCTAGTTCAATCACGCCCGTGACCTTCGAGGGATTCTTGTCGAAAGTACGACTCAAGCTCGGCTCTTGAAATTTCAGCAATGTTTCCGATGTCCTTGACTTTGACATTGTATTCCACTGTGTGGTGCTTTCCAAAGTGGATTCGACTGGAGGGCCACAAGGTCTCGCCGCGGCGCATATCGGCTGCAATCGGTCTTTTCGTAAATTCGGGCTCACCTGGCAAAGACGTTGGGATTGAGTGTCCATTTTTGTAGATAATTGCGTGTGCTTGCTTCTCGCTTCGGGGCATGGCTTTCTTGACTCCCTTCTCGCCGTATGAAAGGATTGGCACCACCACGCAGTAGCCCTGGCGCTGACGAACCACAACCATCCGCCGTATGTTGCTGTAAACCATTTCTCCTGAAAAGCCGATGCTGACATGTTTGTCTGAAGCTGTGCTTGTTTTTCCATGATGACTGCCCAGATTCTCATGCCAGATCATTGCAAAAATCCTTCCTTTTGTGAAGAACCATGCCTGTCGTTCTTCGTACGAAGGATCTAGAACGTCTGGCTGGCGTCCGCCTCGAAAGTCAGCCTTCTTTCCCCCTTGGGCTGTTGTTACCGTCCTTTGGTCGTAAGGACGTGAGCCTCTGGAACCTTTGTTGGAAGGCCGTCTCTGCGCGCCTTGTGGTCTGGAAGCTGGAGTGCCATGGTAGCGTTGCTGCTGTCTCTGTTCCTCAGAACCAAAATCATCTTCGTCCTCGTTGTCACCGTGACTTGAAGTACGTGGAAAACGTGTCGAGTAGGCCACGGAATCTCTTCTGATGATGGAATAATTTGCTCCTCGGTCTGTAGGGAGCGCTGATGGCGGTGAATCATACGTTTCCTCTGCTCCTGGCCTAGGTTGGTATGATGCCTGATATGATGCCTGATATGATGCCTGATATGATGCCTGATATGATGGCTGATAGCCATCGTGACTGGTTTGGGTGGGCAAGGGCGCAGGGTAAGCACCTGTCTCATATCTATCACTTTCCGGAGCTCGAGCGCCTGACATGGTGCTTCCAGGTACTTCAGAAGCGCGTGCACTGCCATGCATGCGCAATCGGACTCTTTCTTCCACCTGTCGACATTGACTAGAGAATTCATTTGAGTCTCTTGAACCTGTTTTCGCAAGCTCCTTGAAATAATCTGTCCGGGCCCGCGATGAAAGATTCTCGCAAGCTCTTATTATTACACCGCGCTGTATGCACTGGTTGGAGAGCTCGCGACGTCCCTGTCTTTCGGCTTCGATGGAAGCATTGAAAAGTTCATTTGCGTTCGTCTCCCGGATGCGACGATGTTCCTCGACGAAGCGTCCACACGTGGCAAACTGCCCCAAACCAATCCTCGCGAATTGAAGTGCGACGTCGGAGAGACCAAGAGCGGAGTCATTGGGAATGGGTGTAGATCTTCCTAGATTTGGTTGAAACTGTAAAGCTCGGTTGGATGTTATTACTTCGTTGTCGTACTGCGTAGTATATGGACGTGTAGCGCTCGCGAGGGTGGATTGGCCGCCAACCAGAGCATATTGGCCATGCCTTCCGGGTGGAGAAGGCAAACCTGGATTCAGATGATCATCTAATGTTGGTCTGCATCACCGAGTCAGCGTGTGTGCACAGTTCAACCGAGGACGTTGCGAAACTACCCTGTGGCCTGTGCTGGAACTGGTGAGCGCTCGATTTGCGCATCGTATTGAGTGTGATACGCGAACTGACTCTGTTGTCCGCGAGAATTCCTGGATTGTTGACTTGGTAACTGACCAGGTGTTCTTGGATCAGCACGGTTCTTTCCCGCCTCATCTGGAGGTGCTATGGCATCTTCAATGGGCACATATCGCGGGCTGCCCTTGGTATCCTTTAGTTCGAAGTGGTAGCGTCCTTGTACTAGTTAGCTCGGCACTTTGGCACGTATGCGTGTATACTGTACCTCGGAGTATCACCACACGTCGAACTGATCCATCCCTGAACTCCCGCCATTTGCTACCATACTCGGCAACTGGATCAAAGGGTGCCATTGGGATCCATCGAGGGACAAGAACATTGTATGGATCAAAGCATCATGGATCATTCACCAAGTATTTAACTTGCAGCCACTCTGCCATAGGAGCCGCATTGTTGAACGGCTGGCATCGGAGTGTCGTGAGGTGCCGACTAGAAGCTTTGTGGGGATTATCCTTATAGAAGCTCACTCACTGTTCGCTTGAGCGACAGCGCAAGAGGTGCAGTAGTGCCTATGCGAGGACTTAGCTTCTCGGCGAGCCGCCATCCTCGACTGGATCCGCTGGGTACAGTGAGGGAGAGAGATGGGTCTAGGTGGTCACAAGGGCTCGAAGGTTCTTCGGTGCCGTTGCCGTTGCCGATTACAACCCTAGCGAGTGGAGGAAAAGCAGCAGGAGTGCTGGTAAGGAATGGCGGCGTCTTCAGCGGCCTGGAAGTAGCTGATGAATTTGACCATAATAGACTGTCAGACTGAGTATTTTCCAATAGGGTAGTTGATAGTGGACCGTTGGTGTAATTTGGAGTGTGGATAGGTTACACAGCATGAAAGCCACTGAAAGGTCTATGATTGCTGCTGGCGTGGGATTTCCAGAGGTGAGATTGAATTCCCAGGGTTGATGGCATTGCCGGCGTGCGGGCGGCATGCATAGCCCCAATAATCCCACTAGGGGCCGGCCTAGCCCCTAGCGTCAACTCGTACATCAACTTCGTTATCGATGCTTGCCGTATTTCCACAAACCTGGCAACATTTCAGGGACAGCTGACTACCGACCGCCTCATTCACTCGCGCCGAACTTGTGCTGCCACGGCAGCGATCAACTCATACCATGGGATGGTCCGACGAATCGGCTGAGTGAATCCCATGTGTTGTTCTGCGAAAGCAGTTTGATGAATCTTTGATGTGTCCACGCGGCATTTCCTCTTTTGCAATGTCTTAGCATGTCCCGAGGTCTTTCAGCCAACTTGCCTTCCCTTCTGTGCGTCTAGTGAGGCTCCCTACTGTCTGTGTTGTGATCTTCCTTCATACAAGCTCGACTATGGCCTCGCTAATGCCTTCTGTCGTGCCTTGAACTCCCAATTTCTGTCCCCGTGCTCAAAATCCATCTTGCACATGGCATTCGATTCAAGGAATGTACCACCTCGAATTGGGCTCAAAGTCCCACTGGTGAGGCAACACGCATCCTTTGTGCAACAGTTGGATTGACGCGTCGCCTTAGGGATGGACATGCTCGTCCTCGTCCTTCTGCGACGTCTATGGACGTCGAGCACATGTCAACAGACAATGACTACTCGAGAGAAGATGATGTAAGATACAAGAAGACATCTCGCACCGACTTCGAAGTGCCCGGATACAGGGGCGGGGACACTCCCTTCCAGCTCATGAAGCCATGACCAACGTGCTTGAACAGGATCCGCGACCCCTACACACTCCCTTTGATCCTCTCAGCATTCCGCAGGATGTCTCTCCGCTACATTCCCCCAACCATTCGGACGGGTCGACATTGCTTGAACCTTTGGACAAACCAATCCGTTTCCTGCAAGAATTTCGGAGAATCAATGCATTACGACAGCACGTCCAGGATCTGAGGGTTCGAGTAAGAGACGAAAGAGACCACATGAAGTTGACAAGGAAGCGCATGCTCTCTCAGTTGGCCAGGGTTATGCAGCCTCGGCAAGATGCAACACAACAGCTGCAGTCCCTACAGCCACTTGTGGAAGAGCTTGACTCGCAAGAAATCTCCTTTGAAATTATGGAAAGCGATCTTATACCAGCAGAATGGAAGCTTAAAGAAGCCGAGCAAATACTTTACGAAGACATATTGGGCAATGCTGCAATTGAACGTAGCGACGTGGGTCCTCATGCATGGGCGGCATCTCCGACTTCGCCTGAGTTGCCGTTTACTGATGATGTTATGGAATTTTTAGCTCGCCAGTCTGAGTATACTCTGAAAGAACGGCTGTCAGCACTAGAGTCTGCCGATCGGGGTTTGAGGTCAAATCTTGAGGATCTCGAGAGGAATCACGAGGCGCTTGTTCAAGATACCAAGATGCGACTTGCGGCTGGCGTGCCTCTGAGCCTCTATTCACAGCAACTCATCGACGATTACCCCGATCGACGCGGGGATCTGTTGAGACAAATGTCTCTCATTGCAGAAGCGCAAAAGGCTCTCACATATAGGTCGACGATCGCCAGCGCATCCAGCACTGCGGTGGACGCCCTCTTTCGTCGTGATCAATTTTCCGATGTTGACACAGACGCGGACATCCAAAGCGCCAAGTCCAATGCCGATGAAACTCTGCGTTTGATCACTGCAGATTTCGACATGCGGCGAGGGGATGTCTTCCCACTCCTTGCTGAACCCGTGTTGAATGTTAGTGGAACCTTCGACGCAGCCCAGTCCTGTCCCACATCTCCAGATAATCAATCTCCAGATACTGAGGGCGATGTCGCTGAAAGCTTGAAAAGGATCATATCAAAATGGATTCTTCAATGCGTCAAATCATCCTGGCAGTCCTTTAATCGGTTCGTGTCTGAAGTTGAGGGGTACATGGAGGGCAATTTGTCCTATGAAACAATCGGGAGATACATGCTTCAGACGTGGTTCTCGGAGGATGTTTCGGTGTCTCATTTCGATTCCCGGAATGATGTGGAGAGTCTGCGTACCTCCCAGCTGCCTGATGATAAGGACAGTTCTCGGTCCGATGATGAACAGGCGCACATGCAGTCGTTAACAAGGGGATATAGGTCAAGCAGGTCACTCATGTTGAGGCCGAGTAGACACATATCTCATAGTCGTGCGAACACTCTTTAAGAAACATGACAATTAGATCCTCGTGCTATGTGAAATTGCGTCCACTTCTAAGATGTGTAGTCGGATATGGCATTTGGCGATGCATGTGCAATGAGAATGAATAGACTGTAGGGATTGCTTTAAGCTTATAAATAAACTTGGGTTTGTCCCACAAAGCCCACCAGAGTGGTACAGCCGCAGGCCGCAAAGTATAAAAAAATAGTGGCATTGATGATCACAGATCAATGAGGCATAGGGCATTGCGGAGGTGGAGAAGTCAGGTCCATGGTTTTACGAAAACTCCGACTACAACTAACCTCGAAACCCTCTACAACTGAGAAAGAACGCCGTTCATGCTGCCGTGAATCACGAAATCGTCAAAACCATCGGCAAGAGAGTACTCCTCACAGACGCTCACCAGATGATATCGAGAACCCAAATGTAGTGTCGGCATGCGATTCCTCCGAGACGGGAAAGCATCCTCCAATGACCTGCCTACACGCCCGCCAATGTTTATCCAGCCAATGGTAGCATCGCGCCACAACTTGCACTGAACAGCAGCCCAGGCCGCCCTTATCGCTCGAACAGACCATAAAGGTCTAGATCCTATGGGTTGCGTGTGGTGGCCTCGACAAGAGTGCGCGCACTGGAGTTATACGTTCCGTCAGACAACCTGAATATCTTCCTTTCGTCCGCACGCACTCCCGCAGAGCCGCATCGAGTCCAGATGTGGCAAGGCGGCACCTTTGACAGAAGGTCTTGTGACAGTGAGGACCACACCATCAATTGGGGCTGTGCAACGCCCTTGTCGCTTCTGCCACATGGGCCTGCCCCGGTCCGGCGCGGCAGATTGGTCTGGCGGCACACCATATCAAGCCAACCTGGAAGGAGTCTGGCCCAATCTCATGGTCAACATTGCGGAATGTTTCGACATGTGCTTCGATCGAATGGTCGCCAAAGTAGCAGTTTCAGCCGCCCACGGCAACGGTAGACAGGACTCCTTGACTGCTTTCGAGACAGCTGCAGGCAACAACCTCTTTGAGAGTAGTGTGCGCATGTGAACTTTTCAATTCGACCAATCAAGTTGTACGCGCAGAGGCAGCCGCTTATGAATCACGAAGGGATGGCTCGAGTCCATTGCTGTTCGAGGACTGGCGCGTGGTGCTGGCGCACTAGTATGGATATCTCTGTAAGGAGCAGTCCCATTCATATTGTCATTGATGTAGTAGGCCGATAACAGGCGGGGTGTTTCCGTGTCCCGTGCATTTCAGCTGTTGTCGATGCTTCTGGCATAGCAGGATTCATCCATGATCAATCCTTGGTATCTCTAGCTTGATGGTTGGATCACCGACATGTTCATGAATGCCTACCTATGTCAGAAGTGGAAGCCCACAATTCCATTATCTGCATCACCATCGATTGCTTAGCAGGCAATCTAGCCCGGTAAATGGTTGATGTGGCCGGACTGCCGCGCAATCACGACATGGCTGCTCCTGGAGACAGATTTAGCAAATTGAGGACCAGTGTGAAAGGCGTGATACTTACTTTGCCCTTAGCGGTATGCGTAACGGTATGCGGGTACCATGGTACGGGCTGATTTGTAGCCAGAAACCCGACTTTTCCAATAACTCTTGTCGAGATGAGGTTGAAAGTCTGGCCGAAGACGAGGCTGCAAGGCTGGAAGGGCCTGCTGTGCAGAGTCCACTCAATGAAAATGTGATTCAATCGCAAGCGCGTATACAAGCGCCTGTAGTCAACTAAAGGCATCTGTCTGAAGATTTGCCGAAAGGTCCGCAGAACGGGGACGAGAAGGCAACCACTATGCCAAAAGTAAACCAACTTAGATTTGACGTCTTCCATGAGACTGTCTATCACAAGGGTAATGAGTTCGTACAGGCTGAAAACCCTCGTAATACCTCACAATGACCAAAGACCAACACAGTGGACAAGATCAAGTTGCATTGGAGTAAATCACCTCAACAAATTGCAAACAATGAAATCTGGTTTTCACCAGCATGCCATCGACGACTACCATGAGCTCTTGATTGCCGCGAGTGTTGGCGTTGCCTTCTCGCAGCAAGAACGTATATCCAATGTGTTTGGGTCGACGCAGTCATCGGCAATGAAGCACTTTCAGCGTGCCTTCATAGCGTCGATAGAGGCGTTGGCTTGATCCTGCCAATATCTCCGGAAATATGGCATTGAGCCTTGAGTGATCTTGCCGACATTTTTGACCCTGACATTGTGCTCGATAGTGAAGACTTTATCGAATCGAATGCGACTAGCACGGTCGAGTCTCTTGTCTTCTCCGGCATTCTCAACCACAATTGGTCTCTTGATCATTTTTGGCTCTCCTTCCAGCATTTCCGCCCCAGTTCCCTCAATGTGGATGATAGCATGTGCTCTGATTTCTTCCTCCTTGTTCTTGAAACTGGGCCTGGTAAGGCCTTGGCCTCGGTAGGTATTGACCGGAACTGCCCAGCAGAATCCTCGCCCTATTCGGACGACCGCGAAGCGTCGGATATGGCTGAATATCTTTTCTCCGTGTACACCAGCACTTGTGGTCCCAACATTTCTCAGATATCGATTTCCATGTGTCGCATTCTCGTGCCATAGCGTGATGAAGACACGACCCAGGCTGAAGAACTTGCTGTCCCTGATGTAATAGCCTTGTTGAAGTGTGTCCTCCACACCCGCAAGTGAGGGAGAAGGATCACTCTTGCGAGGTCGGGAAGGTGATGGGTATTCGGTCCCCAGCGAGAAGGCCAACGAGGCCGTGGCGTACTGCTCGTCACTTATCGCTGCTTTCGTCGGCTGACGCGTCCCAGCCAGTTGCAAATGTCTCGTAAGTTCTTCTAAAGCTGGTTCAAGCGGATTATCGTAGTCTTCATCGTCGAGGTTGTCCAGGAACTCTGCGTACTCACTCTCACCAACGACTCGGTAATGTCGTACATGGGCGTACAACCAGCTGCATGCTCTCTGAAGTCGAAGCTCCCCGTCCATACTACACCTCATCGCTACCAGGAGATAAAGGTATTCTTCGATCCCGAATAACTCAGGATGATCCCTTAGAACAACGGCATCAAGGTCCAACTCCGCTTCCTGGGCGGAAACAATGTTCCAGACTTTATCTCCTAGAAGAGCCTTGCAAGTAAGGGCGGCATTTGTAGGGACTGCATGGGCTGCTGAAGCTGGTTTTATATTGCCATTATTAGCTATTTCCACTTGACCAAGAGGCTCCATGAACCGCACCTTCAGATTCCGATTCGGAAGCGGTCTTTCGCTTGCCCTTGGGATCAAATGCTTCGTGCTCTTGCTTAGCGTCCCGTTCATGACTTGAACCAGGTTGCAGCAAGGGCAGAGTGCGCTGCTTCGGCGGCATATTGAAAGACGATTACAGGAAAGCCGCTGTGACCTGTCAGGCTCGGCAGCCAAGGGATCTGGCTATCCTTCTGCATCAGTTGGGGTGTTGTCTTCTGTGCCTCATACTAGCCTCACGATTAGCCTAGAAAAGCTGCTTCGAAGTTCAAACTTACACAATTCGCAGTGCTGAAATTTGATTTCTCAATTCAGCAAAGAGTGGGCAACCAATCTAGGGCTATAGACACCCCATACAGCCACAGACAGACGAGGGGAAGCAAGGACGTACGATCGGTCGAACGCGACGTTATTGCAAACAGATTTATACCTATTGGAGAGGGATTCGGCAGATAGCAGCCATCTTCATTCGTGGCATGCGGCTCAACGAACGCACCATGCGTGTGTAGAAACCTACTCATGTGCTGTCTGCAGATAGCGCTCCATTCGCACTCTCTCAGACGTTCCTCAGTGGCAGAGGGTTATTGGAGAGTTTCTGGAGGGCCCAGGGGTCCATGGCATGATGTTGCCGTCGGAGATGCGTTCAGATGGCCAGTCATATTGGGACCATGGAGGACACGTTGCAAGCTGTCCATGGAGAAAGCTCATGCTTATCGGCTGAAAGGATGCTGGATACTAGTAGGTAAATCAAGACATGGGCTTGGGGTGTTACCGTACCATAAGTGGAAGGAGGAGGGAATTACCAAGTAAGTTACAAGCCGTGGTGAGTTCAATCAGCAGACCGTGGCGAGCCCAACTAGCCTAAGTTAGGCACCCCTTGGGTATAGGTGGACCATTCCTAGGTGGCCAGAAAGCTTCCCAGCCTGTAATCTTTTGCCCCGGGATGGGCTGACTTCCCGTCTCGCCGCATTGCTTCCGGGCGCACTAAGCTTATTCTGATCGGCCGCGTGCACACGCCCGTGACACCGAATTCATATCTCTCGCTGAATCAAATTACCGCTGATTACAGGGATGCTTCGGCCTTGTCGTCCCTATATATCCAGTTAGGTCGGGCTCAATCATCATGGAGAGCCTCCTCTGCGAGGCTTTGCCACTCGATGCGACACCCTTGTCGGGTCAGCGTTGCCATAAGTGGCCCGATTACGCTGAGGGATGTGGTTCTGGCAGAACTCCCAAGTTGATAGGAAAGTGGCACCGCAAAGGTCAGTTTGTGGCACAGGTTTTATGGCTGCACGTATAAATTTCTGACACATTGCGCAGTACCTTAACAAGCATACCTGGGTCAAACCATGAGGCTTCCTCTGATCACAACATACAAGATGGCTCAAACACGCAAGCGAGCAAAGATCCGATCTGTCTGCCTTTGCCGGCGAAGGAGGATGATCATCCCATCTCTAGTGCCAATCAGAAGGAGGACCAGATGGACATACCAGGCGATTGCATCAGGGAGCCAAAATATGCAGAAGAGCAAGGTTCAACAGAGCAAAAAGGGGCTTCAGAACCTCATGCCGACTCATTCCGCTCTTCTCCAGGATCTGACTACATGAGTCAACGACACAGGATAGGTGAACCTTCCGACATCTCCAGAGAAGCCAACCCGGGGCATGCAAACTCACAGATTTTCAATGACAGTCTCAGTCCGATACAAAAGACGTGGGGCGAGCTTAGCAATCTTGTGGACTCATACACGGGCGATATCATCACGACCGGCGACCTTCGGCGGAGTGTGTCCGACTCGAGAAGAGGTGCTCTCGATCAACTCGACGCATTGCTGTCTTCGAATCAGAACCAACTGTCACAAAAGCTCCGAAATGCCCTTTCCGACCTACAAGAAGCCGAGGAGAAGCTGATGGGTGAGGACGAAAAGCTCATTGAACAGGGAGATCAAGTCCTCAGAAAAGGTTCCAGAATCTTCGGGCCTGCCGCGCCATCTTCCCTCAGACTCCTTGAAGAGCAGGGCATTGTTCTTCGATCCCAGACTACCGAAGCAGAGACTTCTCTTATCTCAGCAGATGATATACGACTCGACAGAACTTCCGAAGCGCAGTTGTATCTCTCAAAAAAGGCTGATGTCGATCTGCTCCGGGAAAGCTTGATGGAGCTGGACGAAGATGGTATCTCAGCGACGGCCGACCCTTTCAGCACACGGGAAGAGTCTGAACTCCATAGATATATGGATTCAAGGACGATTGATCTCAGAAACCAGTTGGGACAGGCCGAAGAGGACCTGGAACGCCTTCGCAGCAAGTTGCCAGACCGCAAGGTCAACATATCTGAGGAGCAATTGATAGAATCTGAAGAGGACGGAGTAGGCCTCCTCGAAGGACTCAACCCACGGACAGAAGGCATACACGAAGTTGCTACAAATTCTGAAGAAACTTCGCTCACAACACCCGACGATCGCCATGACAGTCTTCAACAGATACTTGATCTTGCGACCGAGGACGATCCGATCAGATCTAGCACCTTGGTCAATGCGTACCTCCTCTACCAATTCAGGCTCTTTCCCAAAGAGCCAAAGAGCTACGTTGAGGCCGTGAGAGCTGCGGCTGCTGAGTTGAACCCGAATTTGCCGTCCGACCCGTTGATCCTATCTCTCGAACACTGGTTTGACGATGAAAAGAAACCCAAAACCAGATCCAGGTCCAAACCCAGCAAGTCCCGAAAGAAACCCCCTTTCAGCCATCACCAACAATCCATAGCGATGAACGCGGATCAGTCTACAGTGACGCGTAGGAAAAGCGAGCCCAGAGACATTCGCAAGCCGTCTCCTCTCCAACCGCGCGATACCAGGCATCGACCCAACATCTCTCCACGTGATGAGGCGAACTATGCCTCGTCTGTACGTTAGGTATTACTGATCTTTACAGTCTGCACCGATATCGAGCTCTGTATACATCTTTTGTCTCTTTTTCTGTCCCCTGTTTTCGTGCGTACGAGCATGGGCTCCTTCACAAAGGTCTTCGTGAAGGGAGAACTGACTTTCAACTGGATTTTGGCAGCAGACATGTATGCTTCGCAGGGTTTCAATCTTGCTAAGTCTATCCCAACGATTTCAATCTCTCTGAAGTATTCAAGTGTGTTCCCTGTACATATTCATGCCGAGATCATTTGTCATCCTCTGCAAACATCTAGAATTTGAAATCTGGTGCGGATTATGCATACTGCCTTGGGGTGGTGCAGCATGGTCCTGCATCAAGCCTGCGAAGGTTCTGCGTACGAGAGAGTCTCTCACTGGCCTGCAGGTTGCGAGCACTTGCAAAATTCGAACGAATAGCATGGTGTCGTACAAGTGACGGCATTTGAAGCATGCACGGTCTGTTTCACCTTGTTTGCCACAGTTTATACAGCCTGATAGGTTGTTTGAAACTCAGCCAATCAACTAACGATCCGCGGAGCAACAAGGGGCGAGCAGGATGTTGGTTCGGTTCGGCCCAAGAAGAGACATCAACCTCAGACAATGACCTTGATATGCCCGGCTCGCGGCGGCCATGACAACTGTGTTGAGCTTCCCGGGCCAGGGCCGGGCTCGAAGGAGGTCGGGGTATGATTGGGTTTCGCGAATTATGAAGGGCTGGAATGAGGAAGCTCTAGTTCAGAAGTCACGGAAGATCTCGACTTGACTTGGAAGTGAGGCTGGAAACAGCACACGACTCCACCATCGAAGCACCCCAAAGGCCCGTGTGCAAGAGTCGTCGGGAGGAACTGCTCAGAAGCCCTTATTCGTCTGATCCTTCTTCAACTCATTCTGCACCTCCCAGAACCTTCCTTTTCTACGTCCGCCGTCCTTCCGTGGATATGTAAGTCAAGGTCGAGCCGAAATGATTCCGAATCAAGATTTTCCTTATACCTGTGTCTATGGTGGCGCTCATGCGCTCGCTGATGAAGTCGCCTTGCCCCAGTGGCACACAGTCTGGTGGCAGAAGCAAGAGACGTCATCATTCATGCTGGACAATGTCCCCGAAAACTACACATAGCGACAGCACTGTGAGTACTGAACTCCTTACCTTTTCGATGCGACAATACTGCTAGACAAAGTAATGTCAATCTCAGGCTTGCTGAGCAGATGCTTGAGCAATTCACCGAATCTTTGTTAAAAATGACTGGGACTGAATGCATGTAAACCAAAAGTAATGGATGAGAGATGAAGCTCGATAGGGATGATTCATTATTCTCAGCACTCTGAGGCAAGATGTGCCTGACCACATAATGACATGAGAAGAGGCATATTCAACTTCACTGATAATTGTACACATTTAATCCGTGGTTATCGCATCCAAGCCTGCGTGATCGCAGAAACCTTCCGATGCCCTCCACATGCGTAGTTGTACACCGCTTCAAGTCTGGATCCCTTCACTTGCTAACACGAACCCATGCTATGCCAGGACAGGAATCTCCTTCGCCATCGCTCATCCTTGGGGGAATAATGCTCACACTAGCGAGCTGACCCTGGCCTCCCATCCATCATACTGGCTTTCCAAACGCCCATGCAACCCGTGTCGTAACATCGTTATATCATCATAAAGGGCGACAAAACTCGCTTCGCTCAAGAACATTGCAACATGCTGGCTCGGTTCATGCATCAGCTTTCATTGCAACAATAGCCTTCTGCACCTCGTCGCCGGCAACTTTTTCCCACTTGGCCTTGTTGTTCGTATCTAGCTCCTCGAAGTCACCAATTTTATCGTACAACATTCGAGAAATGTCACGATTAATGGTTGTATACTCGTCTTTTGAGATGGTCTGGTCGTGGTAATGTGGCTTCAGCGCACTTGCGACAAGCTTCTGCACATCTTCCTTTGCAGACAAAGACAAGACGGTTCGGGTCGGAGATGCTTCTGTTGATCGTGGTTGAGGCACGGGTCCGGATGCGTGATCTAATATTCGTGGAGCTCGACTCCTTGGCTTGGGCTGCGCCAGAGTCGGTGAAGAGGAAGAATTGGCTTTCGGTGCGAGCGTCCTGGTTTCAGAGGTTTCAGATGTACTAGGGGCGATGTGATCCGGCGAATTAGTTCGTAATGGAGAATATTCGGTGGATGGAAAGACAGGCTGGATACTGGACGTCAATCCAGCCGGTGAGCTAGGTCTCAAAGATGTGGCAGGAGGTGGCGTTGCAGACATTGGTCGAGGTGACGAGTGATTTGATGGTAGCGGAGACGCAGCTGGCGACGAAGGCCGCGGTGAGGCTTGTTCGGCTGGCGGCGATGCTCCAGGACGAGGTGAGGGGCGGTGGAGATGAACAGTGTGCGAGCTTGCTCCAGACTCTTCTACTTCTTGAAGCAAAGACTGAAGAAAAGTAGGAGCACCAGACTCCAGTTGTAGCGGTCGCCTAGGTGTTGGACTAGCCAGACGCGAAGACTGACGCGATCGAACATTGCGAGCACTGGAAGTGCCTCGCTCGGAGACGCTTCGAGTAGAGGCACTCGGTCGCCTTCTCTTGATCACTGGGGTGGCTTCTGATTCGGGCTCTTTCGGCGATGCTGTGCGGGACTTCCTCTTCCTCTTTCTGCTTGAGCTGGAGTCGTTTGGGGAGGCTCGAGCCTGTTCAAAAGCGTGCCATGCCATAAGCTCGTCAGCGTTCTCGACTGGGGCGCGTGGTGATGCTCTTAGTCGTCGACTTCCTGGCGTTGACTCTCCTCCAGGGCTGCTCGGTACAGCTGGCTCGGTTTCCCTAAAACGATTTCCGGCTCCATGAAGCTCAGCAACCTGCATCCGGCGTCTCCAAGCGTCATGGGCCTGCCGGTTTGTCTGAGTATGCTGACGATGTCGTCTCAGATACGTGGCTGATGAGTCGTCTTCTTCGTATGGAAAATCGAGGTCCATGTTGATCCGTGACCAAACAGTCTGCCAGACTTGATTCCAGCTGGACTCGTGACCACGCTGTCTGCGCTGTTGGCCCCGAGTCCGTCTGCGTGTGATGCGACCTGATCGAGAACGATGCTGTTGGCGTGGGTCGACGTCTCGTTGTGCCCGACAATTGTCGCAAAACCAATGTCCATAAGGCACCTCTTGTAGATCGACGCAATATGTATGCCAGAGCTTTTGACATCCATCACAGTACATAAGCACGTCCTCGTTATCGTCTTCACCACATGCTTGACAGGGCTGCTCCTCATCTTCCTCCTCAGGAATTTCGAAGAACATGGAAGGATCTAACTCGGCAACTTGGGTGCGTTCTTCGACAGAATATGAGGATATAACGTCGCCTGAGGGTAGTCAGCAAGTTGTTCGAGTAGGTAGGCCTACAAGCGCAAAAACTCACCATTTATAGTATACATGAGATCGACCAAGTGGAAGCTGGCGCGGCAAATTGGACAACTGTTGGCCCTTTCGACCCATGGCGTAAGGCATTCATTGTGAAGATAGTGACCGCAAGGCCGAAGATGAGCAATGAGCTCGTGATCAGCGTCTACGTCGACATGGGTGGCGTTGTTGATATTCTCGGTTCCGGCCGCCTTGGGGCCAGCGGCAGCAGCGTTCAGTAGTGGAGACTTGGCAAGGGTCGTGGGAAGTGCTGCACCATCACCATTACCGTTGCTCAAGTCTCCTAGACAGACGATACAAGTGTCTGACATCCGTAGATGTTGTCGTGCAGGGTTGAAGTCGATGCAGTCAGTAGAAAAGTCATGAGGGCTGGAATGCTTGTTGGCTTGCGTCGTGGTGTGAAAGAGAGGGAAGAGGGTCGCAGGCTCGGAGATCCAGTTTAATGGATACGCTCGATAGGGCAGCTTGAGCGACAGCCTGTAAATTCACGTGATCTGGCCTGTCATATGGCCTGCAGGCTGCGAGGCGTGTCTGCTTGCCTAGAATCTTGCTAGTAATTGAGGCTAATAAAGATGGCATGAGGAGGGAATGCAACCAAACCTTTTCTGCCTGCTTATCTCAGCTGGCCGCGATTGGCTAACCCTTATAAAGCAGGTAATTTTGTGTTTCAAATAGTCAATGCCGGGTGTGGCTGGCGTCGGACAGACCTTCAAGATGTCCGGATTGCAAGATGGAGGCCAGGTATCGGTCCAAGTATGTCCAGCCCAACGCTGCTGCTAAACAGCACTTCAGTAACCAATGGTGTTGCATCTGGATTGAACTATGTGCTGTATTGAAGTGCGACGATGTTTCAGAGTCAACGTCAACGGAAATGGGGAATACAGGCTCGACAAGATTGACGGACAATCGATATCGCATGCTGATGCGGTGGAATCATGAGGCATGTGGAAGAAATCGAACGTTAGGAAATGGTGAAAGGTTTTTCTCATTCGATCCATCGATCGCGGTCTATCGATCCTCCGTTCTGGTCAGAAGACAGTGACGGCATTCGACAAGAGGAAGCTGATTGTCCTGCTCTGTTCGACCGAATCGGTGAGGACCTGTTTGTCGTGCATTTTTCGCAGCCACTCATGAATGCTCCTCCTTGAATAGAACAACTCCATGCCCATGCAATCATAGCTTACACCTCCGCAATTTCTCTCAGTCGTCGAATTGTTGATCTCGTGGCGGCAGCAGCGGGAGTTCTGTTGCACTCGGTTAGGATTTTGGGGGATGATTTCCTTGTATATCCTGCTCTTGACTTACGAAACAGTCCATGCGCCTCCAGCAATCGTCTTCTTGCAACCCTTGCATTGCCAAATTCCGACGGAGTGTCTCTTGACAGTGTTCTTGCCGCAGAAGGTGCAGATGTATCGGGCGTGCTGGCTGATTTCCATCTTCTTGACTTGCTTTCGGAGGGAGGCACCATAACGGGTACCGTATTTACCGGTCACACCGACCTCTGCTCAATTGTTAGCATCACTGACGACTCCCGGAATGCGCACTTCGGAGAGTGGACTGACTCTTTGTGCGCTTCGTCATTTTGGCGGATGTAGACGAAGGGAGTTGTGAGGATTGAGGATGATAGTCGTTGACAACAGATTGACCAACGTCGGCCGCAGTTTGAGGAAATCTCGAAAAAGTGCGGGCAGGAGCGACTTGGACTCTTGGCAAATTTTGCAGAAGCCTGGTCACGTGAAAAGTCCATTCTGTGCCATTGAAAATGCCGCTTAGTCATACCTCAATCTCGATATCCATTGTCCATTGGGTGCCAATCCTTGCCGCCAAAGGGGTCGGAGACACTCCGTACACATCACATCTCAGATGAGAACCCAGCACCGTGGACATGGTCAAGCCACATATCATGCCACGAGAATGAAACATGTTCGACAACGTCTACAAACTTTACTAAGGCCTCCGATGACCATGGTTGTGTGCTTGGGCGCCGGACCCCTGAGATTTGTTTAAAGCTTTAAGCACTCCGGACAGGATGCCAAAAATAATCACAATAATTCCCCGTCCGAGGCTGATGAGAGGCGCACGATTGGGGGAAAAGGCGAGCCTCCGCGTGCAACTGATTTAGCGGCGGCGTACCACTTTAGTCTTCGGCTGGCCGTCCAATTGAGCGAATTGGTTAAAGGATGCCAAATCTGAGCGCTGGGAGGCTTGGGGGCCTGTCTTTTTTGTACCTGTCCATCGCGTGGCCTCACTCGATCGGCAAAAACAACACCTTTTCCTTCTTCGTGTCATCAAGCAGACTCAATCATCCACGTATACGTCTTCGATTCATTCTTTTCTTTAGCTTCTCATTCATACTCGTGTGCCTTGTAATTCAGCCTTCACATTCATTCGGGCGATATGGCCAACACGCGCCAATATGACATTGTCCTTCTGGGCGCGACGGGATACACTGGCAAGCTGACCGCCGAGTATATCACGTCCAGTCTTCCAACCAACATCAAATGGGCTGTTGCTGGACGCAATCAGTCCAAGCTACAATCTCTGGTCGATGAGATGAAGTCGCAAAACTCGACGCGGTCAACTCCTGATATCATTACTGTTGCCAGCCTGTCCACCCCTGAAGTCAGCACGCTCGCCAAGAAGACTAAAGTGCTCCTCAACACTGTAGGCCCCTACCACCAGTACTCAACTCCAGTAGTGGAAGCATGTGCCCAAACAGGCACCCACTATATCGATGTCACTGGTGAGACACCATGGATCAGAGATATCATCGTCAAGTACGAAGCGACTGCAAAAAAGACCGGCGCCATCATCATCCCTGCTAACGGCGTTGAGTCCGCTCCCTCAGACCTAATAGCCTACATCGCCACACGCCTTATTCGCAAGGTCTGGGATTGCGGCGTCATGGACGTTGTGGCTTCAGTACACGAATTGAAGAGTTCTGGTCCCAGTGGCGGCACGCTGGCAACTGGCCTGGGCCTGATGGACCATTACTCAGCCGGCGCCATGAAGGAGTGCCTCCAAAATCCATTCATCTTGTCGCCGACACAACTCAAGCCTTACACAAAAGACACCATTTACCCACGCAACCCGGAGCCAAACACGTATATTCGGACGCCGTGGCAGAAATGGACCGGTGTCTGGTCATATCCACGATTGGGTCATCTAACCACCTCGATCACGGCTAAACCAAATATGGCCATTGTCCACCGCTCCGCTGGCATGACTCCCTACTTCTACGGTTTCAACTTCAGCTATGAGGAGTACATGGCAGTCGGCAGTCCTTTGGTTGGCGTGCTGATCCACATTGCACTGGCGCTTCTCACTCTCTTCCTCGCTTTCCCGCCAACACGCGTCATCATGAAGCTGCTCACCACGTACAAGCCCGGCTCTGGTCCCAGCAAGGAGTCGACGAAGGGCGACGTCTTCGAGTTGCGTGCGATTGCCGTCGCCGAGCAACTGGCCAAACAACCACGAAAGGCCTTGGCTACATTCCGTTTCGAAGGCGGTGTCTACGAACTCACGGCAATACTTTTAGCTGAAGCTGCCGTGGCACTCTTGACAAAAGAAGAGGAAATCAAGAAGAGTCATGGTGCCGGGTTCCTGACACCGTCCTGCTTGGGCAACGAGTATCTGGAGAGACTGGAAAAGGCAAATGTGAAGATTGGCGTCCGACAGATTGGTGATGTTGGAAGCAAGTAGAGGAAGAAACAGCATTCGGGCCAAAAAGCCCAGAATGCTCTCTTTGTAGGTCAAGGACGGTGCGAGTGGCGTCGAAACCTGGTCATAGCCGGGCTGTGCTGCACATTGCGATGGAGCAAAGACTGTAGGCGCGACGAAAAGACTTTGCGAGAGAGGTATAGCGATTGTGATACTCGACGAGACTGATGAGCTCTTTGGGACACTTCTTTCAGCACGCATGCAAGGCGGTGGTTTGTGTATTGTAGAATTGGAGCACGGAAAATATGCGAATATGTCTTGCCTGATCTTTGGTTCGTACTTGACTGAAAATGTGCCATGTAACCAACTCTGCTCATTTGATAAATCCACAAAGCGACATGACTCCTGCTGCTCTGGGTCGCTATATGCACTGGAAACAAACTGCACGCTCGTGTCGTGCGTAGATAAAACAAATGTACGGTGGTGTACAACTGGAAGTCATAGGTTCTTGTGCACCTGCTACTAGATGTAGCTGACCTTTGTGCCCATGCCTACTGTGCCCCTGACCTTGGCCCAGCTCGTATTCAGCAGCTTCCTTGCTCTGTCTCTTACTTGCTTCTGGCTGAAAGCCATCACGAAGGCCAATATGAAGAGTAAAGATCTCAGCAGGCTGGTGGGATTCTTCGAGAGTGTGCCGGCGAGATTGTGAGCGAGGTTTGAGAGAGCGAGAAACAATTGCCGCGCTTGGGCAAACATGCTGTTTTGGTTCGATGCTTTAGACTTACGGGTAGGTCGTCGAGGTGTGTGTGCCGGAGGGGACATAGGAATTCGTCCTGCAGAGGAAGAGGCGGGCGGAGAGCGTGGAGACGCATTCGATGGTACTGGTTGAGGGGGAACATTGGCCATAGGAACATCTTTGGACGCCTGCGCTGTAGAAGAATTGGCGTCCTTTTTGGAGGTTAGATGTGAGCCGTTGGGATGATCCATTTCGATCCCATAGTCCACTTCACTACTCGTTCTTTGGTGCTTGCTCGTGTTGGTTCGGGACAAAGGAGGCTTGGGTAGCGAGTGATGACCTTCATCAGATACAACGGTTTGTGGAGTGTGCATCTCTTCCTCTGTATCCTCAAAGACATCATGTTCTGCTGGCTCGACATCATCTTGTTCGTTTACCTCTTGTAGTTCTTGTAGGGTTTGTAGAAAAGCTTCACGGCGCTCCTCGTCCAGAATGTCGCTATTCGAGATAAAACTCCTCGCATAGTCCCATTCATCATTCCGTGGCAGAACGTGTAGGGTAAAGAGTTCAAGGATTTTGATGCGAGAGGCTAGGTCTTTCGGCGTGTTCGTGCCATTGTGTCGGCCGTTGCTGAGGGCGTTGTTGAGATGCGTTGAGAAATCGATGTCATAATGCGAGGACGAGAGGTAGGTTTCCAGACGAGACTGGTTCAGTTTCTGGTTGTGGGCCTGCCCAAGGAGCAGAGTTGACCTATAAGAGTCAGCAAGACATCGAATGCGTGCAAGAAGGAGGACTGTACAGATTGTAGACAACTTCGGCGTCGACCGAAGCTTCTCGGCCTTGATACCCATCCCTCACCACCTCTTCCCAAACCTGACCCTCCCGAACACTTCGAACAATCTCATCATATATTCTCTGACCGAACAACCTTCCTCCTTCTTCATAACCAAGATCGACAATCGAGTTTAAGAGCGTGACGTATAAGCTCCAAATCTTGACCCGTTGACTTGTAGTTGCGGTCGCAATCGGCGCTTGTGCAGGACTGTCATCTGGTCTCGTCTTACTGGGCGGGGTGACTATAGGCTGAAGAGCTTCGTAGGATTCCAGCAGTCTCCGAGTGAGAAACAGCTGTGAGGCATGCTTATATATCTTGGGGATTTCCGATGACGTTCGCTTGCCGGAATGGTTCAGAGTGGCTTGAGACGACAAGAGGATCTGCGAGCTCGATTGAGAGTCCGAGTCCACTGACATGATGTGATGTTTGGAGCAACCAAAGAGACTGCGAAGTCAAGACCCGGAAAGAAATGAGAACTGGGCGCGAAGACGCCGATGAACATGGAACTAGAAGTGTAGGTTTAGAGAAAGTCCGGGGTTGGTTCTGAATTATGTCACGTCGCCTGAACCTCGGCAACTTGAATTAGAAGTCCAACCCAGCCTCGTCAGCAGTTCTCTGATTGCCGTTCGGCCTCTGTCACGATTGCATCTTAGCCTGCTGTGTTGTACGGCACTGGTTGACCTTAATGGCCTCACTCAAGCCTTGGCCGACTGCGAGATATCCAAAACACCCTCTTCGCAAGCATTTGCTTGCAGCTTGTTACTAACAAGCTTCCAAAAATCAGCATCCTCCTCCCACCTCGGCAATAGTTCGCCTTTCTTCACCATCTCCGCGATTCTCCTTTGGTTCTCTGCCTCCTCCTCGTCAGCGTCGGGCTCTTCAGACACCTCCGAGGGGCCATCCTCAAGCATATTGAATATGTTTGACTTTTGAGACACAGTCTTCACTTTCTTTCGTTCACCACTTAGTCCCTGGGCTTGCTGCCCTTCTCTTTTGGAAGACGTCACGACTGTCGACTCAGTTGGGTCTGCGGCTGTGGCAGACCCTGCTAGCTGTTGAGTGCTGTTATCAGAGCCTGTCAAAATCGACTTCGCTGCATACAATGGAGCCGTGAGGACCTCAACCACGCTCGTTTTCAAGTGTCGCTGCCCACCACCTGATTGAGCTGGGCTCTTTTCTTCAACCACGGCTGTGTCAGATCTCTCCGTCAAAGTCTTGATCTCCTTTCCCTCTCTTTTGAGCTTTCCGATGAGTTTCAGACCGATCTTTCCAGTCACGAAACTATCAAAGCCAGCCTCGTGATAGTTTGCGGCATGGAGGTAATGGTCAAAGCCCTGTGGTAGGTGTATTCGAGGTACTTCCACCGAGCTGAGATCACTCTCCACTGATTGAAGTGATGTGTCGGCCCAGCGCTTACTCCCAATCCTTGCAACGTATTTGGTGTCGAGGATGAAGGGAAATAGTTCATGCAGACCGGCCTTAAAGTCATCCACCCGCTCTGGTAGGTCGCCAATGAAACAGCGATAGAGGTTGATCACATCGGTCAAACAGTTATGCCCCACAAAGATCCGCGGGCGACTCTTCAATTGCGTCTGAAGGGAATCCAGATAACCTTGAATATCTGCAGGAGCCTTTTCCTCGGGAAAAGCAGCTTTCACATAAAAGTGTGGCAGCTTGGACAGGTCACCACCCATGATGGCTTCAAGCAACCAGCGAAAGCCGACGGCATGCGCAACTTCGCGCTCCCGCATGTCTTCTCGAACCTCCTTTTCGTTGGCCTGTTGCTCTGCCGTAGGGTTAGTTATCTGCACGAAATGGCCCATGCGTTGCGTTTTGAGCTTTGGATATTCATTTCTGACGGTCTGGTGTGTCAAGCGGACCTGATACCGATTCAGCAACGACGGGATGGGGTCTTTTGCGTCTTCTGCCGGGATATTGAGATAGTCTTCCTGTTCGTCTTTTGGCAGTGATTGCCAATCGTTGACTCGTTGCTTGATATGTTCTACTAGCACCGAGTCATCGTCTTTGAGTGTCATGTCGGGAATCTTTGATCGGGCACGGTCATCTTCGATAAGCTTCTTCCGTACCTCGTCCTCTTCCTGTCTGGACAAATAGTGGACTCCTTGTGTTAATGGGCGCTCAACGTTGAAGCCATTTCGCATAAGAAAAGAGATGGCTCCCACAAGTTAGCATGCGAGCAGTCTCTGCCAGATCTTGGGACTATACCTCCACTATTATATGACCATACCCGCCGGAAGACTTGCTCCTTGGTTGCTGGTAACGGGCTAAGGTTGAAGTTGTATGGCCGAGCCACATAACGACCTTTCTCAACGTCCTCCGTAACAACAGTTAGACCGATCTGTAAGATTTGATATATCTGTGCAGCCGATCTCAAGTCCTGATAATACTCCTGTAAGGAAAGCTTGCCCGATCCTCCACCGGGTCGTCTTCCAGCTACACCAGAGAATTCAAGGTCAAAAGAAATGAACTGACTATCGGCAATATGTTGAATGATCTTGATCAGTTCTTGAGGAAAGGTAGCATTTGTGATATCCATGGCGCAAGGGAATGGTGACTGCTTTGGTGGACTGGGACGTGGTAAGAGACTCAGAGGAAACCCTAAGAGCCTGCTTGGAAGGGCAAACAGCCGTCTAAAGAACGTGGGCATCAAAGAGCAAACAGCAAGCAATGACCGTGTCGAACGGAGGCTTGAAGAGGACAGATAAAGAGTTGGTGTCTAATTAAGGAAATGAGAAGAAAAGGCCGCTGCTGGAAAGAATCGTTGACAGCAATTTGACTGACGACATGGATATTGTTATGTTTTGATTTAGAGACTCAAAGGCGTGTTGCAAGCAATTCTCTTAACGAGGTGGTCGAGTAGAGGTCTCCTCAGATAGTTCATATCAAGTCAATGCAATCATCTCGGATATCATAGTCGCGTGCTCAGGTACCAGTACCAGGGTTTGGAGATTCCGTCGACATCATTGTTGCTTCGCCAAGTCAGTGAGGTGATCATCGGAGAAAAGAGCAATTTGATTTGTGGGGGAAATCTATCGCAAATCACCGCCCCACGGTGTTCAACCTCTGGAACAATAACAGTAAAGTTAACCTGGTATCGATCCTCTCCTGGTTCTTGCACTGCGCCAGCAGAGTTCCTGAGAACGTTGTCAAGATACCGGAGTGCTTGGGGATGGTGCAGTAATATCACCCAGCTTTTGTCCCTACCTCATCCACTCGCGGCATGGCCGCCTCTACTGCGTCCTCACTCGCTTCGCTCTTGAAGAACTCGACACTCGAAGACCACGAACGAATCCTTGAAGCCTGCAACAAGACTCTGAAGGCGTCCAAGGCCGACGTCGAAGCAAAACATGTCAAAACTGTCGCTCTCCTCAAACTCGACCGATACGAAGAAGCCGTCAAATTCATTCAGAGTGCAGGCGACGATTTGCGCACAGCGGCGGCGTTAGAGTATGCTTATGCACTCTACAAGACAGGTCGCCTACAAGAAGCGGTGGAGACGTCGTCACAATTGAAGGAGAGGGGCGCCAGGCATGTCGAGGCCCAAGCGAGATACCGACTTGAAGATGCGTTGAAGACCTTGGAGATATACGAGCACTTGAGGAGCCTGGGAGGCGGGAATGAGGAGTTCGATCTCCGTGTCAATCGAAGCGCCATAGACGCACAGGCCCAATGGCTGGGAGTAGCAGAGTCACAATCAATACGAAAAACTGCAAGAGAGGATCTAGAGGCGTTTGAAACAGCATACAACGCTGGCTGCGGCAGCATCGCTCGGGGAGAATACGCGCAAGCGGAAATACTGCTCAAGCGAGCAAAGGAGATCTGCAAGCATTCCGACGAACTCACAGATCAACAAAGACGGGAGGAACTCTTACCCATCTCCGTTCAGCAATTGTTTGTCCTTTTATGTCTGGGGAAAAGCACAGAAGCAGAAGAGGTTGCTCGCGAGATCAAAGCCGAGGAAGCCTTGGATGCCTCGACTCGCAAGATTGCACAGAACAATTTGCTGCTTACTTCTTCCACCGACAACCCTTTCCTGGCATATAAAGCATTTCACACGACGCCTAAAATCCCTTCAGAAGACAGGCTCTTCTCTTACCAAGACATCCCTCTGAAATCCAACAAAACAACGCTCGATCTCCAAGCACACAAATTTGACGGTCTGAGTGCGCCGACTACGAAATCTGAAAGTCAGCACCGACCACTGTCCTTGGTACCAAATGACCTGCTCTCATCTTACTCGCAAGCAACAGCGCGCGCGAAGAATGAAACGAGCAAGGGAGCCATCAGAAGGATATTACCGATGCTGGAGAGAGCGCCCAACAGCATCGGCACCATTATCACTTTGGTTCAATTATACGTGCTTTGTGGCGACAGCACCTCGGCTATCGAGTTACTAGAATCCTTCATCAAGAGGCTGGAAGAGTCCGCCGTAGAAGACGAGCAGGACATCAGGTTCAATCCTGTTCTAGTGAGCGTCTTGATAGGCCTTTACAAACATCGAGGTCAAAGAGCGCATGTTAAGCAAGAACTTGCCAAGGCTGCTTCTCACTGGCGAACGCGTTCGAATCCACCTGCAAGCCTTTTGAGCGCTGCGGGTGTATCTGTGCTCGAGTCACAAAATGACGAGGACATCAAGACGGCATCCGAGATCTTCGCCAAGCTCAGGGAACAGCAACCCAATGATAAAGCCACAGCAGCTGGATATGTCGCTTCACACGTTGATGTCGAGGACAGCCAGGTTCACCTCGATACGAACAAATTGACTACGGTCGAAGACTTGATTCGTGACGTCGATGTAACGGCGATTGAGAATGCTGGTATCCCACAATCGTCAAATGCACTTGCGATAGCGCAACTGGGGACATCGAGGAAGAGAGGCGCTCCAAGTGGGGTGGAGTCGAAGCCGAAAAGAATCCGCAAGTCCAGATTACCAAAGGACTATGATGAGAACAAGAAGCCGGATCCAGAACGATGGCTGCCAATGAAGGACAGGAGCTATTATAGACCCCCGAAGGGCAAGAAGAAAGGCAAGCGAGGGGGAGAAACACAGGGTGGTGTTGTCAACGAAGATTTGAACGTCGATGCGAAGCCTGCTGCGACAACAGTGGCCACAGCTTCTGGAGGAAACAAGAAGAAAAAGGGCAAGGGGAAGAAATGAGGGAAATCCCAAATACCCTCTGGGTCGAGAAACGGGCAGAGCAGTGCGAAAGCGCAGATGTCCAATGCTCGATACTACTAGTAGAAACCCCTTTCACAAGACCTTCGTGTCCGGCAGCCCTATCATAGTCCTCTCGTCTGTTTGCGAACCCTTCATGATGCTAATTGCACAGGATCCAAATATAAATTGTCGAGTCATTGCACCTAGACAATCGCGATGGTATGGTGTGGTGGGCAAACATCGACAGTTGGCAGTGACAGCATGACGCGAGACTCTTGGTGCAGGTCCATTCATCGCATGAAAGCACGAGTCTAGGATGTTTCTTGCAAGGCACCATCCTAGTCAGTCTTGGTCTTTTATTCCTTCTAGCTCCCTGAGATCGTCGCTCGTTGCGGCGTTAGCCTTCGATGGCCGTCGGGGAGCCATATCCGAAACACGTCAACGCACGCGAGGGTTCGATGGACGGACGAGGGACTTCGTACAGAGAGAATCATTGGCTGGACGTGACACCTAGAAGTCCTGCAAGGGGTTCCAAGTACGAAAGGGCAGAGACGCGTGAGGAAACAGAAAGCAACAACAACAATAAGATAAAAATGAAGGTCGGAGAAAGACAAAAAGACAGACAGCGGGAAGGCTCGAGGGTCTTGCCGTCTATCAATTTTCTCCCCTCTTTTGCATACATCTTGACACAGTGACAGAACCTTGATCCATCGCGCAGAGCCCTCAATCTGTACCGTGTGTCTCATCTTCGCTTGCAGGATTCTTTTTTAGCTCGCCGTTGGCCGGTGTAACGATGACCTCCTCCCAGTCGCATTATACCCTTCGTGCGCCCGAGGCTGCTCCAACGTTACTCAAAGCGGTGCTTGGGTTAGGCTTTTCTGGCCTCATCACACGTACGGACAAGATGGATTGCTGACTGCGCTGCGCTCCGAAACAAGGATCAAGACTCTTCTTCTAGCAGGGTCATGAGCACAAACTATTTACTTCGGGCCCCTCGCTTCCATTGTGGTGTGCGGCGTGTTACCGAAACATCTGCTTGCTTCCCACTTTCCGACGCGTCCGTCCTTCCCAAGGCCCCGGTACCGTTGGTATTGGAATTGCTGTGATGAGCCATTTCATTGGCCGGCCTACCACCATTTTACTGCGCGTGGCAACATGTCGGCAGACAACTAGCGACCGACTAAACATCGGCGAGTGTCCTTTCTTCAGCTCGTGGCTACATTTTTACGATGCTTCCCCCTGAAGTACTCGTGCTGCTTTTCTCCCCTTAATGGATGGATGGTGCTGACCCATGCAGTCCACGGGCCTCGTGCGCTTCGGGCACATCCGTCCAACGCTATGGCTTCCTTTTCAACTACTCCTTCCACCTCTTGCAGCAATCATTGACATCCATGCGCCAGACGCTCTTGGGATGCAAGAAAGCTCGGATGCCACTGCCACTGCCACTACCGCTTGATCTTGTTTTTGCCTCGTTACATTTGGCTTTTGTCCTTAAAACATGACAGCGTCCTTTCAATCTATGCAATGCTCCTGTCACCTGTCAAGTGTCTTGTCTTGACCTGAACTCCGCTTCCCGGTCAACGTGATTGACTTGACAGCCCTTCATATCGATATCTACCCCGACATAGATATCAATCACGCTCGACTTTGCAAGATCGTCAGAAGCGTCAAGCTTTTTGCTAGGTTTTTCCTTCACAACACGTTTGATCCGGCGATCGTCGACGGACCTCCAAAGAACTCAGGTCGCCGTCCATCGATTTGCACTATCTTCAACCAACCTATCCAGCGGGCCTTGCTCCAGTTGCTGGTGATTTCCCATTATCGCACCCCCCATCGTGCCCTTCAGCCTGAAACTGGCAGGTCAGTGAGTGAAGATGGACGTTGGACTCTCGGGCTTTACAGCTGTCAATGTTGGATCTAATTATGAAGAACCCGAGGATCTGCACGAATACTTCTCTCTGCAAGCTCCACCGAACAGCAACATACAACGAAAGCCAGCAGCATTAGATGATACGACAGCACCAATGATGTTGAAACGCTTGAACCATTCCTTTCTGCTGGCTGAGGTCACTGTCTCGGCAGACTTCGCCATGGATCATGACCAAGCTGGACTAGTCATTTTCGCCGGCGCATTGCCGAGCCCATCTATAGCACAGTCGCCAGTCGCGCGAAGAAGATCACGAGTCGGGAGCGAGACACTCGCGACAGGGAAATGGGCCAAGGCAGGACTAGAGTTCGCCAGAGGAGAACTCCACGCAGCTTCGTCGGTCGCAATATCAACGTGTGGTGCCGACTGGTGTTCTTCAGCACGTATGCCCTCACCATTGACCACTTTCGACCCATTTTCATTGTACGTCGCAGTCGTTGCGGATCAGATTTGAACGAGTGGAGGAATCTCTGTGGATCTCGTACGAAATCCCGACCTACAACCAGTCACAATCAGACTATTATCAGGATGCAGAAGTCCTAGGCTCGCGATGGAAGCAGATGCGGGAGATCATGGGTTTCTTCGGTGGTGTCGAGCAAAAAGGTAATACTTGGGTGGGATGTTATGCCAGCCGACCCATGGACTTTCAACCGAGCAACAGTTGGGAAGAAGTGGATGAATTGATAGCCGAGTTTGAAGATCTGGACATCTTATGAAGTCCTTGATCAGGTTTAATACGTGGAACGGCGTTACGCGGGGAAAATGGCGGCCGTGGTCTTCTCGGAGCAGAGAAAGCAGGCTTTCGCTGGCGATACCTGGTAGTGGTGTAGACGCTGTTTAGGTGTTGAGCAGATACCACCGAGTCCCATGAGGAGTAAACCTGCATTGGAAGATTTGACGCTACATTCATATATTGACATCGTAAAGCATAAGTCTCATCGTTCGTTAGCATGTTCGATGCTTAGTATTGAGCGTCATCATAACAACGGTCGCATGGAACTGGCGCATTTGTTCAGACCACTTCATCCACGACATGGCACGAACATGTCCCCTTGACCATCTGACATTGGCGGCAGTGGACAAACCAGACAACTGAAAGCATACTCTGGGCCCCTCTGATGGCGCATCTACTGCGCGTCACGTATTTGCCGGCCACTGAAATCATATCGAGTGCGAACTAGGTTGATTTCAACGCCGCGCGCCTTGCCCCATGGAACAACGTCTCGCGAAACTTGGTAACAATCTTTCAGGGTGATCTTCTTCAATTTGTTGTTGTGGAGCAATTCTAGGGCATTGAGCAAGTCTGCAAGGAATGTGCCGTCGATCGAGGTTTCTTCGAGGCATAAGTCCTCGATAGAGCGCAGGCATTGCGGCAGCTGTTCGGCGTATCTGTTAACGACCGCTGAGCCTGCCAGGTGAAGTCGACGCACACCAGCAAGCCATCCAGACTCCATGAGTGTTGCGAATATTGATTCCGACTGTTGGTCAATAAGCATGGTAAGTTCTGATAGCTTTTCCAGATGGATACCGCGACCCTTGGAGAAAATAGAAATTGGAGGCGGCGCATGGCTTCTCCATATCGTAAGTCGCTCCAGATTAGGTAGAGTGGTGGGATTACTTTCTGTCAAGTGATCTTCAGAGAAGAAATAGCTCCCAGAGACGTCCAGGTCTTTCAGAGAGGGCGGGAGGTATAGCTTGGGAATCGCGCACTGAATTAGTCTGAGTGTTTCCAGGCCCACCATATACCGTAGGTCAAGGACGTGCTGTACTCCTGAGTGGGGTGGGTGCCTCCCGTGTACACCGGAAACAGATAAAGACCTCAGCCCTGGCAATCGCGCGAAAAACGTGGTCTTGGTACTCAATCAGCATATGAATATACCTGGCAAAAGTCTCAAGTGGTGCTTACTACGTCAAGATGCTCGCCCGGAGCGTCAAGATGAAGGTGCTGTAGAACCTGGCTTTGGAGACAAACATCTAGCGGTGGCTGAGACGTCCCAATGGAGAATGCTCGAACAACAGTAAAGTGTGCCGTTTCAAGGCCTGGACATTGCTTAAGGATCTCGCTGAGATCCTTCGGTTCCACAAACGTCGATGGACCGAATTTGAGGCTCTTTAGGTTGTATTTGGAAAGGGGCAAAGCAAGTGGCGGAATGAGCTTACTCTGGACTTCGAGTGTTGAGAGCGCCTGGAAGTTTTGCCACGCTTGAAGTCGGTTGGCAAGAATCGAGCGGGCAGCATCATTCAAACGCGTGGCATAAACTGCAATTGGAACTTTGAGTCGTCTGAGAGCGGCAAGAAGCATTTTCGGCGTGATATCTTTGCTTGCGTCCGGAAAAGCCAGGGTGTCGGTCAAGGGACGTAGACTGCGAAGTAGTCTGTTCCAGGCTCTGCAAACACGCAGGAGCCGGACATGCTGTTTGTACGAGATGAAGGAAAGGATGTGTTGAGCAGTCTCAAGCGGAAGAGCTTCCATCGGGTCGACGGGCTTGGAGCTCATTGTTGCGATTCGGATCTGTTCTTGCACGGCGTCCATCTCTTTCGTGATTGACTGGACATACTGGCTGGACCACTGTACATGCTTCAAGCCATGCCGATAGAAATTGACCGCCGCGGAAAAATGGCCTCTGGCCCGTTCAGTTTGGCCACAGCGAATATAGCCTCTTCCATCTGTGCGATCCTGGCGAATCATGGCTTTGGCATCTTTGATGGCAAGATCAACTTCGTTCATGCGAAGGTAGAGAGCAACACGCGTATCAAGTATCGTCACCCGGTCTCGACCAGACATACCATCACTTTCCTGCAGGGCTGCACTGGCAAGTTGAATGGCGACATCCCATTGCTTCGATTTAGCAGCCTTTTGGCAACCGGAAACCAGCTCTGCGGTTGATTTGGAGAATCGAGCCTTGATGGAAGGTGTTGGTTTCACTGACGACGCCATTCCGCCTGAAGCCACACTGGATGAGTATCATCCCAGGTAGAGAAGATCAAAGGTCAATGTACGTGAGTGTCTGCCCTAAAGACGCGTTAGTTCGCGCCGGTGAAAAATAGGCGTATTACATAAGGGCTTGGCATGTTTACAACTGCGCCTAATTGGGTAGGAACCGACTATGTGAGTCTGCGATCAGATCCCTATTGTTGACGCTGCGATCAAATGATCAGCCATGGATTCGCACGGTCTTGAAAGAGCGTCACAGTACCTGAATAATCTCCTGCTCGCCCGTGGCCTTCTTTCTAATGGCAAACCAATCGACTTTGCCTGTCCGGACCGTAACGGCCGTGGCACTGATGCGACGATGTCGAGAGTCATCAACCTTGTCCACGATCTGGTCCTCCGGCGCGACCAGGATGCCGAACAAAGAGAAAGTCTTGCTATGAATATCCGCAAAACCCGAGCGGACGAAACTCAGCGCCTACTCGATCTGCAGCGGCTACAGGACAGGAATGCGGAATTGGCACGAGAAGCAGCTTCTGTGGAGTCGCAGGAGCGGACGTTGAAAGCTGCTGCGCGCAGAGCAGAATGCCAGGCGAAGGAGCTAAAGGAGCAGATGTTGAAGATGAAGTCCACGCTGGATCAAGTGCGTGCCAAATGTCTGAGTGACGTGCGCAAAAGAGATGTTGAATTGGACAAACTGAAGGCCCACCTTACAGGTTTGCAGCGTGGAAAGAAAGACGCATCGGGCATGCGAATCAATATCATGGGGTGGGAATCAGAGGCCAAGCCCAACGAGAGACGCAACGGACAAGATGTCAGCAGCGCAGAATGGAGTCTGGAAAAAGAGACCAACGACTTTCTGGCGGCTTTGGTCGAAGAAACAAGCACAGAGAATGTCTCGCTAAGGAGAATCGTGATCGATACAATGGAGATCCTTCGAGATCTTACAGGCTTGGAAGAAACCGTTTCGGGTCAGGCGGCAAAGCAGGACGACGAAGACGGCATCGGTGTTCCAGGGCAATATCGAAAGTCGAGATTAAAAGCTGCTCATTCGCCAGACAATCTGGCATCGTGTAGGGCGTTGGCAGAACAGATGACTTCAATATTGGAGCATTGCCAGACGATATTGAAAGATCCTTCATTTGTCCCCATTGAGGAAGTTCAGGTTCGCGATGAAGAAATTATACAGTTGAGGGTTGGCTGGGAGAAAATGGCAACAAGGTGGAAGGAGGCTGTTACAATGATGGACAACTGGCGCCGGAAGACGATCCAGGACGGCGAGAACGTGTCCATGCCGGATATTCCAGATTTGGAGCTCGGCAAGAGTGTGGCAATGCTGCCCAATGGTCGACCTATATTCGGTACCGATGAAGAGTTGCCATCAATACTATCTGAACACAGCAAGCTCGACCACGGCGACGAGGAAGCACTCCATGGAGAGCAACAAAGCAAGCCTAGCAGTAACAGCGTCAAAGCTGAGAGCCCAGAGTCCGTCCTCAACATGCCACTAGAACCGACCCCGAAGCGAAGAGCATCGGCTGCTCGCAGAGCAGGGCTGAGCATTGGAAGACCGGTTCGACCGTTGCAACCCATCGACCACAATCTGACTCGGTCCCCAAAACGCATCACAAGCCTGGAAAACCTTTTATTGCCTGGCAGCGATTCGGGAATCGGAAGTTTGGACACCAGATTGGACATAGAAAACGATCCAGGTCGCCATCTGGGGGATCCGCGACGGGTATGTTTACGAACGATGGATTTGTGTAGGCAAAGGCTAACTAACACTCAAACAGGACAACGAACATGACAAGCACGCCTCGACCATTCCAGAAAAGCTGGCAGCCGTCGAAGCAGAGGCAATGGAAGCCCAACAGCTCGCGACCCAGGATTCGAAGAAAAGAAAGTATGGGACAAGAAGTAAGACTAGGAAGGGGTCGAGAAGGAGAAGTACATTAAGCCCTGATGAGCTTGCTGACTTGCTGGGTATTTGAAAGTCAACCGTAAGCGTCATCGTGAGTGATGAACCTCGTGGCCTCATAGGCGGGACGCATGGTTCTCGTTGACGAGGACGGTGCGATACCTGGCATTCCCGGCTTCCATATCCACAATTGCTCTATTGGCATCCTTCATTGGGACTCTGTTTACCCAAGTGTGTACACCTTTCTCTGCGAAGAGGTCCAACATGTAACGAATCTCTTTTGGACTACCGATGCTGCTCCCTGAGATGCTGCATCGTTTCCCAAGTATAGCGAAACCGTTAAAAGAGGGCAGGTTGTCCTCTGGAGCGCCAATCTGTACAAAGGCACCACCCACGCGCAGTAGCGAGAGGTATTGTTGAAGAGGCATTTTGGGACTCGAGACGGTGCTGATAATGATGTCAAGCGACTGCCTGTGCTTTCTGTTCCAGCCTTTGTCCTCTTCTGTGGCTATGAAGTCGTCGGCTCCCATCTTCAACGCATCTGCTTTCTTTGCCGAAGTACGTGAAATGGCGACAATCTTGTCGACCCCAAGGACTTTGGCGCCCATAATACCAAAATGCCCGAGTCCACCGATACCTATAATACCAACTCGCTTTCCAGGGCCGGCCTTGTGATGTAGTAGTGGTGAAAATGCAGTGACGCCTCCACATAGCATCGGAGCGGCGACATCGCTGGGCAATGCATCAGGGATCTTGAACACGAAATGAGACGGACCTCGCCAATAGTCCCCGTAGCCTCCATAGGATTTACTGCCGTCCGGATACTTGCTGTTGTACGTTATCGTCTGGTGATTCTGGCAGTAGTTTTCTATGCCGTTGGAGCATTGCTCGCAATCTGGTTTCAAGCACGACAGACTCTGCGCGCCTACTCCAACACGGTCTCCGACCTTGAGTCCACCTTCGACTTTGGAGCCAACACGTACGGCAGTGCCAACAATTTCTGCGAGCAGTCAGTCACGAGATAGCTGTGCCCTGATGAGAGCAGTCGCGCGTGCTCTCATTGTCTGTTCTCGAGGCACTCCCACTTACCATGGCCAACGACAGTTGGGTATAAAGTCGGTGCCCAGCCACTTCGAAGAGTGTGGATATCGGAACCACAGATTCCACAATGGCTGATCTTGATGTCGACGTCGGTCTCCTCGAAGGGCTTTGGATCGTAGTCTCGCCAAACCATTTGGCCCTTGGCCGAATCTTTATTAAGACCCAGCCAACCCTGGAACTTGTAGTCGGTAGGCATTGTGGAAGTAGAGTCAAGAAACGGATTCGTCGTTTGGTGATACGGGCACGACGATGATGCTTCGCCTACCAGCAAAAGACTGTAGATTTCGAAAAGGGCGTCAATGCAGTCTATGTTTGTTCGGTATTTGGATAAGAGTTCGGTAACTGCTCGATTGCTCGATGGTTGGTTCCTCTTCGGTTCAGTTTTTGCCGAGGTTCGTTGGAATACAGGGTACGAAAGTACACAACGGAGGTGTCTAGTAGTCCAAGGACATTTCGTCTGGTTCTAGTGGTCAACTTTGAAATGCAACTCCTATGTGTACTGGTTTGGCTAGGCGTATATGTAGTGTTTGAACCCTTAGAGTACGTTCTCTATGGCATACGATATCAATCCTTGCTTCGCTACTACCAGCCTATAGTGCTTTTCTGGTGACATAAGACTTTCACGTTAAGACACTACCCTATGATATGTATCTGTCAATGATGAACGATGCCACTCGCCGGACCGCCATGTGGCACTGGTGACGGGTACATGAGGCATCATATCTGATTGAAAACGGTGTTTCGATATGTGAATCCAGTTGGTGGTGGTGGTGGTGGTGGTAGTGCAGTCAGTGATGACTAAGCATCGTGGTGACTTTGCCTGCGCGTGGTTTTGGAGGTTTCTTAGACACGCGAACTTTTTGTTCCAATCACCCAAGCATTCGATCAAATACGCATCCCAGCACGACCCAAAATACCTAGGTAGTCAATTGCAAACACCCGCGCATGCAAGTGAACCTCGCTGGCTGCTGTTGCCGCGATGCTTGCCTAGCTTTGCAACTATCAACATGAACACGTTCACCGCGGACTATTCGTCCAGCATCAATTCAACACCAGGCAAGGAGCCCCAGCAACAACAGCAGCACTCACGCCTGTTCCCATCCAACACCCCACAGCTCCCCAGTACAACTCCTATCGCGCCTCCTCCTTCTCAGATCTTCGGCAGCTCGACCTTTGGCACAGGTGTCAGCAAGCTCCAGTTTGCTCAACCGGCCAAATCGTCTCCTCCAGTTCGATCGACAAAATACAGTGTTGCTGGGTCGCGTACGAAGAATGGAACGCCAGCCAACATAAAATCCAGACCGTTCCACACCTCGTTCGACGTCTCACAAGCTTCAGAATACACGCAGCAAGATGACGCCGAGTACTCAGATGAAGACATGGAAGAGGAGGGCGCGGAAGACGAGCCCAGTCGATTCGGATTCTCTCGAGGTTTCCAATCGGTCAATCAACAACCCGCTGCATCACTCATGAAGTTCAGTACTATGAGCGAAAGAAACCGAGATTCGAGGATGTCTGCACCTCGCAGGACAATGCGAAGCTCCAGGATCTCCACTCTCCCCAATAAGGGCAACGACACGGTAGTACCCAGCCTGGCGCAGAACATAGCGACAAGAGCACAGCCGGCGTCGCTTGCCGAGCCAGACGAAGTCATTTTGAAGACCGAACAGCTTCTCAGGCAACTCGACGAGCAAACACAGTATCTCAAGGACAGCACCAGGGTTCTTCAAGCGGTCACTGAACATGTTTACGAGTTAATTGCAGAGTGGCGTCGATTCGTGGACGTTGACCGACCTTCACTCGACAGTAACGAGATCGGTCCCCAACCCTCAGCATCGGCCTTCACCAAAGCAAACTATCTCGCCTCACTTCTGCTCGCCTTGCGACATCCGCCGCCTTCTCCTGACAACGCCATGACTCCAATGCCACAAATCCTTCTCGACTGGCTTGATGAGTACCACGTGTCCTATGACCCCTTGTACAGCACTGTATCCTCAGCTCGGCCTAATTGCACCTCTCACGAGTTGTTCTGGGATGCTGTGCAGAGTCTCGTGCTCCGAGGAAAATTGCAGATGGTCATGCAACTCTTTGCGGACGCCGATTTCAGGTATGCTGCATCGGCCAGAGACGATGGTATGGATGATGTTGGCTACAAAGGTGCCCAGTTACAGGCGGTGCAGAGTGCCATCTACCGTGCTCGTGTTCTGCTCAATTCCTGTCCCGTCATCCAATCTGACGACTGGAACGTCACAGGATCTGACTGGGATCTATTCCGATCCCAATTAGAGGCGGAACTAGACAACCTGACAGATCTCGCCTCGGCCCACGAAGACGTCGACGATGATGCTTCTTTCGAAGCCGAGAACTTCGGCCTGCGCAGACCTGGCAAAAGTCTGTTGGGAAAGCTTGGACAAAAGTCAACATCAACAATACCTTGGACCATCTACCAGAATCTCAAAATCATGTACAGCATTATGCTGGGAAGTGCCGAGGAAATTGCAGCTCAGTCGCAAGACTGGCTGGAAGCGGCGACGTCCTTGACAATATGGTGGGATGGCTCGGCAGATGCTTCAGTAGCTCAATGGAGCTTCGATGTCAGCCGTGCGCACAATTCGAGACAGGAGCCACTGAGCGAGGGTGACTTGTATCTTGCCCGACTTCGACATTCATTTCTGAGTGTCACCGATCCGAACGACAAAAACTCTTTTCAAATCAACGGCATGTCTCCTATCGAGGTGGGCCTCGGGGCGGTTCTCCAGGGTAGTATGCAAATCACACTAGCAGTCCTTCAGGCTTTATCACATTGTGTTGCCGCTTCGGTGGCAGAAGTTGGTTCAAAGGTTGGCTGGCTGGACCTCGAGGGCCCGGCTCGGGCTGCTGGGCTTAATGACGAAGATCTCATGGTGCTAAGCTATGGCGCAGAAAAGCAACGTGTCACGAAGGACGATTTGCTTCGGGCCTACGCAGAGCGACTCTTTGCCAAAGATATGCTACGTCTACCTGATGGGGTTGCTGTCGAAGGCTGGGAAGTTGCCATCTCCGTCGTGACAAGACTTGACGACCGTGAGGCAATGCACACTGTTGTCAGTGACTTCCTTGACCATCTCCAAGTGGTGTCACAAGATCGGGCAGAGAAGCTCACCAACCTCTGTTCCGACCTAGGTCTTCAAGAAGAAGCCCGCAAGGTTTCTGATCGATTTGGAGACCATCTCGTTAACAACACCACCGAGTATGGAACAGCACTACTGTGTTATGCTCGGAGTCATGCGTCGCACAAGATCCGTCAATTGGTCGACCTGCTCAACAGTTATTCGCTGGTCCAGTCTAGGGCATACCCACCTGATGATGAGATGGATGAGGGACTGCAGAGCCTGGTTAGCAACCCCAAAAATGCGCTGGCAGATATCGCCGATGTGGATCCTGAGGCCGCAGAGATGTTGCAATTCTACCTGGTCGGCTATGCTTGTGTGCGACGATTCTATGCCCTACGCGACGAGGACGTCCTCCACACGAAATCATCAAATCTCCGACCTCTTGCACGCCGCAGAGCCGCCTCCAAGGCTCTGGTGGCAGCGATCAATAGTGCAGCCGACAGCATTTATGGAGGCCTCTATGATCCTGAACGTCAATCGGCCATCCAGGTAGATGGACTACTTACTCTGCTTGGAGAATCCACGGCTCTTCTTGCTAGCGATGGTCCTGCAAACAAGCCAACTTTCACAGCGTCGCAGATTTACGCCCTTCTTGCTGCCATTGAAGACTTGTCGACCGTCTCTACCCGGGTTTACGATGCTGCCGAAGAGTGCCTACAAGCAGCGCTGAGGAATTTTCATGGTTCACAGCCTCCAAGTCCACATGCGATGCTGAAGAAGAGCATGTCGTCTGGTACAAACTCGAATTTCAGCTTCAGCATGATGGGTTCTGAGATGCTGGCTAGAAGCGAGCTCACGAGCACAGGGACAGGGGGGAAAAGCGCCGGCAGCAGTGGAGTACTCGTGCCGGGGGCGAATGGTGATGCAGCAAGAGGTTGGGATTGGAGAGCCAGGTTCAAAGACAAGGACGTCACTGGTCATGATGTGGTGAAAGCGCTGAGAATTGCCCTGGCTGAAGAGCTGAGTATTGTAGAACTGCAATCTGACAATTGAGCGCAGCGTCCACCGAGGTCGATTGGGCCATGTGGGGTGATGGCAGAGCTGTAATATTGGGTAGAAGCCACCTATGCAGCCTTCATTGTCCGAGTAATGATCATGATGTCTTCAGCCGAGATGATGTACTCGTACAGTTCGAGGCTCGATGCGTCCAGCGAATCGACTGTGGCTTGCATGAACAAGGCCCGAGCACTATTTAGTCGTTCCCACAAAGATAAAGAAATGTGATATAACAATGTGAGAGATCATCCATGCGCTCAGTGCTCTCAAGTCACAGATTCGAAGGCATAACATTGCCATGATAGAGGTTTGCAGAACTGTCAAGCAATATAAATTCTTCTAACTTGACTTTGGAGAAATATATATTGTCTAATGGACATGTTCGTCAGTTCTCCAATGCTTACCACCACCATGCTCTATGGAACACTATCCATCTATTTTTGCCATTGAAGCCTTTTCCTACCTACATGGGTACGAAGATCATACCACACGGGCCATAAAGGTCGGCGCAGAATTTCGCTGCGGCCGGGCTCAACATTGACAAATGCAAGTCAACTAAGCAGCCAAGTTGGAGTCAACGACAACAGGGCTGCATGGCTCAAAGGAGAAGGATTGGACAGAGTATTTTGCGTTAAGGACTGGAGCTGTTCATATCACTTCTAAAGCCCAGACAAATGCCGCACGCCCATAGATGCCCACCATGTTCTATCATCGCATGAGGCTTTTCCCTATGTTCGCTCAGATCGCACATATTCACCCATGCCCCATACCCCATGCCCCATACCCATGCCTGTCTCGTCCAACGCCTCAAAAGCCAACAAGAAGGCGCCCGGTTTCATCATTCGAAGCAACCAGATTTTACAAACACAGAGGCAATCGCCTCATCGACGTACCGTCTCCGCTCCCATACCAGAATAGCAAGACCCGGACTCCATCCCAAACAATGCGCCAAGCTTGACCCTAGCGATACACAGGCGGAGTGTTGGTATAATTTTGCAATGGGATTCCACCTTCGCCGTACAAGGGAGGGGGCGGTCCAGCATTCCCTGACTCTCCTTCTCGGAAGTTGAATGCGGCAGGGGTGTTCATTGCCCCTTTGCGCATCTTCTGGCGGCGCTTGAAGAATGTGAGCGAGCCGACGATGATGAACATCAACAACATGGCGATACCGAAGACGATCATGCCATGATTATTGCTGGCAAAGTTGAAGCCTACGAAGCAGTTGACCAGGCCTAGCAAGATGGTGGAAGGACCGAGCACGCGATGGCCCTTCATGATCTTCGCTGGCGCTCCCGTCTTCTTGTAGATGCGGTGTCCGACGAGCCCGACAGTCCAGGTGGTCAGGACCAAAGCCAGGACAACGAGGCCGAGGACTTGATGGCCTGATTTCAAGCTAGGTGTCTGGAAAGAGTCAGCTTTGGAGGCTATGTTGTCAGATTGGGCACCATACCAATTGCTGGCGAATGCTGACACCAATGCCAGCCGCGGAGCCGACGCAAACCATGAGCAAGGCAAACGATTGTATTCCCCAATGTAGCCAGACCCTTTCCAAAACGCGCAGAGCCAAGTATCCAGTGGGGAAGACCACCAGGAAGGCGGCCACCATGAGAAAGGCATGAAATGCAACGCCTGGGTTGATGTGGCCGCCAAATCCTGACCCATCATTCGAGTTGTCAGCTGTGGTGGAATTGGAGATGCTGGGAACACCACCCGTGCCGGTTGCCTCTTTAAGATTCAGGTTGAAGAAGTTATATCCCTCATGTTGGCTGATGGTAGCAGATGTGTCGTCCGACTTCAGCGTGCCGGAAGGACCCAATGCCCAGATCATGTCTTGGCTGCTGCTGTTCACGTCCGCACTTCCACCACTCCAACTCCGGCAGCCGGTGCATTTGGCATTGACCACGAACGACCCGTCAACTATGCCACTGCCACTAAGGACATCCACGGTGACACTCGAGGTGTGTTGAGGCATGACATGGCCCTCGCCGAGCCGAGGGCTGACTGTTACATTACTGCCATCTTCCGAAGCATACATGACAAAGATCAGAGCACCTTTCATTTGGCTGCCAATCCCAAATGCAGCCCACGTTTGTGCCGAGGGGGCGGAAAAGTGGTAGAAGAGAGAATCGGTGCTGTCCGAAGGAACATTGACAGAAACTGTGACGTTGTCTTTGGCATCGGAGGAACTTCCCATGCCGACATATGTGGAAGCAGGAACAGCGGCCTGCGCTGCAAGGGAGAACGCTGGAGCAAGACGAATTAGTCTTGCAGGTTGACAATCACGCCTTCCTCAAAGAGAACTTACCGGTCATGAACACAGTGAACAACGCCCGAAGACGGGCTTGATGCAGCGACGACATGGCTGCACGGTAAGTAATTTTGATCAAGGCTCAGTGTATGCAATGAAGAGTCGTGCCGGAAAATGAGCAGCAACTCGACCAAAGGGACTGTGTAAGAGGGAAGGAAAGAATGTCAGTTGAAATGGCTGGCCGGTGAGGACATTGGTGAGAAGTCTGCCATAACTCTCGTCGAAAACGACTGGACGGCGCAGGCGTCTGTTTTGAGGGAGGCATGGTTTCAGATCTTGTTTGAGGTGAGGGTTTCCATAGCGCGTCCGTCTGTCAAGCAAGACCGCCCGTGCAGCACTTCAGCCATGTTTACTGTGTACCCATTTGTGGATCACGTGCATCAGATCCACTGGTCCAGGGGCAGCGCAGGTGTGTGTTTGGGATTTTGGGTGCTGATTGACAGGGACCAGATCCACGCCGGTGCGGGTAAAAGGGATGCCAAACACAAGCAAGGCCTCCCCCGGAATCAACTAAACGGCCTCCGAGACGCTTAGTGGTGATCAGCCCCCGGAGGTACCAGAGTCAACCCACCAACCGTAGCCCTTCGAAATGTCAACCCGCATCAAATCAGGTTGGCGCTTACTCCGCCATGCCAGGGAAAAAGGAAGTCTAGATCTGCCAAAGCCCCAAAATAGCCCTACTATGACCAACCCATCAAAATTCTTGTTGCAGCAAGCAAATGGTGAACGTGAAATCCTGTCACATCCTGGGTTCCCAAGAGTGCATGCTGGACCATTTTTGGGTATTGATGTCAACCGTCCATCGCGTACAAATTCAAAACCATTCTTCTTGCAAATTCATAAAGAATCGTTCGAATCCTTCTTGTCGTGAGTCGCCCAAGGAGGGTGACCATCCGAACTTCAGGATATCGTTGTTGCTCGGCATGGGCATCTGTTCCGGCGTCCAGTTTCCTCCGGTCAAATTATCTTCTGAGAAGAACTCGCTCCTATTCACCTGTGTGTGTACAGGCATGGTGGCCTGCATTGACACACCTGCAGCATAGGGCTGTTCGACCATTGCGAAGTTTTCGAATGGGTTTCCACCACTAGGGTCAGCGTAATCTTGCATCGATCCCTCCGTTGGTGCTGAGATGTTCCCTTCTCTGGACAAAACGTCGGACTGTCCCGACGCTTGCTTTGCCGCTTGTGCGTGTTGAGCGGCTCTGCGGACCTTGGCTTTGGCCATAAGATGGCGCAGTGGCTTCCATAACATGCCCTTCTGCGTCTTCAAGTTTTTGATCATTTGATCGTTGTAGACTGATTCGATCGCTCTCCAAGCCCGCTCGACATCAGGTCCAGGTGGTCGGTTGCAGACCTCGGACAGCGCAAAGGCGACAGACTGCCACTGCAAATAGGTACGGAAGAACCAAGCCCACCTTGCTGTGTTCTCATTCTTCTCTAGGAGATGGGAGAACTCAATGACTTCCACAGAAGTGATAAAGACGCGATCTCGAATCTCTCGAGGCATCGCGGAGCTTTCCTTGTCAACTCCAAAAGATCGGGGATGGTGCACCGCTAGCCACATTTTGGCAAGAATGAGTCGAGCCACCGTCGCCGCCACCCAAAGGATAGGCGTGTTCATGTCGCAGTGTCGCAAGTACTTTTCTTCCAGCGAGCGATGAATGTCATCAATCAGTTTCTCTTTCTCCTCGATGCTCACTTCCGGCACCTGGCCTGCAGCCTTCCCAGGTGCCGTAAACAACAAGCGACGGGAAAACACGCTGAGTTCGAATCGGATCAAGCAGAAGGTCATTTCAGTGGAACCAATTCGTTCAGCCGGATATTCCTTCATACCGGGGAAGATGTCCTCGTCGTTGAAATTCAATGGGACCTTAGTATCGTAGAACTGCTCGTCGAATGTGGGATCAGCGCCATGATCCTCAGCGGACCGATTGTCCAATATGGATAAATGCCACCACAGACGCCGCCGCATTTCGGTGTCGAAGGGATTCAATCCAAAGTTCGTACCGTCCCGATGGATGCCCAGAGATTGAGCTACATGGATTGCAAGGCCACCCAACGCCCACACCAGTCGGGAATCATCACAATGCCTAACGAATATGAGAAAAAAGGAGAAAGCCTGCAAACACATCAAACTGGAGCTGTTCAAGAAATCCGCCCGAGCCAATGCCTGCTCGGTCGCGAAGCGATATCTCTTTAGAAGGAAGTCTTTGTCTTCGTCCAGGAGCTGACGGCACTGCTCCGGAGTCATGCTCACCACAGCTCCAAAGTATATCGAGAACAATAAAGCCTCGGCCGGCTTAGACAACCGGTCCAGACTGCTTGCCGCATTCATGAGAATGACTCTAGCGGTAGGACGGTGCAGTATGCGTACGACAGGATCGACATTTTCTTTGAAAACCTCCCATAGAATGAATATTTGGCTTGGACTGGGGTGTAGTTCTCTGAGGTCAAGCATTATGGAAGAGTAGCCAAAGATGAAAGCCTGGTGAGTGCCACTTTGCCGATCATGTTCTGGGGAAAGTTTCTCGTCGTCGTCGTCCGTCGTCGCCGGATCGAGCAGATCTCGCATTTCTGCAATCTAGCCACGACGTTAGTAGACAGATTTGGCCGAATCCGAGAACAAACGCATCGTACCTCTTCAGTCATGCTCGTCCAGAATGCGTTGCTGACATATCGACTACGGTCTTCACTGATGACCAGATGGCCCGGATGCTTATCAATTGACTGCCGCTTCGTGTATTCTGAGCGGTCCGACGATGGTGAGTCGCCAGGCTGAGAGTCACCAAAGCGCGCACGGATGTCTGCGGATCCTGTGATGGCGGGCGACACGATACCATCGTCGTCGACATGCGCTCCCAGACTGTGGACCACGCCTTCAAGTCTTCTCAATCGTGCGAGAAGCTCCGCGTCGGGCGGTTTCCTGGACTTTCGAGGGGCCCTCCCGGGCGCAGGAAATATGCATTCAATCCCAGCTCTTACACAGTTTGCACATGGATCCTTCTTGTTACACCTGACCTTCCTCCGGCGGCAAGTGACGCAGCTACGCGGATTTAGGCGCGGTGGACTCGAGTTGTGGGCGACGGACGGGTTCGTGCTTGCTTCTTGCTTGAGAGGAACGTGGGTCGGTTGTGCGACATGATCGAGGGGTGGTGAAGCATCCATTGCCTGCTACGCAAAGATTCATATATACTTCATCGTGTCCGACATGACACGAGTGCTCGATGCAGATACTTTGAAGCCCAAGGGAACTTGGGATGCTGAAGGGCGTCGAATAGGTGCAGATTGACAATGTCCCGTGGATCGATGTCATATGTGCATTGGGCAAAAGTCCCCCAAACGGAGACAGCGGCTGTATCGGGGTCGCTAATACTTCGTGTGGGGATGGGAATTGCAAACCCCTAAGTTAGGCTTCCCGCTTTGGACATCGACCACTACGAGTTCCCCAATGCTCAACAACATGGATTGACCAACGCCGGTGAAGTCATGTATGAAATAACATTGACCCCCAGTGACCCTATGCGTACAAAGCCCTGGCAAATCAACTTTACGCTACTCACCTAGGTATCTGCGTTGAAAGGAAACTCACGGCTCCTAGCGCATCTTCAACAAGTGAGGATTTTAAATCAAGTCCACATGACTCTTCCCATGAAGCCTACCATCTGATACTCCAAAATTTGGAATGTGGCAGTCATACAGTATGTACGGCTTGCGGCAAGGCGAGCCATCGCGGGCGCGGTTTGCAGGCGGATCAAGTCAGAAAATACTGTGTCTTCTCGGCGTTCGAAATCTCGCCTACATGCAGAACTTCCACATCAGTAGGAATTGACTCTGCGGAGACATATGAGGGATTTAATTCCTCCCCTTGCCCGTTCCTGCACCCAGTACCCGTGCCTCGCCGTCCACCCACCTGTCGCCAGAACTCATCATCCATTCCGGAAAGGACAAGGCAATGCTGAAACTGCCTGACGGAGTTCCAAGACCAGAGTATAACACCGCGCATAAACACAAGCAGACCAAATGCCAAGTACCTCGTCCACAATACTCCTTGCTACAGCAATAACGCACTCCCATGCAAACGTCCCTTATAGCGCTAATGCCTGACTATAATGAGCCAAACATTGCAAGGCACGCAAAGATTTGCTCATGAACTGTGAGATCTCAGGAGCACCTGAACACGAACGGTTAGCCTCGTCTTGGATCAGGCGTGCCAAGACATCGAACGTACATTGTTGACGACCGATATGGGATCAGGATCGCCATCTGTGCCAACGGAAGGGCTCTCCACGCTGCCGTGATTTACCGGTCCTGATGTGGTGATGGATCGCTCCGTGAAATAAGGTCTCAGAGCCGATGTCTCCTTTTCGACCTTGATCATCGGTGCCGCGTCCTGTTTCGCACCTTCAGTGTTCGCATCTGCTGTCGCGTTCGACTTGGTACGAGCATGCTTATTAAACATGTCGGTAACCCTGTCTGAGGCCACACGAAGGATTGTCTGCATGAGCAAGTTCTGTTTGAGCGGCTTCGAAAGGTACTCGTCCATTTGTGCCTGAATGCATTTCTCGCGATCTCCCAACATGGCATGCGCTGTCAGTGCCACAATAGGTGTTCGCTGGAGCCCCATCTCCTTCTCGTACTGTCGAATTTCTCTTGTCGCCTCGAATCCTCCCATGACTGGCATCTGTACGTCCATAAGAACCACGTCAAACCGAGTATCCTTGATGGCGTTCAATGCCTCCAAACCGTTGCCGACGACGGTGACAACGTGGTTGTATTTCTCCAGTATCTTGATGGCGACCTTTTGATTGACCTCATTGTCTTCAGCCAACAGGACATTGAAGGATTTCTTGTAATCCTTGATGATAGGTGTCGAACGTCCTTCAAGTGCTGGAATCATGCAATTGCCCAAGTCGATCAACGGACAAGGGCTGGTCATGTATGAAGCAATTCCGAGGTCGAGTACAGTCTTCAGAGAGATTGACACCTTCGGGTTCAAGAGTACCATGGGTATGTACTTCAGCTTCTCGTACTCTCGCAGCTTATATGCAGTCTCAACCTGGTCGATCACAATCACATCATAGTTCCCGTCTGAAGATCTGATTCTCCTGTCAGGGTCAGGTTCCGGCACATCGTGCTCATCCTGCACGATTTGTACGTGCAGCCCAAGTTCTTCAATCATGGCCGGGAGCTTTTGGAAGAAAGAAGAAACTCCCTTGTCCACAACGAGCACTTTGTGCTTGCGGAACGGATACAGCTGTGAACTGATGACGCTGATATCTTCAGTCGCGAATTTCACGATACACGAGAAGTGGAATTCGCTCCCCTGACCAAAGTCAGAAGTGACCCAGACTTGGCCACCCATGAGATTGACCAAACGCTTGGAAATCGAAAGTCCAAGCCCTGTGCCTCCGAATTTTCTCGTTGTAGAGCCGTCGGCCTGTTGAAACGTGTCAAAGATGAGGTCAAGCTTGTCAGATTGGATGCCAATGCCGGTGTCGGACACCACGAACTCAAATGGGAACTCATCAGTTGCACAATTCGATATGAGATCCTTGGACTTTCTGATGGTCACCTTGACCTCGCCCTGATCGGTGAACTTGATGGCGTTGCCCACGAGGTTGAGAATGATCTGTCTCAATCGGAATGGATCCCCTACCACGTAGTCAGGGACGGTGTTGTCGACGTCAAAGGCCAGACACAAGGACTTCTCGTTCGCTTTCACGGCCAGGGATTTCAACGCGTTGAAGACCGTTCCCCGAACGGTATAAGGAATAGCCTCGATGGCCATTCTGTTGGCCTCGATTTTGGAAATATCAAGAATGTCGTCAATGATGGTGAGCAGGCTGTTGGCCAGGTTATGCACCGTGTTGAGCATTTCTCGAGAATGTGGCTTGAGATCATCCGTGTCCAGAGTGAGCTGTGTCATACCAATGATTCCGTTCATGGGAGTTCTGATTTCGTGAGACATGTTTGCCAAAAATTCCGACTTCGTCTGGTTAGCCAGTTCGGCGGCTTCTCGAGCAGCCGTGTTCCTTTGAATGCTGTCTCTGAGATTCGAGATCATCTGATTGATCTTGCGCTTCAACTCGTCCATTTCACCAGAGGCTTCGACGCTGATCAGTTTGGAAAAGTCACCCACGGTAGCAGCATCCGTGATTTCACCAAAAGCACGAACTTGAGCAGTCAGATTCTCAGCCATGGTGTTGACGTCCTCGGTGATCTCTTTCCATCGACCATTAACATCGTGAACATTGGCCTGGCCACCCATTTTGCCGTTGACACCGACATCGCGCGCCACTCGCCTCAACTCGTGCGCAAAGGTGGCCAGACGCTCAACCATGTTGTTGATGGTAACTTTCAGGGTCAGGATTTCTCCTTGCGCCGCCACCTCGATCTTCTTGTCCAGATTGCCAGCAGCAATGGCTTGTGTTACGTCTGAGATACTTCGTACCTGGTCTGTCAGATTTGAAGCCATGGTGTTGACATTGTCCGTGAGGTCTCGCCATTTTCCTTGCACATTGTCGACCTTTGCCTGGCCGCCGAGTGTGCCGTCTGTCCCTACTTCTCTTGCTACTTTGCTCACCTCAAAAGCAAAGGTATTCAGTCTATCCACCATGGAATTGATCGTCACCTTCAAATCCAGGATCTCTCCTTGGACATCGGCGGCGACTTTCTTGGACAAATCGCCGTTGGCTACAGCCGTCGTCACTGTTGCTATTTCTCGTACCTGGGTGGTGAGATTCATGGCCATGCCATTCACGTTCTCTGTAAGATCTTTCCAAGTACCCTCGACATCATGTACGGTGGCCTGGCCGCCAAGTACGCCATTTGTACCGACTTCCTTTGCTAGATTGGTGACTTCCTGTGCAAATTGCTGTAGCTGATCCACCATGTTGTTGATGGTGATCTTCAAGCGCAAAATTTCACCTTTACAGCTGGCCGTCACTTTTCTCGTAAGGTCTCCCTTAGCCACGGCCGTCGTGACCATGGCAATGTCTCTCACTTGAGTGGTCAAGTTATCTGCCATGGCGTTCACACTTTTGGTCAACTCGTTCCAGGTACCTTGGACTCCCTCAATTTGAGCTTGACCACCAAGGACACCTTCAGTTCCGACGTCCCTGGCTACTCTTGTGACTTCGGTTGCGAACGTCCGCAGTTGATCCACCATGGTGTTTATCGTATGCTGAAGCTCGAAGATTTCGCCTTTGGCGCGACTTTGGACTTTTTGACTTAGATCACCACAGGCGACAGCTTTAGTGACTGTTGCAATCTCTCTGACCTGGTCTGTCAGGTTGGCGGCCATGATGTTGACATTCTCAGTCAGCTCTTTCCAGATACCTTGAACGCCTCCGATTTGAGCTTGTCCGCCCAATATACCTTCAGTGCCGACCTCACGGGCAACACGCGTTACTTCGCTGCCAAAGATCTCCAATTGATCCATCATCGTGTTGATGGTGACCTTGAACGTAGTGATCTCGTCGTCCATCTCAGTGGCTTGGATTTGGACACGTTTTGACAAATCACCGTTGGCGACCTGGGTAATGATGCTACCGATCTCACGCAGTGCCTTTTGGAATGCTTCATTGGCTTGTTGGTGTTTGCGAAGTTCTCTTTCGAGGATTGAGACATCTTCATTCTCGACCCGCATGAAAGCCTGTTTCGCTTGCTCCTCAGAGTTCCGCAGCCCCTGGCTGATTTCGGCAATTGTTTCTCGCTGACTCTTGATCTGCTCTGCCTGCTTCTCGACGTGGTCTCTCAAGACGCTAATATCATCTTCGCTGACCGTACGACCTGGCTCAGTGGGACCGGGCTTGTCCCTGGCGGCCAGGAGATTGTTCACGCGGCGCGACTGGCTGGATTGATTCGAGTTCACGCTCGACTTCTCGGCAGTGTCTGCAAAGTCCTTACGCGACTCTCCGAGGATACCACGAAGCTCGGTCGGCCGCGAAAGAGGAGATGTAGGATTCTGGATTTCACCAGGCGTGTCTGGTAGCGCCTGTCCGACAAGGTCTGCTCTTGATTCCAGATAATGTATACGTCTTGCCAGACCTGCTATTTCCGCCTCAAACTCGTCTTTAGTCGGGCCATCTTCGCCAGGTAGCCTGTAAGGAGGGAGTTTTAGGCCATTGGTGTACGAGGTGGACGTGGTTGAGCCTCTGGCCAACCCGCGAAGAATCGCCGCAGCGGCTACTAACGTCTCGTCCGGACGAGACATGGACGATGGCGATGAGTCTTCTAGCTGTTGTGCCTCATCGGGGGTGAGTTCGAATGGATCGTGACGACAGGCGTTACTGGAGTGCCAAAGGGCTCGGATCTTGGGCTGCGTCCAGCAACGCACGCAAAATGGCCGTAGAGCCACTTTGCTCACCAGCGGCGACTTGCACTGGGAGATGTTAATGCTGTAGCAGGCGGCAGAGGACACATATGGCCATCAAAGGTGTCTTCGATACTCTGCACGACGGTCGTTGTAAAGCTTGATAGGATGTAGGATGGGTATGCGATCAATTGTGAATAGTTGGTCTTGTCCAAATTGGCGGAATCAGAGTGGACGGGATGGATGTGCCAGACTGCGCTAAACGGGCGAATTGACAGCCAAGGGTGGGTGGGCACCAGAATCGAGATCGAGCAGGAAACGAGGGCGGTCGGTAGGTCAAGATAATTTCTTAATAAGAATAACGCAGGCACTGTGGTGCGCAGGAAGGAGAAGAACAATAGGCAAGGGTAGAAGATACCTGATCTCCTGAATGATCAGCCTCAAAATGATCAGCCGCGAGCAGATGGAAGAAAGAGGACGGTGGCGGCCAGGACTTCACGCACGCGCAGCCGGGGCTTGTGCTTTGTTCAGAGGGAGACGGAGACAATAATGAGAAAAAGACCCAAGGCCTCGAATAGGGATGGGATTGGGTTTGTCTCTTCGCATTGCTTAAGGACCCGACCTATAAGATCGCTTGCAGTCGGCGGGGTCTCTCACACCACCCATCGGCATCGTGATCTTGCTGTACGCTCGGAAAGGTCAAGCCTTCACTAGCAATGATACAACCGGGGAGGCCGACTCTAGGTTTGATGAGGGACAGCAAAGACGTTCCTGGTGTGCTACAACGGCGCGTGTCAGGTGGCAAAGTTATGCCATATTTTGTAGCCAGCATTACGGTATTGTTCTCCCTGCACGTCTAGGTACCTAGGTAGGTAGGTAGATACGTAAAGTTGGGTTTATATATCATCAGGTTACTGTCACTACTGCCGAGCTGGCAAGTAGGGCTGTCTCTCGGGCTCGCATGTTAAAGTGCCGACTGGAAGTGCTAGTTGCTTCACTTCCCATTGACCCATGTCTGTGACTGTCGCCCTCTTACTCTCTTCTCCCTCCAATTGACAGCGATATCATATTGACGTGGCCCCTTTATCGCGTGCAATGCATCCAACGTCATTTCTTCTCATTCAAACGCCACCGCCATGACCATACAATTGCCCACGGCTGCCTTAATTCGTACGGGCATCGGCGACAGTTGACCTCAAACATGTTGGATGCCGTTGAATTATATCTCCTAACCGTGCTGTTCCATGTGCTTTGACAAACATGAAGGGTGTTATGTTCTGATTGGCGTCTTCACTCCACCAGTCTTTAGGATAGCTTTATGCTCGCTTATTATTTACTCATGGGTCATGGCGATAAATCTTCATCAAAGTTGGTGGATCAGTAGCGGATTCACCCCTTCTTGAAAGCTCATAACAGACCATTTCAGCCGGGCCGAATACGAGTACTCCGTAGTATGGAACTCTTGATGACGTTGCTGTCATACCTTGCCCTCAAGGCTCAAGGGGTGCACTGGTTAGAACTTACAGCAGATGTTAATCCCCAGAAAAAGGACCCTGTCTCGGATCTTTTTGCATAGACTTTTCAACGGACCCAGAGACTTTAAAAGAGTGCCACATGGTAAACTTTTATTTTATGACTGGCGACCTCGGGCTCTTGAGCCTCGAAATCCGCTACCTATATTATTTTAACCATGAACTCTGAGAGGTAAAATCTTGGTCGTCCTGAATTCACCCAGAGACCTTCCTGTTGCCGCAACTTTACCTTTCGCAGTTTCCCATGTCTCTTGATGCAGAAAACCGACTCACAAATGCCAGAGAAGCATCCCGGTCATCCTGAAAACTCAGATAATCCATCGATCCGCTTTCTCAATGACGGTTGTGTTTCAGATCTGGCCAAGTGACGAGGTGGGCCGATCGCAGGCTGAAATGCAGAAGAAGTCACGGAAGATCTGCGCAAAAGGAATGCTGGCTGGAATCAGACGTCGCAAGAAGAAAGCAATGGGAAAACGAAATCTCGAAACCAGCAAGACAGCCAGATAGTCAATTCCATTAGACGAAGTACAGGTGCAGCAGGGCACATCCATTGAAACTAAAACGCAAATTTCCATAATTCCGTATAGCATCATTTACATCGTGACTGGCATCACTCACATGTGTAGTACATAACTCATAAGCTGAGACCCTCCAATGCTTCAAGAAAGCCTGCAATTGCCCCAGCCCCCAGCAGACCCTTGGTGGCGCCCTCCTTTAGGTTCTGTTTGGTACTCTTCTCTTTCAGATGCCGCCTGTCATCTTGGCCTTTGCTATGCACGCGTGCAGTCGTGCTGTGATGCGACAGTCGGGAAGGTGACCTGGGTTGTTTACCGTCCTGAGATACCGGCCTAGGTGGTAGGCCCATTCGACTGCTTGACTGTGGCACACTTCTCGATTGCGAACCCGGATGTGCGACATATGCAGCAGATTGCCCCGGAGGCTGCCCAGCAAACCGGGGATAGCCAGCACTTTGCTGCCTTGCTTGTGGAGGTGCATAAGGATTGGGAGCATTCGCAGTGTGGATCGGTGGTAGAGGTGATGATAGACTATGGTGTCCAATGGCTTGATCAGGCGTAGCCCAAGGGCGATGGCCTGGCGGATGATAAGCGGGCGAGGACAATCTGGAAGCTGTTGATTGGGCGGACGTCTCGGAGGGTGCGCGACTGGGCCCATTCGCGACAATGGGAGCGGCCCAGGTTGGGGGTTGGACAGTGGTGTACGCGTGAGTGATGGGAGGCCCATCAGCGAACGGCAGCTTCGCTCCTGAAGGCGGACCACCACTACTCCGGCGGCGTGGTTTTGGTTGAGCAATGTCTGGCTCGGAAGCTGACGACTCGGACCCAGAGTCAATGATATGTCGCCGCGGCTTGCGCTTCTTGGAGCCGGAACTTCCAGGCGAATCTTCGACGTCACTACTGGCAGCACTCACGCTGGGCTGATATTTCTGGTACTGCCTTTTCCGCCGTAGTGCTTCCGATCGGGCGGCCGACGAGTATGGTTGTCTCCAATCCGTGGTGGTGCCTTCGAGAAGATGTCCTCGAGGGCTATCTTCTCGTTCTTGAAATCGTTCATGGAAAGCGCGATCTTCTTCTTCCTCATTCAGATTTTGTATAGAGGGCACAAAACGGATGCCCGAGTCCCGATGATGTCTCCGTTCGCGGATTTCCCTCCAGTTCGTCCACCTCTCGAGTAAAGGATCGATAGCTTGATCCGAGACCTGGATCATGTCTTTGGGAGAGCATTTGATTTTGTGAAGCGTCTGGTCCAGTTCACCCAAAGAAAACACCGGCAATTTGATCAGGGCTGTTGAGGGCGCGAATTCAGGGGGTGGAGGCTCGTTCGTCGTGTGGGAACTGCTCGTTGCGATCAAGGACAGCTCATCGTCATGAGGTGTCTCAGTGTCAACGCTCGCTCGGCGTTCTGCCTCATCCTCCCTGACAGATGCTTCAAACAGCCTGTCCATTGTGCTCATTTGCCAATAGCGGACAATGACTGCGTTTTGAGCTTCCATACGCTCTTGTTTGATCGCCTCTGACTTGATAGAGACTTCCTCAGGAGGATCACTGCACCGGATGACATATATTAGCTGAGGGTCGGGGTGGGATAGAATATGGCACAGCGAACCTGCGGTTTGTAGAAGCCATCAATCTACCCAGCACGATGACCTGCAACATGACAGACAGGCTCAGCTGTAGGCTCTCGAGCTGCGCCAGTAGATATGTCACCCTGTGCTTCTTGAAGCACCATTTGAATTTTTGCTGTATCGTTGGGGATGTTGCATCGCCTGCAGACTTGGTGCGCACGCGGTCCACCATGTCTCGTATTTCATCAAAAACCCTGGTACTTTCGTCGGCTATCGATTTGGCAGTCTCGACGGCTTCGAAGGAATGGACGGAATCTGCTGCCTGGAGAAGGGTGCCGGTCTGTTTGAGCATCATCGAAAAGAGAGTTATACATTTCGAGATGCGGTGGACTTCGAGACCGGCGCTGGCGACTTCGCAGCTGACAGCGTTGAGAATCAGCGACAGCCTGAAGCCTGCGCCGGCAACACCCACAATGGAAGCGATGACGCCTGCGGGAAGCAAGAGTTAGTGTCTAGTATATCTCAACGCACGGCTAGAGTTCATACCTAGATCTGCCATCTCGCAAGTACTGCAGGACAGGAACGGGTGAAGATCACGCTCAAAAGTTCAGGAAAAGCATTGTCACGTAAGAGGCAACGTACTGTGTGGCATCACCCAACAGAATAACCGATGATGAGGTGACACGACACGAGTCGATTCAGGTTGCGCCACGAGGCTGTCAGGTCAAGCGGGGAAGCGGCGCAGCGGAGAAAAAAGGGACTCCCTGTAGGCACCCGCGGAGAACCGATGTTCATTCCTGGCTTGACCGGTTTGGCGGTCCGTCGTTTGGTCTCTGCAAAACATGCATCCGCCACTGCCCAACGATATCATGTCCGAGTCATGACTACCATCACACTCGTCCATACAACAGCATATGACGACGTTTATTGCGACCGAGAATTCATGCTAGTCAAGCGACGGCCATCGGAAGAAGCGTGGACCATTGACCCACTGTGTCACAATGTACTCCGTACGAAGAACATGCGTGCGAGGCTTTGGAGGAAGTACATCTTTGTGTGCTTGAGAGAATGAGCGACGAAGAAGCTGACTTAAAATACTCGACGCATAGCCATATAGTTGACAGCGAGTAGCACACCTGTCTTGAGCAGGAGCATGAAAAAGGTTGTGGTCGCTGTAATCGAAATCCTACCAGGCTTATCGATTCCGCATGGGGGGACTGTCAGGATTCAGGATACCTTAGCCGGTCAACAATTGCTTTCACAAATACTGTAGGATGCTGCGACCTGCAACGACTGGCACGACAACTTCTGATACCTTCAGAGAATACACTGAGACTCGGATACCATGCTCCGTACAGGTACATTGGTCAGATAAGCGACGCGCCACCGCAGACTTGTGCAGGAAGGTGTTTTCGTATCAAAATCGATGGTTCACGGGCCTCGTCCTGATCCCCGCACGCCGAATGCAGTCCTTACCACAGTAGTTGGCATCTGGGTGTTTATCTCCTCGTTCTTGCCGTGTTTTGTAAGAAGTCAATTGTCTTGCTCGTAACAAGCGTCTACTTGAAGCCGTGGCGCCCTTCAACCCTTCAATCCTTCAAATTGCTCAGAGTGTCCAGTCTGGTGGTTCAGACAATTTAGTTAGCCATGCAAGAATATGTCAGTTCGAGAACTTGGGGGCTAGCCAAAACGTGCCTGGAAGGCGTTTTCGGTGGAGTTCGCTTGGGATTAGAGGCCACTGTCCAGTGACTTTAACTAACCCCGTCAGGCTTGGTGACCCGTCAAGTCGACTTCTTGGATTGTTGCTGGTGTCTCTCGAATCAACGAGTCAGCTTGCAGCCGCTCCCTCCACGAAATCAGCCGCAGGAGGATTACGCAGCCAATATTTTAGTATCTAGGCGTGCTAGTTAACCCCATCTCCGGCTCTAGCTACTCTCCCTCCAGCAGTGTGGACCATCTTTAGGAGGGAGAGTGCGTGCTCAAAGACGGAGGACAACTTGGTCGCCCTCGGGTTGCCATTTTTCCCAACCAGCTTACGGAGTACCTCGTGTCCTTTCCCGGAATTAAAGACTCTGTATGCTGAATGATTGTTTTTGACATTTGAACTTGGCCACCCGCCCGAAGCAAGCCATCTCCCGATTCTTGGGAGGAAACCTCGCCTTGTGAGACGCATTATTATCATTGACACTCGCCCGGCTCTTTTGTACCGTGGTACGAGTACCCAATTTTGAGAACCCGCTTATCCGCCGGTACCTTTCACGACTTACGCCTCCTCCAGCGATCTTGACTTTGTTTGCCTTCGTTGCTGACATCCCGCCGGTCTCGACCGCGAACGAAGTCAAAATTCTCGTGGAGAGAGCCATTGGCTGTCCGCTTTACCGAACGACTCCCACACCTTTGGACCTTGCCCAAAGTCACAGTTCAACCCTGTATCCTCGACTCTGTTGCGCGTCTACAGAACCCCTTACGACTCGAACTGCTTGCCCCTCTCATTACCTGTTCGAACCCTCCTTACGATCGTCTTCACGGTTTCTCCTTGGTCTGGATCGGACATCGAAGCGCGCAGAATGTGCTCCCTGCGGAGTTGATGGAACGAGAGAATAACACGTTCGACGATCCTTTGAGATGTAAAAGACGGACACGCTGGATACGCCGCCATCATGCGGGTCTCAATACGGGAGCAATTGGGGCTTCTGGTCCTTTTGTGCTGTTTGGGCTCACTTATGGTTCTCGCGCTGGCCGTGTGGTTTCAGAACTTCCATTTCATCACGGAAATACGACTGTCTGCGCTTTCTCTAACCGCTTCCCTCAAAGCGGCTCAAATCTCCAGCGCGTTGTTGTTGTATCAGTCGCAGGTGACTTCAGTATCCACCAGAGTCCTCATACAGAGCGCTCTTGGACGATACAATGCAGGGAACAACAGTGCCGAGAACTGGTCCAAGTCCGTGACGGATTTGCAAGGTGCTCTTGCGGATGGCTCTCTCCTAGTGCAGGCGGTGGTATACCCCAATGCATATGATGGCAATGAGACTGCCGTGAACGGGTTGGTCAATGTCACGGCGGACGGAATGGCGCCGGTCAAATTGCCGTACGCAGGCCCCAACGGCTCTGCTGTTTACCTGGGAGATCCAGATGTGGGGTATCCTCCTATGCTCTACCCAAACTTGACATACGGCGCGCCGGCAGCTGGTACAACCGCATCTACAGTGTCGTACATGAATAGGACCATCGATCCTGACAAGCCGTTGTACCTCGGACCTTTGGCCATCAACGACTCCTACTCGTTACTATCTGTCACAGTCGCAATGATCAACAACACCTCCCGCTCTGACATCCTTGGCTGGTTGACGGTGCTGGTAAGCGGCAGCATGCTCTACAATGTACAAGATTCCCCCGAAGGACTTGGGAGCACCGGCGAAACACTGCTCATCGGTCCAGATACCTCTTTTAATCAATTCAAGTCAGAGATTCGAAACGCAACCCCAGCGGAAGCGAATTCGCGGGAGGTCAGATTTATTCTTCCTCCGCACAGCAATTCGACGCTAGGAAACCGCCATGCGGCCAGGGCTTCCATCGCTAATGCCACCAAGCCCTTCCTTATGTCCTCCTACCCAGCGGTCGTGGCAGCGTGGACCAAGAAGAACAAGGACGTTAACAACGCCGGTGCCTTCATTTCGACCCACGACGAAGATGGTACTCGAGTCTCGGCTGGGTATGCCACCATTTCCGACGCCTTGGTCGACTGGGTGTTGGTATTCGAACAGAGTCATGGAGAGGTCATTTCTCCGATCGACCATTTGCGTAACGTCGTCCTCATATGCGTCTTCGCCGTCACCGGCCTCCTGCTTGTCGTCGTGTTTCCTCTTGCACATTATTCTATCACGCCAATACGCCAATTGAGTGCCGCTACCGCAAGGACGGTAGAACCATACCAGCCAGACGATTCCAGCGAATATTCCAGTTCTATGGGAGGACATGGGGCCGTAGAAGCCGAAAGTTTTCAGGAAAGTCCCGATGAGACTCTGGCGCGAAAGGAGGGATTTTTTGGTGCCCTGGCCAAGATTACGAAAACCAGACAGTTATCACGTTCCTCCACACCGAGAAACATGCGGCGGCGAACCTTCAGGATCCCTCGCAAAGTGCCAGAACGGCCACATCTGGTCACTGATGAGCTCACAGAACTGACGCGGACATTCAATGAGATGTCTGATGAGTTGGCAATGCAATATGAGCGCCTGGAAGAAAGAGTCAAACAGCGAACGGCTGAGTTAGAGAAGAGCAAGAAGGCCGCTGAAGCAGCCAACGAGAGCAAGACATTGTTCATTGCCAACATCTCGCACGAGCTGAAGACCCCACTGAACGGTATCCTGGGGCTCACCACTGTTTGCATGAATGAGGATGATCTGGGAAAGATTCGTTCCACTCTGAACACCATCTACAAATCTGGTGACCTGCTACTGCATCTGCTTACTGATCTTTTGACGTTCAGCAAAAACGAAGTCGGGCAACAATTGTCGATTGACGAGGCTGAGTTCCGACTAAACGACCTGAGCTCGCAGTTGCTCCCAACCTTTGAGAAGCAAGCACGGGAAGCACAAATTGACCTCAAGGTCCTGTTTCTCGGTACCAGTGATGCATTTGGAGACTCGTCAGATTTCTCTGGAGAGAAATTGTACGGACCTGTTGGCACGGGGCGAGTTCGAGATATGTGTCTGTGGGGTGATAAAAACCGGATACTTCAGGTTCGTATAATTCGGTCAACCACTCCAGTGTCAATTGCTAACGCCCATATAGGTCTTGATGAACTTCGTGAGCAACAGTCTCAAATTTACACCTGCACATGGTTCTGTCACTGTGCGCGTGCGCTGTATTGGCCTCATGAACAACGTTCCAAGCAGGGCCGGCAGTGCTCGAAAATCATCTCTCAATTCACGAAAATCAAAGTCGTCTAGCACGAGGAGAGTTCGGATGTCCGACACCTCGATTGCACCCGGAGATGCGCCGGACTATGAGAAACCTCAGGACAAAATGCATCACAACAGCAATTCAAATGAAGATGCGAAGCTCAGCATCAACGTCGCTGGCGGGACCACACATATACACAAGGTTGTTGAACGGCAAAGGTCCATGTCGCCGCCACCGATCAACACCAAAGATCTCCACTTCGAGTTCGAAGTAGAAGACACCGGTCCTGGCATTCCGCCCGACCAACAACAAAAGATTTTCGAGCCATTTGTCCAAGGCGATCTCGGCCTGAGCAAAAAATATGGAGGCACCGGACTGGGTCTCAGCATTTGTGCGCAGCTGGCCGCGCTTATGGGAGGTGATATCTCTTTGGACAGTGTCGTCGGCGTTGGCAGCAAGTTCTCGATGCGAATCCCTTTGCGTTATGTTTCAGAGAGAAGTCCGTCAATGGCATCCTCGACGCACATGTCCCACTCCAAGGCAAGCAGTCTTGTAGGCCAGACCTTGCATGATTCTCAAGATCCAACGCCGCAACACCATGCCGGTTCCACGACATCACTGAACTCGAATGATGGTCTTGCAGATGTGCCCAGGATCGTCGGCTTCACTCAGCCCTATGTGGCGAAGGAGACCAAAACGAGCGAGGCTTCCGAAGCAAAACTCAATGAGATGAAGAAGGTTGAGAGTGAGGCCGCACAGAAGGGTAGGAAAGTACGTGTTCTTGTCGCGGAGGACAACAAGGTGAATCAAGAAGTTGTTCTTCGCATGCTACGTTTGGAGGACGTCTATGGTAAGCCTGCTTGACTCTCCAAGCGAAGCGGAACTGACAGGAGTACAGATGTTACTATCGCCAAAGACGGCCAAGAAGCGTTCGACAAGGTCCGCGAATCAATGCTCAGTGGTGCACGATTCGATCTCGTGTTCATGGATGTCCAGATGCCCAATCTGGATGGTATTCAATCAACGAAACTCATTCGTGAGATGGGCTTTTCGGCGCCCATAGTAGCCTTGACGGCATTCGCAGAGAAATCCAATGAGGATGAGTGCATGGCGTCCGGTATGGACTATTTCCTAGCCAAGCCAATACGAAGGCCTGCACTCAAGCAAGTCTTGAAAAAGTACTGTGCGACCATACCGGAGGAGGAGGGCGAGGCGAGTACAAATGCTGTGCCTCGTGTCAAGGTCTCGCCTTCGATAGCACAACAGCTGAATGGGCGTCCTGTGGCATCGAGGCCCAAAAACGCAAGTACCGCAATCATCGATCCTGATGATGTGTCTCCACTGTCATGAAAGTCAGCTTCTAAGATGGCTTGATAGCTGACGAATCCTGCGTGGCTCTGCGATAAATGTGGCAGGAGTGGAAAAATTTTGGTGCAGGTGCCTGGTGAAAGGTGTGACGAATGCCGTCCAAGGAAAAATGGTTCTTTTGATGAATGGGTTGTCAAGTCATGGTCAATGGCCATATGAAAAAGTTCTTCCCATTCTAGGGTTGGGAATGGATGGAGCAGCGTTGGAGTTTCGGCGTGATTTGATGCTGGAAGCGTCTGCATTGAATGGTATCTTGGACTGGATATGAACTGTCTCTGTCTGAAAAAGACTTGACATCGAGTGAAACACCTTTTATTTGAGGAAAGCCCAAGACTCTGCAGTGGTATTACATGTATGGCCAAGATGAAGAATTCGAGTGCAAAATAAAAATAATAGATCCGAGGCCTCAGGCTTCATGCCGCTCACATCCCCAGATCGGCACTGACCATTCAATTAGACTTATTTCCGTGCTGCAAGGGCCGATCGATCGCCAGTCGAAAGGAAAGATGGCACAGATCCGATCCAAAATGGTGACATCACAAGTACTTTCGTAAGACACAGCGTTCTTTTCGGACAACAAGCGTGATAGTCTCGCTCGTGGCAATTTGCCTACCTAGGTAAGGAATTCAAGTTTCTTTCATTTTCTCAAGATCAGGTTCGTTGCGCACACTCTCAGAGCTTCACGGAGACCGAGGCCAATTTCCTTGCAGACAGCTGGCGCCTCAACACCCCCGAACAAAAATCTATCGCTCCTCTCCGTTATGGCACTATTCAAGCGCAAGGCTTGTGACCCTGTTCCCGCGCCCGAACACAAGAGGTTTCGTCCTGGTCGAATAGATGCTTCCCGATACAAAGAATCTACGAATGAAATCAAGTATGGTATCGTCCTACGAAAGTACTATCCCTCAGAAATGATCAACGAGAGAGCTCGCGAATATGGTTTTGGAAAGATTGAACGGCCCATCGAATCATTGGTAAAAGCCACCCATGAAACGCAAATTGAACGTGACGGAATACTGGTCGGAAAGTCAGTCATACATTGGTTCAAGTGTGACACCCGCATCATGGACAATAAAGCGCTTCACATTGCAAGTGAGAAATCCAGGATGCACGGCGTGCCATTGATCTGCCTATATCTGGTTTCGCCCCAGGACTTTGAAGCGCATCTCACCGCGCCAGTCCGTGTTGATTTTATCCTTCGTAACTTGCAGATACTCAAGGACGACCTAGCAACATTAAACATTCCCCTGTATGTCGAGCTCATCGAGAAGAGGCGTAACCTGCCAAACAGACTTATGGACTTGTGCGGCAGTTGGGGCGCCAACCACGTATTCTGCAATGCTGAATATGAGGTGGACGAATTAAGGAGAGAGGCGATGTTGACCAGAACATGCCTCTCAAGGGGCGTCTCCTTCAATGTTGTTCATGATACCTGTGTTGTTGAACCTGGCAAATTGTCAACAGGTGCTGGTGGTCAAATGTCAGTGTACAGTCCATGGCATCGGAAGTGGTGTGCGTTTCTCAACCAGCATCCAGAGCAGCTGGAGCTTTCTCCACCACCAGCGCCCAATCCTGCGACCACAAGAGACATGTATTCAGAGCTGTTCACGTGCATGATTCCCGAGGCGCCCGTATCCAAGCGATTGTCTGAAGAAGAGAAGGCAAAATTTCATGTCATGTGGCCAGCTGGAGAGCACGAGGCCCTGGATCGATTAGAAAGGTTCATCCAACAACGCGTCAACCTTTATCACGACAACAGAAACACTCCTTCTGCCAACGGGACATCAAACCTGAGTGCGCATCTTGCCGCAGGCACGATCGCGGCGCGGACTGTTGTCAGAGCAGCACGGGATGCTGCTCCAAACAAAAAGTTGACCGACGACCGTAAACAGGGCCACTCAATGTGGATCGGCGAGGTGGCGTGGCGAGACTTTTACCGGCACGTTCTGTGCCACTGGCCCTATATCTGGTAAGTCGTCGTCGATTGCGACGGAAAGTAGGCTAATGGCTGTTACAGCATGAACAAACCATTCAAACCCGAATACAGCAACATTGAGTGGGAGTATGACTTGGACCAGTTCAGAAAATGGACAGACGGCCAGACGGGATTCCCCATCATAGACGCAGCGATGCGACAAGTCGCTCAGACCGCATATATGCACAACAGGTGTCGCATGATTGTAGCCTCGTTCCTGGCCAAGGACTTGTTGATCGACTGGCGGATGGGTGAGCGATATTTCATGGAGCACCTCATTGATGGTGACTTTGCCTCCAACAACGGCGGTTGGGGGTTCAGTGCCAGCGTCGGGGTTGACCCGCAGCCGTACTTTCGAATTTTCAATCCATTGCTTCAAAGCGAGAAGTTCGATCCGCAGGGAGACTATATCCGCAAATGGATTCCTGAGCTGGCTGAAATCACGGACAGTAAAGCAATCCATGACCCCTACGGCCGTGGTTTTGGACAGGTTGCCAGGAAGAATGGATACCCGAGACCGATGGTTGATCATAAAATCTCGAGAGACAGAGCGCTGGCGCGGTATAAGGCAGGCATCGGGAGGGAGACAGCTTGAAATAGGCCAATGTGGTTTGCTTCTTCTACCGCAATTTGCCGGTTGTTGTGGCATGTTTGAAACGTATAGTGATGATGACAATAACATACAAGTAATAACTCGTATCCCAACTAGAATTCCTCCGTGATCCGTCGTTGCCGTCCAGCCGAAAAGGCGTGACTGGCCACGCCTAAAAAAACAAAGTGTACCAAGCCTTAACGCCGCAAAGCTTGGTTGTTCAGGTGGCACTGCAGGGACCATTAACCGGTTGGTGCTGAATGTGTGGTGCGTAATAAGGAAGAGGCCGGGGTGTTTGCTTGAATGAAGTACTCGTACTCTTCAGACCTCTTTTCGCGGCGACGAGACTCTAGGGTATCGTGCAGGACGCTCCAGGAACTCTCATTAGTGTCCATCTTGGTCTGGGCAGCCTGCATGATGATGCGGGGCTCTTCTCTTCTTCTCTAGAGTCTGCTACTCGTAGATAAGGGCCAAAATGGAGGGAGGGGCACGCGACAACCTACCATGTCTTACGTGGCTTCCTCCACCAGACCAGGGCCCTTAGGCCAGAAAGTTGGGACCTGCTGGGGGACCTTCACCCACCGGCACGAGCAATTTGAAAAGATCTCGGAATTGTACGCGTATGCTTGCATCAAAGCGAACAACAAGAGTCAGTTGCGTGCTTTGGGTTTTGTTTGTCTGGTTTACTCACTCTGTTTGTTTGATCGTACCATCATTGTTCTCGTCAACTCTGTCACTTAGGTGCATTGTACGGCTGCTCTTTCTCGACAGAATAAACAAGTCCTTATCTCTGCTGCTATTTCCGGCTCGAGCATCTCACCGCAGCACCTACTCCGTCATTATCTCCCCAGGGTCGCCCTACCTACGACGATTCGTTTATCTTTCTTCCTCCAACTTAGCCTCACTGGCCCCCAAAACTCATTTTCTTTTCGACCGGCGCCTCAGGCCTGCACCTTGATAGCACTGCCGAGAAGACCTTGTGCGGGCTGCCCATTTGTCTTCAGCCTGATCGGCTTTGCGTTCTTCTTTTCTATTCTACCGCCTTTGTCCTGCCAGAAGTACTTCAATGATGCGGGATGTGGCATGAATTGGACAGTTGAACATTTGTAGTCACCGGCGCATGCGAGCACACGACCATTTACAATTAATTGTCTCGGAACCTTCTTTGTCTGACCTTTGCAGGCCAAAGGAGCGACAGTCCCTACGACGCCGTGGTGTCCAGTCTTGTCCCGCCAGACATGCACCACCACGGAACCAGCAATGATCCTTGATACTGCGGCAAAGTTTTGCCTTGCTGTTCTTCTTCTGCTGCCGCTATCGCACCATCAGACATTCGCCCGCGGCGACGCAGACTTCCTCGATGTGCGTACGAACCTCGACCGTGATCGAAGTGGAAAAGGTGGGGACCCCAAAGACAAATACTTCCACGAGTCCGTCTTCCATCCTCACTACGATGGTCGCTTTGCCGCGACTCAACTGGGCAAGGAAGATCGACTTCCGCACCTCACAACGCTCATGCAGACGTTTCTAGCTACCATGGCAGACATTGGCGCCGAAACTTGGATCATGCACGGGACATTGCTTGGTTGGTGGTGGAACCAAAAGATACTGCCATGGGACTCGGATATCGATGTGCAGGTGTCGGAGAGGACCATTGCTTTTCTGGCTAAGTTCTACAACATGACCGAGTATCATTTTCGGCTTCCTGGCGTGAAGAACGGCCGGACTTACCTGCTCGAAGTCAATCCGCACTACACCATTCGCGGTACCGAGGACAAACTGAACGTTATTGACGCAAGGTGGATCGACACCGACACTGGCCTGTTTATTGACATCTCCACCGTCCGAGCCAACTACACCGCCAGAGCCGAAGGAATCGAAGGCGCTCTCATGTGCAAAGACCGACACCATTACCTGGTACGTGACATTGCGAGAAACGAACCTGCCTGCCAGACTGACCATCTTGCAGGAACGAGACATATTCCCTCTCCGCGATAGTTTCTTCGAAGGCATTCATGTCAAAATACCATTCGAATATGCATCTTTGCTGGAAGAGGAGTATGGCAAGAAAGCTTTGACACTCACAACCTTCGAACAGTAAGTTGCTTGTGTTGAAGAAAACATCGGGTAGCGAGCTTACTGACACAATTCACAGCCACAAGTTCAACCAGACAAGCAAACTATGGGAACCGATGAAGACTATAGGGAGACCCGCGAGGAAACGACCACCGTCGCGAAGACCACCATCTGTACCCTGAACCACTGTGACTGTATAGGACGACAAGATCTGCATTTACTGGTGTCCCTGCATAGCGACGGTGTTTGGATGTTATCATTAGCCTTTTTTGCGTTCAGAAGGCATGGGCAGGGTTTCTGTCGCAAAAAGGATGGTAGTGGTTCGCATGTTTGCAGTAGTGTACCGACGCCGCACTGCTGGGGCATTGTGTCAGAGACCCTATGATCACGAATGCAATGTGCATACTGCGGCTGTCAACCCATTGCACTGGAGGCTGAGACAGTGGTAGTACAGAGTACTTACTGTAAACGCCTTTCTATGCACAAAGCACCGAATATTGAAAGGCGGTCAGCAAGCCTAAAACTTATTGGAGAAACTTCTTCCCCCAAAAACCAGCCAATATTGCGAACCCCGCCCCCATTTGCTTGCCGTGCTTGCCGTCCCTCAGTCGCGCTTTCTCTCAAGCCATGCCGTCCTCTTGTCACAGCCACCAGAGAGGTCATTGGGCCAATAACGAGGTCGTTACATCGATCATCATGAGGTCAAGCAAAGACAGTGGACCCCGGCCACACTGCGCCGCGCCCTATGCGGAGTACAACGCTCGTTCGTGACTATGAGTAAGGCCTGCGGCTTTGTGAATTCTCTTGCTTCCCTCATTCCATCCTTACCAAAGCGTAACAACCGCGGTGCAGAAGACTCCAGCTCCATGGCTCTGCGACGCTGCCACACATTCCAAAGCCATGGTCAAGGAAGCGAAACGGGCACCGCAGCTGCCCAAGCAGCAACTGCTGATTCTTGCCGTATGCCGCTTCGCCGAACCCGTCGCAATGACCTCGGTCTATCCTTACATTGTGAGTCGAATGCTCACCATTACCACCGGTCATGACTGACTGCATCCAGCCTGAAATGATTCAGTCGTTCAACGTACGGGATGACAAGGTCGCCAAATGGGCCGGCCTCATGTCTGGCGTCTTCTCGCTGTCCCAATGTCTGACAGGCATCGCCTGGGGCAGAGCATCCGATCGATTCGGCCGCAAACCCATCATCCTTCTCGCATTGACCTGCACCATGATATCCAGTGTACTATTCGGCTTCTCCAAGAGTTTGGTGTGGGCATTTATTGCAAGATCGATGCAAGGACTGTCAAATGGCAATGTTGGGATTATTCGGACTGCTGTCGCAGAGTTGGTTCCACAGAAAGAGCTACAGCCTCGCGCATTCAGTGTGATGCCGTTGGTATGGAACATTGGCAGTATCTTCGGACCTTCATTCGGCGGTTCTCTCGTACATCCTGTCGAACGATATCCGCACTTGTTCGGGAGACTGAAATTGCTCGAAAAATTCCCGTTCGCGCTGCCGAACATGCTGATCAGCGTCTTGTTCTTGCTCGGCATCACTTCCGGCTTCCTGTTCTTGCACGAAACACTCGAGGAGAAGAAGTCTAGTCCTGATTATGGCCTCATGTTGGGAAAGCTTCTTGCAGCACCATGCACCCGACAGCGACGACGAAGAAGGACATGGTCCACCAACGAAGAGGAAGACCCGTTTCTTTCTGGTACATCGAGTGAGATGTCATCTCCGGTATCGAAACCAGGAACCAATGTGCCTCCGAAACAACCGCGCTGGGCCGACGTTTTCTCCAGACAATCCAACATCAATTTGCTTGTGTACACGTTTTTGGCCATGCATTCGGTAGCCTACGATCAGCTGCTGCCCATTTTTATGCATTACCCAGTGCAATCTTCAAAGGATCCACAGGTGCATCTGCCATGGAAATTTGCTGGCGGGTTTGGAATCGACTCGAATAGGATTGGGCTCCTGTTCACCATCTACGGGGTCTTCGGCATGCTCATCCAATTCTTCGTTTTCCCTACATTTGCAAGAAGATATGGAGTTTTGAATTGTCTCAAAGCGTGTGTTTTGACATTTCCTTTCGTTTACTTAGCGACGCCATTTACGGCGCTATTGCCGACTGACGGCTCAAGGCAGGGCGTCATGATAGGCTTGATGTTAGTCAAAGGCTTTTGTGGCATATTTGCATTCCCCTGCTCGACCATCCTCCTCACAAACAGTGCAGCTAGCCTCAAAGTGCTGGGCACACTCAACGGTGTCGCTACCAGCATCTCTGCAATTGGTCGTGCGGCTGGGCCTGCATTGGCCGGTGCCACCTTTACAGCGGGGGTTGACATTGGGTACGTGGTCATCTCTTGGTGGACACTGGCTGTGGTGGGCATTGTTGGCGCTGTGCCAGTGTGGTCTCTAGTGGAAATGGAAGGGTTTGGTGGCGGCGAGGATGAAGATGACGACGATGAGGACGACGAGATTGACGACGTCGTGTTCGGGGATCCGGCGGACCCAAATTCGAAAAGTTCAGCGCTGCAGACTGGTGGCACTCACGCTAGGAAGGCTTCAGCTGCAACGGCATCCTTCGAGGACGTCTTTGACGACGAGTCTCCATCGGAAAGCAGACAACTAACGCCTGCGACGTCGAGAGGATCACGCGATCCATCACGTCGTGCCAGTCTCCAGCTGTCACGGGTTGCAAGTCCCATAGGTTTGGGACCAGGCGTCGTTCCTCCTGGCGCTCGGAGATATAGCAGTGATTTGGGTGCAACAAGGAGCGGCTTGGGACCGGGTGGTACAAGCTATTACTGAACCAGGCAGATTGCATTCCGCAAGCATGCACGTGGAAGAGAAGCTCTATGCATTCGTCTCGGCTCTGGACATAAGCCACAGCGGTGCTAAATCCAGTGTCCTTCATAGAATCTGTGGGTTTTACCAGGATTAAAGGCAGCACCAGAATAGGCTAGCAAAGCACCTGCAAGCATGACAGAACCCAAAGGCTACCACCCGAGTCCAATGCAATGACTTTTAGTCAGTGTTGTGTGATTGATGTATATCGACGTCGCAAAGATCCATCTAGTCCAACAGCGCCGTAGCTATGTTCAAACTCTCCTTGATGATCCCGCTCCAACGCAGAGCATTTGTAGTGTTCCCATCCTCAAAGCTCTCAACCAGCCCGGGAAAAGTTGCACCTGCATAGCCAGTCCACCGGCCTGGAGCGAAGACCACATGTTTGAACCATGATCTGTTGTCCAATCCTCCTTGGTAGAGAAATTGACGCTCCAGCGTCTTGTACTTTGCATTGACTTTCCTCACCTCGTAATATAGCTTGACCTTCTTCCACCACTTCCACCAAGGCACACCTTCTCCCAACCGGTCTTTTAGCTCAGCTGTATACGAATCAAATCGCGCGGCTGCTTTTTGAAGCTTCGTCGTCGCCTTGTCCAGGTCATGGAAGTCAAAGCTTGCTGCTGTCGAATATTGTTCACTTCTTTTCTTCACGTCATTAAGATATTTCCCAAGGCCATCTGCATAGTCCTTTGCACTCAATGGCAAGACTGGGGTTTCGGACAGAGTAGCAGCCAACAGAGCCCATATCTTGGTGATGGTCACATGGTAGTGCCAGCCGTTGTCTCCGTAACTGTCCATCCAGTGGAAACTATCATAGTTGGAGTGGTAATGGTAAACAGCATCCTTTGGGCCGGCGCTGAACCCCAGGTCGAGGGATGGAATACCTGCAAAGTCTTGAAACGCAGTGAAGTCGCTACCGGAACCCATCGTGCGAATTGTGCCATCCCAGATATCCCCAACGGTCTGCCCTTTCGTTGTTTGATTCGGCGACTGAACGCTGCCTGTAACATTGTAGATGAGAGCGTTGAGCAAGGGCGATGCTGCTGCCTCGAAATGCTGACCTCGCGTTCCAACATCGACGTTCAGGTAAGCAACAGTGCTGGCCGAGAGCCAAGGCAGGAATTCTTCCACCCACTCTGTCGACCCCACAAGCCCGTATTCCTCGCCATCCCAACTAGCAAAGACAATGGTGCGGAAGGGCTTCCATCCGGCTTTGAGGGCTTCTCCGAATGACCGAATGACCTCGTTCAAAGCAGCCGAGCCAGAATTGGGATCTCCTGCGCCCCCAGCAATCCAGGCGTCTCGATGATTTCCAAGCACTATCACTTCATCCGGTATGGTTCCATTGATGATGCCAATCACATTCCACAACGGTGTAGTCACGTATTCTTGCTCGTTGACCAGATTGAGAACAACGGAGTCCGGTGTTGGCCCAATATTGTATTTGACACCTTTGTAACCAAGGCCGCCGCCTTGCCAATACTTATTAAATGAACTGGCATTGGGACCGTGTCCATTCAAGGCTTTGAGCAGAGGAAGTGCATCGGCGTATGAGATAGGAAGCGACGGGATCTTGGGCGTCGAATTGTGAGGGTCAACACGGGGCACTCCAGGCTTGGAAGGGTACCCAGGTGTTGTTGGGTCTCCGGGAAGGGTGCCTGCGACGCCTGTCAGCCGGTGTCAGTTTGCCAAATTTTGTCAAACGCACTTATATATTGCGTACTGCCTCTTTGTACACTGCTTGGATTCCTGGCAGGTCCTTCAGGGTATGGCTTGTATCCATTCTCTTCGGTGATCTCCCCATCCTCTTGAGGGTCTGAGTAGATAACTACCCCGACCATGCCCAACTCTTGGGCTCGTTTGACTTTGAGGCCACGGAAGACACCACCATATTTTGCCAGCGCTATCTTGCCTGAGAGGCTGATATTCGCAGCCACTAGATCTTCAAAGTCTTGAAAGGTGCCGCGGTTCACGTAGACATAAGGTGCGGTAACGTTACCGCTGGCCGAGTAGCCATGAAAGGTTGGGATGCGATCTTTCAAGGACGTCGTCGGATCTTCGGACAGGATATCTTCCTCCAAGCTGCATTCGTACTTGACTTTGTCCCCATGCAGCAGTGCCAGGCGGTGAGAGACTGGATAATTGATGTAGACGTCGTACGCCACAATTTCCGACTTGACACCAAACTCTTCCCATCTTTCTCGTGTCCAGATGGCCTGACTCAAGTTCTTGCCTGCAAGATGAGGACCAGCCGTGTAATATTCGCTCCAAGAACGGACTTTGTCCTCATCTGGGGTGCTTAACAGCAGCTCCTGGAGTTCTGTGAAGGTGATGCCTGTACTCTGTGGCCATGAATTGGGAAACGGTCTCGACCAGGGCAGGTAGGTTGACAGAGAGTCATGGCCACGGGGAAGGATCGCAATGGGCAGAAGAAAGCATATAACCAGCGCGATGAGACTGCTTCCGAGGGCAATGCTGCAGAAGCGGCGGAAGGTGTTGTGGGGGAATGGATGCCGCGGTCGTTTGCGGGTTACGCTGACGGTCGAGACGAGGGGTGTACGTTCGTCCATGGCATTCGCATGGTTCTTCATGGGTTTGCACGGCAGTGAATATGACCAAGGCAACAACACCTCATGAGGCTCTAGGATAGAATGGTAGAATGGTAGAATCGCAGCTTCAAATCCGTCGGCATTTGCCCGAGTGCGGAGACAACCAGGTCACAATCAATATGTCTGACGCAATAATCACTAAACGATTTGGAGAAGAGGTTGTTGCCGCCGTGAGGTCGCCCAAGAGGATCGCCAAAGCAGCGTCGCCAAGTGTTTATTGATTCTACACGTCGACCCTGTTTCCAGAAAAGTGGCACCGCTTGACATGACGCATATTGAAGGCACGACTTCGCAGTCAAGCTGGTTCACAACAGCGGAAGCCTCGACAGCAAGACACAAGCACTGCACAGTGACGCTGATGGCCCTCCCACAGGCCAAAAGTCAATGTTGTATGGCTGTGTGTCAACGACTCCGGAATGACAACAAGAATGGCATTCATTAACCTGATGAAGCTACATCGGTGGGACTGCGTTCTCAAACCTCGTTGCGATATTGGTGCCGTGCTCGAAGGAGCCAGTCCACCGTGATGATCAATATGAGGATTCCATAAACGGCGGAAACATAGTTCATGTCTAGAGAGTGTCAGATTTGACCCAAACGCAATTTTAGGGGTCTTACTGTCCGCTTCAACCGGCATCACTGTCGGGAAGGAGTACATTATGATGGCGAAAACGGTGAAGCACAAAAGGATGATATTCGACACCAGCCCAACTTTACCAAGCCAGAAAGGGCCGTGTCGGATGTTCTCTCTTCCCTTCAGAAGGAGGAGGGCGGTTGGGATGCAGTCTAACAACGGGTTCAGTATGGTTCACAAGTGGCCACATTCTAGGCAAGTCTTGCTTCGAGTATGGCGACCTTTATTGGAGTGGTTGGGCATGGAAACGTTGCTTACATGAAATATAAGGGAGCACAATGCAAGCAGAAATGATACTGAAAGCTGGTCAACGTCGTTCCTTTCCTTGGGCAATTGGCCGCTCACCTGTTTATGGCTGTGTATGATCCCAAATACAGACAACCAAGGAAGGCAACAATCACACAGCATACGAAATGAGCTCTGAGAGGTATCCCTAGCTTGTCGTTGACTTTGGAAAGATATCCTGAGAATGGTATCCCTTTGTCGCGCGCAAATGACCAGCAGAGTCGCGATTGCCAGGTGTGGCACGCGATTTGACAACCGATACCGGTGGCAATGACCAGTGCCTCTAGGGCAACGGCGCCACCTTTGTTCTCGAGCGCCTGAAAGAAGAGTTCCAAGATTGGGACATCTATGATTGTCAGGGAAGAACGCTACAGAAAGATCAAGAACTTACATGTAGCCGTGTCCACCATATCCTCGAAATTGCCGATGCTGAAGAACATCGAAATGGAAAACGTGAATGAGGTGATGAAGCCGATGACGACCGTACCAATAATGCCGATAGGTATGAGTTTCTCCGGCTGGTTGCATTCCTCGGCAATGTGGACCTATATCTCAGTCAGCTCTGGGGACTAAGGTATGTCCGACCCGACTCACCACTGTGTCAAGGCAAGAGAAACCCCAGTTTGGGTTGATCAATCCGACGATGAATGCAATCCCTGACGAGGACCAACCGGTGTTGTTGATGAATGTCGCAAACACGAATTTCGCATCTTGATGTGTCGGTGCCTTTGCTGGGACTGTGATCAGGATGACAGCGAAAGAAACCAGCGATGTGTACAGCGTTATGGTCGCAACCAGAGGCAGCATACGGCCATAGCAGTTGAAGAGGAAGGCGAAGATGTTCACCAATTGGTACGCCACAAACACGTGCCATGTTTGAATGACACTGATTCCATTAGCGTGTTGTGAGAGCCCAGAAGCATCAACTTACAAGTCAGGGTGCATCAGCTGATAGCAACCAACTAGTGCGAACCCAACTGTCAATGCGACGCTGGCAGAAGCAAAGACCGACCCAGCCCAAATGAACCAGCCCGTGATGTATGACAGCGACCTTGCCCACCGGGCCGGTGCCAACTGGCTCACCCAGTACGACTGCCCTGCAGCGTTTGGGTAAGCAGAGACCAGCTCTGACAGCGAAATCGCAATCCCCATGCCTGCGACAAAAAGCCCAATGGTCCCATAAATGAACAACATGGGGCCTTCGGAGTTGATGCCTGTCGCCATTCCAGCAGTGATTGCCCACCAGGAGTTGGTAAGCGAGAAGCCAAGTCCCAACACAGAAATCACCGAAAAGTTTCTTCGCAATTCTTGTTTGTACCCCATCTCAGCGAGTCTGGTCTCGTCATCATCGAGCCCTCCTTTTTCAATCGAGAAAATCTCGCCAGGTTGTATATGCTCCTGGACGGACATTTCGTCAGGAGAGCTCTTTGTCTTGGTCATCTGTTCCATTCTTCGAAACAATCTCGGGAGCACGTTCTTTGGTGAGTCAAACACCGGTATTTGACCATATCATGGGGGCCGCAAGTTTATACACGACAAAATAGTAGGGTATGGATTCTCTTCTTGCCCCCCTAAATCAATTGATTGCATCTCACGGACACACAGCGGCCTCAATTGTCCGCCCCTTCAACTTGCTCTGCTCCCAGGCTCAAAGCTTCCGTGCTAGCATTAGGGCGTTACGGGATCACGATAAGATAACGCGGGCGGCCACTCTTGCTAACCGGTTATGGCAAAACAGGTCGGCGCCTTATCGACGCAACCACCAATCTCGTATCATGGCGCCTACATCAAATCATTTTACCGGATGCAGAAAAGACACTCATCCAGCTCGTTCCCTATCTGTTTACCACAGTACCGATAGAGCATACGCCGTGAACTACAGTGTGGTCAGGACAAGTGTCGATATTAGATATGAGCAGCTCTCTCGCGAACGTTAGCATCGGATCCTGTCCAGGATATCATCGCAAGCAACCAGAAAGCCATGGCGATCGTTCACCTGACAAGCTTGTCGGTTGTGGCAGGTGCTGCTCTTATCCTTGGCTTCCTTTACAAGTTTGTAATTTATCCTACTTTCTTGTCACCACTTTCAAAGATCCCCACTGGTCACTGGTCAGCGCATTTCTTGCCCTTCTGGATCTTGCACCTTCGCCGCACCGACCAGGAGAATGTGACCATCCTCTGGCTTCATGAGGAGAAAGGGCCGATTTTGAGGTTGGGTCCGAACGAACTCAGCGTGAACGACTATGCAGAGGGTCTGAAGAAGATCTACCTGGGGGGCTGGATCAAGAATGACTTCTACGCGCATCGTTTCACAAACTATGAGTACGGTTTTCCTATGACTCGAGTGTTAGTCAGCTAACCGTTGAATCCAGGACTACGCCCATGTTCGCCATGGTCCACGGCAAAGAACATTCCGAGCGCAAACGTATGCTATCACACGTGTATTCCAAAACTCAGGTTCTGTCCTCAGCCACCACTCGAGCAACGACCGAGGCGATTTTATACGAACGACTGCTGCCTATATTTCAAAACAGCTCGGATACAGACTCTCCCGTCGAAGTCCTAGAACTGAACTATGCGTATGCAATGGATGCATTCATGGCCTTTCAATTCGGACTGTCCCTTGCAAGCAACTTCATTCAGGACGTTCAAAAACGCAAATGGTACCTCAATGACTTCTTCAGCCGACGGCCATACCTCTTCTACATCACCGAGACACCCAAGCTATTATCTCGTCTGGCGAAGGTGGGCGTCCACATCGTTCCACAGTGGGTTGATGCCGCTACCGATGCTCTGGAGTCATGGAATTTAGATATCTGCGACCGTGCCGAGCAACTGCTTGCCCAAGGCCGTGAGATCCCCGCCATCGACTATCCAGTCATCTACGCTCAGGAGCGTGCCGCCATGCGCAAATCTTATCCGGGGACGACCCGCCTGAACACCCCAAGGCCAGACCAATTCTATCCTTTTCGATATGAAATTGCTTCAGACATGTACGATCACAATGCCGCTGCTCACGAAACCAGCGGCGACACCTTGACGTACGTGTATTATGAGATGTCGCGAAACCCGGTGCTGCAGAAGCGTCTGCGTGACGAGCTGCTCACTTTGGATCCGCCTGTTGCCTTTCCATTGGCCGACCCTGGCGACATTACATTACCCGATTTCAAGGCTGTCGAAGGTCTCCCATTGCTTGACGCCATCCTAATGGAAACACTACGGCTATGGGTAGCCGTGCCGGGTGGACAGCCACGATTGTCACCTTACCCCAGTTGCTCAATTGCTGGTTATGATAACATTCCGCCAAACACCAAAGTACAATGCTACGCTTACGCTCTACATCGAAACCCGAAAGTGTATGAAGAACCCGAGGAGTGGAGACCAGAGCGGTGGCTTGATGCTTCTGCTGAAAAGCTGACCGAAATGCGCCGCTGGTTCTGGGCTTTTGGAAGTGGTGGCAGAATGTGCATCGGAAACAATATTGCTATGCATTGTGAGTCGGTCATGGTCCCCTAAACCCTGGCGTCACAGAAGAAAAGACGATGCTAACAAGGCTGTTCCAGCAATGAAAATGGCCATCGCCGGTATTTATACGAATTTCACATCGGAGATATATGAGCATGGAGATATGACCCTGGTCGATGGCTTCACGGCAGGTCCTAAAGGCAATAGGCTGAACTTGAAATTCCACCATGTATGACAGGAGTAGTATCAAGAATCTATCAGCACCGTCAAGAGAATGATGTCGATCTTCCCGGTTGATACAGTTGAACTCGAGAAGAGTAGCAGATACACCGGCAAGGCGTTCACGAATCCCAACGCGGCAGTTGTCAGGCTCTTTCTCGATTCATCTGAGTCCCAAACCTCCGTTTTGCCTTCTACCTAGTGTAGGCAGCAATATAGCGTTCACATGTTCGTTGAATCATACCGTGATGTACCGATCCCCAACCTCGTGGTCGGCAGGACACTGGAGAAAGACTTTTCGTCTGCATCGCAGAGCCTCACTTTACATACGTAACATGACCTACGGCGACGATGCATCAAACATGAATTACTTTCCACAACGGAGTCAGTCTTGTCACATTGTGGTGGAAAGAATACTATCAGTCCGTTTATTTGCATCATATAAAACTAAATGTCCAATCTCAGGCCACCAGGCTGGTTGCCGGTGCTGATGCCTACCTCTTCAAATGCTGGGACAGACATCGCTTTGGGCTCAATCTCTGGATCGAGCATCTCTTCATGCCGCATGCACAGCTCGTCGGCGAGTTCGCCAAAAACTTGCAATAGTCCTTGAGACTCGATCTCCTCCCAAACTTTGTAGTCGCGTTTCTGGCGGTCATCGTCAGCATTTACCATGCCGCAGCGATCTGGGGCGAAGATCATGAACGCGCGATTCTTGTCGAATCGCTCCCAGGGCTCGGTACCGTTTGCGAACTTTAACCATGCTGCACTCATTTGCTCCGAGACACGCTGGTGGCTAGCGGGCAGAATGTCCTTGAGCAAAGACCAGATATATACGTTGTCGAGCGAGTGGTGGGCGAGCCCTTTCCACTCATTGTCGAAAGGTGATGGGACGTCAAAGCGATACGCATACATCTGTGGATGAGCGCGGAGAGCAGACCAATGGACACTGAGGTACAGACCATCTGTTGTAAGTTTTTCGAGTTTGTAGAAGGTCCGGTTACGATCCATATCGTCGGTGATACCATACAAATCAAGCAGAGTTTGCGCTTTATCTTTGTCTTTCAGGAAGGTCTTGATCTTTGCGACCAGCGAGGGTGCATCGTAGGAACGGAAACCCTTGTTCCAGATCATACATTCGTTGGCGACATCACCAATCATAACACGTTTGCACCAAGATGGTGGAGCAAAGTCGGAGTAGCTAGAGTACGTCGGCATAGGACCGTTGATAAGAACGCCATCATCGCATGGGGAGATTGTGATGACTGGCGTCACGAAAACAGGAACCATGGCTATCGTAAGGTTGGACTCATCGATCTCAATGAGCTTCTGGAGTTGTTGTTGTGCCGGTAAGTCGGCTGGTATGTTCAGGTAGCGCAGTAGCTTGTCATAAATGACCTGATATTGAGCTTCGCTGAGCACGCCACAAAGAGGAAGGAGGCCCGACTGAATAATGGCCGCAGAGAACAGACGTTCGTCTCTCAGCATATGAACATTGCACGATACTTTGGGGGATGCGTTAGCCAGCACGATCAGAAACTGACACTACATTGGAAATGGGACACGCGTACCTCCTCCTGCACTCTGGCCAAATATTGTCACTTTATCCGGATCCCCTCCAAATGCAGTAATGTGCTGTTGAATCCATCGCAAGGCTTCGATTTGATCCCAAAGCCCGTAGTTGCCAACACCGCTTTCTCCATGCGCAGTGTTGTATTCGCGGATCTCCTTACTGGCCAAGAAGCCATAGACGCCGAGTCTGAAAGTCACCGAAATAACGATGGTGGGGATATCAAGGTCTTGTTGTGAGATTTGCGCCAGTCTTCTCCCATCATATATCCCCGCTGATCCAGCAGAATAGACGAAAGCTCCGCCATGGAAGAACACCATTACGGGATACTTGGGCCTACCCGCCGATTCTGAAGGCGGAGTCGGCACCGAAATGTTGATATTGAGACATTCGGTTGCAGACGTTGTAGGTTCTTTCACCCATGGCCTGGGCGGATTCGGTACGAAATAGAAGTCACGGGGTGGCTGAGGCGAAAAGGGACTGTGCGCCTCGAGTAAGAGAAGAGCTAGAAATAGTAAAGATCAAGCTTGCTTACTAGAGCTTTGTGCCATCCCATTTGCTGTCCGGCCATGGTGCATCAGCAGGCTGAGGACGTCGAAAACGTCCAGGCACCTTGCCATAGGGAATGCCGTAGTACTGGCACGTGGTGCCATCAAAGCACCAACCTTTCACAGTCCCCAGACGAGGCACTTCGAGGTCGACTGTAGCCCATTCTCGTGGTGCGACGGCAGACATGGCGGGTGGTGCGAGGTAATACTGTTCAACTTCGGAATGCAACTATACCTGAGCATACGAAGAATGCTTCGTACGAAGACTCAATTGCTTTGGGTGTCCTAAGTGCCATCGTCAAAGAGACCGGAGTATTTGGCGGCGATGCGCGTCAATGCCTCATCTGGCCAAAAGATCACCTGTCATTCCTTATCGGACAGGGCCAAAGCAGTGGCGACTTCTGCAAACCAAGTATCTTGTGGTGTTTTGTCAGAAAGGGTAAAAAGCTGTCAGGACAAATTGGCCTCGAGAAGCATCGGGTCTAGGCCGAAAGGTTTCGATTTCGAGCTAGTTTCTTGTGCAATTGTTTTACCTGATTAGGCATGGTTCGATGGATAGTTCTCTCTTTTAGGGGCCGAAATAACAAAGTCTAAAGCAACCATCAAGGCCAAATTGGGTTTCGTGCCTCATCCACGTTTCAGCCTTTGTGCCGTGTAGACGCCAAACCCGTATCCTCGGTTCCAATGGTCACTGTAGCACCCTTAGGGATCCAATAGATATCTCCAGCTGACGCCGTCGAAGCGTGCCCAGCATCGTCAGTAACGATAAAGCTTCCCTCCAAAACGATAAGGGTTTCATGGTACTTGTAGGTTGCTGTGAATGGATCGCCCTTGGTCATGCGGAAAAGACCACCGGAGATTGGCGCTTCGTCCTTGTCATCGGCACTGCAGTAGGGGTCAACATCTATTGCCACGTTGAAGTTCACAGTCTGGCGATACCTTCCAAAAACATCTCCCAGGTAGATATTGCCATTGCCTATGTTGAGCTGGGGGACCTTGAACTCGGTCTGAGCTCGCGCAAAATCCTGTAAAGCCGGCATTTCTCTTGACATGACTGTTCTTGCATTCACGTAGACGAAGAGGTTGTTGTTGTTGTTGTTGTTGTTATTGGGTGACTGCGTCACTAGTCAGTAGACTGCGCTTCAAGGAAGGCTTTTGTGATTCCTGATGCATTTCTTGATAAAAATTCCCTAAGCACATTGTACATTCTTACCTGAATGGCGTTTAGTGGTAAGTCAATCCAAATAGAGTAAACATCCAGCCTCGAGCGATATCAGGAAAAGAATCCGCAGCGTTAGAGTGGGTCCTGGCATTGTTGCTGCATTCCTTCCATCGAAATGATATCGGAAGGTGGGACGACATCTCAAGTTGTCTTTATCACTTCCAGCGACAATGGAGTACGCGAATCAGCTTTCCGATCACCATTCGCTATCCACGTTGGCATTGCATGCTGACAGCGCTTTCGAAGATGTCCAAGATGCGGCGCCTCCTCTGCACGTAGCCACTACTTTCAAGTATACACAAGATCCAGACTTGCTAGTTCCAGTACCACACAGGGACGTAGGTTTGATCCTTGGCTTCCTATGAATAGTGTTTACCATGCTGAACATACAAAGCAGACGGAATCCTCGGTTCAACATGATTATTACTATTCCAGAATCTCAGCACCGACCACGGAGCGTTTCGAGGCTCTCTTGACCTCTCTCCTTGGTGCGGATGCCGTAGCTTACCCATCGGGCCTGTGTGCTTTCCAGGCGGCGTTGATATTGCTCAATCCGCGGCGAGTTGCATTCAGACACGACCTTTATTTTGGTTGCCAGGGAGTCATCGACATTGTAGCGAAACTTTCGGGCCTTCAAAAGCTTTCACTTGAGTGCGATGCTGAACAATTGCAGACGGGCGACTTGATTGTCCTGGAGACTCCCCTAAGCCCCTCTGGGTATGCCTTGAACATTGCGAAATATGCAGAGAAAGCACACCGGCATGGGGCATGGCTTCTGGTGAGCAACACTCTTGCGCCACCGGGTCTTCAAGATCCTTTTGCACACGGCGCGGATCTCGTTATGCATGCCGGGTCGAAATACATTGGTGGGCATGCAGACATGCTGTGCGGCGTTCTTGCAACCAATAACAAGGACTGGAGCGCACAGCTACGAAAGGAGAGATCACTGATGGGCGCCGTCGTGGGCAATTTTGAGAGCTGGTTGGGAATTAGGAGTCTTCGGACACTACAAGTTAGAATAGAAAGGCAGACGCAAAGCGCACAGAAGCTGGTGACTTGGTTGGTCAACTCACTGAGTGGGCATGGCGAGGATTCACTGATCTTGAAGTCGGTTATCGCGGAGGTCGGACATACCAGTCTTCAAAAGGAGGATTTTGACTGGTTGTTAACCCAGATGCCGCGTGGATTTGGCCCCTTGTTTTCAATCACAATGAAGACCGAGAACATGGCCCGCCAGCTTCCCAGTAAGCTCAGGCTTTTCAGTCACCAGACCAGCTTTGGTGGCGTAGAGAGCTCGATAGAATGGAGAAAGATGAGTGACGTTCAGACGGACAGCAGGTTGCTGCGCGTCAGCATCGGGCTTGAAGATTGGGAGGATTTACGCCGGGATATCGTCTCGGGGATAATGCGCATGGAGTAATTGGACGTCAAGCCCGTCAGTTTAGGTACAAAGTGCGCCTTGTTCCGATGCTGCCACAATAACGTATCTAAGTTAAATATCTTAAGCTACGGTCGAAATTTGTCGCCTGGACAAAGGGTCTTTTGTGGCCAGGTACAGTACTGTGATCTGGGTTTCCCGCCTTCCGTGCCCCTCCAAAGGCGGGGCTTGCTAAGGCTAAGTTAGTAAGGCCAAGTACTACGTGTAGGCCTACCCTAGCCCCTAAGTTTAGGCTCTCTCCGATTTGACTTGCCAAGTGGCGCCGGTCATCATCTCGGGCATGATAGCAGATAAGGGTCCCTGAAATTCGAGAAGTTGGAACAGCCACATTTCTCCAGCCCAAGCTTCGCGGTGGACCATTTTCTCTTTCATTCGAATGCCTCACTTAAGTACTTTTTTCTCGAACACGAGAGTCATGTCGCCTGCACCCACGAATGACGCACGACCCGGCTGCAATGCATGCAAAAGCAAACGTGTAGGCTTATCATCCTTCGCCATTTGTCCTCGCTGACAGACCGTGTCGTAGCTCAAATGTGGGGAGGAACGACCGAATTGTTTGCGCTGTGTCCGTCGAGGTATTCCCTGCCCGGGCTACAACACTCCCTTAAAATGGTCGACGAAGCATGAGATGTTCGGCGACCGTACCAAAGGCTGGAAGGACGGCAGAGGAAGACGGAAGTTGAAGCTCACACCGCCCCTGGCCGACCAAAGGCAGCATTCAGAAGATGCACGTATCTCGGCTACTGACCAGGACTCGAATGACTTTTCTAGCCTTCTGGACCAAGCTGAAGACATGCACAATTCATACTTCTGGCCTGGGACAGCTGAAACAATCTACTGGCCGTTCGATCCGAGTCCTCGCGCGGAAGAAAGCGACTACAGCCAGCATGCTGGTGGTTATCTCGACCCACAGGCCACAGGACTATATGCACGCAATACTCAGCCAGTGTCTGGATCGAATGTGGCCTTTTCGGGGGAGCTACAAGTTCTGGATAATAACTGTACGGATCTATTTGTTGGGAGCGGACAAGCGGCGGTCGTCAATGTTGGTGATGCAGCCGAGCTCACGCAAACATTGGATGGCACACGCGGGCAAGCACGCACTGGAGACCTAAACCTCGCCGATTATCTGACCGTGCAAAGTCTTCAAGCACCTGACCAACAGGGTTTTGGTGATCCTGTGGCAGCGCCTCCGTCCAGTAGACTGGTGAGCCTTTTGCTCATCGGAGACGACGAAGACGCAAGGAGATTGCTAGCATTGAGCAAGACCTTGAACGATGACTCTTCTGTCCTTGTGGAATTCTACTTTAAGGACACGGCGCGACTGTTCTCGTGCTACGATGGGAACCTCAACCCTTTCCGCACCAATGTTTCGACTCTTTGGGCGTCATCTCCACTCATCTACCACAGCTTATCGAGTATGGCTGCAAGCAGTTTAGATCAGGATTTCCCACAATTCAGAGCCATGGGCCGCGAACACCGGAAACAGGCACTGGTGCTGTTGGAGAAGGAAAAAACAGTCAATGAGACAAGTCTTTTGGCTATGTTGATGCTCGGGGGAACTGCAAGCTGGCACGATCCACGGGATATTGGGACACCGTTCTTCAATAAGCTAGCCAAGTGTCTTGAGCGCATGGGAGAGAATGGACAGCTCAAACAGAACGCGAAGAATTTCCGCTTCTTCCAGGAAGCTATGATGTACTGGGAGATGTTGCTATCTTTTGTTGTAGATAGTGCAGATCTCAATCGGACTGGCGGATCGACTCTGATCGACGAACGAAGCGATGATGCGCGACAAGTTCCTCACCCGTGGACAGGAGTGGCAAGAGAAACACAGTATCTTGTACAAGAAGTGGGGAGACTCGTTCGACAACAACGAAAAAAGGCACATCTCCATCGATTCACGACGCAGGCCCATATCAGGCAAATGCAGAAAACCCTGTCTCATGCTGGGAATCTGGAGAGACAGCTGTTGGCTCTGTCTCATTCTGCTCCGAATGAGGACAATGTCGTGAATCCCGACGATCGTGAAACTCCGTTGTGGCACTTGTTGACGCTTGCGGAGGTCTACCGCCGCACAGGTCTCGTCCAGCTCTATCGTGTCTTCCCAGACCTCCTGTATGGAAAAGCCATTTTCGACGGCCTGCAGACAATCCTTGCTCATGAAGGTATTGCTTGCAAGAACGCTGGTGGAAGTGACGATGTTAGCGATGTCCCGCCAGCCCTCGCAAACGATTGGCTTTGTCGCTACACGATAGCAACGCTTGAACTCCTCAGGACCATCCCCATCGAGTCTGGGACCCGAGATTTCCAGCCCTTTTTGCTTGTGGCTCTTTGCAGCGAGTTACGGATCGAGTCCGACACTACACAGTCCCTGCCAGTAGGCAAGTCTCCAGCACTTGCAGACGCACAATTTCGTCGGGATGCCGACGTTATAACGCCTTGTATCGGCCAGCCCACTGCAGATGCTTTGGCTGCTGTCCGCGCTCGCGGGCTAATATTATCACGACTTAGGTCCTTCCTCCATGTTCTGCCCCCTCGACCAATCCATGTATGCATACAAATAGTCAAGACGAGCTGGGAAAAGATGGATGAAGCTGCAGTCCAACGAGCGATCAGGGTTCGAGCCGCGGCCGGCTCGCAAGATGTCAACTCGGATTTGTCAGACATCAACACTGTTGAATCTGAATCAGTTGAAGTTTGTGAGTATTGCGTCTTGTTTCTGGCCTCTCTTGTGCCAGCGAGTCGCGTAAAAGACATGCAGACAGGCCTTATAACTTCAGTGCTGACTTCTGATTCTACAGACTGGTTAGATGTGATGATGCAACACCGGTGGGAAACGACTATGGCTTAGAAGACAACAGCGCACCGGGTCGTGAGCAAGGATCCGTCCTGGCCCCCAGGTAAGACCGACAAAGCTATGAGATGCAGGAATCTATTGCTGCTGCGGCGTCAAAGACGGAAATGATTCGATTCCGCAGCTCCCGCCTCTACACACATCAACAGGTTTTTGCGCTGAAGGACTTGACGAACAAGTTATGGCATTGCAGCGACCCTCACAAGCTGCGCCTGGCATGAACCTCTTTGCGGAAGTCTACCGCAAGATCAATCGAAAATGGGTCTCCAGGCGGAAGGATTTGTGACGCGTATATGCCGCAGTTTCCTGCAGCGGGATCAATCCACTGCGAGTTGTCAATGTTCAAATGCCCGCGAGAACAATGCATCATAGAGCTTACCCAAAATAAATTGGGGAGGCCTCCCCACGACAACGTCCCTTTCTTGCAGACGCCGTCCACATCGTCCATGTTCAAGATTCCACCAAGGCCGAAATTCCATGCCTTGCTTTCAACGCCACCTCTGAACATAGCCCCTGTGGTGGGATCAAGAGCATGGACCAACAAGTGCTTCTCATCCTGAAGTTGCGGCTCAAACATCTTTCTTACTGTTTCTGGCCTAAGAAGCTGCCCATCGTTCTTGAGCAACGAAACCAGGACTTTCAAGTAATCGCTGGCAGAACTGTACAAACCACCTCCACCCAGGTCATCATGCGGATTACGCGAATAGTACGGCGGTGCTGGCACAAGTTCTCCCGAAGAAGCCCTCGCGGTTGTTGTACAGAGATGGCTGCGTATATGCTCGTTCTCTTCAGGGTGAAAGCCAGTTGAAGTCATGCCAAGAGGCCTCCAAATGTGCTGCCTCATGTACTCGCCCAAATGGATATCGTCGTTGACTCTTTCAACCATCTTTCCAGCCCAATCAATGGATACACTATAGGCCCACCCCTCGCCGGGTTCGTACAAGAGTGGCATTGAATAGCGTTTGGCCTATGAAACGGTCATGACGGTTTTCATGATGATTGAAAATCCAACCTACCAAGGGTTCAATGGAAGGACCAGGCTCCTCTCCACGCCATCGTCGCCATTTCGCCAGCTCGGGCGAGAGGAAATCATATCCCATGCCGCTCGAATGCGTGAGGAGTTGACGTAGGGCGATTGTGTTTGTGGATTTCGACAACTGTGGCTCACCACTTTCGTTGAAACCGGTGAGAATTTCGGACGTCTTCCATTCGGGGAGGATATTGGAAACATCTGTGTCGAGACTTAACAGGCCCTTTTCCACGCATTGCAAGGCCGCGATAGTGGTAAGGAGTTTTGTGCATGATGCAATCCAGAAGGTGGTATCGAGGGTCATCGAGCTTGCTTTGTCGGGTTCGATGGATGTTACGCCTTTTGCTTCAGCATGCGTGATCTTGCCTGACAGACCGTAAGCCATAATGCGACAAAAGGCCACAGAGATCGATTACCATATGCATCAGCCGCAATCATGACAGCCCCCGGAACCTTTTGGTCAGGTCCTGGTGCTGTTGCACGCTCCCATCGCTCGGTGAAGAGCATCGTTTGGATGTACCTAGTTTTCCTGGAAAATGAACTTGGATAGTGACGAAAACTCGCTCCGCAATTGACGCGCTCGACAAGAATGAGCCTATGTCGACCAGTAATCGACTGTTGAAGCAGATGCAAAGACACTGTTGCAGCCCCACGATTTCACTTCGTGACATACATTGAAGGGTCGCGATTATATGGTCACGAATAGTGATTCGCTTTGGTGGATGTTCATGTGCTTTGGCTTTATAAGCCAATATCCAACGATTGGTTGTCGTGATCAGGAACCTTGGTGGAGGCATCCCCTCATATTCAAGAGCCTCGGTTCATCACTTCCACCACTCTCCTTTGGTGTTGGCCTGGATTTTATGTTCGTTTCCAGTGCGGCCACAGATTGTTTGTCACGTTTGTCACATTTCTCGTGTTTCTCAAACCCCTGCGCATTTCACTGCAGGTCTGGTCTGCGCGTACGTAGGACGACAAGAGCTGGAAGGTTGCTGACATGATGTGCAGCACATTGCATAACGGCAAAGAGAGCCAGTCCAGTTATCCAGCGTTCGACTGTACTTCTGCTTTACAAGTGGACAGTGGCCCTCGTTAGGCGACCCAGCGCTCAGCCACAGACGTCATGGAATCAACATGGAGATGATATCACAGGCAACGCTACCAATATCACGAACTCCATTATTTTGGCCTTTAAATTGTGCAAGTTGCACCTAAAAATGTGGAACACAGACCAGCAGGTTTAGAGGCATCAAGCATCAACAAGAGACGTACCTTCGAATTAGTCTCCCTTGGCATTTGTTCTACCGTTCTGATCACAGTCATAACGATGTCTGACACGACAGAGCTGGGCCCCGCAGAGCTTGACGAGAAGAGCACTCGTAGCAATGAGGAGAGCGCGAAAGTCGTCAAGGATGATGACCTCGAAAGACAAGAAATGATGAAAGAGGGTGAAGTCGCGACTCAGGATGCAGAGGCAGCGAGGCGCGAATGGATCCGAACCGCCCCTGAGTCTCCGCGCAACTGGCCGCTATGGAGAAAATGTGAGGTCCCCAGCTCTTTAACAGGCATTGTTGCTACTGCACGGTATTCATCTCTATCTGTACACGCTGGCTGGTTCGTCCGGCTGAACCGGCACCTTTGGGCTTCAACCTGAGCATAGTCGTATGCTTGTATGTTTGAAGAATGCACGCGGTTAACGTTGTACATTGAGAAGGATCTTACCCAGAGATTTTACTGACTTTAGTAAATGATAGGGTGGGTCATCTCTGGCCTAATCTTCTATACGGTCATTGTTTTTATATGCAACACCGGCTTCGTCACAGATCAAGCCGAGGACCAGTTCAAAGTCAATACCGAGCTCTCCGTAATGGGACAGAGCTTCTTCATACTGGGAATCGCCATAGGACCCATGTTCCTGGCACCCCTGAGTGAAGTGCATGGACGTCAGCCAGTCTACACAACTGGCATACTCCTCTTTTCGATTCTGCAAATACCAGCCGCTCTTTCGCCCACATATGCGGGCTTGATTACTGCCAGATTTCTCGCAGGTTGCTTTGCTGGTATACCATTATCGAACGTTGGGGCCAGTGCTTCGGACCTATTTACGACCTCTCACACAGCCTGGCCGATAATGCTGTTTTCCTTCTGCTCACAAGTCGTTGGCCCTTGTCTCGGGCCGGTGATTGGTTCAACCATTTACGTGAGGACTAATAGCCTCAGATGGCTGTACTGGACAACATTGATAGCCGGGATGTTGAATTTTGTAAGTTTCTCGACCCATTCGTCCGTTTTGCGTCGAAGCATTGCGTTGCATAACTGAAAGGGATCTCACTCATTTGTTAACCACAGGTTTGGTCATTGACATTTGGCGAGACGCTCCATGATAAAGTCTATGCAAGACATACTGGCATCAAGCAGAAGAAGTCCGCAACAGCCTACGTAGGCCGCGAGCTAGGCCGCGCGGCCATCTTTCTTTGCACCGAGCCCATTGTCATGGCCCTGGCTCTTACAACGACATTTCTTTTCGGGTAAGTGCAACCTCAAGATTGCATGTCTTCCCTGACACCTTTTCCCAATCGCCGTACTAATCCAAAGCTACCATTTGCCAATCAGCATACATGTTCCACTGTAGAGATGCTAATGAGTATTATATCACAGTTTAATCTTCATCTACCTTCAAGGGTACACATTCGTTTACGAGGACCACTTCAATCTCAGTACGGTGCCGGAAGGAGCCATGTTCCTAGTCTCCATCCTTGGCGGCTTTGTCGCTTTCGCCACACAACCAGTGCAGAATTACCTTTATAGGCGATCTGCCGCTTCCACAAGCACGGGAAAACCTCGTCCGGAAGCACGCTTGTATACTGCCTGCTTTGCCGTGTGGATCATGCTAATATCGATATTCTGGTTCGCGTTCACAGCCTCGAATAACAAGTCGTACCAGATCCCCATGTGGTCAGGGTTCCTCTTCGGCTACGCGGAGGTCGCCATTTATACCGGATTGTGGCAATATGGTACGGACGCCTATGGTGAGAACGCAGGCTCGGCGTTGGCTGCCATCAATCTGCCAGCCAATACGGCCGCCTGTGGTTTGGCGCATGCAGCTTTACCATTCTTCAACAATGTTGGAAACAGATGGACGCTAGGTATCTTGGGCTTCACTTGTGTATTGTACCTGGCGGTACCGCCGCTGCTGGTATACTTTGGCCAATGGCTAAGGAAGAGGAGCCCGTATGCACTAAGTCGCGAAGGTGGTGGAGCAGACGAGTGAACTGATTATGATGACAAGCAAGGATATGGAGCGCTCGGCAGAGTACGAGTAGCGATCAGTGTATGAAGTCATAGGCGTCGATATTCGGCACGTGGTCAATTATGAGAGTGCTTCGTTGTTGAAGGTTTGGTGGCTGACAAGCTTGCCGAGAGTGCCGATCTAGCGACAAGTAGTGTGAGTATCGGTGCTTTTGAACCGGCGTCTGCACCTCTCATTGGGTTGTAATGATCTCTTGAAGGACAAGATGCCGTGAGTCATTCGCTTCTCTCAACCATACGACCATGGAATCAATGGTTGCAAGCCCATGCAACGCGGGTTAACCTTGTCTTGGTGCTCCACCTCCCCAGCCCAAACCCCAAGCCATGCGCCATTCTTCTGGCGTGATCGACAGTGACACCCCAGCTTTCAATTGTTGCGTCATAGGGAATCACTCAATGACAACTATATTTTACGCCCTGTTGGCGAACCATTAATTTACTCAACCTTTCACACCTACACCGGGCGAGGTTTGCCCCCAGTAAATCACCATGGCTCCGCGAACGTCTGCAATGACCGTGCACTTCGACCAGTACAATCCCAATTCAGAGAAAGGAACTGATACTCGAGCTTCTCTTGCTTCACTCGACTATTCTCCTCTTCGTCGCCTAACATGGAGATCTGTTCTCATGGGTGTCCTTGTCTCCATGGGCGGACTGATGTGAGCAACATGATTCTCCTCTCCTCCCTTAAGAGACTCGCAATATTGATGGATCGTACAGTTTCGGTTATGACACTGGCCAGATCTCCGGCTTTCTCGAGATGCCAGACTTTTTGAGCCGGTTTGGTCAAACAAAAGACGGCAAACCTTCCTTCAGCAATGTGAGGTCTGGTCTCATAGTGGGACTTGTAGGCATACTCCGCAACATTGCACTGCGAATTTGCTGATTGTCTTCAGTTGTCGATCGGCACGCTCTTGGGGGCCTTGCTTGCGGCTCCCCTCGCTGACCGCATCGGACGCCGCCTGTCCATTTCCTTTTGGTGTCTGATCGTTGCCCTAGGCTTCATTGTTCAGATTGCCGCGAGCACAGCTTGGTATCAAATTATGGTTGGGAGATTTGTCTCGGGCTTCGGTGTTGGCGCCCTGAGTCTTCTTGTCCCGATGTATCAAGCGGAGACCGCACCACCATGGATCCGCGGAGCGTTGGTCTGCACATATCAACTATTCATCACCCTGGGAATTTTCCTGGCTGCATGCTTCAACTTTGGGACCTATACTTATCAGCAAAACAACTCTGCATCGTGGCGCATTGTTCTCGGTCTCGGCTGGCTCTGGACCATCATACTTGGTGTTGGCATCTTATTCTTCCCGGAGACTCCCAGATATGATTACCGACAAGGACGGAAGGAGATAGCAAAACAAACTCTGATGAAGGTCTATGGTGCTCCTGCTCACCATTATAGTATCCATGTGCAAATGGAGGAGATCGAGAACAAACTCCGCGCAGAAGTCACAACCACAGGTAATCCGGTCAAACAGTTCGTCGGCATGTTCAAGGCCCCACGCATGTCCTATCGGATATGGCTTGGAATGTCGCTCCAGATGTTTCAGCAACTGACTGGGGCAAACTACTTCTTCTACTACGGTACGACCATCTTCAAGTCCGTCCAGATCAGTTCTTTCGTCACACAGATGATTCTCAATGGAATCAACTTCGGAGTCACGTTTATCGGTCTGTACTTGGTCGAACACTACGGCCGAAGGAGGTCTTTGATCGCTGGGGCCATCTGGATGTTCGTGTGTTTCATGATATTCGCCTCGGTGGGCCATTTTGTCTTGGACCTCAATGATCCCACGAGTACCCCTAAGGCAGGCGTTGCTCTCATCGTCTTTGCTTGTTTGTTCATTTTAGGTTACGCCACAACCTGGTAAGAGCCCCAAACTCAAAAGACTCTGGCATTGATGCAGCTTTCTAACGATTTCCACGATAGGGGGCCGATGGTCTGGACAATCCAAGCCGAGATTTTCCCTTCGAAATACCGAGCGAAGGCAATGTCTCTTTCCACCGCCAGCAACTGGACCTGGAACTTCCTCATCGCTTTCTTCACTCCCTTTATTACTGGGGCCATCGACTTCCGCTATGGCTATGTCTTCGCAGCATGTAACGTCACCGCCGGTATTCTTGTCTACTTTTTCGTCGTTGAAGGCCAGGGCCGAACACTTGAGGAGATTGATACGATGTACATTGAGCACGTCGATCCACGGAAAAGCGCTAAGTGGGTGCCGCCTCCGGCGGCTGAGATGGCAAGGATTCAAAGGGAAGCCGGCACTGCTGAATTGCCTCAAACAGGCCGAGGTATCTACAGCGGTGAGACCGAACGAAATGACATTGGAGGTAACAACAGCAAGGTGGCGGAGCAGCATGAATATGCCTGAGTAAATGGGTGATCATATCTGGCGTTCACGGGGAGATCGCAGTTGAAACTCAGGATGCTTATGATGGAAAACCTCGGCTAATCGTCGTGTGTCTCCTGCCCACTTGAAGGCAACTATCTATTCCTCAGCATAGTCCGGAACGGGATGTACTGATATTGTGAGAATACATGAAAGTCCCCATACGTTATTTGCAAGGTGTTGTAACGGACTATTGAACGGGTTTGAACAGGCTTCGCCATGCATTTTAGAGACAAAATGATTTATTGTTTCCCTATGACATCTGAAGTATGTACCACTGGTTTCCCTTCTTAGCAATTGACCTCGAAAAAGGGGCATAACATGAGGAATCGCTTCTCATGAGAGACGGAACCCAATGTTGGGATGGGAGTAGCCCACGGTCAGGGCAGTCTATGCATCACGTATGCTGGCGGATGTTGAGTTCCGGCCGATGGGCGACTGAGAAATGGAAGCACGGGACAAATGCCAAAGAAATCGCCAGTCATTTAGCTGAGAAATCGAGCGGAATGACGGGCGATCATTTCACAGTTCTCGCTGTGTCTTTCGAATGACACGACCTTGACAACCTACGAGATCAAACGACCGCCAGGTGCGGAATGCCTCTTGGCAAGATAACAGAATTGTGCTTCTTGTCTCCTGCTTCCACCCTTCCGCTAATGATGCAAGCAGCACGTTCCTGCAAACGAGACTCTTCTGGTCAGACGATCGTCTCGTATCGATCTGTACATCGAAGGCGAGGATTAATGTTTCCCGGCATCAGCTTATGAGACGATAACCGGCTTCATTCATCCACGGTGTGCGAACCAATCTTAGATCTCGACGGATCTGCTTCATATCATTGCAACCACCTCCAGATCACTTTCGACTGCTCCATGCGCTGCTTATCCCCGTCTCCTGTCGCATCGTCCACGTAGTGTTGCCACCAACGAAGGGATGAGCTTGGAAAAAAGGTGGATTTGGATGTACACGACCTGGAAGATACTGAAGGTCGACGCCATTTGGTTCTACTCGCAGACGCCGCCGTATCCTTCGGGTCCAGTGTGCTGGTCCCTCCTCAATTTACAAGTGAATCAGCAACATCAAGGTTACCGCCGCTCGGGACTCAGTGTTCAGCATTATGACATTTGAATGCAAATCGTGGGAATCACCGTTGCCCAGCTGCTCTATGTGAAAACCAAGTCTCTTTCCGATGACTATCCTTGCCCCCCTTCGTTTTGTGCTTGGCTCCCGTTCTGCTCATGCTACTTACAGGGTTAATACGGTGCCTGACCACGTCTGACTGTGTTTGCATCTATTCACATCTCGCCCTGCGAGGTCAGGCATGGGTTCGTGAGCGGACAGATCATCTGGCTTGCAATTGCAATCCGTTGAAAAGGACACATAGTGCACAACCAAGACGCATGCTACTCCGGGGTACGGCTACCAGCATATTGCCAGTCCCTTCATTTTCAAATACCTTCGAGCTCATCTGCGCGTCCTACCTACAAGTCAACAGTCTCGACGTCGGTGGCGTGTATCACATACTCGGCATTGGTGGTCACCTGTGTTACAAGAGATGGACCATGGCACATACTGTGGATGAAGGTTTGAAGAGGAATTGTAAGGCGCCCAAATGGATTGGAGGCATTATCCTGCGACTTATGAGAAACGCCATGCTTTTGAATACACATCTTCCGGGGAGGCGAAACGCCGTGTGCGCAGAGACCTTTGCGCAACTCCACCAATGCAAGAGCCTTATATCATGCTGGATGGATATCGGCCTCGGTGAGGAAAATCCAGAGCATCAACTTTTATTGCTTCATGAATGGCCCTGCTCCACGATCTTTGCTTACACCCTGATCTTGTCCCGCTCCCGACTTTGAATCAGGTCCTTCAGTCTCGAATCCGGTCGACTTGCTGGGACTTTGTTGCGGATCGGGTTGTTTCGCAGGGTGATCTCCACCATCGCCCGAACCTGCCTTCTTCGATTGCGTTTGGTGCTCGTCTTTTTGGGGTTTGGATGGATCATTCGATTGCTTTGTTTGGTCGACCGTGGTTTCTCCGATCACCGAAGAATAGTTGCGACGTGATGCAAGACATTTGGAAAAAGGTCCTGGCTTTAGGTGATTACTCAGGGATCTTGCTGTGATTCCACGGACATTTGAGACCAAAACTCGGTTTAGAGATGCCATTTTATTCGAAGGTTGTTCCAACACAAAGGAAGAATCTGGCGAGCATGAATTTCGTGGTTTACCGCAGTAACCATTGTTTTCGGAGTTTCACAGCCATTAGGCGCTTCATGACATCAATCACGTCCGTCATCATAAAGGTGCAGCCATTGTATTGCGTCAAGACTACAGTATTTATCCACTTCAAATAATTGCTTGCGCTGCATCTTCCAGGCTCTCACGCAATAAGTCGTTTGGAATGGTTACAAATGCTCTGCCGTCGCAAACGTGAGAACTGATGGCCATCCTCGAACCATTCATTTCATGCATGAATTCGTCCATAGAATCAAAAGCCACATACACTTGAGCAGCAGATCCCACATCAAACTAAGGGATTATTAGGCGCATGGGACGGCCTCGACGGTTGTAGAGCTGTATATGCTACGAGGTAATTACTGTAAAACAGCCGCCAATTACTCTTCCAGTACGTTGCAACTTATACTGTGCAAGGGGCGTATGCTTCCAGCCTCTTCGGTACCCTAATAAATCGGAACATTGAAGGCATTCAAGTCATAATTCCAATAATCCACGCTTTGCTGGTCGTACAAGCATTCCGGGTTGGAGGTATTGCCACTCCAAACTGGCCGCAAGGGCCAAGCACAAATCTGTTGATTCTGACCTTTCGATGGGCCCTGTCTAATGGTTCCGTTCAAAGTCTCTGGGAGAATTCCATGTTCCACCCAATCGATCATCACAGCCAGATTCGTTTGCGGGAAAGGACCGTTTGGTTCGGCAGGGTTGGACGCGCAGTGCGTAGCACCCGGAACCAGGAACAGACGAAAGAACTCATTTTGGGCTGCCGCAGAGTCATTATAGCTCATCCCTGGATTCATGATCTGTCGAACGGACTCCCAGTACCGGACTGACGAAGCAGTAGGAATACCCCAGTCTGACTCGCCATGAAACATGAGCACCTTGCCGCCAGCCTGCTTGTAGGGCGTGATATCAGGCCAGGTGGTCTCCAGTACACCCTGGAATCGCTGCATACCCTCATATATCCAGTCTTTCAGGGTGTCATAAGTCACCCCATTGAGGTTCGGAATGTTTGAGCCATTGAGCAAGTCAATTTCGACTTCAACGAAAACGCCCCCAAGGCTGAGGACCGACAATCCCCACTGGTTGCTTGTCGCATTCCAGCCCGTCTGCGCTTCGGTAAACTGAGCGCTGGGGGTAGGTGCGAAATAGACTCGTCTGCCTTGGTCATCATGCAAGCCTTCGAGAATTTTCTTCGCCACTGCGATTGCTTCTTGTGTGACGTTGCCTTGTTGTGCAGGTATTGCCGGTGATAGTGGTGATGCTGGCGTCGCAGGACAATAATATGGCTGGCCTTGGATTGCTGAAATGTTGAATTGTATATAACAGAGATCTGTTCGTGCCACAACCCCGTCTACCTTGCCATCAAGAGGATCACAACTGATGATAGTCTGATTGACGATCGCCTGCAGCTCACAAGGAGATGGGTAATACCCCATGGTCTGTTCAACAACATCTGGATAGAGGAGCTGTGTCTGCTGGAAGGACCACCTGAATGCCGGCGCACCAACTATAGCGCCGTCGTAGGCATCCGCATATCTTTGAACCTGGCTCCATCCTTCTCGACCACCTTCTGAACAGCCTTGGTAGTAGGAGTAGAGGGTGGTATTCGATTGAGTGAGGTTGAAAAATGACTTGGTAAATTCCTTGCCAAGCTCGCTCATCTCTCGGATGCCCTGGTAACCGAACATATAAATGTTGTGCCAATGCAAGGTCCCATTCGAGGAAAGCCATTGGGTCACGGTGTTGCTTTGCGCAGCTCCGAATCCAGCATCAGTCAGTCCACCAACGGCTCCGTAGATAATGCCTCCTGGAAGAGACTGGTTCCCAGAGTTGATTGCGTATCCGCCACCACCTGTGGCTAGAAAGCGATTTTGAAAGTCCGTGGGTGTTGGAAGCCAGTATGTAAGAGCGACTTCATCATTCACACCATTGTGTGAATAAGTGAAGCTCACGTTGCAGTAATCGAAGACTGCATCTGGGTAGAAGTCATTATCCACGACTGTAACGTTTATTACCGGGTTTGCCGTCACAGTAGACGTGTCAATAGTGAGTCCTTGGTAGAAATCAGGTGCTGGGAGATGCTGTTGTACGTATGAGGGAGTGCAGACATCGTGAATATTGCTGGCATATGTAGCGGTGAGCAAGGCTGAAATGGCGAGGCTACGCATGTGCATTTTGTCCAACTTGGCACGTTCAAGGGTGAACACTGAAAACCGAGCATCTTGGATCGCGAGGTGGGCGTTCGCTTATTATAGTGAATGGATTCTTAACCTTGAGGTTGGATTATTGCATTTAGGCTGCTTGAATACAGTGCATATTTTCTTAGCCGACATGGCCAACTTTTTTGTACGAAGCCGAACAAACCTGCCCCGCAATGTGGAGGTCAAATGCGGAGGGAGGGCTTAAACCTGGAGACACTCCGGCTTTGGCGCACGAGATCTCTGCTCGCGATGAACATCTCCACGCCATCAACTTTGCTTATTTCCCTTCCATTTTGATTTGTCCTCCCTATAACCCTTCCTCGAAAATGCGCGCAACGCTGCATCCGCTCCAAATCAAGTGTCCCTAGCAGGCTAGTGCCGTGCTCCTCAGCTTGCTCGCCAAAACCTGATCTTTCAGATGCATCCTCTCTACTCCGTCGACCCTGTTCTGCGCCGATCGGTGTAAATATTATTTGGCCTTGCGATGCCAAGGTTGTCTCTCAGTGTTCGTCCTTCGTACTCCCGTCTAAACAAGCCTCGGCGCACAAGCTCAGGCACAACATGCTCGGTAAAATCACGTAGGCCGTTTATCAATGCGGGTTGGATAACAGCAAAGCCGTCAGTAGCCTCTGCTTCCAGCCAGGCCTGCATGTCGTCAACAATATGCTGAGTCGTGCCCACCAAAGGACGATGTCCGAGGCCGACGGAGGCGCGCTCGGCCATTTGTCTGATAGTAAGGTTGTTAGATCTCGCAAAGGCTGCGATAGCAGCTGCTCTTCCTCGCGACTTGATAGGCCCCGTCAGAGTGTTGATATCCGGAAAAGGATCATCAAGATCTAAATCGCCAAAATCGATGTTCAGGTTGTCCACTGCTACCTCAATAGGCCAGAGCGAGGAGATTCCTCTCAGCTTACGCTCGGCCTCTTCCTGTGTTGGGCCCCAGACCACTGCTACGCCTGTAAAAACTAGGAGATGTTGAGGCTTCCTTCCAGCGGCTACGGCGTGGCCCTTCAGCGTGCGATAGGTCTTCTGGCCTTCTTCGATCGAATAGTTGGCGCAGTAGATAAGGTCTGCGGTCGACCCGCCGAAAGACATGCCGTCGGGTGATGTACCGCCCTGTGCGAGCATAGGATGCCCTTGAGGAGGTCGCTCAATATGTAATGGCTGATTTGCCGTATAGAATTCATTTTCAATTTGCGGGCTATGAATCTTCTCCAGATCAACGTAGATACCGCTTTCTCTGTCGCGGAGTAGAGCATCGTCCTCGAAGCTATCCCATAGCGCTTTCACAACATCACAGAATGCTCGTGCTCGTCTATACTTCGCGACACTGTCATTCACCTCGTCTTTCGGTACGCCTAGATTGACTGAGCCTGGTCCTGGGGTTGTGACAATATTCCAGCCTGCTCTACCATGACTGATATGGTCTAATGATGCTAGCTGGCGCGCAACGTGAGTGGGCTCGTTGTCACTGACACTAGCCGTATATACTAAACCAATGTTTTCTGTACGTGCGGCGACGGCTGAGAAGAGCGTGGCCGGCTCGAACGAGCTGACACTCGAGTAGTGCTTAGCCACGTCTCTAACAACGAAAGAGGCACCATCCGCAAGAAACAGGAGGTCAATCTTGGCCTTCTCTGCCCGTTGTGCATATTCGATATAGTAATTCACATCAAGTCTCTCGTGAGCACTGATGTCAGGATGCCGCCATGCTTGTGATGCCGCCCCTGAGTTGATAAACGCCGCGAGGTGGAGCTTCTTCTTGTGACCTGCCATAAGAAAGGTAGAAGGGAAAGTGGGAAACACTCCTAGTGATTGCAGAGGAATCCAGTGTACTGAGAACGGTATCGAACTCGCGGCTGGATGAATATAACAATCTGCGCTTGCGGTTTATTTTCGACATGATATTTCGACATACCACTTCAGGTACAAGCCCAAAGAGATTGCTCGCAGAGTGGCGCTATTTTACATTTCTTCTCCGTTAGGAACGATGTTTGCCGGCTACTTGCAAGCCGCTGCTTACAAGAATTTGAGTGATGTTGGTGGACTTGAAGGGTGGCGGTAAGTGACTCGGAAGACTCTCCCATAAGGGTGACAACAAGGCTGTGCTGACTTTTTAATAGGTGGCTGTTCATTATTTGCACAATCATCACCATTCCAGTGTGCCTATTGTACGTGCTCCTCCCCAAGTATTGCTCCATGACCCAAGACTGTTGCTTAGACCATGACAGGGGCTTTTTTGTTTTCCCGGACCTGCCTCATCGAAAGAAGCCATACTTCCTCACGGAAGCCCAGCATAATCTCTCCAGGCCAAGACTACATGGCATAACGGCTCCAGCACAGATTCAAATGTCAAAGACCATTTTCAAACGAGTTTGGGGGAGATGGCATTGGTATGTGTTAGTATTCCACTGGTGTCTATTGGATCAAAACTCTTTGGCTGCCGGCACACCGTTCAGCTTGTACCTGAAAGCCAAATCCTCGATCTATTCCGTAACCCAGATCAATACTCTGCCGACAATCACCACCGCCATTTCGGTTATATGTGCCATTGCGGCAGGATTCGTCGCTGACAAGACCGGTAAATTCTGGATACCAAGCGTACTGGCAACAATCCCAGTCTTCATAGGGGCTCTCCTGCTGGTCTCCTGGAACGTCGGAGAGAGTGGTCGCTTGGCAGGCTTCATGATCATTGGGACTGAAGGGGGTACGTTTTAACATGGAGCTCTCCGATATATATCGTACTGACTTTAGAAAACAGTCCTCAGTCCTATGTCAATGAGCTGGACGACCACCTTGCTGGCCAACGATGCAGCAGAGAGAGCAATTGTGACCGCAAGCATGAACGCCATTGGCCAGGCTTTCACAGCTTGGACTCAGCTCTTCCAATACCCAGCGACTGAAGCGCCCAACTTCCACAAAGGGTTCATCTCCTTTTCTGTCACCGCAGCTCTTCAATTCGTCACTATTGGTACGATATACTTCTTGGCACGGAGAGAGCTCCATCATAAGGTCAAAACCGGAGAAATCGAAGAAACGAAAACGACCATAACGGAGCTGTAATTTCTTGGTAAGTGTAAGGGCTAGGCTCAACGAAGTCAAATACCAACATGACGGAAAAGGCTTATTACAATGAGTGACAATGGAAGATCTTGTGGGAGACTTGCATCCTCCATCAGATCTGATGGCTTTTGGGGTTTCTGCTCAGGAAACCCGTTTGAGGCGACAGAGTCAGGGATCACGTTGATAGTAGTCAGGTTGATGAGAGCGTTAAACCAGACCTTTTTCGCCTTGATTGCGGCCCGCATAGAGGTTGGCCGACTCGCCTGTGTAAAGACGGGTGTTCGAGCTCGTGCCTAGCCCTCCGCTCTTGAGGGAGGTTTAGCACTAAGCACCAGCGGTCTGACTCATCCTTCCACAGGTTGTGCGAAGCTCGATATCGCTTCCAGTGGCTCTCAGATCATACAAGACAGCTGCAGAAACCATTGCCAACATATAGCAGACAGTTAGCTTCTTTTTTTATCATCCACAACTACCTATGTGACAGCTCATCTCGGTCGCAAATCGTCATTGTAGGCAGCGCTTGGTAAGCTGGTATCCAAGAGAACCTGGCGACAGACTAGGCAATCTTCTTTCGTCAATACCATCGCATAACTCTGGTCTCGGTGGATTGATTACATCGCATGCCTGCCTGGTTGGAAAAATGTGTATATTCTCTTCCTATTCTACTCATCAACTTCACCACTCAAAGGCTTCACCAAGACTTTGATAGTATCGCTCTTGTTGTTGAGCAGAGCATCAAACCCTTTCGACACTATATCCTCCACCGCTATCTTCGCAGATATGAGTCTCTCAGGGCGATGAATTCTACCTTCAGTGACTGCGTTGATGACTTCCTGAAAGTCACCTGGAACGTAAGGAAGGATACCAAAGTACTTGACCTGCCTTAGCACTACGTCGTTGGGATCGATTGTTGCTTGAGTTTCCCATAATGCAAGTCCGATAACTGTTCCTCTTTTCCGAACTGCCGCAAGAGCGGTGGTCAATGATGCCTGGACGCCAGCACATTCGAAGACCACATGCGGTCCTCTTCCATCACATAGGTCTTTGCTGCTGCTTTCCACATCGTCCTTTTTTGGATCGAAAACATGATGAGCTCCAAGCTTCCTTGCAAGTTCTAGTCGTCCTTCAGCCGGATCGGACACGATGATCTTACTTGCACCAAACGCTTGGAGACAGAGTATTGTCATTAGGCCGATTGGACCTAAGCACAAGGTCAGAAAGTTCAATGCTTGGGGACTGTGAAAAACACAAACCTAATCCGAGAACCAGCGCAGTCTCGCCAAATTTGAAGCCCGAAGCTTTTATAGCCCGCCAAGGAACGTTAAGCGGCTCGATCAAGGCTGCCACCTCGAGAGACATACTGTCTGGAACTGGATGGACATTCCGTGGCGGCAGACAAATGTATTCAGACAAACCGCCACCACCGTCCCAGCCGCTGAATCCTACCACTCCCAGTTTTTCGCACAAAACTGGGAAGCCTTCTTTGCAATCTGCACAGGTGGTATCTGAAATACATGGTTCGATGGCAGCTTTCTGACCGACTTTGAAGTCCGAGAGACCCTCTCCAACTTCCACGATCGTTCCAGCAAATTCGTGGCCTAGCGTGCAAGGCAATTTGGCGCCAGTCAAGCAGTGGGGTGTTGTAGGCACCCAGGAGGGTCCAGTGGTATATTCATGAAGATCTGATTATATGTAGATTATCAGCTCCTGGTACAAGCAGATCAGCGCATAAACTGAGCCAGATGTACCTGCTTACCAGTTCCACATATGCCTGTATATCCACACCTCAGCTTGATCCAGCCAGGCTTGCATTCGGGCTCTGGAACATCATCAAGCCTGATGTCTTTGTTTCCGTGGTATCGAAGAGCACGCATGACAATGCTTAGCAGATTCGGAGGCCTTTTCGTTTGAGAAGATGATAGATTATCGAAAACGCCGAGTTTGCCGTATGTCTGAGTTAGGATATCTGGTTTTATTTCGTGGCTCGAGTGAAGTCTGTGGAGACGGGCTTTGAACTAGCTTGACCTCTTATTAGGCATGCGCTATTTGGGTGTTATCTGACCCTGTAAACAAAAGTATCTTGGGACACATGACCTGACTACGTTTGACAATGTCCTGGTCTCGACCAACTAATGTTCCTTGCTTTTGATCACAAAATGCACTAGAGGAAAGTTTATCGGACAAGAATCTGCAGCCACTAAATTACCATGCAGGACAAATGCTGGGGACAAGAAGTCCACCGGAACTCATTCCCCGGAGTTCGATCTGCCGGCACTTTGTCACGGCCTGTAATCGCCACGACCAATGCGTCGTATACATAACAGATCTCCGTAGATTATCTATAGCTTGCCCGATGCACTGAGGCTTGTCACAAAGTCGACCGTACTCTGCCAATACTTTCGGCTCTGCTCCAAATGTGGTAACAGGTAAAAGCCATGTGGCAGACCGGAGTACACCTTCAGAGTGACTGGCACTCCAGCTTGCTCGAGGGCTTGTGCGTAGGCCAAGCCTTCATCACGAAGTGGATCGAGGCCGGCAACTTGTACAACTATCTTGGATCAGTGCCTGGGACCATGCGTTCGATGTATGACTTACGGGCAGGTGGTAAACCGGCGTGGTTTTCTGCCAACAGTGGGTGTGCGTACACGTTTGCTTCAATCTTCGGCATATATTGATCCCAAAACCAATTCATTTTCGGCGCATCGACGATACTCGCATCCTTGTTTTGCTCATAGCTTCCGTATTCGTATAGATCTCGGGGAAAAAGGTCCGGATGACATGTCACTGGGATATTCAGGACCTGTCCGATGATGCCAGATTCCTCTTCGTCGCGTGCCATAAGTGCTAATGCAGCTGCCTGTGTGTCGTTAATCTTCCTTCTCAAAACGCGGAATGCGCCTTACGATATTGCCGCCTGCACTCCCTCCTGCAACAATAATTGCATCTGGGTTGATACCTAATTCAGAAGCTTTGGATTTACACTGTGACTCGTTAGAACTTTCATTACGTGACAAAGTGGCTGAGAAGGACCTACCCATCTCAAGGCGTCGAAGCAATCGTTGACAGCATAAGGGAATTTATACTCCGGAGCCATTCGATAGTCGACACTAGCAACGACAGCACCACTATACGCCGCCAGCATACGATTCTCGACTTCTTCGACTTGGTGACTTCCAACAACCCAGCCTGCAATCAGACATATCAGCAGAGTGGCCATAGTGGAAGCAGAATAGTAGTACCCCCGCCATGTGCTTTCAACACCAACAATGCGTTCCCGATGACTTTCATGGGTTTGTAAACACGTAACTCGATCTTTGCGCCATCTCTCATAGGTATCTGTTGGTTTGAAACTTGATAATCCCTTCCTACCTCAGGCACCCCTTCCGGTAATGCTATAGGTGCCGTCCTATATGCAGTCTTGAGATCGTCTAGGGGCAAGGACCACAGAACGGCGAATCTTTCATCGATAGCCTGCCTGAGTGGCTCAAATTCAGGTGCTACTTCGGATAGATGACCATATTTTGGTTTTGGCTCAGCTGTAGTTGAAGAACTTGGCTCGAGCTGGACCATATTGATTTGTTGCAGAGAGTGGTACCAAGTACAACAGTAGACTCAAGTAGTTTGACGGACTTGTCTGATATGGCAGGTCGAGATAATGGTTTATGTTGTAACTCGGACTACGTTACAGACCGCGGTACCCTAGATTTTCCTCAGCCCTTGTTGCCTTACCAGACATGAATTTCGAGAACCAAAAGGCAAGGAGGAGCGCGTGGGTAGCTGAGAGTATCGTGGGCGTATTTCTTGAGAGATCGGCTTGATATTTTGCCCACCTACGTTTGAACAGTTTCCAGGAGCGCGGGACCTCGGCCGACATCTGCAAGGACACCACACCTCCTACTCTGCTGTGCTCTCTGGTAGCGAAATATCAAACAAATTCAACGCTGCGTCGAAAATCGCGGGACCTAGACTTCCTGCGCAACTCACCTTTGATGACGTGGAGCGTACCATGTACCTAGGTTATATTGCAGAGCCACTTTCCGGCGAACGATGGCCGAAACGTGGATCCGCCTCGACCGGCTTTCGAAAACCGGGGGAGCCATTGTATTTGCTGGAATGACACTGGAAAGTCATGCTTTCGGATCATCCTTCACTAGCATGTGCATGGGGAGAGATCTCCATCAGCAACGCTTGATTTTCCATAGCCAGCTTGCAGATTCCCTGCCAACTCGGTCAAACGTCTAATGGGGCGTCAAAGTATAAGTTAAGTAATAATGTGCACTCCGAACCGGACAAACGGGCCAGGCCCCCTACTGCGCCGCTCAGACTTTACGGTCGATAAGGCTGCATTTTAGCTAGTTGACTTTGTGCCGACGGAGAAGGAATTTTCGGATGAGGAACAAGTCAAAAAGACGTACTATCCTGAAATTATCGACCTGGTCAAGAAAGTGTAAGTTGGTTTTAGGAGCTCTTTGCTTGTTACTGACTTTCGGTCAGAACTGGAGGCGATCGTGGCATCAGTGCAAGCTGCTGAGGGAAAGGCGGATGACGAATATGTTACACTCGTAAATCCAGCTGTGAGTCTCCATCCCTTTGAGCCGCCAGAAAAAAAAAGAAAAACATGACTGACCAGTTTGCTTGTGTAGAGGTTTGCTCACTGCGATCAATCTTACCGTGGCGCTGAGCAAATCCTGTACCTCAACCTTCCAGAAGAAGAGGCAGATCGAGCCATTAAGAAGCGTTGGGCTGTTGTTAACGTCTGGCAACCGATTATCAAGAAGGTCACTCGTGATCCGCTGGCTTTTTGCGATTTCCGTTCTCTCGACGAAAAGCATTTGCAAACCGTTGTCGCAAACCGTTGTCGCAAACCGTTGTCGCAAACCGTTGTCGCAAACCGTTGTCGCAAACCGTTGTCGCAAACGTTTTCTCATCACAGGTATAGGACTTTCACGCAATCCTACCTTACCGAACATTCCAGGTGTGCAAGACTTCAAGGGAACGGCATATCACACATCTCGGTGGCCTCAGGAAGACGTTACTTTTGAAGGCAAGAGAGTAGGTATAATCGGTAAGTCTATGGAGTGATAAAGGTCGCTTTGTGTGCCGACCGACCTATCGGTCTAACTTGAATAGTAGGCTGATGTTACGACTTTATAGGCACTGGAGCGACAGCCATACAAGCTATACCTGTGATAGCCAAGACGGCTAAAAGTCTAACAGTGTTTCAAAGAACTGCGAACTGGGTAGGTGATCAACAAGAGTCGTGACTGTAGGTCCTGCTTGTTAAGACTAACGTAGCTATAGGCAATTCCACTGCTCAATTCTAAGATCGACGAGGATGAGATGAATTCGATACGAAAGCGCTACCCTGAGATGCTGGAGAGATTGAATTAAACGCATGCGTGTTTCCTGCATGATGCCAATCACTCCGACTCAATTTGGGATTTCACTCCTGAGCAGCGAGAAGCTTTCTGGGAAGAACTATACGCAAAACCAGGCTTCCCCATGTGGCTGTGCAATTACAAAGAGATATCTGTCGATGAGAAGGCTAACGACCTTATCACTGCATTTGTCGCGAAAAAGATCAAAGAGCGAGTTCACGATCCTTGGACAGCTGATAAACTTGTCCCGAAGAACCACGGTATGTCCTTCTCAGATCAGGCAGCTCATGTTCGAGATATATTCCTGTGCATGGGCTTACTTGCACACAGAGTTTGGAACAAGGCGAGTTCCAATGGAAACATCCTACTATGAGGCTTATAACCAGCCCAATGTACGCCTCATTGATCTGCATGAGACACCGATCGAGCGAGTCACGCAGAATGGGCTCAAAACAACTGACGAGGACTTCGAATTTGACATACTCATATATGCGACAGGTTTCGATGCCGGTAAGTGACTCGATAGTTTCGTGTTTCAGATTCTGAGAGATAGATTTGTTGACTGGATCTGTGGAAAAACAGTAACGGGAGCATTCGATGCAATCGACTTTCGAGGCATCAACAACCACAGCCTAGTAGACGAATGGAGAGACGGTCCAAGGACGTACCTCGGCCCTACGATCGAGCACTTCCCCAATATGTTCATGTCGATTGGTCCCCATCAAGCCTATGGCAATATCCCTCGCAGCATTGAATATGCTGTTGGATGGGTAGCGGAGTGCATCGAATATTGTCGAGATCACGATATCACTTCCATTGAGGCGAGAGATGAGGCCGTACGTCTCAACACATAAGTCTAGCACCAACTTTTCGCTAATCTATAGCAGGTACAAGAATGGACTGATCATGTCCATGCTCTTGGGAAGAATCTTCTCAGTAACAAGGCTGACTCTTGGATGAGTGGGGTGAACCGCAATGTGGCAGGCAAGGATAAGCGAATCGTGGCTCGGTACATGGGATCCTCGCCAGATTTCCGCAAGAGGTGTAACGAGGTGTCAAAAGATCATTACAAGGCGTTCAAGCTTGAATAGCAGACCTTGACCTGGCCGTAATAGATTTGGTTATGTAAAGCATTGCAGTTTTCCATCTTATTGTTCGAGCAACCTTTCTTGTTGATATTTTCCGGACCTTTTTACTGCAAAGGTATACGCCTAACCTTGTGAAGTACCTCCCCAACACGGCAGCTCGTTATCCGAATCAAAGGACAGTGGGTACAAGTGGTGCAGACATCTTTTTCTTTTTGACCTTATTGTTACGCAAAACGAGTCCGTCCAGGCAACGCCAGTGCTTGTACCTCAAGTTATCAGCCAAACTATGAGAAGTAGAATGATTGATTCCAGCGAGAAACTAGACTGCAACAATATTTGATATTTAGCATGTTGGCTGGACGACCCTAAACATACATTGGCGGCTCGTCTGAATGTACTAAATGCCATGAACACATTGGTCCTTCAATGGAACTTGTTCTTTTCCGCCTGGACATCGTTCTCCAAGAAGATCTCAATCTTGGGCGTCATTTTCGGCCCAATATCTTCCAAGAACAAAGTGGCAATTATGCCCACAGCACCAAATCCAACCGAAGCAAGGGCGACGGTTCTGCAAAAATATGAGTCAGCATGGCACTCTTCAGACCTGACCGACGAAAGCAAGAACTTTACTTACTTGAGACCGGACACGTAACTCTGGGTGTATGCGCCAGCTGCTGCTTCGATCATAGCTGTAGTTGCACCCTGGACTTTAGCAAGAGCTGCCGCACCAAGTGGCAGTGCAGCTAGGATAGCCTCGGCGACTTTGGCAGAAGCACCTGCTGCTTCAGCAGCTGCCGGGACATGCTTTGCAGCGTAGGAGCTTTGAACATTGATGAGGATTGTCTCGTACACAGTGACAGCAATAGCGCCTCCAGCCACTCTCGCCACACCAGCCAGGCCGCCGGCAATACCAAGTTCTCTTTGATCAGCCCCAAACTGTATGTAGGCAATAGAGAGGTATTGCGCGTAACCGTAGAACATTGCGCAGAGAAAGGCGAATGCGATACCGAGGTTTTCTCTTTCTGGGTTGATGTACCCTAGCATACCACCGAAGAAGGTCATCAAAGTGATAGGAACGGTCATCTGCCATTTCCAGTGTTTGATATGACTACCTCCAAAAGAAAGAAGCATTGCACCGGTGAAGATGCCCAAACCTTGGATAGTCGCCTGCAGTAATGTAATATGGAACGGAGTTGTAGTCTTGGTAAAGTATACCGCTACCATAGTGGGCCATGTGATGTTGGTGCCGTAGTAGAACATGGTCACGACAAATCCGACAATGAATGGAGCTGTCAGACTACGCCCTCTGTTGTGAGTGAAAAGGCGACGCGGCGTCAGAGGTTCTTTCAATGGAGCCAGAGTTTCCCATGCAGCAAAGAAAACCAGCAAAGCGAAGCCTGACACAAGTAGGCCAATGACCAATGGGTCGCTCGAGGACCGGAGTTGGACGAAGACAATACCAGCCAGAATAAGGGTCGTAGCTCCAGTAAAGGACAATATTCCGACGTAGTCAAGCTGCTTCAGAGCTTGATCCCACGGGATGCCACGTGGGTGCTTAGGTGGAAAGTAAGCAAACAACAGAATAACGAAGGAGATCGCTATAATGATTGCAGTCCCCCAGTAGCCCCAGCGCCACTTCAGATAGTCAGCTGAGTTGCCTGACGGATATAGCATGCGTAAGACTTACTGCGCTGCCATGACGGATAGCTACCCGAGCGGCCACAGGACCAACGATAACGTCAAAGAAGATTAGACCATCTGCCATGACCACCGCAAAATGGCGCCACTTGTTTGGAAGCAGCTCAGGTAGTGCAAAGGCGGCCAACTGGCACTGGCTGCCTCCGAAACCGAACAAGGTGTGTGCAGCAATAGTCTGACCCAAGCTGTGCGAGGTAGCGCCGAGAATAGCCCCAATAAAGACAAGGACGTTGCCACATAGAATGAAGTATCTTCGGCCGAACAGGTCGCTATTGAACGTCATGAACAGGCTGCCAGAAGAGAGCACTCAAGACAAGATTACCTATTAGCACCACAAATCATGAATGAAATAGCGCCGGCTAAAGTGTAGACAGAAGTGATCCATGTGCCTCCACCTGGTGAACCAAACTGTGTAGCTATTTGTGTCTCGATGGTGCTGAAAAAAGGAACCGGCCAGAAGGAAATGCCATAAGAAAAAGCCAGAGTCTTGATTCTAATGATTAGCTGGTGATCTGCATGCTGTATTTGCTTGAGCCTACCGCCACAACGGCCCATGTTTTGGCCGTCACGATATACTCGCCGTCTTCCATAGGCAGGTGCGACATGTCATAGCCTGCGCCATGAGATGGGTGCTTTTCAAGGTCTTCCGCTGAGGAGGGCAGGTTGTTATTGCCGAGTTCGTTGGCATTCTCATGGTGAGAATGCTTCGTGCCAACTGCAGTGTGTTTCATGGAGTGCTCCAAGTCCATGGCTCTGATGTCGGCCATGACTGCGAACGGAGGTGGGCAAGGTCAAGAAAAGGCTGCAAAAGAAAGACGCCAGGAGTAAACTGCAAAAGACGAGAAAGACGGCAACAAGATGTCCCAAAGTATTTACGATCATCATGGAAAGGAAACCCCAGACCCCACAAAAGCTTAAGCTGGCTCCCGAGGGTCAAGCTGTGGGGTCAAACACCGAAATCGAAGGAATCCCAGTTACGGCGTTCGATCACCGAGGTGAAGAGACTAACACAGTCAAAGAAGCATTCATGGCAAAGTCTTGAGATACCCACCATCAATCAGATTGCGATAGGTTGTAAATAACGTTTGCATTCCGTCCTGTAGGTCAGCATCTCTAAGTGGGCCTCATCAATCAGGGATGATTTGCTACATGCTGAAGTCTCTTGTTGTTGCGTTGCTGGACGCCTTGGTTTCGCCGACACAGCTAGGTCTGGCCAAGTGGGCTCCTAGTCTTCCCCACGGCCATCGACCCCCGGATTATGCGGAGTTGTCCTCCTGCTAGGAAGCTTTCTAACCTGAAAACCTCCACAGGAGTCAAGGTGGGCAATAAGTTTGCTACTGTGGGAATTTTCAAGGAGGGTATTTGTATTTGCACGTGGCATCTAGCCATGCAGAACTTGTACATTGTCGCTACCAGCGTCTCCAATAAACCTTGGAGATTTACGATGTGCAGCCAATGAAGCCCTAAACCATCGGCACATCAATTGCATACTTGAGATCGACTCTCACGGCTGAGAAAACCTCTGCCCTGGTGAAAAAGGACCGACTGCGCGTGGGGAAGTAAAATTGAGCATATGGGCCAATTGCTATAATCTCCACTGGGAAAGTTAGTAGCCAACACCTCAATCGCGTACTCCACGCTCAACTCCTTCTCGTGTTGCTGCTCCAGCCAATACCGCACCGACTCCTGTACAAGAGGATGGATCGAGACCGTCTCGTCCGCCCCTGCGGCCACCAGGAGTACCCCGTCACCATGCCGAGCGCTCGGCGCCAATCGGCTTCCAGAGCTTGCGTCCATTCCATCAACGCCAACGGAATTGACTGCCCGTCCAGAAAAGCCAGGAATGCCAGGAGTGTAGCCGCGGCGGTATCACGTTGTCGCATCTGGTCAAAGGACAATCTCCACGTTCGGAACACGGAACTAGGAAACCCTCGCTCTCGCCGAGGATCTTGCAATTTAGTACTCAACTGCCTCATCCGTTCTGACTCGCTGGTCTGGAACACCCTCAGATAGTCCGCAATCGTCATCATGTTTCGGTTGATAAAGGCCGCCGCTTGCGTGATCGCCAACGGTATGTATGCGAACGATGTAAGGAGCTCGTCCACAACCTCGTCAGCAGGCCAGGCCTTCTCCTCGATGGTCTTTTGCCATAGCAGCGACCTCGCTTCGGCCAACGAGAAAGGGCCCACCGAGATGGGAGACACGCTCTGCCCGAGGCCATCGGCCACATGCTTATTTCGCGTCGTGATCAGGACACGTCTCGAGGAATCTAGAGTGCGAGGCAAGTAATCCATCAGTGGCTTCATCGAAGGGTCATCGTCGTTCACATCGGATTCACCCGAAGGCATGGCGCCAAGCGCGAGATGGGCATCATCCACATTGGGCTGTGCAGCGCAAGTCAATGTTGGATGCGGGTCAGGGTTTACACCCACCGACATCACGGTGGGCAGTGTCAAGAAGAACGCTACGGCGCCGAGGGGACATGTGCCAGTATGGATCAACGGCTGGGTTGCAGCGTTGATGGTCACGCTGTGGATGGGCTTCTAAAATGTGTAAAGTGGCATCTTTGGCTTCGATGATACCACCTTTTTTGGGGACGATTTAGCGTGGCGTTTGACATGAGGAGGGATTGTCCAAGAATCCCAAAATGCAGCGACGAATGGGATTTTGTATAGACTAGAGACTAGAGTTTGCCGGCGATTTACTAAGGTATTTGAATGGTATGATACCCTTGGAGCTGGGACTTCATCATTTGTTCACATGTGATGCCCTCATCCAAGATTCTCGCCTCCAGCCACAGTCATATTGAACGGAAAACGGGAGGTATCTTGTCATACATGGATGGCCGGAAAGGCAAGTAATGGCTCAACCTTGCTGCATACATCTTGGTCCAATGTAACTCGTAAGTGTATCTAGAAAAGAAATCCTGCGAGCGAGCGAGCGATGGATGGATATGGAGCACAACGCATATGATGAATCTGGCCGTCCGGTGACTCCCAGTCCCATCCGCTTCGGTCTTCCTGGACGCCTGGCTAAGAGCGAATGTGCATAGAGCCATAAGCCCAAAGAGAACTCATCGCGCTCTCGGTTTCTGCGTGCGTGCGTTGCGTGCCCGCGGCGGATCATGACTGCTCAAAAGCCATGATCAAGCCCGTGTGATGCTCATTCCCTTTCGGATCTAAATTTTTCTCTAAACCTTTCCTCTCCATGGGTATCATAGACTGCCTCTCCGCGGGAAAGATACGCCTTCGACGGCGGCACTATCAGTAAACCAACTGACTTTTTCGCCGCCGCCCTCATTGACAAGACTATAGGGTAGGCTGCGGCCCTCGTCGTCAGCCTCGAGGATCTTCTTAAGGATATCTTTCTTGCCGCCGCCGGTCGCGACAAAGGCGATATAATATGCGTGGGTAACGACGGGCAGGGTCAAGGTAATACGTCGCGCGAGCGGTTTAAGCGGCGGTCGCGACAAAGGCGATATAATATGCGTGGGTAACGACGGGCAGGGTCAAGGTAATACGTCGCGCGGGCGGTTTAGGGCTATCTTCAATAGCGGCGACCCAGGCGTCCGACTCGCGGAGCAGTTCGTGGCCCGGGAATAAACTATAGATATATCCGTCCGGACCGTAGCCCAGGAGAATTAGGTCGAAAATAGGTATCTTGATCGAGTCCTTACTGGCGAAACTCGATATAAGCACTTCTTGGTACTAGTCGGCTATTTCTTGTGTGTTATCTAGGTATTTAACGTTAATAGAATAGACTATCGATATACCTTACTCTTAGGGGATTTTGTCTAGTAGGTCTTGCTTCAATAGGCCGTAGTCGCTATCTTCGTGGTCGAGGGGCACCGCGCGCTCGTCGGCGAAGAAGATTTCCCATTTAGAGAATTGCGGTGAGGACGAGGGGTCTTCGTTTGCGCCTGCGACTAGCAGCGCTTTCGCGAGAGTAGCCAGAAGACTGCCTCCGGAGACGGCGACTTTGAAAGCGTCGTGACATTGGAAAGCCGCCTTTTGATAGGAGAGGATATAGGTCCGAAGGTGCGCGGCGACGTCGTCGACCGTAGGGAAACTATAGAGATTAGATTGTTTGCCCATGTTCGCCCAGCTTCTTGTTGGTGTTTCCCTTGTTTTCCGGAACTTTTGCGCTGAGGTTGGTGGGAGGATCAGGTGGCGCCGATTACGGAAGCTTGCAGCTGTTTCGAAGTTGCTATCTACAAAGGAGGAGGTAGAAAGGTGAAAAAGAGGCTGGCGGTCTGCGACCCGGATGAAATCGTATTTGTGAAAGTAACTCGTAATTATTAGATTGATTGAGGGCGGGGCCGCTATCTTTCTCGGGCCGGGCAATCGATGACGATGAAATCAGGCACGTCAAAATAGCTATTGGAAAATAACTTGGCGGGCACGATAGCTGGGGCGTTGGTGCCTTTCAATATCGATATAGGTGTATAGTGAGATGGAAAGAATTGAGGATAACTGCAGATTAAAGAAAGCTAGAATAGATACCTGCTTCGTCTTGTGTTAGAAACTTAGACTTTCGTCCCGGAACATCCATGGCAATAATGATGATCCGAGAAACGAGGAAACGGTTTTGATTGAAGATCCTGACACGTGGGCTGGAGAACTGATTGCCTGGCGACGTCATGTTAGTCGTGTGAAGACAGTCTGACGCGTACACTTCAGTAAACAATTTGCCGACAACACTCTTCGTCAGACACGTCCAATTGTCTGTCGTGACATAGTCATGGTGCATATGATGCAGGTGGGCAATCAAGGATATCGATCGATTTGCAAAGTCCTGCTGACTGCGCTATCAGTAAATGAATAAGCGTTCATAGCAACTTGTATCATCGACTTGACAATGTCTGGATATTTCTGGGAAGACACAGTCCCATGTCTAACAACCACATAGGCCAACTTCTCTCACCCAGCATAGGCATAGTTGCGTCTAGCGACTTGATCTAGGAGAAGTCCTCACACGGTTCGGACGGCGAGTAAGTCTCAGTAATAGTTGATCAAGAGAACCGGCGTTCCGGATTTTGCATTCATTTGTTGGTCGGATATGATTCTTTTTCACAAGAAGGAGGATCTTTCCAGAATCTAGATGTTTTTCATGGCATTATTTCCTTGCCGGCAATAATATAATCGAGACTCGAGCATCGATCTGATCGGCAGTCATAGTCCAAGTGGAGAGGAATCAGGATTTAGGATGTTTTGTCCGGCTGCCGTTTCGAGGCTCGAGCACTGCGGCAGGGAGTCTCTGTCCACCCGGACAAAAGATCCCATTGGACGATGGGTTGCTTTCTCTTGTGGTTTTTGATCCTTGGAAGAGACAGTGGCAGAATCGGTCCCGATACTGGCAGGAGGAACGGATTCCTCCTACTCGTACCTTGAGATATATCCCGCTCCGGTATATCCTGTTTCTCTAACGACGTCGTACATCCTTCCCTATATCTCCTACTTCTATTGCTCGACTTTTCTCCTAGTCCGGGCTCGATGGCAGGGACGATATACGGCAGTGTAACGAGAAACCCAGGAAGATAGGTCAAAAAGACGACACCTGTAGCTCGGATCCTAAGCCTCTAGATTTGCAAAAGATAGTGCAATATAATATAAATCGCTCCAGGTGGTAGAGCTTTACGATGACCTGTTATTAAGATACGAATCCCTTTTTTTCTACTACGATATAATGGCTAGGCTCGGGCTTAGGAACAATATAGTCTAGTAGTTGAAAACCTATTAAGGTTAGACGAAGAATAGCGAAAATCCTTTTAACTTATTAGCTCATTAGAAAGAGCTTCTTACGACGATTCTAACTATATTATTTTTATTATAACTTCTCTTATTAATTAAAAAGTTATTCGTAATTAAAGGGTTAGGGTTAGGGTTAGGGTTAGGGTTAGGGTTAGGGTTAGGGTTAGGGTTAGGGTTAGGGTTAGGGTTAGGGTTAGGGTTAGGGTTAGGGT